CCCCCCCCCCCCCCCCCCCCCCTTCTATCCCATCCAGCAGCACACCCTCGCACTCAAGAAAAGCGGAAAAGCGCCCAGCACAATCACCACAAGACCCACCCAAGACAAAAAAAACCACTCACCTCAACCCCACTCCACCCCAGCGCTCGGCCACGTCCGCCTCGCCATCAACGACCTCGCCCCCACCGGCGCGCAGCCCTTCTCCTCCCCCGACAGCTCCGTCCACGCCGTCGTCAACGGCGAGCTCTACGACTACGACGCCCTCCGCGCCTCCACCCGGCAGCACTCCCCCCCTTACGCCTTCGCCGGCCACAGCGACTGCGAGCTCGTCGTCGCGCTCTACCTGCAGCACGGGCTCTCCTTCCTCGCGCGCCTGCGCGGCGAGTTCTCGCTCTGCCTCTACGATTCGCGCAGCCAGCTCTTCGTCGCCGCCCGCGACCGTTACGGCATCAAGCCGCTGTTCTGGCGCGTCGACGACGGGCGGTGCCGGATCGAGGTCGCGGCCGAGGCCAAGGCGTGGCTGCCGCTCGGGTGGGCGCCCGAGTGGGACGTCAAGAGCTTGATGGAGGCCGGGTGGAACCACGACAGCCGCACGCTGTTCCGGGGCGTGCGGAAGGTGCGGCCGGGGCATTATCTCGTTTCTCAGGGATTCGGTGGGGATGTTCAGGAGAGGATGTATTGGGACATTGACTATCCGGACAAGGTGCGTTGGCCGCTTCACCGTTGGCGGTAGCTGTGATGCAGGCTGCTGAAGTTCGCTCTCAAGCGTATCCCGGACCGGAGGAGTGAGCAGGAGATGGTGGAAGGCGTCCGCGAGCGATTGCTTGAAGCTGTTCGGATACGGCTTCGTGCGGACGTCCCGGTAGGGATTTATCTCAGTGGGGGTATTGACTCGTCAGCGGTTGCAGGGATGGTGACGCATCTGGTTAAAGAAAGGGGAGAGAAGATTGGCAATGAGAAAGAGACGGACCGCGTGAGTTGCTTTGGCATCGCATTCGACGAAGACAGCGGTTACGATGAATCTGGTGAGAAGATTTATCCATTCAGGATTGAGATTCAGAGAAGTTGACAGGAAGCAGCAATCGCGAATCGCACTGCGGACTTTCTGGGCGTCAAATTCCACAAGAAGCATATGGGTGAGGCCGAGCTTGCAGCCTGTTTCGAAGACGCCACTTACCACTGCGAACACCACAATGCAGATCTCAACTACGTGGGAAAGTTTGCACTCTCAGAAGTGCCACGCGAAGTGGGTTTCAAGGTTGTCCTGACGGGCGAAGGCTCTGATGAGAATTTCGCCGGCTACCCCACGTATTTTCCCGATTACCTTCGGGAGCCTGATCTTGCATGGCCAGCGAACGCTCTGCCGGACAAGAAACGTGATGAGCTTCGCAAGGAGATGGAGGCATTGACGAACCAGAACTACAAGGCGATTGGCATGGACAGCGCCAAAACCGGCGATTCGGTTGCGGTGCGTATGCTCAACGGTATCAAAACACCGCAGTATATGACTGCGTGGGGATTTGATGTTTACGCGCCGTGGACGTATGAAGCCCACGGTGTTTGTGACCCGCGGCTTACGGTTGCGAACAACGTCGATGGCCGAACCAGAGAGCTTATCATGGACAAGTGGCATCCTCTACATTCGGCAATGTACGTGTGGTCCAAAGGGCATCTCGCCAACAGCTTCTTGTCATGCCTGGGCGACCGCACGGAAATGGCCCACAGTGTGGAGGCGAGGACGCCGTTTCTGGACCATCGCCTAACGGAATATGTGAACGGGTTGCCGCCAAGCGTCAAAGTAAGGTGGGATGAAAAAGAGCAGAGATTGGTGGAGAAGTGGGTGCTGCGGGAAGCCAGCAAGCCTTTCATCACAAGCGAGCTGTATGAAAGGAAAAAGCATGTGAGTTGCTGCTCTCTTGACCCGCGCCTGGCGCCGTCTTCGCCTCATCATTTCTCGGTTTCGCATTTGCGTTGGACGTGTTTGAAGTCGCGTCATGTCTTGCATGCAGACATGCGGAAGCGAGTGCCGCTGACGAAATAGCTGTTAGCCATACTCGGCACCCACGCTATTTCCGGAAAACGGCCCTCTGCACAAGCTCTTCTCGAGACTGATGACGCGCGAGAATGTGGAGGAGTTAGGGTTTGTCGACTGGAATAAGACAAAGGACATGGTCAGGGAGGCGTTCGTGGAGAAGAATCCTTCTGCAGTGCGGGCTGCCATCAGCATCAGCCAGTGGATCGTTCTCGGTCGGAGATTCGGGGTCAGGAAGGCAGAAGCGGCTAGGTAGGCGACGGAGTGCGGGCCGGGGGGTTGGGCTAGATCTATGAATAATGGAGAGGGCACGCAGGATCACTGATCCGAGCGGCGGGCACGCACACGGAAGTTGTTCGTGGTCGAGCCGATGATGTCCAGAACAGCCCCGCACGCGCCGTGGTTGGAGAGTGAGTGCATGGATGCATGGCGTGCTAAATTCGGCAAGACGGACGCTCCTCCGGTCGGCAAGCGTGCTGCTGCCGGTTCGGAAATGGACGTCAGCCAGCACTGCTGACGGCTGAGACGAGCTCCATCATGTGGTGATGGTGCGGATGAGAGTTGAGGCAGAAGCGCGTGCCACAGGAATAGACGTGATGCCGGGGCATTCAAAGATCTGAGTAAGACTGGGTTGCCCCGAGATGCACCCCTTGCGTCGGCGCTCGCTCGCGAAGCGGACGGAGATGGGGTGCGGTGGTGGTTGCGGCGGCAGCATGAATGCGTTCGTGCCACCTCTACTTGGCCGTTTGTCTCGTGGTGCCGCGTCAGCGCGTTGGCGGCAGCTCCAGGTCAAACTTCTGATGTCAGGCGCGTCATGTATTTGAGCTCGAGGACGTCGAGCAGCCATGGGCCGGCTGCGGTGCGACGGGCCGGGCAGCGCTGGTGCGGCGTGTGCAACTTGAGCTTGAGCTTGGGGTTGCAGAGCGCATGGCGGCTGCAGCCCTCGTGCTCCTTTCTTGTTTCAACGGCGGAGTGCAGAGAGCTTTGGCGGTGTTGGGAGAACTCCTGTTTGCGCAATCATCACGCGCCGTGACTCGACGGGCGCGGGCGCGGGGCGCGCAGAGCGTGAGAAAAGCGCGCGGTCCGGCGGCGCTGAGTGGCCCAGGGCGTCTTAAAGCAGAGCGCACAGAGGCGGTTTTGGGCACGACGTCAGAGCAGGGCAGCAGTGTGGGGAGGGGCAGGAGGTGCTGTGTAAAGATAGAAGCTGCGAGTGATGTGCAATTTGGGCGGTAAGAATCCTTCGGGGGCTTTTATCCGCCATTAACCTCGAGCAGGGAGCAAAGCCGGGGACGAGTCGGTGTCGCGGCCTATTTTTGGGCGCAGAAGCGGGCCAATTAACGCATCGGGCACGCGCAGGGCGGGGCTGAGTCGGGCGGCCCCCAAATTATGTCGACGCTGGCGACGCCGTGTCACGCCCGCAGCCCGCTGCCGTGGAGAAGCGACATGGACCGACAGGGCCACAGGACCACAGGACCACCACGCACGCCCACGCACGCCCACGCACGCCCGCGCACGCCCACGGCAGACACGCAGCGCCGTTCGCAGGATTGCCATGCCGGGCGTGAAACGGGCGCGGTGGAAGCACTGCGGAAGGATTGCGCCAGCCCACCGCTGCGCCCAGACACTCGCCCGCCCGCAGCGGTCGCGGGGCATGGGCACGGCATGGCCTGGCCGGGCGGGGGGTAGCGGGCTGCACACCGCCGGGCGGCGGGCTGGTGCAGGCCCGGTGTCTGCACGTCTGCCATGATGGCGACACCAAGCCGGCGGCGGGCGCCCCAGGCTCCCAGCAGACGGCGTGCTGGAATCGACCCTGCCCGGCGACCCTGCCACATGGGCCGACCGGGAACAAGGCCTCGAAGCCGTTTCAAGCGACCCAGCAACCGGCCGGGATGGCGATCCTTCAGCTCCAACGCTCCACAGCTCGCTCTCGCACCGCCTGACCCCGGCGGCGATCGCTTGCGCAGGGACGGCGGTTTCTACCGCTGAGGCGCCCTCGCCGCGCCGCCGCGCCGGGTATGGCAGCTGGGAGCAAGCAACGGCCGCGGCTCCACCATCTTCTAAATCTGGATGGCCCTAGCCACACCGCGATGGCTGCTGGCGTGCCTGCGTCCCTGCGAGCGTGTGCGCCTTATCCGTCCTCACGCAAATCCTCTGAGATTGCTCGGGGCCATCAGCCTGCGCTCAGCCCTCCCGCATAGCCTGCCTGATCTGGATCTCGCTCGCGCCGTGACTCGCGCTCCACCCGTCCTACTTCGACACAGATCGATCCACAGATTGGCTGCCAGACAAATAGTCGCGGCCGCCGTCAGCTTCAACCCGCCTCTTTTGTCAGACACGCCTCCTCCAGTCTGCTAGCTCTTACCTCACCATGTCTGCCTCCGACTCCCCAATGCCTTATGTATCCGCCGCCCAGCCCGACGACATGGACACCACCGCCCACGAGTGGTACACCCTGCCCGTCAACGTACGCCTGCCGCCTCCCGCCCGCCCGCAAAACATGCAATTGACAACATCAAAGGCCCCCTACGACGCCCACTATGGCTTCGTGAACCCCTACGTCACCCCCTCCGTGTCGTCCGCCGGCTTCTCGCCCATTCCCGAGCACGCCAAATCCACCGGCGCGCCCACGCCCATGCTCGGCTACACCACCGCCGACTCGTCCACCTTCCCCCCCGTCTCGGACTCCATCCCCTTCCCGCTCGCCGACGCCGCACCCCCGCGTCTCTCCATTCCCTCGCACCTCGAGTCTTCGCAGGGCTACAACCTCTTCCGCGGCTCCGACAACTACTACGTCTACGGCTGCAACCTTCCGTTTGACAGCATCCCGCCACGCCCGCACAGCAGCCCGAGCGTCTTCAGCCCCGTCACGCCCGGCGGCGGCAGAGCCTCCGAGCACTTCGCCTGGCCCACCACCTCCAACGCCCTCGGCATCTCGCACCCGGGCATCGACGAGACCATGTTCAACACCACCACCAGCCACCACCACCACCCGGCAGTGCTTGCATCCAGCCCCCCGCAGGCCAGCAACGCCCCCACCCCCGAGATCCGCGCCCCTAAGCCGAACCGCCCGTACGCCCTGATCGCCCCTCACCCGATGGGCATCCAGCGCCTCGCCGCCACCACCAAGCGTGGCCACGAGGATGACTCGGAGATGGCCGAGACATCCATCAAGCGCCGCAAGTCCAGCGGTTCCACCGGCTTGCACGAGCTCGGCGAGGAGGACAAGCTGCTCCTCAAGCTCAAGGACGAGGAGACGCTCCCGTGGAAGGACATCGCCGCCCGCTTCCAGACCGACCTGGGCAAGACGTACCAGATCCCCGCCCTGCAAATGCGCCTGAAGAGGCTGAGGGAGCGTCTCCGGGTCTGGACCGATTCCGACGTGAAGGCGCTGCGCATGGCTTACGACTACTGGAGGGACCAAAAGTTTGAGATTATTGCTTCAAAGGTGTGTTCTGCCGCTTCTCAACCAACCAGCTCTCTTACTGATCGTTTTGCTGCAGATGATGGAATTCGGAGCCTCGGACAGGTGGACCGCCAAACAGTGCGCCCGGAAGTGGGCCGAAATCGACCCCAGCGCAACGCCCTTCATGACGACCCAGGATGAGCCCCAGCAGGCGACTTTCTCGTACACGGCGAGCCCCGAGAGCACCAGCTACCTGCCCTACATGCACATGCCTTGAAGGCCTGGCTGTGCCAGCATGCTTGACGCATCTCTTACGAATGCTCGATGCATATATCCTTGCACGCACCGGCCGAACGCAAGGAAACGATATCCTCTGCATCTCCCCCCGCTCCACGGTTGTGTATAACACTCTTCACTTTCGCTTGATACCCACTGTCGGGAAGGAAAAAAAGACTTTCGCTTTTGCATTCGCTTCCATTGATACCCCATTTCCCTAGACTCTCGCTTTCTTCCTTGTACATTTTCAAGGTTGTTTGCCACTTTTTCTTTTCCAAAAGAAGACTCTCGCTTGATACCCAGATTTTGGTTTAGCTGCATTTTTGTATTACTCTGAGCGTTTGCATTGCATGGTATGGCATCGGTTGTAGTTTTTGGCTATTTTGGGTTCACATGCATTTGTTGGCCGGGATCTGGTTGGATCAAACTGGCGTTCATGAACGATGGGGCATAGGCGCTTATTTTGTCTCTATTTTTGAGAGGATTGCATGTATGTATGAACGCGGCATCGTTTGGAGGGAAAACTGGGTTGAATCTATGTTTAGACAGTGGTAGGGTGCGTTGGGAAAGTGATTTCGTAGTCCTTGTTGGGGTGGTCTCACTATCGTCACCTTTCTGGTCGAATTCAAAGAAGATGGACACAACAGTCAGCGTTACTCGTTTCACCAGTCAATTTCGTCATATTTGGATTGTCCCTGCAATGCTAAGGCGCTGGGGTGGCAGGGCGGCTCGGGATATTCCACTTCTTCCTTCCTATTTGCGAAGGGGGCCAAGCAGTTGATCTCTTATTTCCACCCCCCCCGCGAGGTCATTTCCTACAGTCTGCCGTGGATCCGAAATGATGGAGAAGACGGGTGTCGATCGGCTATTGTCGGTGGGCGTGGTGGTTCGAGGTGATGGTGTGCTGCTTCCCCGCGACGCGTGCGCCCTGCACGAGGCTCCCTCCGTCCGCTCACCGCATCCTGGGGGTCGAGGGAGGGGAGGGGTGTTACCAGAGGCGCGGAACCGCACAGCTCTGAGGCGGTGGCGGCTGTACTTGGTTCGATTGGCCGGGTCGGTGCGGCGCTGCTCGAAGGATTCACCTCCTGGCTTGATGATCCTTCCTGGCCGCCGCTCCGCCGCCTCGCCATTATTCCCTCCCCCCCTCCATCTGCGGTATGTACGCCCATCTCAGCATGGCGGAGCTTGCAGAGCCACCCGCCGTGGCAGCCTCGCTCCGCTGGTGCCTTGTCTGGTGGTGTGCGGCGGCGGGACATGGACTAAGCCGGGCGCTGCACGACGCACAGGCAGCAGCAGCTACGGTGAGCAGGAGGTCGAGGCGGTGCTGGGACTGTGGTACCTACGGGCGCTGCTGCCTCCGGCTGCTTTGCTCCACACGAAGCTGCCCCTACCCACGGCATGCTTGGCCGGCCCGCCGGTCCTGGCATGATTGAGAGAAGCTCCGCTCCCCGGCCAACGGGAACTCCCGCTCTGCGTTTTTCTCAAACACCCCTACACCCGTCTGCGCAGGCGAGGCCCAGAAATAGCAACACGCTTGGTTCTTCTGCACACCAGCATGTGTTGGCGCGTTTGGTTGTTGCTTGCACGCGGCCCCCACGACGTCTAATAACAGACGGGTGGGGCAACACTGTGCGCGAAGCAGAGGAGCCGGAGGAAAAAAATCCGGGCAGCGGTCGTGTCAACCGCTCAGCAGGACTGGCGGCGGCGTTGCGCGTCTGAATTTCCCTTTTCGGCATGCCGGGTCGACCCTTTCGCGGTGGCTGGACGGGAGAACCGGGGGAAAGTCCAGCCGCAACGTCATGCTCGCCTTCTTCCTCTCCACAATTTCGCCCTCTCGTCGCCGGCCGTCGCTTTCGCACTGGCGGAAAAAGCAAGGCTTGCCAGCGGGAAGGAAGTCATCAATCAACGGAGCTGGCGGCGACGTCATGCACTCGCGGTGCCCATCTCCACGCCGCTGATCGATAAGGCCATTTGCTTGCCGCCGATCAAACCACCGTGCACGCCAGGGATCAGGAATAGCAGCAGGCAGGGGGGCGGCGGTCGAGAAAAGGTTGGCTGCGAACCGACTGGCCGGTAAATTGAACAAAAGCAACAGGCCGAGAAGCACCACGACCACTTGATACCACTTGCTACTTGCTACTTGCTACCTGCTACCACGACGTCCGCGCCTGCGCACGCGAAGATAGCGCCGCCAAGAGTTGTCAGTCTACTTTAGCGTGCTCTTTTGGCCGCCGCCGAATCGCTTGCCACGCCCAACCTTGAAACGAACCGCCCTCTTTCTTTAGTAACTCGAGGTACTGCGCCCCAGCCGCGGCCGCAGCCAGAAACCCGCCGTGACAACGATGACACGACGAAGAAGAAGAAACATCCCAGCACTGCCTGTCAGCGCTTACCTCCCCCCCCAGCCTCTCTAGTTGTAGCGCGCACCCCACTGAGAGGTACTGCCGACTTGTGTCCGCGCCATTGCATGGATCAGCACGCGCCCTGGAGAAAACACGATTGCTAATCGGAACGGAGAGCTCCATGTGACCACGAGGTGCCTACCAGTCCAATCAGCAATCCGCGGTGCACTAAGGTAGATCTCCCACTCCCGCTGATCCTCAAAGCCACCACCACCAGTACCATCAGCCAGCCAACCAGCCAGCGGATGGTCTTTTCCTGATGAGCAACTGCAGCTACCCGACCGGCCTTCTGCCCGGTGGCCCATCGGCCTTGCGGTCCTTATATCCGGCCCGGTCGCGAAGCCACCGAGTGCCACATGGCGGTTAAGCTTATCATTCCGCTCCTCTGGCCATGCAGGAACGTGCCGACGCCTTCCCACGCACTGACGTCTTCTTCTTCACGCGCTGGGAAGGAAGGAATGCGTTCGGCCCGTGGTCGCCTCACAGCCTTGACTAAGCGGCTCTTTGTTTAGCTAGGGAGGCGGGCTTAGTATCATCATCATCGAAGAAGAAGAAGACGTTGGCGGGCGGATGAGCGGTGGGTGTTTGAGCACGCGAGCACGCAGGTTTGCGCGCAGCGTGGGTTATGGGGTGGCGCAGCCCAGTGTGCTGGTGCTGGTGCTGGTGCTTTTGCCGATGGTGTTGAACAAGGAGATGCCTGCTTTCGATTGGACAACTGTACACAAAGGACCCCGTATGACGAGATCTCCCAAGCACAAAGCAACGCTGAGGGAACGAATAGAACGGATAAGGGGGAAAAAAGGTTACGAAAGTCGCACTGCAGGATCCGAAACGGCTCCTAGACAAAGACTTGAGAGGCGCTGCGAAGCGATTGGGACCTGGTACCACGATACGGTGCCACCGAGCTTCTAGAACCACGCAGTCTGGTGTTTCTTCTTTCGGTTGGTTTGATGGCACAATCACTGCTGCTAAACATTTGCCAGCAGCTCGCACGAACTTGGAGCGCCCCGCGAGCTACACAGTACCTGCCATATGTGGCTGCACGCACGCGCGTGGGCTGACGATTACATAGCGGTTCCGTGACACACGGATCGAGCTGCACGGGCGCGTGCGGCCAAGACGCCGTGGCACTCGATATCATGCACGCGAAGTGCGGCGTTTGAGAGAGAAGCAGGAAGCCGTCGCCTACCTAGTACCTACCATGTGTGTGCCAAGGGCCCAAGGCAGACTCCTCATCACTCCACCGCCGCCCGTCCTTTTTGGAAACAAGAAAGGCAGACTCCGCCTCGTGTCAGCATCGTCCCACAAAAATTCCAGTCGCTGCCGGACCATCGTCGAGGCCCCGGCGGCGAAAGAGGGGAAAGAGAAAAAAAAAACACGGCGGCGGCGATCCAGGCCCACGCCATAGAAGTTCGAGGTTGGCAGGGGGGGAAGGGAGATGATGATCCTCCATCGTAAGAATGATGGGGAAAATCGGAATGCTCATGACGCGTCGCGCATACGTGTATGTTGGAACAAGGAACTTCCTCCATCTCTCCTCAACTAGAAGGACTTTCAGAGGATGGGCACCTCGGGAATGCCCAGCGGCAAAGGCAAAATGCGTAATTTTCGGGCACCATCTCGAAGCCGTCGACTTTTTGGCCACGAACACCGGGCCGCGGATTGGCGCATGCACATGGGCTCACATTTGTCTGGTCTACCGGGAATGCTCGTCTTGTAGAAAGCCAAGTGCCGGATCACCATGGGAAAATGCAGGGCGGATTCGAGATCAGAGGAGCATGTCGATCCTCCAGATTCATTGAATTCCACCGTGTTTGCCCGACCCGGACGTTTGACCAGGGAAATTATAGATGGGAAGTGTAATAGGCGTGGCAACGCTCGTCTGATTGGCGTGACTGCGACATCGGGCAACGGGCAACGGGCTCTGCTGGCCGGCCCGATTGGGCAGAATCCCGTCGCCCTGCTACCACCGCCACAGGATTGGCCGGTGGAGTTCGGTTATTTGATGCCGGAAGGCCGGTGGAGCAGCTAGAAAGGTCCAGTGCTTCTTAGTACTGTCGGATGGGGACCCTGTCGCTGTTCGGATGCCAGCCTCGACCTGCTGCCACCTAATTACCGGGACGGACCTACGCGAGGTGCTAGACTCTCGATCACGTACCTAATTATGTGTGTAGTCTGCATTGAGTGTCTTGTCGATTATGGTACATTGACATCATGACATATGAGTCCCCGGGCTAACTGACTCGAACTATAGCTAGCATGTGAGATCGTTGAATGTTGCTCGACGCTTAAATCAACCACCTCCAACGCTTGTCTTTACACAGTACAGCCTTAACCCCACTGCTAGTCTTGATTTATATCTCGCAGTTTTAGTCAGCTAGTCATGCAATGCGCATTGTGAGGAGTTCGACCAACTGCGCGACATTCACAAAGCACGGCAGAGACCGTTCAAGGACCAAGAGGTTGGAGGTTCGCGCTTGCAATTGGGTTGTTGGCAATGTCGCAATGTCAGCTAGCTGCTTTGGGTCGGAAGTTGTCAAAGGGCGCGCTGCAACGCCGCTTCTGGGGGGCTTCGTACCACGTGAAAGATAGACACCACTTTTCAGTCTTCACTTATTGTCAAACACCGTAGCATACAATGGCTACTACGGCAACAGAACCGGTCGACAGCCTGACCGCTCCCGCAGACACTGACACGTCCATCATACAGCTGGATAAGGCCCAAGACCCTCTATCATGGAGCCCAAGTAAGAAGTGGCTTTGCACCATTGTCATTGTGGCAATGACAACGACAATCAGCTTTTGCTCAAGCATCCATACCGCTGTTCTGGCTGATGTTGCCCACACTTTCCGTTGTTCGAGAACAGTGGCCACGCTTGGAGTCTCAACCTTCCTCCTCGGATTCGCAGCCGGTCCATTGATATTCGGTCCGCTGTCTGAGGTTTGGGGTAGGAATCCCATATACCGAGCGGTGCTGCTGTTCTTCGTAGTCTTCAATGTGGGATGCGCGCTGGCCCCCAACATCGCCTCACTTCTCATCTTCCGCTTCTTCTGTGGATTTTTTGGATCACCCACCGGTTAGTTGCACATTCAACGAGACGTTACAATGGACTGACTGAACCTCATCCAGTGACGAATTCGGGTGGAAGTCTGACCGACATGTGGCCCACCAGCCATAGGACAGTCCCACTGGCTTTGTTCACCGCAGCCAGTTTTTTGGGTCCTGTGGTAGCCCCGATAGTTGGAGGCTTCGTAGTGCAATACACCAATTGGAGATGGTAGGGCGCGCAAACTCGCCCGACGCGTGGCTACTGACACAACGAAGGAACTACTGGATCGTCTCCATCCTCGGCGGCGTCTCCTACACGGCCATGCTAGCCATCCTGCCCGAAACATACGCACCAGTCATTCTCCAAAGGAAATCCCAAAAGGACCGGCTGCCCGACATCGACTACTACGTCACGCTCACCCGGCCGTGGGTCATGCTCTTCACCGAGCCCATCCTCTTCCTGCTGTCCCTGTACATGGCCTTCTGCTACGGCATCCTCTACCTCGACTTCACCGCCTACCCCATCGTCTTCGCCCAAACCCGCGGCTGGGCGCCCGGCCCCGCCGGCCTGTCCTTCCTGGGCATCGGCCTCGGCATGGCCCTCGCCACCGCCTGCTCCCCGCTCATCAACCGCATCCACGCCCACTACGTCACCAAGCTCCGCCTCCGCCGCCGCCGCCGCCGCCGCCGCCAAAATCCGCTGCAACACGGCAACAACTCCCCCTCCCCCTCCCCCTCCCCCTCGCCCTCGCCCCCCTCCTCCCCACTAGGCCCCCCCGAACCCGCCCCCGAACCCGAAGCCCGCCTCCCGCACCTCATCCCGCTCTCCCCGCTCCTCCCCCTCAGCCTCTTCTGGTTCGCATGGACGTGCTCCTCCCCCTCCTCTTCCGCCCTCGTCCCCATCGCCTCGGGCGTCCCCTTCGGCTTCGGCTTCGTGCCCCTCTTCCTCGCCATCACCGCCTACCTGACCGACGTCTACGGGGGCGGTCCCGGCCCTAGCTCCGGCGGCCCCGGCCCCGGCCCCGGCACCGGCAGCCACGCCGCCAGCGCGCTCGCCGCCAACGCCGTCCTGCGCAGCCTGTTCGGCGCCGCGGCGCCGCTGTTCGCCACGCGCATGTACGACCGGCTGGGCCCGGCGTGGGCGACGAGCGTGCTCGGGTTCGCGGCCGTGGGGCTGGCGGGGTTGCCGTGGGGGTTTTGGAGGTGGGGCGGGTGGTTGAGGGGGAGGAGTGGGTTTGTTGTGGCGAGAGAGGCGGCGGCGGAGAGGGGGAGGAGGGGCGAGGGGGAAGGGGTGTGAGGTGTTGGCGTGGTGAATTACACAACGCCTCGGCTGCGTTTTTTTTTTTTTTTGGGCTGTTGGTCGATTGGTATGCTGTGGATTCTGGCTGGCGTGATCCGGATCGAGCGTTCGGCATGTTGCGGTTTCGTACTTTACGTCATGGCGGGTCTTGAAAGATTCGATCTTTCGTGAACCATTTTTGCAATCAGACAAACTCATATGGCAGGTATGTAAAACACATGCACTGATGTAAGAGGTGCGATCATGCGGTATACAGAGTTATCAGACGAGAGCGTTAACCAATCAACATGTACTGCGCGGAAGGGTGCAGACACCACACCAGGAGATCCAAAGTTCCATTATTACTGTTCAAGTTGATAGACCGTAACTCCAGACTCCCTGAAAGTCCCACAAGGAACGTATATGCCACTGTGGCGGCTTTTCATCATCCGTCAGAGGAGTCGTGAGCGAGTGTATCAAACCCGTGCCTTCCACGCCGGCCGTTAGTATCCAACTCTTGACCAAAAGGACAGACAGTGCATGCGCCGTCCAGAAAAGGAGACAAACCCTCAAAGAAAACAGAATCCCGAAACCATTTTTTTTTTTGAATCTCTTACCTCCTCCATCAGGTGACCCGAACAACAAAGAGAAGTGGGCATCGAGAAACCGTTGCACGTCTCCACCTTCGAACCATCCCACGGCAACGACTGAATAAGCTCAGAGCGCCCAGAACGCAGGTACGTCCAGCCTCAACAGGGCTTCGAAGCGAGACTTCACAACCCCCAACCGATCCCCCACTCCTTCTCCCATCTCTCGACGTCCCCCCAATTTTTTTTTCGAAAGAAAAGACAAGGGTAAGCAGTATCCACAGGCTCCTGGGATCATCTCAGCAGACCTTTCGAGCACCAAAACGCCTAAAAAAATAAAACCAAAACAAAAGAAAACCCAATAACACAAGTCCTTCCAGCCGTCCGTCCGTCCGTCCGTCCGTCCTTTACCGGCTTCCAAGCACATCAGACGCATAAAAAAGGAGAAGGAGATAAAGAATTAGAAGAAGGAAAATCCCCTTACTCCCCAACCGCCGCCGCCTCCTCCAACACCGCACCCCTCACAACCCTCATCCCCCTCATCATCCTCTCCCCCGCCATCTTCTTCCCCCTCTTCACCTTCCTGCTCGCCACCCCCGCCCCCGAAATCTTCTGCAACCCCACCACGTTCGCGTTCGCGTACGTGCTCCCCAGCGAGCTCTTGAAGTACGCCGCGTTGCCGCCCAGCGTCGCCCACACGCAGCCGGCCGTGGCGTCGCAGCGCGCGGCCATCTCCTCGGGCACGGCGCTCGTCTGCGCCCAGCGCGGGTTGTCCGCCATGTCGACGCCGTTGCTGTCGAAGCCGCACAGGACGAGGAAGCGCGCGCCGCTGGACGGGACCGAGTACGCGGTCCCGTTGGAGGACGGGCACGCGATGGGGCCGGTGGAGGCGGGCCACGTTGAGCCTCCGCTGCTGGACGATGTGGCTGATGAGGATGCGGCGGAGCTGGTCGCCGTGCTGGTGCTGCTGGTCGAGCCGCCCGACGCGAGCTTCCGCGCGCCCCAGACGTTGGCGTTGGCGTTGGGCGTGCCGAGCGACGACGACTTGAGGTAGCACGTGCCGTCGGCGCCGACCGAGGGCGGGATCACGAACGAGACCTGCCGGCAGTTGGCCGTCTGCTCGCACAGCTCGACGCACTGCTCGAGCGTCGGGCGGTAGAAGTAGTTGATGTCGCCGCCGTTGCGGTCCTTGTTGCACTCGATCGCGTACGTCGCGCCGTCCGACGCCGTGTAGGTCGAGCCGTCCGCGGCGGGGCAGGAGATGGCGGCCGCGGCGCTGGTGGTCGTGGTGGTGGTGGTGGAGGATGAGGAGGAGGCGGCTGCGGAGCTGGAGCTGGAGCTGGAGCTGGAGGAGGAGGAGGAGGAAGAGGAGGAGGAGGAGGAAGAAGAAGAGGAGGAGGAAGAGGGCGAGGGTGAGGGCGAGGACGACGACGACGACGAGCTGCTGGACGACGAGCTGCTGGAAGACGAGCTGCTCGACGATGTCGACGTCGTGGATGGTGCTGCCGGAGGCGAAGAGGAACTCGAGCTTGGAGTGCTCGCCGACGAAGCAGCCGTAACAGCCACGCAGTAGGACTTTCCGATTTGCAAGTATTGACAATCGTTCCCAATCGACGGGTTCCATGCGTAGAACTGTGGGAACGTTATCCCGTTCGAGCCCAAGACCCCCTGACACGTGTCGCCGCTGACGACGTTGTAATACTTGTTACAGTTGGCAACAGTGTCAGCCGGCGCGTTGGCTGGCGGACCGGCTGCAGTGGTGGCTGTAGTTGCAGTGGTGACAGTCGTAGCCGTGGTAGCGGTCGTAGCGGACGAAGCGCTGCTGGAGGAGCTGCTTGGAGACGACCCCGACGACGAAGAACTGGATGGCGAAGAGCCCGAGGATGCTCCCGCGGGCGCCGCCCCCGAGCTACTGGCAGCACCACCGCCAGCAGCACCACCGCCAGCAGCACCACCGCCGGCAGATGCGGACCCAGTATTGGAAGCTACGGACCCAGTATTCGAAGCTACGGCGTTCTGCGTGACGGTGGAACCAGAAATGACGAGCGTTGGGAAACCGGGACTCGATTGACCGGGAGCTGGCAAAGTCATCTGGTTCCCGCTGTAGAAGTTGGAAGCGCCAGAGGAGACGCTCGGGAGCGTGAAGCCAGTGTTGGTTCCAGTCAGAGACGACGCCACACGCAGCGTAGGAGTGACGACCTCCGAATTACACACGGGGCTACCGGGCGGGTAGACAGTCGTGGTAAACGTGTCCGTGAAGGTCTCGGTCGCCGTGATGCGGGGCTGCGAGAAGATGCTAGTGACAGTCCTCTGATCGGCAGTAACGGTGCGGTAGACAATGGACGTGATGTCAACCCATGTGGTGGGATTATTGGCCGTGACGGTTATCCAATTGACGTTGTTGGCAATGCGCGTCACTGTATCGACCATGGTCGATCGTGACTGGAGGTACACGGTGGAAATCGGCAGCATCGTGGTTGAGAAAGTGGAACCGCAGTAGGGAACAGCGAACGTGGTCGGCTGCGCACGGCGATGGAGCTTCTCGACATCTTTGCGCCTGAGCTTCTGGCCAGTTGGCGTAGCCGCCGCACCTGTAGCCATCTCAATGATACGTGGACTGACACATGCCGAGCTGATGGTTTGGCGGAGTGTCGTTATTTCCGTAATGGTCCGGTCATCAACAGTCAAGACAGATGTGACAGTCGCAGTAGGCTTGGTGAGGTAGCTGGTCAAGACGCCAGACCTTGTTATGGTCGATGTACCTCCTGGCGGGTCAACCGTGGTGTAAGAATTAACATCGCGGTAACTGGTTGATGTGACGGTGCTTGAAACCCAAGCTGTGAGAGTCGAGGTAGCAGTTGTGTACGAAACCGTCGGCAAATGCTTGTGGGTGTAGGTAATACGAGAAGTGAAAGCACCTCCTTTATTGGTCCCAAGAATGCTAAGCGTCACCGGCCCAGCAGAAATCGTGCTCTGGGCCAGCTTGAAGCTGAACGGGATGGTTCCGGTAAAGTCTTCAGCAACGGTAGCAACGTCCTGGACAATTTTGTCAGTGTTTGAGATGCTAAACGCCTCAATGAAGGCTACTTACGACAGCGCTGACGAAGCGCGTATTCCCCGAGAGATCATTATACTTGGCCACTACGGTGTAGATACCACCGTTTGCACAGCCCGGCACACTGCGATCCTGGACAAGGTCGGCACGAAGGCGATCCTCAGAGTTGGGGTCGGAATTGCAAGTGCCTGCTGGGGCAAAGGCAAAGTTAACGCAGGCTTGTGCCGACACTGAAGCCGCCTGCAGCGCAACGGCTGCGACGGCAAACAGAGTGGACGATTTGGCAAACATGGCTGGAGAGCAGACCAAAGGCACGGAAACAAAGTAGCGCGGCCCCCAAGGCCGAAACAAACCTCTCTGAGGTCCTCAGAAACACCAGCCAGAGGTGTTGATATATACCTTTCAACCAGCGTTCGCGTCCCCCTTGAGTGACATCTTTCAGATTGGGTAGAGAAAGGCTCCTAACCGAACCATTAATGGAAAGCCCGGGTAGACGATATTGTTTGGCCATTGTCACTGTTCAGATTCAGTCAAGCCACGAAGAGTGCTGAAGCTCCATGGCTCAGCCATAAAACCGAGCATCCGGTGCGGACGCTGCATGCAGGAGATATCCCTGCTTTCGGAATTCCTTCAGAAGAGCTTTCCCAGGCCCAAAGCTGCGTGCGTAACAGTGTTGACAGTTGAAAATCGGTGGTCGCGTGGGAAAGTGAAAGGCTGGCCATTGAACAAAGACTCCATGTGGGGAAAATCTCTCGAAGCTGTGTAGTATATGCTTCATGTGCGAATTAAACCACAAAGGCGCCACATCTGTCGCGACAGCTAAGTATGCCCACTGGAAGATTAGGAGATAATGGTTGGATGCTCTTGGATCAAATCCAGCTAGCGACGAGTCGAGATATGGAAGAGTGGTGTTTGGAGACATTCCATGGGGAAAGGGCACAAAGAAATAGTAGCGCATTGTCGACAATACGACAGACCGATACATTGGACGAATGAAAAACAGTAATTTGAAAGGCAAGCTAGCGGGATGGCGATCTCCTACAGCGTCCTGCGTTGCGGACTGAGGGATTGCTTTGAAGAACATGGGCTCTTTCACCCCATACGCCCAATGTGGAAATCAAACGAAACCAGCCAATCGACGCCTTTCATCCGAATCACTGGTACTCTATCGAAAGAAGAGCGTTGGAAACCCAAGATCGGCAACAATTTCATAACACAACACTAAACGAAGGCAAAAAGACGCATCGGTCGTTGAGGGGCTTACTAGCAGCTCTGCCCGGTCTAAAAGATGGGCGCGACCATGACAAGAGGAAACAAATGTTTGACTAGCTGATAGTATTGATTCTTTGGATATCATATTACAGAAATTTCACATGAGATGGTTCCCCACTTACCGTCTTAATTCTTGAAGGTGATGGTCTTGGTCTGCAAGAACTCTTCAAGACCCCAGTGAGCATTGAAACGGCCCCAGCCGCTCTTCTTGTAACCACCGTGCGGCAGCGTAGGCTCGTCGTGGATACTCATACCGTTGATGTGTACCGCTCTGCAGGATAAATGGTCAGTTGGAGGAACGACGACGTGATATCAAGCCAAGACAAGACTCACCCAGACTCGATCTGCTTCGCAACCCTCAGCGCGCGAGCAAGATCCTTGGTGAAGACAGCACTGGTGAGACCATAATTGGTGTCATTGGCGATCCGGATCGCCTCGTCCTCGCTCTCGACCTCGATCAAGCTGACGCTGGGACCAAAGCTTTCCTGGTGATACAGATCCATATCCTCCTTGACGCCCTCGACGACGATGGGTCGCAACCGCGTCGCCGAGATGGCGCCCGTGTCGGGGTGCTTCTCCTGGCTCTTGTGGTCGCCGTGCACGACCTTGGCGCCCTTGGTCACGGCATCCTCGACCAGTTTCCTGTTCTTCTCGATCGCGGCGCCCTGGACCACGACGGGAGCGGGGCCGGCATCGAAGTGAGTGAGGAAGCCCTTGAGGGCGGGGCGGAATTTCTCGATGATGTCCTTGTGCACCAGGATGCGCTCGGTCGACATGCAGACCTGGCCGCTGTGCACGAAGGCACCGAGGGCGCATTGAGTCGCGGCCACCTCGATGTCGGCGTCGTCGAGGACGATGGCCGAGGCCTTGCCGCCCAGCTCCATGAGGCATGGCTTCAGCGCGGTGCCGGCGGTTGCGGCGATGATGGAGCCGATGGCGGTGCTGCCGGTGAAGTTGACCTTCTTGATCACGGGCGAGTTGATCAACTGGGTCGTAACGGCTGGGGAATCGTCACGGGTGGTGTACAGGACGTTCAGGACGCCGGTGGGCAGGCCTGCCTCGGTGAAGATGCGGCCGATGTTGTGGTAGCAGCGAGGGCTGAGCTCGGAGCCCTTGAGCACCGTGGTGTTTCCGGCGGCTATGGCGTAGAGGACGGAGCGGATGCCGAGGATGTACGGGGCGTTCCTGCAGGGTCATGGTTTAGCCTCAATCGCATGCATGCTGTGCCGCGATATTGCCAGGCGAGATTACGCACCACGGGGCAATGCCCAGAACCACGCCAAAGGGCTCCTTGAATACGAGAGCGGTGGTGTCGTCGTCCTGGGTGGGAGGAATGGCGCCCATGATTGCACCGATTCTGCCAGCGACGTCCCGGATGAGCTCGGCGGCGATCATGATGTTGAAGCCGGTGAACATGGCGGCGGCGCCCGTCTCCTGGGTCATGTGGTCGCGGAACTCTTCGCCATGTTGTTCCAGCAAGTCGGCAGCCTTCAGCAGGATGTTGCGGCGGGCGATGGGCTTGGTCTTGGACCAGGCGGGGAAGGCGGCCTTCGCGGCTTGGAGGGCGGCGTCGACATCGCTGGACGAGGCGGAGCTGCAGGACCACAGGTCCTTGTGGGCGGCGGGCGAGTGGACGACGAAGGTTTTGGAGGTGGCGGCGTCCTTGCCGTTGATGAGGAGAGGGATGGTGAAGGCCGACATGGTGGGGGCGGGGTATAAGTACTGTGCGCCGCCCGGGCTGTGTCAGCCAAAGTGCCCATTGATGCGCACAAAGCGTAGAGGGGAGGGCAGAGGGATGGCGGGGCTGGCGCGACTTACGGTGGTGAGCGGGCGCTGCAGGGACGAGGAGCTGGGCAGTCTTTTGCTGGTGGTGGAGGGACTTTGCTATGGGTTCTGCGCCAAAGCAACAGCAACAGCCAGGCACAATCCCTTATAAATGCTGCGGGACGGTGGGGACGACCCAGACGGCAGCTCCGGATGTGTCTCTGGACAACTGCCGAGATTAACAAGTGAGCGACAGCAATAGTGTGCTTGAGGTTGTGGTGATCGGCTGCGACCCTTGTCGAAAGCTCCCTTGCAGACCCCACATTTTGCCCTGACGATGCCAGCCTCGGGAATCAATCGTCGCCCGCCACCCGCCCGCGCACGCCCACTTCCCGCAGACCACCGCAGAGCACCATTGTCAATCCGCCGCGTTGATGCCGCCCCCTTCCGGACCCTTCCGCGATTCAATCTGTTCATGCAGACACCCACCTGGTGACCGGTGCCTATCCTTGCCAAGTCTGCCCCGGCATAAACTTCTTGTCCTATGACGATTAAAGTCTCACAGCGACTCGCAAAATCATCCCCTTCGCTTACCCCCAGTCGGATCGCTTGGTAACGCAACAATTCGAGGTAGTAGAAGCTTCTGTCCGAATCCTCTCGTACAAACACAGCCACGTCTAGCACCAACATCCTTGCGACAACAGCGACACATACCACTTACGCAGGGATATCTCTAGCCAATGTCATCCGCAACAAAACGGGAAAAAAAAAGGAAGCAAATAGGAAACATACAAAAGAAGGGAAAATAGAAAACAGCAGCCCGCTCCAACCTTCGTTTCTATCATCGTCGTCATGGTCATCATCATACAACTATCAGATTCCCAATCCTCAGCCCCTGACTCTCATACCACCACCTCCTCCGAATCCCCACCCCGACCGCCCTCTCAAACAGCCTCACCGTCTCCTCCCCACCCCCCAGCATGATCAACGGGATGGGATGCGGCCGCGGAATCTCGCCGCCGGCGAGCCTCTGCTCCTCCTCCAACAGCGGCTGCACGAGATGGTCCTCGCCCCCGTCCTCCTCCATCTCCGGGAACGACACGATGATGACGAGCTTCAGCGCCGCCGGCGACGGCGCGTACGCCGGCACGTTGGCCAGCTTCTGCGAGAAGCTGCAGCCGCCGCGCCGCAGCACCACCACCTGGTGCTCGCGCGGCACCGACGCCGGCAGCCGCTCGTGGCAGTTCTCGTCGCCGACGTACACCTTGCGCCACGGCAGGCTGCCCTCGTCGTCTTCGAACTTGCCTTCGTCGCTGCTGCTGCTGCTACTACTGCCGCGGCTGCCGCCCCTTCGGCTGTGTGCCGGGAATGGCGGTGGCGGTGGCGCGGCCCCGGGACCGGTCGATAGTGCGGCTGATAGCTGCACGCGACGGACTTGGTGCTTGCCATCTCCGAAAGCGCGGGTTGGAGCGTTGGGAGGGGGATTCGCGAGTGAGTCGAAAGGGAGCGTCTCTGTCAGCATGTTTTGAATGTTTTGGAGGAGGGAGCTGATGAGAGACGGGTTCATCTTGTCCGTCTCGAGGTAGTCGGGGAGCGAGATGAGAGAAAGAGTATCGTTAGCTAGGGCAGCTTCTAAAATGTCGTCAAGCGAGTCTGGGTCGTCCGGGGATGTCTCTTTGCCAACTGCGGCGGGTGGAGGTTCGAGGGCATCGACGAAGACATCGAGTGCTGTGAGATCCCGCGTCCGCGTGAAGTACGGGTCTGCAGGATTGAAGCTTGACACCACATCGCGAGACATGAAGATTTTTTCGTCTCTTCCTAACGCGACGTTGGAAACAGCGTAGATCCTAAAGTGGTCGTTGCCCGATTCCTCCTTTGACAAACTGCCTTCACTTTCACGCACCATGCCGAGACGAAGGCCACTCATCGAGTTGACTAATATGCCACCACCAATACGCTGAAGGGAAGCTGTGTTACCCACGCTGTTCGGCAGGTTCGGGAACGAAAGGTCGAATGTTGCGCGTGCGACCATCTTGGAGCTGGTGCCATTGTACGGTATCAGCTCCGGAGGAAGGGTCCAAGGGAAGTAGGTGAAGTTCGATGGGGATCTGACGTCCGACAGGGAAATGCTGGGGTGATCTGCATTGAATTCAACGAGCGGCGACTCTAGCGTATCCCGGTTCGGCATCAAGTGCAGCCGGGCCAAGCTTGCTGCATGAAAGACATCATCCCGAGCTGCTGTCGTGGAAATGGTGAACGGAATAGGGGCCGGAGGAAGAGGGCAGGCGGCGTCATTAACATAATCCGGTAGTTGTCTGATAGCCTTGCTGCGTGCATCAAGGAAACTTTCGTCTTGGCGGAGTCGCTCGGGTATGATGAGGGGATGGCCTTCGGTCGTGAACACCCAAGGACTTCCAAGGTGATTTAAAGGATGATCGAAGTCGAAGAGGAGGAAGAGATACTTCGCAGTCTCGCCGAGGAAGAAGCTCTCCATCCGATCGCTCTTCTCGCCGGTCCTCACATCTTGCAAGCCTGCCCATCCGCACTTTGTCCAACACCTACGCTTGATGTCCCTCAAAGCCATTTCCCCCACGTGAAGATACCACGGATCTTTTGTCGCACGGTACAAATACCACGTCGACTCGATAAACTCGGGGCGGCCACCCCACCAGCGCAGTCCCATCTCGATGTTACCAGTTGCGGTTGACCATCTCTCCGGAAGGGCTGAGTAGCGTGTCCAAAGCGCCGTGTATAGAAGATGGGTTTCGATCGCTTCATCTAGCTCTCCGGCCATGGTCAACAGTCCAGGATAATAGGCGCTGAGGCTGTCGATCCAGAAAGCCCGCATGGCGCCCGTATATAAATCCACTTGAAGGTAGTGCGGGTGCTGGTGCATCGGACCTCGATAGATATGTCTTCTTATCCCAGCATGTGCATCTTGCCATGTATGGAGGAAGGCTTCAGGCGAATCCGCGCGCTCATTCTCCAAATCGTAAGGCAAGCCTGAGAGGAGAATATGCGATTTGAGAGCGTACTCGAAGAAGCTGTCGATTCCTGCTCCAATCTGCTGTATTCAATATTTAAGTATGTGCGCAGGAGAGGGTGATAACTCACGCCAGTGTATGGGCTGACCCAGTGTCCTGTTTCAGCATCGATTCCCGAACCAATGAGGCCGGTAGTGCTCCGTCGGGCCCAGATCTCCCAGAATGCCCGCTTCGCAACCTTCTCGAATTCCATGTTGCCCGTCAACCTGCTGAGGGTGGAAAATTCAAGCACGAGGCTGCCAGCACCGGCACTACATGTCTCCGTTATTTCAGGAGGGGCGTTGGGGTTCTCCTGGCATTGACCATGTTCCGAGTCGTTGTTCAGAGGGGAGTTGGCGTAAAAGGGTATGCCGGAACGAAGGTTAACGCGAGGATATGGTATGCCTGTCGGCGTGTGGAAAGCCGGGAGTAGCCTCTTGCCCAGGTCGTAAGCCAGACGCAAAAACTGGCCATCGTAGACAAAGCCGCCCGGCCACTCGATGCCTCGGCGCCCGTCCGCAGTGTCGACAAAAACAGGCTCGTATCCGCGGATTGGCAACTCGCCGACTGCGAAAAGGTGGGTGCTGAGCAATCCACCCAGGCCTCTAATGACCGTCTCAAACAACTGCACTTTGCTATCCAGGTCGAACCCTCGCGCCCGCTTCCCTTGTCCGGCCGGCCCATCGGAGCCGTCACCGTAGTATTCAACGAAAAGCTTCACGCCGTTTTGGAAGTCTTCTAGCGGCTCCCGGCCTCCGTGTGCATCATGCGGCGAAGATGCCAAGATGGCGAGCGTGGACAGGCTGTCGATCAGAGTCAAGGAATAGTTGCCGAGCACGTCGTTGACCTCGATATGGGCGGGGTTGGCACGGTCTCGAGTCAGAGGAGAGCACGTCAACGGCCGCAGCTCGTCTTCCGGGAAGGCATTTTGCATGTAATTGTCGTAGCCGTGATAGAAGATGTCTGCGGTTTCCCGTCTACAAACTCGGGTAAGCGGGGTGCTCATGGCGGCGCCAGGGAGGGCAAGCTACTTCAGGTTGGCGATGGCCTCATTGGTCATGCAGTGCGCGAGGAGCGCGGTTCCCAGCAGCCACAGCAGAAGGCATCGTGTGAGAGGTGCGGAGCGGCTGAATGGCGTAGGAGCAGCCCCGATCAGCGCCAGCCAAGTCGACAGCATTCCCTCTGGACGGCTCCCAAGGACGGCATGGGAGGAGCAGAGCGGTTGGAGAGACGACGAGAATCTCCAAGCTCGGGCTGAGGCGCAGAGGGGCAAGGTGGGGAGGATTTATAGGACAGCTGGAGCTTAGGTGCATGAGGGAGCTCGCAAGACCCATGCGCCTGCCGGCGAGTCAGCGGCGCCAAGCCCGGTGCGCGGAAATTCTGGCGGCGGCTGCATCATCATCGTTGCCGGCACGGCGCATCCACACCACTCCAGCCTCGTCAATTCGTTGCAGCTTCGTCCGGGCGCGCCTCTTCTGACACCCGTCCAGCTCCAAGGCAATGCTCTCGCGCGCAGCCTTCCGTCTTATTGCGGCTCGCCCGCTGCTTGTGCCGCTTCCCCGAGCGCCCGCCGCCGCCTACGTGCGCACCTACGCGAAAGACTCCAGGAATCGCGCCACCAAGAAGCCGATTTCTCGCCAGTCCGAGCCGAACGCCGTTCCAAAGCGACAACGCGCCGCTGAGTCCTCGCAACAGACGGGAGAGTTCAACCCCGCTGCGTCGCCCGACAAGAACACCACCCCGCAATCACCGCCGGCACCGGGCAAGCCCAGCTCTGCGGCTGAGCACCAGTCCTCCGAGTCTGCCGGCTTCTCCACTTCTCAGCCCGAATTCGAAAGCCCTCAGTCGACCGAGGCCAACACCACTCCCGCCGATGCTCCCGCCGATGCTCCCGCCGATGCTTCCGTCGATGCTCCCGCCGATGCTCACCAGGCGCAAAAGCCTTTGCCCGACTTGAGGCATGGCATTCCCTCCACCTTTGCCGAGGAGTTCCTCAAATCCACCCCGTCGTCCAAGGAGGATGCTCCCGAGCCGAAGCCTAATGTCACTGAAGACCCTAAATACGAACAACCCGAGCCTGAAACATCTGGTGGCGACTATGGTGACCGTGAGGGCGGTGAGCTTCCGAAGTCCGCATACGAGACGTCTACGGATAGGAAAAGGAACATGTACGCAAACATAACTATGGTTATGGGTGGTGTCTTGTTGGTGACTGGTGGTTTGTTCCTGGGCCGTGAGTGGGAGTCCGAGGAGGAAGCAAAGCAGCACCCGGATGTCCCTTCCGGCTGGTCACCGTCGGCCGTGTACGCGCGCGCGAGTGCCAGACTCTCCGGATCTCTGGGTTACTACACCGAGCCTGTATTCCCCAAGCTGCTTCCTGTGGTCGACCCTGCGCCGCCGTTCACACTGGTGTTGAGTTTGGAGGATCTGCTTGTACACAGTGAGTGGACTCGCGAGCATGGATGGCGGTTCGCGAAGAGGCCTGGTGTTGATTTCTTCCTGCGCTACCTCTGCCAATACTACGAGCTTGTTATTTTCACCAGCTTGCCCATGGCCAATGGCGACCCCGTCATTAGGAAATTGGACCCCTTCCATGTCGTCATGTGGCCTCTTTTCAGAGAAGCCACACGATATGAGAAGGGCCAGTACGTCAAGGCAAGTTTATTGCACCTGCCACCCTTCATACATCTTGTTTCTAATGTGTTTTCCAGGACCTTTCCTACCTGAACCGCGACCTGAGTAAGACCATCATTATCGACACCAAGGCAGAGCACGTTAAGAACCAACCCGAGAACGCAATCATCCTCCCTCCATGGAAGGGTGAGAAGAACGACAAGGGCCTTGTCTCGCTTGTCCCCTTCCTTGAGTACGTTGCGACGATGGGTATCACTGATGTGCGGACAGCCCTCAAGTCTTTCGAGGGCAAGGACGTTGCAGCCGAGTTTGCGATCCGTGAACAGAAGGCCCGTGAAGCTTTCCACAAGCAGCTGGAGGAGGAAAACTCGCGTAAGCCCAAGCGTAGCGGCATGAGCGCATTGGCGGGTGCGCTGGGCATGAAACCAGCGGCTCCCCAGGGTGGCCTCATCGTTGGAAAGGAGAGCGCAGCTGAAGGATTTGCGAAGGGCAAGATGCTCTCGGACCAAATCCGCGAGCAAGGCATGAAGCAATACGAGGTTATGGAGAAGGAGATCCGCGAGAACGGCGAGAAGTGGCTCAAGGAGATGGCGGAGGAAGAGAAGAAGGCGCAAGAAGAACAAATGAAGAGCATGAAGAGCGGCCTTTTCGGGTTCTTAGGGAACAAGCCCGAATGAAAGAACAGTAAGTACGAGGCTCGAGCACAGTAACACAAAAACGGGCGTAATCCCTGGATCCAGGCTTAGGAAAAGAAGACAGAGGTGGGGTACTCGGAATTTCCACTCTTGTTTATTGCGTGATGCGGTGGTGTTCGAGTTTGGGTCCGCCGCAGGATGTGCCTCGAGATGTGCATGTTGCAAGTTTGGAGGGATGGGTAACGCGACGCTGACTGCTGCAGCAGAACTTCTTGTTAAGCATGTATTATATATTTCAGAGGCTCAATTTTGAGCGAAACTTGAACAGTAGTTTTACGATGCTTCTGCTTACATTGCTTTTCGCGATGACGTATGGTTGAGCATTGGGAGCGAAATGTAAATGCTGACTGGCGAGGTTACAGAAGTCATGATCCTCAAGGATCGGACGACCGCGGGTGTCGCTACCTGTCCTCAGGCATCGTCAGTCTGCGTTCTCTGTCACGAAACACACCGGCCAATGACTGTCACAAGGCCCGGACGACGATCTGTTCTTGGCGCCTGGGGTGATGGGCATTTACATTCCTGCCTAAGCGCTGGTTGGAGCTGTGTCTTAACATCGGGTTCTTGACGGGGACTGAGCATCGGATGAAACGGTTCGCTCAGTTCCGGACTCGTCCGGTCTGCTGACGCTCGAATAGGCATAGGCTGGCCTAGCCGAGCTGGGACGATGACTCATCCAGACGAAGGTGGCCGCTTCCTGACAGCTCGCTACCGGCACTCGAGAGGTCTGAGACCAAGCTGGCTTCTTGCGATTGCCACCGGACGATAACCCAGTGGATGCAACCCATTGAAACTACGCGGCTACCTCGAGAATTGAACGGGGTATCTACTGCAGAGTTTTCGGGGCTCTGAGCGCCCGGACTGAGGTGTGCATCGCTGCGAAGAGCAGGCGCTGCTTTTGACGCTGCCAGTGGTCCCGTCCGTGCGCCTGCCGATGGCGGTCTTGTCTTTACCTGCTCTACCTAAACCGCGCTAGCGGTGTTAGCTGACTTCCCCTCAAATCTTCCCACGAAAGATACACTCCTTCTCCGCCGTGTATCGTAACGGGTAAGGATTACAGCCATGGGACGAGTAAGAGCCGCCCTACATCTCCCTCTGCACCCCATATTGCAACGTCGCTGACCTCCTAGCATGCAAATCCCGATATCCGTCGTGCGTTCCAGGAATACACTGACGAGTCCACGCCGTCAAAAGTTCGTTCCTCCTTCTACCCGTCTTGCGACGACGCTCGACCCATGAGGTCGCGACGCCAGAGCAATGTAGCCGCAAAAGCACCTCCAGCGGGCCATTTCGACGCGGCCCCGCGTCCATGGCACGCATGCGTCATGGCGTTCACTGAACCCGCTGTTACTGCGACGCGGGACCCTGTCTCCCGTCGCGACCGCCGCGTTTTTTTTCCTGCCATCATCCAATACTGACTAAGTGACCACAGTGCGCGAAAGTACGATGCCTGCACTGCGGCTTCACGCGTGCGAAGAACACGACGCGCCAGATTGAGCACCTTCAGTCCTGTCAAGCCTTTCTCAATTCACCCGACGCTACAATGCACATCCAGCAGACGACGACCGCTACTATCGACCCGAACATGACACAGCCGGACGGCACCCCCAATCGCGGGATTCTGAACGGCACTCACCCCAATCCCAATCTCCAGGTCCACCGCCGTGGGCCAAACACGAACAAACGCGCGCGTGAAGGCCAGCCCATAGCTCCACACCCGGGCCCGCCGCCGCAGCAAAGCCCATCCCTCGTAGCACATCTTCTCAACCGCTTCCAAGGGCCCTTTACCTCGGCGACGCAGCAGCCTTTCCTGTCGCACGCGGGCTGCGGCACCCTCTCGGCGCCCGCCCTCACACAGTGGTTGGTGCAGGATGCACACTATGCGCGTGGCTACATCAGATTCATTGGCAATATGCTGGCGAAGCTCCGACTGCCTGTGGTGCCGAACAGTCAGTTCCACCAAACCTATCGTGTAATGGACCTCTTGATCAGTGCTCTCAACAACATTCGCCGCGAAATGACCTTTTTTGAAATCACCGCGACCAAGTTCGGCCTCCAGATGACTGACGAGCCGCCCAATCGCATCACTCGCGCATACCTTGACTTGTTCCTGAGCAGCACCAGCAGCGGAGCAAGCCTGCTCGAAGGTATGGTGGTGCTATGGGCTACGGAGCATGTACGTCGCCTTCATCTGTAAGCTCGTCGCAAAACAGGTACTCACAGTTCGTATTTAGTGCTACCGCAGCGCATGGAGCTATGCGGCATCCTTCACACCCACGCTCTCTACCCCCTCGAACGAGCCGCACATTGTCGCGCTCCACCAGCAGCTAATCCCCAACTGGACGTCTGCCCCGTTCTCCAAGTTCGTAGATGCCTGCCGCAGCCTGGTTGATGAGCTGGCCAACACAACCACCTCGCCGAATGGCAAAGAAGAGATGATGCGCTGTGAGCAACTGTTTGAGCACGTCTGCTGGCTCGAGGAGCGCTTTTGGCCGGACGTGGATGGTATGGGTGAGGAGGACGAGACGGCGCGCCTTGCAACTCACGGCGCCCACCACTCAGCCTCCGCAGCGGCGCATACGCACCCCACCCATAGCATGACCGGCGCTGGCATGGCAGGAAGCACGACTCCTAGCATGGGCATGAGTGGTGGGATGAACGCTGGTATGGGCGGCGGAATGGGAGGCATGGAGACGCCTTCCAGGGACTCTGGTGGTTCGTTCTCTGGAGCTCTGAACGGGATCGCTGAAGCGGCAAACGGAACCCCTGGATCCTGAGTCGACGATGAGAAGTCCGGGGAACAATTTCATGGGTGGCGATGGCAAGACAAAAAAGGCAGGGCAACGGAGATATGGCTGATGTAATACGGTGTTATGGCGCATTATCTTTTCCAAGGTCGGGCATGACTCATGGGCGGTTTCCTCTCTTTACTGGCATTTCCCCTTCATGAATGCTGCTTTTCCATTCCTTCAGATGTTTCAGCGGAGTATGACTGACACTTTCGGCACGTCCGATTATTATCAGTATGGCATTATGCAGCATGTACCGTGTATTTGACCGGCGTTGATATACTTAGCCACTTCTCCGTTTAGTAGCAACACTGGTTGAACGTGCACTCGGTATGCTTTTGCTCAACTCCACTGTTCGACAAGTTTTTGACTTGTTGCCCGAAGGCGCCCCTACGAAATTCAAGCTTGTGGCTCGACATGACAACAGGTCGCAATAGAACTAAACTGCTTCATCTACCTCACGAAGAAACGGCATCCTACCCACATTGGCAGTTGGGATATTGTACTCGGTAATCTGAGCGTGTTTGTGCGGTTTCCAAACGCGCGTTTGCGCCGGGCATTCGCTTCATCAGCTACTGCGACATCGGGAGTTTCGACATGGTTCGAGACGGAAAGGGCTTGTGTACAGGGTTGCATCGGCCGATGATAGTTGGGCGTTTTACTTTTCCCACAATTTCCAAACACGAGCACGAGTTTCTTGGTGCCAGTGGCCCATTCCCCACGACACGACAGAATATAGTTTCACTTCGAGAACAATAGCCGAGCGTCTTGGAAGAACAAAACCATCACGTCCTGATTCAGGGTTGGAGGCGGGCTGCAGGGAAGGGCGGTCGAGCGAGGCCTGCAGAAAGTCACACCGCCTGTCAATAAGGCTACCTAGGTGTCTGCCCTACACTACTATTGCAGACAGGCTATTCATGGAAAACGCGGCCGTGCAGGGCGGGAGCCGGTGTCTTGGGCGCGCTGAGGAAGGAAAGACGCGCCGCCGATATCATAATCGACGGTGCGATCAACGGGTTCTCGCTGGCCACCGGCATTCCCTTAGCCGCACCACAGCCTTACCAGGAGCCGTTGCCGGGTCCGCGCGCGCGCGCACGCGCACGAAGGGAATCAGCGGCAAAAAGAAACGCAAAAAAGAGAGAGAAGCCATGAACATGGCGGTGATGAGTCTCCAGTCGATGGACTTGATTCTCTGCAGAGCATCGAGCGAGTGTTGTAGTATATTGTACCCGCAGCGGGGGCGCAGCGGACGGCTAGCGGCACGCCTCCGCTCAAGGAAGGCTGTTCGTTCCCGCCGGGCCGCGTTTGCGCGCGTAGTGAATAGGGGCTGGTTCGTCCCAAAGTCTCGCTGTTTGCCGAATGCGAGCGAGGAGAGCTCGGCAACGCCGTCAGCGCCCACGGCTGGCGCAAATCTCCGTCTTAGCGGCGATGCTATTACAATACAGCAGAGCGTCATATATCGTATATGCGGCGGTGCTGCAGGAGAGCATTGGCTGCGGGCCGGCAGAATGGGAAAGCATGGTCCGTTTGCATGCAATGCGCACCGCTTGGAGGGCTGCGAGTCATCTGGTTTCTGCCCTGCGAATAAAGTTGATCAGCGGCCACGGAGCCAGCCCTGCGGCGGCTTTGCTGCAGGAACCGGCCGCCGCGTCGGCGTTTCTGCTTCTCCGCTAGCCCAGGTACTCCGCACCACACAAGACGGCTGTTTGCTACCACAAGCGACATGACGAGCGACATGAGCTCGCGTGCGAACGAATCAAGCGCACACACGCACCGCGGCGACGGCCGAGGCTCTCTCGCAACGAGAGGTGATGAGCACGATAGCACATGGCTGCGCGTCCGGCGGCACTGAGGCACGGAACCGCAGCGGCGTTGCTGGAGGTCGGGGCCCGGGCCTTGGGCGTATCGCACGAGATGAAGGCCCGTTTGATCTCCGGTTCCGCTGTGGTTACATATGCCGGGCGTGAGGGGCGGTGGTGCGGGCGTGCGGGCGTGCGCCGGTGAGGAAACAAGACGGAGGGCTGATGCTCTGGAGGCGCAGCATCGAGTTATGCATGCGGTGGGCTGGCAGCGAGGACAGGCGCCGGGTTGTTTGGGCTGGGTGGTGCTGGGCGATGCTGGGTGGTGCCAAGCGGCGCCAAGTGATGGCTGGACCGCCCCACGCTGGAGAAACGGCCCTATGCAGAGCTTGGTGCCGGCTGATGTCACCCCTGCTGCCACCACTCCTGTTCCTGCATACGAGCTGCCTGAGACGCGCTCCAATCTCGAGCCTCCGCTCCATGGCCCGGTCCAGAGTCCGAGTCGCCTCTGCTGCGCGGCGACTCGTCCACGTCGACGAGCGAGTAAGCGCTGCCCGCCGCTGAGCGCCAGCAGCCCCGCCGTCAATCTCCGCCGTGCGGCCGCACGCCACGGCTAAGATTGGGATGCCGGCCCCGGCTCTATCCGGATCGTCTCATTTCCCTGCCTGCCTGCTCGCAACACCCGCGCGCACGCAGCGCCATTGGGCGGCCGAGTCACGTCCCCGCCTACACTCTGAAGGAGCAGCGCCGCATGTGGCGCCCTGCCAGGTACGCACCAATCATACCGACACGGCAGCTTCGTATTTCCACCGTCCAGCTAGCCGCAAGCGCACTTCTATTTTCTGCCTGCTCGTCCGTTGTCGTGAATCCTCCGCCGGCAAGCAGCCTCTTAAAAGTCCACCCGGCCCCGCATGCTCTTGACTGCTCCAGCCGCTCTTTTGCACAACAGCTCAACACCAACGCACAGCCTCCACTCGCTGTAGCCTCACTCTCTTTTCAACCCACCACCATCCACAGTCTTTTCCAAACACCCACCAAACACCCTCGCCTCCAGTCAAAATGGTTGCCTCCGCCGACTTCTCCCTCTTCGCCCTCTTCACGGCCGGCCTCGCTGCCCTTGTCCGCGCTGACGATGGCCCCACCGCCAACGCTGTCCGCCTGCCCGGTCTCGGTGATGTATGTTTCTCCCCGGTGTTGGCCGATCCGGCGCGAAGGAGCGACGGTTGAGATCGAGCCCCCTGCTGACCACCGCGCTCAGATCGTTCCCGCTGGCGAGCGCTACGACATCAAGTGGGATGCCGCCACGCCCTACGCCGGTGGCACCGTCACCCTCATCCTGCTGAAGGGCCCCTCCACCAACGCCGTTCCCATCCAGACCATTGTCGCTGGCACTGAGAACGACGGCTCCTACGAGTGGTACCCCTCGGCCGACCTCGAGGACTCCAACGGCGACACCGGCTACGGCATCAAGCTCGTCATCGACGCCAACGGTGCCTACCAGTACACCACCCAGTTCGGTATCTCCAACACCAAGGCCGCCTCCTCGTCGGCCGCCGTCTCGTCGGCTGCTGCCTCTTCCGCCGCCTCGGTCAAGGTCGAGTCTGCTGCTGCCTCTACCGCCGCTGCCTCCAGCGCCGCTGCCTCCAGCGCCGCTGCCTCGGTCGTCACCCCCACTGCCTCTGGCAACGCTTCTTACGTCACTGAGTAAGGATCCCCGAGATGACCATCGCATCCAGCCCCGGTCTAACACTATGACAATAGGATCGTCACTGCCTACACCACCTTCTGCCCGTACGCCACCGAGCTCACCCACAACGGCAAGACCTACACCGTGACCGAGCCCACCACCCTGACCATCACCGACTGCCCCGGCGGCTGCACCGTCACCAAGCCCGTCTACACCTCGGCCGTGACTGTCTGCAAGACCTGCTCCGCTTCCTCGGTCACCGCTGCCGTCCCCACCACCTCGTCGGTCCAGGGCGTCGTTGGCAACCCCAACCCCCCCTACGGCACCATGTCCAACACCACCGTCTCCTACAGCAAGCCCGCCCTCGGCTCCTCCACCACCAAGGGCGTTTCCACCCCCGCCTCCACCCCCAGCAACCCTCTCTACACCGGCGCTGCCGGTGTCCTCAAGGCCAGCGGTGTCTTCGGCGCCGCCGCCGCCATGGGCGCTGCTTTCTTCGCTCTCTAAGCGCATTCGGATGCACTCGCGAATCGGGTTGTGGGCGTTCTTTGCTGTTTCAAAACCAAGATAGTTGGTAATGTCTAAGAGCGGCTTTCTGGCGGTGTTGTAGCAGTTGGCAAAGGGAAAATCAATGAGCTTGAGCGAAGAGATCCCTCTATTCTTTTATTTCGTCTCTTGTATGACTGAGATGGGGGGTCTTCCTCAAATGGGATCCTCTTTTGAACTATACCAGATTTTCTTTTCTCTTCTTCCTTGTTGATACCTCCAAACTTTTCATTTCATAGATCTTAACGTAAAGCGTCATGAAGTTCCTTTGCTACCAGATTTCTCCTGGCCTTCACCGGCTGCGTTGCTCGTGAACCGTTGCCAAATCTACCGATGTTCGACATACATTATTCTCCAGCTGACCATCGTCACCCACCGCGCCTGCAAGTGGTCGTTGTAACAATGTAACCTCCCTCGCTCCCTCGCTCCCTCCCCCCTTTGAACGCGCACTAGACCAATCCAAGCCCCGCCACCAACCAACCAACCAACCAAAATCCATCCACCAGTCCATCCTTCGAAACTTTAAACTTCGCCCAACGCCTTTCCATCAACCATTTAGCCCCACGGCACTTGTTATCATATTGAAAACGTCCGGTACTAAATATCCACCCACGCTACGTAGCTAGCCAGCTAGCTAACGGGACGTTCCCACTAGGGGTACCTGATTATCAGAAAAGCGCCACAACGCCGGCGCCGCCACGGGACTTCCCTTTTAGTGGCGGCGGCGCTGAGCTTCGACCACGTGGAAACCAAGTGGTGGCGCAGTGGTGATTGCCCCCCTTTTTGTCTGTCGCCCTGCCTAAAGAAGAAGTGAGAGAGGAGGAAAGAGGGGGAAGGTAGGGGTGTGGCGTATGTACGTGTTGTTGACAGCAGGTTACTAGCGTACGTCGGGAATGGGGAGGAGGGGGTTTGATCGATCCCTGTCTTTGAGTGTCCGTCCTTATGTTCACTGCTGAAGGAGCTGTTGCAACTGTTGTTACCTCAGTGCTGGGAAGGAAAAAAAGATAAATCAGCGGGCGCATCCGGTCAGCAACGACGACCGGTAATCATTCGAGCTTGATTTCTTTTTTTGTTTTCGAAACAAAGGATCGATCCTTGGCTGTTGTTTTTTTTCACTACTCCTTCCCTTTCCTTCGCGCAGCTCGGGAAAAAGCCGGAACGTTCCTTTGCAGCCCTTCCGCCTCTCGCGCGCCTCGTCACGAGGGCGACGGAATGATAAAGGGGAGAGAGTGCAATGAGGAGGGAGAAAAGCCCGCGTGGCGTGATACGATAGTATAGACCTCAGTGACAATGGTCCAGTGCTCTCGGTATCCGCCGTAGTTGCTTTCGCTTTCGGTTGCACATACGTCCGAGTGTAGTGTGACAGAATCGAGTACCTAGCGCGTCACTTGCTGCTTACTCCGCCTTCCTGCCTCTCTTCCCCCCTTTTTCTCTTATCGCTCGCTGACAAATCTACCCGGGTGAGGCAATGGTGAGAACAGTGAAAAAAGTATGTGAATTGGCGATTTATGAACGATCCACCTTGGAGGAGAGAAAGAAGGGCAAGGGACATGTTCAACCGACTATAGATGCTACATTTTAACGAATGACGTTGGTCATAGATTAGACAAACCATTTTCTATTCAATCTATCACTTGCATACAATGTATGATGATTGGATTATGAAACAGCAAGGAGCGTGCGGCCGGGAAGGAGAGCACAGTCCAATCAACGAAGCATCACCCGGGCGGAGAGGCACGGGCTCGGAACGAGGGCACGCACGTGGAAGAAGACCGGAACATCCCTCTCGGCTTCTATTTGTCAGCTTGTCGGCATCTGAATTTGTATGTGCGCGGACGTGCACAACTTGATGTACCAACACGTCGCTACCGAAAGAGATAATCCGCGGAGGGCGTGCGTATTTCTCCGCGCCGCCGGAGGGGAAAAGAGAAGGATGACCGCTCCGCCGGAGAGCACCGGGATCATGTCGCTTACGAATGAGAGTTGGGATGCCACCAAAAGATGAGGAAAGGCACGACAGAGTAGGCACCATTTGTGCAGAACCAAACGTCCAAGTTGCATGATATCATTGTTGAATTTTCCATATCCTCTGTTTTACTCCTGCTTGAAAAGAGAAGAGAAGAGTCCTCATATATGATGCGCCGAGTAAACAACCGTTTTCCATTGTTCGTGAGAAGTGGGGTGGTTTTCATAAAATGCAGAGGAACGATGCTGGCATAGACGCGTATAAAAAGTAGGACGCCAGAGCAGAAGAGGCGTACTCACGGAAAACGTATCCACGAGCCGGGAGCGACAGACCCATGCGCCACAGAGTAGGTTAGTCGAAAGGATGCACAGAGAAAGTGGGTATAGACAGTGATGCGACACATCCCTCAACCAAAAAGAAAATACCAGACGTAGAAGTAGCGGTAAGGCGACTGCAAAAAAAGGCAAAGGTGATCTCAGGGGAGATAGCTGTACGTGTGTCCGAAAATCCCGAACATTGGGCATCAGCAGCCACGGCACATCCAAAGAAAAAAAAGTTGCAAACTTTAGAAGCCATTGCAGAAGGCTCAATACCACGTTTCAAATCCTCGTACAGGAACAAATACCTGCTCCGTGTCGCGGCGATCTCCCTGAAGCCCTTGGGCTGGATCAACGTCCATGCCGTACTGGGCGACCAAATCGTCCCAATTGGCCCAGTTCATGCCATCCGGATCTCCTACGCCGGGAGACACGGTACTGGCGCTGTTATTTCGGACCGGCGAAGCTCCATTGAGTGCGTTCGATGTGTTGATGCCTCCGAATTTGTGGACTCCATTGGGTGTGTTGCCAGTCCCGGTGCCGGAGTTGGATATGGAATTTGACGAAGTATTACCGCTGTTGCCGTTGCTGAGGTCTGGGATGCCATCGGCCCCATCAATAGGTTCGGGCGAGGATTTCAAGAGCCAATCAAGGGAGGTCATGGAGTCGTGTACTTGAGATGGGGAGTTGTGAGGTTGTGGTGGGCTTCGGGTCTCAGCGAGGAGTTGACTGGTTGGTGAGACGAGATCTCCACCTGCAATCTGCGTTTGCAGCGATCGCGGTCCGCTTGGTGTCATGAAGACCTGAGGAGATGCCATAGCTGTAGTGAAGTCCATGCCGAGCGGCTGGGATGTGCCTGTGGAGAAATCGAAACTGCTGTCGAAGAGTGATCCGCTGATGTCCTGGAACTGCCGCTGGTGCTGGTGCTGGTGCTGCTGTTGGAGCTGTTGAGCAGCGGTTATTTGTGGCAACATGTCCAGGCCGAGCGTCTGCCCCGACACATCCGGAAAATTTTGTTGGGCTATTGCCTCGGCCTGCATAGTCTGCTGCTGCTGCTGCTTGGCAAGCTCAGTCTCTCGGGCAGAGCGAGCCCGTGCGACGAGTTTGCGGAGAGGGCGCCACAGGCAGCCCTTTCTCTGATCGTTGCTGAGATCGTTCCATCGCCGCGCTGCCGTGGCTTCCACAGCTCGCCAAGCCCGCGCAACGAGTTCTCCTTCTGTCCGATGGCAGAGTTCGGATAGCAGGAAGGCAATGGCATGCCATTGGACGTAGGTCCTAAAGAGCCATCCCCATTTCTGGGTACGCTCCTCTGTCTCCAAAAGGATGCTGTACTCAACGTTCTCGAGCGATGTGACAAAGAGCTTGTCTTTGGTCTCCTGTGGCAGGGATGCGCCGCCATCAAGGCGCTGGTACGGGTGATATATCATGAGCCACATTTTGGACATGATGAGACGAGAAACTGTGGCGATGACCCAGTAGAGCGGGACCGACATGTCACAATCTCGCAGATACTTTTCTTCGATCTTGGAGTGAACCTCGGTAATCCAGCGCTCCTTCTGCTCCAGCGACACTGACGAAAGGAAGCGGTTGCATCTTACGGGACCCGGTGGAACGTATTGGATGCGTCTGTAGACGTTGGCAACCTCGTATCGGACCAGGCAGAAAGTCATCTCGGTACATCCGGTGCGTTCCTTGGGGAATTCGGTCATGGAGGGGTACAGGTCAACGTCATTCACGTTCAACGGGATTTGGGTGTCGAATGAAGCTTCGACGATGGTGGGATCGCAGCCGTGATCTTCACTGGCTCGGGCGTCGAGGATGCAGACCTGCCACCAAAGACGGCGGCGGAGCTCGATTTCGAAGGGGGAAAGGCCGAAGTGGGAGCCGTCGCGGTGGATTCCAAGGGTCTGGGCCATGCGCACAACCAGTCCTGTTAATGTCCATATCATCCGGGCGGGCTCGTTGCGGCGTAGACAGATCAAGAAGATAACGAATGCCTGCAGAACCATGAACTCATCTGTCTGGAGGAAATTGGCGCGTGCAAGCCCTTGCTCTACGCCGAATCGGAACCTCGCAAGCAGATTGAACTTGGTGTCGTTGAAGAGATCTTCACAGTCGGCCTCGGAGGTGCTGGTGACTACGGCGTAATAGATGGCGAAGAGCAGGGCCTCCATGCTACGCGGGATGTGGTCCCTGTTCTCGATGGCAGATTTGATCTTGGGCTCGATGGTGGGAATGTGCAGAACCTTGACCAGCGGATCCACGTTTTCCCTGAACAGAGCCCAGAGCCGATGGGCATGTTCTTCGGAGGGGTGTAAAGCCAGCATATCGACGCTGGTCGAGCTGTAGCCGAAGAGAAAGCCCTGATGAGCGTTGGACGTGAAGGACTCAGGCGAGGCGTGGTCTTCTTCATCGTCGCTGTCGTGGGTGAGAAGCTCTTTGATGTCTTCGACCTGTTGGAGCGAGGAAAGTGAGTAAGCAAGCGCGCCTAGTTCTTGTGCGACAAAGCCATTTACCTCGTTGTTCAAGCTGGCCCAGAAACTGCTGTTGATGTACCGGCTCTTGCCTTCGTCGACGACCAGCCTACCAAACCTCGTCTCAAGCCCGGCGATTGTCTTGTCTTCGGGCGGGAGGTATCTGTACTTGGCGCACTCCTCGCTGTCCGGGTTGTGGGGCGGCTTCACGCCGACAAAGACTTGCGGTTGGCGCCTCACTTCCTTGGGCGGCTTTGGGGCCTTCTCTTCCTCGGCGGGCAGCGCACTGCCGTCTTCGACTCCGCCAAGCGTCTTGACCATGCCCTCCAGCTTGCGAAGGCGGTCGAGGAGCTCGGCGTCGGGCGGCTTGCGGGCCTTGCGCGGGGCGCGGCCCGGGGCAGGGAAGATGCATTCGATGCGGGCTTTGGAGCAGTTGGTGCACGGGTGCTTCTTGTCGCACTTGACTTTCCGGCGGCGGCACGTAACGCAAGAGCGAGGATTCAGAGCTGAGGTGCCGCTGGCGCTGCTGATGCTATGGCTGTGGCTCGGCGGGGAAGGCTTGGATATGCGATCGGCGGAGCCATTGCTGTGGGCATGGAGCAGCTGGTCCATGGTGCTGGAATCGACCGACATGGTGTTCACATGGAGCCCGGCGCGGTCGGGGCGGCAGCGGAGTTAAGAAGCGAGGCGGGACGAGGAAGTGGGCAAGCTGCACGAGCAGCGCGAGAAGAAGACGAGATGGCGGGAATGCGGGAATGCGAGAATCCAAACCCCTCCTCTCCACAGATAACCGCCACTCAAGCTCACGGCTAGTCGGCGCTAGGAGACGGCGCACACGGGCAAAGGCGGTGTCTGGGACGGTTGGGCTGAGGGCTGTAGCATCTGATAAAGGGCGGCGCAGAGTCAGCCCGCCGTGGCGCTTTTGTAAGCAGCGCGAGAAGAGTCACCGCCAGCAGCTTGCCCTGAACGCGCTGGGCTGACGCACGATGCGCGCGGGACCCAATGAATATGCCCGCCGCAGATGAACCCGCCGCCCGCACCCTTGCCCGCCGCCCTGTGAGCGCGGCCCGTCTGGCGGACACGGCCGGTCGGCCAGCGTTGCTCCGTTGCGGAGGTGCTTCTGGCTTCCGGAATCTGGACGCAGGCGACAGCTGCCTGGAGTGCCTGGCTCCCGCGAGGCGGAGCCTCACATGCCACAGCAGGCCGACGGCGACAGCAGGCCGACAGCAGGCCGACAGCAGGCCGACAGCAGCCCAGTCCCGTCGCCCAGTCCCCGCCCCTGCCCCTCCCTTGTCTTCTGGGCAATGCTTGCGAGCGCTGGCCCGGCGTTAGGACGGACGAACAGCACGACGATCACGCGGATTGTGCCGCAGCTTCTTTCTTTAGTACAGGTGGAAGACTGTCGAAAATCAAATTTGCTAGCATGCTGTTCCTGCGGACCCGTCCTGCTTGCTGTGAGAGGTCCGCCTGCGCTGCGCAGCCCGCATCCGGCAATCTACTGCGAGTCATGCAACCTCCGACTCGCCGACCATCCCTCCGTCTGCCCCGTCTCGCCCGTCTTGCCCGTCTCGCCCGACTCGCCCGAGCAAGCCTGCCTGCGCCTGCCTACACCATCGCCCGCGGGTGCGTTGGCTGCTCGTTGTACAGGTCCCGGCTGGTCCGCCCGTGATAGCCCATGTCGCCCAGCGCGATGTCACTGCGCGACGCCTGCGACTGCGCATAGCTTGCCCCTACCCCTGCACCTGCACGAGGTGGGGCCTGCGCGCTGTAAGGCGGGGGCGCCGAGCTTGGAGCAGGCTCGAAGTACGCCGCCGCTGTTTTCCTGCGGTCCTTCCTTCGTTTGTACCAGACCCCGATCATCAGCGTCACGAACACGGCCACCACGAACAGTAGGTACACAATATTGCTCCGCTCTTGGTCCGCGAATCGAAACCCGAGGAATCCGTTCGCCAGGCCGGCGCCCAGGACGAAGGGTCCAAGGTAGCGGTGCATCTTTCCCATCGTCGTCGGCGACCGAGAGCGCTGGAACATGCGGTGGTGGAACCATCCAAGGCCGAGCTGGACGGCCAACAGACCAAACACTATCAGGCCAATGATCTGATGGGCAGAGTCGAACTTCTTGGACTGCAGGCATGTCAGTTTCCTGCAAACACTTGAGTTTGGCCTCCACTTACCTTGTTGTAAAATCCACTAATCCATATTCCAAGGCCTGAACCAGCGCAAATGACTACAAAGCCTCCCGCCTGGGTGCCGGCATGCAACTGGACCCGCTCGAAGCCACGTAGCAGGACGACGCCAAGGGGGAAGATGAACAGGAAGGTACCGCACATGACGACTGCGTGCGTGCCGGATCCACGCCCGCCATCGTCCCCGTGGAGTCGACCTCCCATGGTTGCGCCCTTCATATCCATTCCAAACGCCGTGCCGGCCACCGTTGTATTGGCTTCGGTAGCTGCAGTCATGTCCATTGTGAAGCCGCCGTAGTATAAATGACGGCGGATGCCCGCACTCCTCGAGTTGGAGTGCAGGTCATGGCTCATGGGCCCGATGGCGTAGATGAAGGGCTGAGATTTATCGCTCAGGTCCAAAGAGGCCTCGGGTGCAGCCGATTTAACGTCCCTGCAGTGGGCATTGACTGAGTAACGATCACCGTCGGAGGTGCTGTCCTGGAGAATGCCAACGGACGGGGTGTCGTCTCCCTCGTACACGAAGCAGTCGATGGAGGAGCGGTAACTGGGCTCGTTTTCGCCCGTGGCAACACGAGGGGAAAAGGTGACATCTAAGGCAATCAGCAGTGGTCGGCGAAGTCGTGTGCACGGTGGAGTGCCCTACTGTTGCCGTCGGAGCTGTGGTACAGGAGAAAGATCAGAGCGTCCTTCATCTGGGCGCCGACGCCGACAGCAACCCATTGCCACTGGTCGGGGCCGCTGAGGTGCATGTAAAGATCGACGGCGCCATTGTTGTTGGTGGCCGTGAGCGAGAAGGTCAGGTTGCCGTCAGAGGAGCCGTCAGAGGAGCCGACGTGGTTGACAAAAGTCGCGTACTTGGGCTGCGAGGGCTGTCGTGAGTCGCGGACAGAGGCGGTGGCTAGAGCTGTCGAAACGGGCCGTCAGTGCGCGGGCCGGGATCCACTCAAAACCGACTCACCCGCATTCGAGACCAGCACGGCCAGAGCGATCGTCAGCCATCGCGGAGCCATGATTGCGCTTGCTCGCCAGAGGGTGCGGTGATGCAGCGGTGCAGTCGCGCTGCGCAGTGCGGGGAGAGCGAGCCTCACGGCAGCCTAGCAGCACCGTCATCCGCAACAACACGAACCCGGCCACGTACTCTATTCTTGCAACGAGCCAAGGGAGCCGCCTTGCAGCTGAGCTGAGCTGGGGCTCGGCTGAGCTGCTGTGCTGCTGTGCTGGGCCCTGCGCCTCGGTCCGCCGCCCATGCCTCGCGCCGCAGCCAATCATGGCGCGCGCAACACATACCGCCGCGTCGTTTAGACTCGCCCGCGAGCTTCTTTCTTGCATCGTCGCCAGGCGCGAGACAGCTTCACGCCGCTTCCGGGGCACGCCTCGGGCGCGCCTGCCCCTCGCCGGGAGCGCCCGAGTGCCTACACTGCAGCCAAGGAGCCGGCCCGCGCCATGTGAAAGCCGCTCACCGCTCTCCTACTCAACCACCCAGATTGGACCTCTTTGAGTCTGCCCATTGCGTCAGCCAGGCGAAGCCGGACTTCCTTAGCGCCACATGAGTCGAGTGCGTAGCCTTGTTCTCCCGCCTCAGGGTCCCGCTTCCACGTACACTTCTCTCCTCAACGCCGCCCCCCGTTGCCATGAACATCGAACTTGCCACCACCTCTGAGCGCTGGCAATGGCTTGGTGCCGTTGTTGGCAGCAAGCCCAGGTCGCGCCTCAATGCTAAGGACGCGCAGGACCTGCGCCGGCGCTCCTCCGCCCAGCCCCCTCACCCTGCTGCAAATGCAAACCTCTCCTGGCGCCGCAAGCGCAAATCCTGGCTCTCGGGTGCAGTCTGCGTCTTCATGGTCACAGTTCCTCCTTTCCTGGTGATTTTGACCTGGATTGCTCTCGAGCACTTCAATGGCTCGCTGGTTGCCGCTTTGTTTGCCCTGCAAGAGCTTGGCCTGTCCACCTTCGCCGGCCAGTTCGCCCCGGCGGCGAACCTGCGCACAAGCTTGGTCTATTTTGCTTGGATCCTCTTCCAGGCCTTCCTCTACACGGTCCTTCCTGGAAGAAGCACGGGTCAGCTGACTGCCGCTGGAAATCTGCTCGAGTACCACACCAACGGACTGCTGGCCTGGCAGATTACCGTGGCGCTCTTCGCCGCGGCCGTCTTCTCCGGTGTTCTTGATGCCGCAATCATCGCCAAAAATTGGGAAGGCTTGGTTGTTATCTACAACATTTACGGCTACTCGTTGTCGTGCCTAGCCTACGCGAAAGCGCACTACGCCCCATCCTATGCCGAGGACCGTAACTTCAGTGGTAACTATATCCAACCTTCTCGAGCAAGCCTTTGGCGTTGCACAAAAGACTGAGCCGGTGCAGGATCTGCTCTTTACGATTTCCTCATGGGCATTGAATTCAATCCGCGCTTTGGCAAGACTTGGGACTGGAAGCTTTTCCACAACGGCCGTCCGGGCATCATTGGCTGGACCCTCATGTAGGCCGTCCGCGAACCACGTGGCCTTTTCAGAAACTGATGAATTCAAAGCGACCTGTCCTTCACGGCGCTGCAATACCAGAAGCACGGCTATATCACTAACTCGATCATCATTGTTGACATTTTCCACGTCATATATGTGGTTGATTTCTTCGTCAATGAGAGTTGGTAAGTGTGCCACGTAAGCGCTTGGCTTGAAGCAACGGCTCGATTTACCAACCCCGTCAGGTACCTCCGCACCATTGACATCTGCCATGATCATTTTGGATTTTATCTCGCATGGGGCTCAGCCGTCTGGTTGCCGACCATGTATACTCTGCAGTCCCAGTATCTCGCCCGTTACCCGGTCCAGCTCTCTCCGTTAGCGGCAGCACTGATCTTCACCATTGGAGTTTCGGGCTACGCACTCTTCCGCTCTGTCAATTTCCAGAAGGACGTTGTGCGCCGCACTAACGGGGAATGCACCATCTGGGGCAAAAAGGCAAAGGTCATGCGGTGCCAGTTCAAGACAGCCGACGGACGCGATCACCAGACTCTGTTGCTGCTTTCGGGTAAGTAAGAGCGATTTCTTTGGCTCTAGCCACTCGCGGAAGTCTGGTCCAGCGGGCAACACCGGTGCCCGTCGCTTAGCATTATTGGCCCACGGCTTAAAAGAGATGCATGCTGATATTCGATAGGCTGGTGGGGCATTTCGCGCCATTGCAACTACGTGGGCGACCTCATGCTTTCCTACTCCATGTGCGCAGTCTGCGGTACGCGAGACATTATTCCCTGGACGTACGCCATCTTCATGACATGCATCCTTGTCCATCGTTGCTTCAGAGACGAGGCACGCTGCCGTACCAAGTATGGCGAGCAGTGGACCAAGTACTGCAACATAGTCCGTTGGAGGCTGATTCCAGGAATCTGGTAGATGGGAAGGGACAAGACGATTGCAGCAAAGTCCAAAAGGCTTTCAGCTGCGGGAGTGAGTCGTGCGCCATGTGCGCTGGACGAGGTGAGAATGGCTTATGATGCGATTGGCGAGGCTATTGATAGGCCCAGCGGAAGCGCCATACTTGTTATCAGGGATTTGCGGAGACATTCCTAGAGTAGATCTGTATCATATGTACAATAGACCATCCCATCGATTGTGCGATATCATTGGTTGGGCAATGCCCAAAGTGCCAAATTGAATCTGAAGCATGGATATGACGACGCCGTCAACCTTCCATGGCCGACCAATTCGCTATCGAAACCATTTCAATCGGGTTGAAACCTGACATTCGATCAGCACCAGAAGATACTGCAGTACCAGTGAGCAAGCGCCCACACGCGGGCTTAGCGCGGCTCATCCTTGGCGCTCGTCATCCGGGGCAGCCCGGCTGCCCGGGCTGCCGATCTGCTCAGCCAGCCATATGATCCCCTCCAACTTCACGTCATCCTTACATTATTGGGAAGGGGGAAAAAGCCACCGGGCCTCCATCCATCGTGCCAATAGGTAATCCGCCCCATCCATCAATCGACCGCCGCCCCATCCATCACGATCGACACCCGTCGACCCATCGGCGTAGTACATACCTAGGTACCTAGCAATCGGGGCCACCACCACCGCCGTCGCCGTCGCCGTAGCAGCTAGTTAGTACCTAGCACACACCCCGCCGCCGCCGCCGCCGCCGCCCGCCGCGTGCCACCGCGTGCCGCCACCCCTCCTCCTCCTCCTCCACCGTCTCCGTCTCCGGCACACCGGGCGGGGGGGCCTCCTCGTGGCCCATCGGCACGACTACGACTACGACTACGACCACGACCACGACCACGATGCGCCCCGCGACGGCGCTCCTCCTCCCCCTCCGCGCGCCCGTCTACGCGAACACGGGCTCCGTGGCGCGCGACCACCTGGCCTCGGAGCGCACCTACCTCGCCTGGCTGCGCACCGGCCTCGGCTTCGTCGCGCTCGGCATCGGCGTCGAGCGGTTTTCGCGGCTCGACTTGGGCGATCTGCTTGCCGCGACGACGTTGCCGAGACACACCCGCAAGTCCGACGACCACCAGAGCGATGGCGATGGCGAAACGAAAAACAATGGCGGTGGGAGTGGGAGTGGCAGTGGTTCGTTCAAGGAGGAGTCGAGCGTGCTCGTGGAGGCGCTGCTGGGCACGGGGACGGGCTGCATCGCGTACGGGACGACTAGGTATTTTGAGAATATGCGGTTGTTGGAGAGGGGCTTGTTCAGGCCGGCGTACTATGGGGCGGGGGCGTTGGGGGTGGCGGTGGCGGGGTTGGCGGGCGGCGTGTATTGGAGTGCGGTGAGGGATGGGAGGAATAATGGCAGAGGAGGGAGCGGCGAGGAGGTGTGAGGGGTGGGCATGTTGAGGAAGACGAAACGTTTGACGCTGCTGTCGCGAGGTTCATGTGGACGGCGGCGGCAGGCACGTCCGGACTACTTGATTGTGACAACCAGGATGGGGAACTCACTGCCGTGTCCGGCACGCGGCTGACGAGCTGACGCTGTAGGGACGGGCGTCCATCTTCACGATGCCGGTTCGTCAGTCTGGACGGCTAACGCTGGGTACGAGTGGCGTTTGCCATGTCGCAGTGAGGGCCTACGGAAACGATTACGGAGTGATGCAAATTCCGCCCCGCCAGATGATTGGCATCACCGCGGGACAGTCACGGATGTCAGGCCGACGGTTCTGCTGTCGCAAGGCTGCCGGTGGACAAGGCTGGCTTGGAGGTCGTTCAAGCTTAGTTACAAGCTTAGCTGGTGGCACAGTCGAAAGGGTAATTTCCGTTACTGCGTCAATTCCGGCCAACCAGGGTCGATTCCTTCTGCTTCGGCCTCGGCCACCTCCCCTCACACCACAAAGCACACGCGCCGCCAGGCGGCCCGACGCCTATACAATTGGCCTAGTCGGGCTAGAGCCGCCGGTTAGCGCGCAGGCCAGATGAGCTTGGCACCCTGTAAATAGCACCGGCGCGTGCCCCTGCAGACAGCCAAATCTCGCCTCGCTCTCGCTTTTCCACTCGCAATCCTTCCGGCGGTAAAGAGCGAATCCTGCGCAGACTTCTTTAGCCGATTCCCCTTGCAGTGGAGTCGAGGTGCCTGTGGCGTGTGCCATGCGACCGTTTTCCGCCGCATGGTGCCTGGTAGCGCCAGGCATCAGTGGCGTATTGGCCGCACCCCGGCCACGGCTGCGGTAACCCCATTGCCAGCCCGCCGGGAGTTCCCTTTTTTCGCATCTTTTGGATCTCTTGGGCCGTCTGTTGCCTGCCCATGTTCGCTTGGCTTCCGCTTTGCGACTTCTGAATTTCATACTTAATCCCATGCGTCGACCACCCTTGATTGTTCGCAGCTCCTTGGCACCAGTTCCCAGCTGTCGGTTGCGCTGCCGCTCCACGCTCGCTATATCTTGAACCCCTAATCCCTCACCATCTTTGTCGTTCTGTACCGACGGTGATAGCTCCACCATGGCAGAAGACTCAGCCACCGCGGCAACACCTTCCGCCTCCGGTTCCACTCCTCCTCCCCAGCCCACGGCCTCTACTACGGCAACGCCTGCTGCTCCTCAAGCCACTTCAAGCCCCAGCGACGCCTCAGCTGCTCCCGCCTCGGCACCTGTTGCTCCTCAGGCAGCACGGGTCCCGGCAACTGCGCCTTCAGATGGTCCAAATGACACTGCAGTGCCCCATGCCCACAACCATGTAGACGAAGAATCAGGTGGCATGCTGGCTCGTTTCCGCATCCAAGAAGATTGCTGGGCCTGGAAGTTTGGCCTTCGTCTGATCACCCTCGTCTGCGCCATCATTGGCATGAGCACCTTGGTTTGGGCAGGTGTGGCAGCAGGAAAAGAAAACAGTTACATGGCCGGCTCTTGGATCGGAGCCTTCTCCATTCCAGTAAGCATCACAGCCTGTTCTTCTCGAGTGACGGGGTTGCTGATTCGCCTTGTAGTTGATCTGCTCTATCATTTTCAACGTCATCTGCCTCTCCATCGTCTTCTTCACCAAGCGACCCGTCCACCCTGGTGTGGCCGTTGGTGTCGACCTCGTTCTTTGGCTGGCGCTCATTCTCACTGGATTTTTCAGCATCTGGGCATACTTCTACAGTGGCACCACCGATGCCGAGACCTTTGACGACTGGTATGGCAGCAGCGGTTACGGCAGCAGCAGTTCCTACCGCAGCGCTTACTACTGCGGATCGGAAGATTACGTCTATGACCCGTATGAGCGGACCTGCACCTACGAGCCGGAGGACTGCCCGGGCTGGTCCAGCTGCGAAACGGAATCGGCTTACTACCGGGCCAAGTATCGAGCCCGCGTCGTCCTGGTCGGCGCAATCTTCACTTTCATCTGCACGCTTCTGCACTTCATCACCTTCGTCTGGGCATGCGCCGACACACACCGGCGGAACAAGTCGAAGGAGTCGCTCACGGTTAAATACGCGGCCGAGCGGATCGTGCAGGAGATGGTCCAGAGCGGTCAGCTTGTCAGACCCGCGCCGGCCATGATGGCAGGCGGTCATCCCCCTCACGGTGCAGCGCCGATGAGGGGTTATCATCCTCAGGGTCAGCCAATGATGACGGGGGCCAACAACGCCCAGGGCCAGGGCATGGATCGTCCTCTTCCACCTCTCCAGGAATTCTACTCTCCAGCACCTCGCGCGCCTCCAGCGAGCGGGAAGGCTCCGGCGCAGGATTGAGGCGCTGGCGGGCAGCGTGATATCATTGCAGGAAAAATAAAAGCAATTAGAGCAAGTGCACGAGAGGTTCGGCAAGGTGGGCCAGACTGCTACGTGCAGCTCACTGCCATCTGGACCGTCGTCCTTGGTTCTTTACACACGAAATGACGGACTTTGTACGGTCAGACACACTAGGAACATTTAATGATTAATTCCCATAGAAATGATACCCTTTTCAGCAGGCAATCGACCTCTCTATGCTCTCTCGGCAGCTTGCCGTGGGCCGGTACCGAGGCCGAAGGTACTCAATCACGGGCCAGCCGGAAGCTGGGTACATTCGTAGCCGGCATGACGCCTGTGCAGCACGGGCAGGGCAGCATGTTGCACGATATGCGGGCCGAGGGTTGCTCGTGAGACGTGCATCAGCCAATGCGAAAGCGAACGGCACACCGAACCGTCCCAAGAAACACCTCATCCACACCCTCCCCGCTGCAACCGACCGTCAAATGCTCTGGATTCGCACTGACGACGACGAAAAGGATTCGCGCTTATGGCTGTGGCGCCAAGCGAGCTATCGGGCGGTGCCACGCTGACGGTCCGGTGAGAATAGGTACGCAAGTAAGGGCAATCGTCTATACACGTCCGGGAACATCCCGCCAGCTACTCGAGAGCCTAGTCTGTGGCCAGCTCAGAGATAGGCAGCCATGCTGACACGGCACGCTCGCAAGGGACACCCATCTCACTACTGCCCGCCAAGGACCCAACCTACGCGTATGCCACAGCTGCAAAGAACGGTGCGTGGCACAGGGTGGAATACATACGCTTGCGATAATGCCCGCGAAGCTTCCAAACGTCCAAAGCACCCAATGGGCGACTGCGCAGTGCGACAAGCCTCAGAAAGTAATGCTGTGTAACTCTGAGCGCCCGAAACTGCCCCTCCGCTCCCACGCGCGAGTGTGCTTACCGGTACTCGATTCGTCGCATGCATATATGTCTATCACGCTGTCGCACTTAACTACAGCGAACCCCTCTCGAAACATGTGTTTCCTTGCTCCATCGCCCCTCGTCTTCCCTGCCTCCTGAACACTATGGCTATAATATCGAGCCTATTCGACTCTGCGCACCCCTTCCAGACTGGCACACCCTACCTATTTGGTGCTGCCATTGTTGTCGTCATCAGCCTGCTCTTGCACTGGGCTCAAGACGAAAACCCCTACCCAGGCTTCCCTCTCCTGGGCAAGGAAAAGGGAGAATGGTTTAACACAAAAGCAAAAGAGCGCATGGCCACTCATGCCAACGACATCATGAAACAAGGATTCAAGAAAGTAAGCACTTGCACCTTTCCCGCTCTCCCCCACCTCGCCGGCACTTCTCCACAACGTCTGAGTGTGTTCAAGCCCGCCATCGTCTTCGGAATTCACTGACCCACCTGTCAGTACAATGGAAGGCCTTTCCAGGTCATCATGGACATCGGGCCGACCGTCATGCTTTCCCCGCAGATGGTGCAAGAGATCCGCAACGATGATCGCTTATCGTTCATGCCTACTGTTGATCGGGTAAGCATCCAGCCACATCGTCCACGCTGTAGGTGATTCTGTGCTGACTCTGACGGGTCACATCGAGGTGTTCCTGCCATGGTTCAAAGGATTGGAGCCTTTCTCAACCGGCATCTCGGAGCATGATGTCTTCACTGTCTCGATAAGGCAGAACCTAACACAGTCACTGGGTATGTTTCCAGCTGTTACATGGCGAGCACGAACTGCGATCTGACCCGTTGTCAACAACACAGGCAGCATGACGGAAAGCCTCTCTCAGGAGACAAGCTACATCCTCAAACTTCTCATGCCAAACGTCAGCAAAGAATGGAGCAGCGTGACCTGGGTTCCCATCGCAGCAAAGATAGCCTCCCGCCTCTCAGCAAAGGTCTTCCTGGGCCATCCGCTGTGCCACAACGAAGACTGGCTGAACATCTCGCTGACGTACGCCATCGACGCGTTCCAAGCCGCGCGCACGCTGCGCTGGTGGCCACCGTTCCTACGGCGCTTCGTGCATGCCCTCTCGCCCGAGTTCCGTCACCTGCAGCGGACCATCGCCGACGCCCGCCGCATCATCGAGCCCGAGGTCGCCCAGCGCAAGCGGACGCGCCGCGAGGAGCTGCTGGCGGGCAAGAAACTGCACAAGTCGACCGACGCCATCGAGTGGATGGACGAGCACGCGCAGGACGAACCGTACGACATCACCCTTGCCCAGATGGCGCTGGCGTTTGTGGCCATCCACACCACTTCCGGCATGATCTCGTCGCTCCTGTGGGAGCTCACGGCCAATCCGGAATTCATTGACGACCTGCGGAAGGAGATTGTCGACGTCATCACCGAGGATGGCGGGTGGAAGAGGACGAGCCTGTATAAGATGAGGCTACTGGACAGCTGCATGAAGGAGGCGCAGAGGCTGCATGTCATCGGCGCATGTGAGTAGACATCCGTTTCCCACACACTCACTTCTCTGGATCATCGACCCTGAGCTATCCCCTTACCGCGAAACAAAACCACAATGCACCATCTGACCTCCTCTTGCCCCTGGACACAGTCGCCATGACCCGTCGAGTCATGTCCCCCGTCACGCTGTCCGACGGCACGCACCTGCCCGTGGACACGCACATCGCGGTCCCGACCTGGCACATGAAGGATCCGGATCTCTACGGGCCCGACGCCGCCAAGTTCGACGGCCGCCGCTTCCTCGAAAAGCGCGAGCAGCCCGGCAACGAGCATCGCTGGCAGTTTGTCACCACCTCGCTCGAGCATTTGGGGTTCGGTCACGGTTCGTTATTTTTCCTCTTCTCTCTTTCTCTCTCTCTCTCTATATATATATATATATATATGTATATTTTCTCTCTTTCTTACCACCACTCACCTACCCCCATCCAACACTTCTCTCATACCACCGTCACTGACTTGTTGAAAAAAAAAAAAAAAACAGGCCAACACGCCTGCCCCGGCCGCTTCTTCGCCAGCAACGAGATCAAGATCGCCATGGCGCACCTGCTGCTCAAGTACGACTGGAAGTTCGAGGGCGAGCCGCCGCTCAAGAGCCTGCGCGAGACGGACTGGGTGCCGGATCCCGAGGCGAAAATCTGGGTGAAGGAGAGGGAGCCGGAGATTCGGTTTTGATGGGGATGGCTAAGAGAGAAATGAGGGGAAGAGAGAGGAAGGGAGGGGGGTTTAATGTTCAAAGAGTGGTGGATAGCCTGTCATTATCTGTATGGACCGGTAAGTATGGGGCGGTGATGTTAGTTTGCTTTTCTTTTTTTTTCACTGCTTGAGCTTGCTGATCTCCCGGTATGATGACTTGTTTCAGACGTTGGTCGCTCTCAGGAGCAGGTAATAGCTCCGCATAAACAAGGCGGCAGTCGTAGTTCTACGAGTCCACTATTGTTACTTTGTCCTTAGTGACGCTACAGACGATCTAGAAACTTTTTTTTTCTTCCTCTTGCAACGATATCTCATCTCGAAAAGCAATATACTGCAGCATAGAATCATCTTTTCACTGCCATGTTATCTACTAACGTAATGTGCGCGATATTCAAACTGTTCGCTTCGACGTGAGCAGCGGTCTGTGCGGCTCGGCCCACAAAAAGCTTACCCGAAAGGGCAAAAATGAAAAATGCAAAACGTACAACAGCCGGGATTCCCCAATGGTCACCCACTTGAGTACTAATCGGCCGGTTCGCAGCTTGAGTACGGCTGAGCGGACGGGAAGCCCTATATTCTGCGACCTATGGTCGTACGTGACAGAGAGCATTGTAAGAAAAGTATATGACTTCCAGTTGACAGGCTGTTGACTGGCATGGCTTTGCTTTGGCGACAAGCAGTACAGGAAGCAGGCAGCGCAAGGGCATGGTAACCATAGTGAGTGGGTGCTGATATACGCAATTGGCTCCAGCTACCGTACCTCGCACTGTATCCCGATTTTGCAGTCTGAGGTGGTGCCGAATGGAGATGATCCTGGAAGGGAAGTCCCCTGCGTGTCATCAATGATTGGAGGTTTGCTTGCTTACTATAGCAAAAATTCACTGAGCTTTCTGATTGACTGTGGCATACACTGAGGAGATGGATGTTTCCGTAGTTTTCTGCTTTGATCAACACATATCGTAAAGTGATACCGTCTATTATGGTTCCAGCAAATGCAAACCGATAAGAATCCTGAAGTACAAAAGAGAGGCCCTCAGATCAAACGAATACCGCATGCTCGCCGTTGTAGATGCCTTGGATTCTGTTCCACTCGACGCTGTCAGTTCTCCTGAGGTGTAACGTCTCAAGTTCCTCGCCATCGCCCTTGACCATGAGACGGGCATCCGTCGCCTTGTTCGCCAACTTGTTGAAATCATCACAGACAAGAAGGTTCGAATTCCTTGTTCCGCGATGCTCCACCGCCACCAGGTCCGTGCCTCTCCGACCGTCAAGACAGACCAACGCACGGCCTTGGGGCGTGGCCACCATCAGGAGCGTGAGCCCGCTGAGCAGCAGGGTATTGTTGCTTAGTGGACAGTCGATGGAGAAGCCATCAGAAGATTGGTTGTTGAAGACCGAGTTATACGGGCCGCGTGTTTTCAGCAGGCTTCCTCCCGCCTCGTCGTTCAGGAGCCTCGCCATGATCAGTTGCTCGTTGATGTCCGTGACGGCCGCAAGCTCCAATACGGACCGGCAACGTACGCGGCTGTGCAAGAAGTCGTTCCAAGGCCAGTTCGCGACCAGCAGGTTCTTACAAATCACCATCAGGAACGCTGCAAGCGCCCAGGCGTACGTGGCCATGTTGGACGGGTCGACCGAATGGATGCGATCGCCGACGCTGAAGGCGATGGCCAGCCCGCCTCCTGCCAAGGCAAAGGCCGCAGTCATGACGGTCCAAACGTACCTCTGGCACACGACCGTTACCGAATTTTCATCAACAACCCAAGACCGCATCTTTCGGGTCGTCGCCCGAGAATACTCGGCTGCGAGCTTACAGGCATCCGTGTCGTCGTTCTTGTCCCTGTTGGATCTGGTCATCAGGCTGTACCGAGAGAAGACGCCTGCCTTCATGGCCTGCGACAGGCTCAATGTCGTAGTCTGCGGCCGCGAATAAAACTCATCTGTCGTCATGCAGAAGAAGGCAACGAACTGCCTCGTTGGCAGTGGGTCAACCACGTCATTCGCATCGCTGGTGAGTGCCATCAACCCCTTGGTTTCTGTGATGAGATCGACAACTGCCGGGCTGCATGTGGTGAGAAGGATCATGACCGTGACAATGTCTGCCATAGACTTCAAGTCTATTGTCTCTCTCGCATGGCTCGAGAGATCGAACTGATCCGATCCGCTCAATTCAGTCGCCCGGCTAGCATCAACCTGACCCGCATCTTTGTAGACCCACTCAATGGTGATCTTAAGCCTTTCTTGGTTGTTGGCCCCGGGGGGCGCACTGATTCTCTACATAAGAAACGCTGGTTAGCTTCTACAAGGGACATCTTCGGACGACCGAGAGAGGTCCTACATCACGGAGGTATTCGACCGTCTGATTCAAATTTTTGAATGCAGAATGAACCGTATTGAGGTTGTCAAGGTTCGAAGTGGCCGAGAATTCAAAATCTCTATCTTGGAAGAGCAGTGACTGCAAATGTTAGCGACCGTTGTCCCTAAGCCAAAGAATTACTTACTTTAAAGCCCTCAAATCCCGTCTCATACACCACGGCACACATTTCATACGATGTTGCCGGACGACCTGATAAGTCCAAAGACCGCAATGATAACAGTGTGTTTCTAAACGCCTTGTCGATTCCGACGCGAAACTTGGCCTGGTGAGCACAATGCATTATCAGTGCAAAGTCATCCCGTGAAGTGAGGTCATCCCGCGCGTTGTTGTTAAGGTTTCGCAGAAAGTTCTCGTCGGTTTCGCCTTGGTCCTCCAGCGAGCTTTTTCTTTCATAGGCCGCGTTAGCCTTGCCAATGATGATGGGAGCATGGGTCTTCAGGTCGAGCAGCAAGATTTTCATCTTTGCAGCCCGCTTTGCGATGACGCCGATGAGGTTATGCTGCCAGTATCTTCCGGTCGCCGTTGTACTGATCAGCCTTGCCAGAACCGCGGAAACGTAGTCAATCAGCCTGAAGCTCGCTTCTAGCCTACTCTCGTATTCGTGTAGATGTTGCTGAGCATCACCATCCTCGTCGCTGTGGTCATTTTGCTGGCTGATGCTAGCCTGCCTCATCAACTTTGGGATGTTTGTTTGGCTGCTCAACGGACTGCAGTACTCCAAAGTGATGCATTCATTGTCCAGCTGGCACAGTGTCGCGACCGATAGAAGCTGTGTCGATAGGTCGGACATCAGATCATGCCCCGTCTTGCTTATGCCTTTGAGGAATGTGTCGTGTTCGAACCGAAGCGGGCGATCTGTCTTGACGCCATGTTCCAGAAGTCTCTTGATTTCCGATTTCCACAGCGTTTTGGCCGCTTCTTCGGCCACAGAGTAGTCACTCATACCATCATACTCTGGGAATTCGAGATAAGCTGGCAATTTCGGGGGTAGCACTGTATCTAGAATGTCTTGGTCCGAGTGGCCCTTGGATTCGCTTGGGGCTGTCGGCTCTTCGTCAATCTGTGCCAGAGGGACAGCAGGATCTACGAGCGTGTGCTTCTTCCTACGGAGTCTGCGAGATCGGAAGATGTGTTTCGTGGTCTGACCGACAGTCGGTATGGAGGAGCGGCGTATGAGCATCGGCTCGTCGTACGGGTTTCTCAGCTGAGGCAGCGTCATCCTCGCGAGTATGGGGTATCGTATGGAAATTTCCGTGAGATCGCAGGTAGAATTGGCGACTTTGGGGTGTATAGGAAGTAGGATATAGCTCGGTCTGTACACTCGGGCGAAAATCTTTAGCTTTGGTGTTGTGATTTCAAATCCAACCGGCGGCCACCCTCGGGAAAGGATATATGCCCCTGCTTCCACTTACTCAGAAACAATTTGAAAGGCTGTAGAAGTGATGGACTATGTTTGCGGCTCCGATGACTATGAGTAGCAAATATGCGAAGAATGGTTTCGCAAGAGAGGGACAAGACTTCAGCTTGGGGCGGCTGTAAGCCTCCCGGGTCGGTGGCTTCCCAAAGCAAATTATTTTTTGCTTTTGCTGCCTAGAGGTTGCCGCCGATCGCTTGGTGGCCCCACAAGACAGGTCAGTGTGTGGCTGACAATCCAGCCTCCCGCACACCAATGTCACGCTAGTCATTGAATTGGCCATTGTCTATTTTGGGTGGGAGATTTACTGTCTTTTCCTTGAGTGGCTAAGAGACCTAGTTGCCTTGGGAGGTGGGTCGTATAGGTCCTTTGCCGCCTGACCACGAGAAACCCTCCCGCTCACGGGATTAGAGGGCGGTTAAACGCCCAGTAGAAAATTCGTCCTGCGAAGCTTACCGTCCTTTCAGACAAATTTGACGTAGACTTCAAATGCTTCAAGTGGCTCGAAGAGACAGGCCCTAGCGAGTTTCTCTCATTATGTCTTGCTTGGTGGATCTCTAGATGTCGGTCTCTTGCTAAAACTATCATACTGGTTCGCACTCTTCTGGTCCATCTTCGTTGCCCGGATCATGGCTATAGCGGCTTCGAAGTGCCGTTTCTGAAGCTGTCGTTTCTCCGAATCCTCCTGTTGCTCTCGAACACACTCCAGAGCCGACGCAACACAAAGGTTCTTCAGGTCAGATCCAGTGTAGTACGGTGTCCTCTTGGCCAACGTTTTCGGGTTGATGTCTGGATGAAGGTCCTCACCCGTCAGCAGAAGCTCGAGAATCTTACATCTCTCAGCCTCCGTGGGAATTCCGAGCTGTATCTTCACCGGAGCGCGTCGGAGCACCGCCGGGTCAAGGTCGAGTGGTCGGTTGGTGGCTAATAAAATGAAAGGCGATTCAATGTCCGAGACCAAACCATCCCACTCCATGAGGAACAGGTTTATGTATGCACGGACATGCCGCTGCTCGTCCTCCTTCCTGACCCCGAGCATGGCATCTGCTTCGTCGATAAATATGATGCAGGGCTTGATCTTCCTAGCCAAGGAGAACGTGGCCCTGATCATCTGTTCGTCTTCGCCCCAATGCTTCCGCCAAATGTCAGCACTTGATATCGAAAGCATGTTGAAGCCCGATTGTTTAGCCAGAGCTTTTACCAAAAGGGTCTTCCCGGTACCCGGTGGCCCATAGAGGATCGCTCCTGTGATTTTGTTGCCGACAAGAACGCCGTGACTGAAAGCTTTGGGCCGCTTCAGTGCCAGCTTTGTCACGCTCTCCAGCTGCCGGATGATGGATTGGTCAATGGAGATCTGTTCGTAGTTGGGGAGGATTGAATCTAAAGTTCTGTCAGAATAGCCCATGTGCAACCTTAGTTGTTGTCGCAGTCTACCTATGTTCACAATATTTGCTAGCAGAGTCTCTTCCTCTTCGCCCTTTGCTTTACGTTCCCAATCAGCCATCTTGTCGGCATGAGTCGTGGTTTCCTTGATGGATGTTTCTCCGTTGACATTCGGGGAAGAGTCTATTTGACTGCTGGGCGAGGAATCACGGCTTTCCTGTGGCGTATGTTCGCTGTTGGTGGCCTGTATATATTTTCAGCGTTGGTGTCACTTTAGTAGACGGGAATTACTTACATCGGCTGCAGTCGAGCATTCGTCTACCGGTACGATACTTTCGTGGAGAGCGCGATCACAGCTGGAAATGCTTACGGGGTATGTTACCGTCGACGCGGGATCGCCATCGGGGGTTAGTATACGTCGATATTGCGACACGCTGCAGTCGTCGAGCGAGGGACTTTGGGGTTGTGACATGTCTGAGAGACACTAGACTTTTGCTTGAAAGCCACTGAGATGGTGTCTGTTTTTTGGAGGGGATTGAATGAGGTGTTTGAGGAGATTTCGGGGCGCCATGGTCTAACCGCCATTATGGCAACCATCCGCCAATGCATGGCGTAAGCATACAAGCCGGGCTGTAATCTTCAGCCAGCGGCCGGTTAATCGGATGTGCCACGTGGGCATCTCAGCGGGGAGATATCTCCGAAGTCGGTGACCCATCTGCAATCTTGTATTGTTTTCGTCCCGACCCTCAGCTATCAACAGGGTAGTCCCACAGCAGAGCACCACTCGGTCAATAGTGCGGTCGATTGCTCTACAAGATAACTCGATGAGCTTTTTCTGTTGATCTGACAATCCAGTGGAGTATGCGTTGCACTATGTACGCTTATGGCTTTATGGATGCAGAGCACGAAGCGATCTCCCGGCTCACCACCCTCTCAGTCCTCATGTCGCTTCTGCCACTCATTGGGGTGCCCCCACAATACAAGTCTTTTACCGCATTGTGCAATATTGTGTTATCGAATGTCTCAGATGAAGCCATGCCAAGAAAAAGACTGGTAGGCAGCCTTTCAGCATTCCACGCACACATGCATGACAAGGATCAAAAGGGCCGAAAGCTACGGCACCCTCTTGCAGTCGATAGTTAGCGCAAAGAATACCAGGGGCTACAACTAAGGAAGGCTGTGCCCGTTCGGACAAGCTGATAGGTTAAACCCAGTACCTTTGCTGCTTTTAGGAGTTGCTGGGCGCTTACCACATAATAGGGAAACAACTGCTCCATGCTGGCCATCGGGTACAAGACCAAGCTGTGTTGTGGTTGGAGGGGAATCAATTGTTAGCGCGCTCCACTAAATACGATGATTTACGTCGAGATTACGCTAACAATAATTTCGCCCCAACCATCGTTATCCTCTTTCTTGCCCCATGCGGTCTTAATGGTGCGGACTCCCGCGCTGTTGCCTGGGCGCTAACTCATGAAGGAGGCCACCCGAATGCTAGAAACAAACACACCGCCTTCCGTCCCAAGCGCGATCACGAATCTAAGCCTACCGTCCACCAGTCCTTTCCCGCCACACCAACGCCTATCCGGAACCTCTTCCTCCTCCTCTCCTCCCCATAACCTCACCACCCCAGACTGAAAAAATGCCCCTCCAAGCCCTTCCGCGCCTCTCCTCTGGCGCCGTCCCCCTCCAGCCCCTCCGCCAGCTCGCTTACGGCGAGCTGGCTCATCTTCGCCCCCCCGCGCTCCCCGGATCCTTCGGCACCACCACCACCACCCACGACCTCCCGCCGCGGCGTAGACGGCCATTAGTAGGAGCATGGCCTCGAACCCAGATGGTGGCTTGGAAGAAGGGGTCGATGATGGGGCAGTCGGCAGCCGGGGCCATCGATCTGATCTGCGCCCTCTCAAGGATCGACAGTGATGCTTCGTCCCATGTTCTCTTCGGGTCCCGTAGCTGAGTGCTCCAAGGCTGTTTTGAAAATTCTCTCTGATAGAATCCCGGTGCCATCTAAGACCCCTTCTAGATCAGGACTGCAGGTCAAGACCAAGTCGAGTCTAGTTTATACATAGTATCAATCCCTGATACATATACGTACCAAAGGTAAGCCCGTAAGTGTAGCGCAGCACCTCCAGCGTAATCAGAAAGAAGGAGAACATACCGGCGAACACCCGTAGATAGACTCTGCACTGGTTAGGCACTTGATTGCTGATGCTCATTTTGTGCGCGACGACCTGCGGCTACGTTCGTTGACCTGAACCGAGGATCAAGTAAAGGGGATAGAAAACAAGGTAGGAAAGCAGCACCGCAACTAGAGCTTTAAGTATGGCTATCCATGTCTTTACATGGATTCAACCGGCTACGAGGCTGGCTTTGGACTTTAAACCCCAACCGTGTACCACCACCAATTTTCAAGAGGCGGTCTCATCTGACCTAGACCGGAAGCTCCAAGCTGCAGCCTACTTTGCCTTGTACAAGTAACTGCAAATTTTATTGGCTTTTATTGGACTGTGTGAGCTAACAAGTAAAGCAAGAATGTTTCTTGCAGCTATTTATATAAGAAGAATAACTATCTCTTCAATTCACAACAGGACCAAAAGTATAGCACTAGTTCTCGAATTTTCATTTTCCCGAAGCTTTTCTAACACGGAGGCTAATATATAGAGTATGCAGTCATACGGAGAAGACGCTGTGACGGACAAAGTTTACAAGTTTCTCTCGACAGCATCGCTAATAGGCGTGCTTCTGCTCTGGCGATAAGCAGTGCAGAAGATGTCAACGCAAGGGCATGGCAACGACTTGTTATAGCAGGGATACGATGCATCATGCAGACGCGAGTGAGACAACTGGGGTAGGACAGGATAAGTGCGCTGGCCGGGCGGCCGGCTGCCCCGCTTACTCCGGACAACATCAACATCAACACCGTGCTGAGAACAGAGGAGCCTTTTTTGTTCGGCAAACCCGTCCATCCGAGGGCATTTCCTGAAGTAGGCATGATGGAAACACCCCCCGCCGGTCCCACCATCGCCATCCTGGGCGCGGGCATCGGCGGCCTCGCTCTCGCCATCGGCCTCATCAAGCGCGGCGTGCCCGTGACGATCTACGAGGCGGCCGACGCCTTCTCTGCGCTGGGTGCGGGCATCGGGTTTGGCCCCAACACGCTGAGGGCCATCAGCCTCATCGACGCGCGCTTCCGCGAGCGGTACGACGGCGCCGCGACGCAGAACGAGCGGCCAGAGTTCGAGCACAGCATCTTCGACGCCCTCTACGCCGAAGACGGCTTCGGCGAGAAGAGAGGCTGGACCCGCGGCCTGGTCGGCGCCCCCTACTTCACCAGGAGCAGCGCGCACCGGAAGCATCTGCTCGAGATCATGACGGGCTTCATCCCGCCGGGCACCGTCGCGTTTGGCAGGCGTGCCGTCGCCGTCGAGCAGGCGGGCGGCAAGGTTGTCGTCGCGTTCGAGGATGGGGGAAGCGTGGCTGCTGACGCCGTTGTTGGCTGCGACGGGGTAAAGGGCATCATGCGACAGGCGGTGCTCGGCGACGTTGCACCTGAGGAGGTTCCCCCCAAGTATTGCGGCATGTACGTCTACCGAGGCATCGTTCCAATGGACGCGGCCAGGGAGATTCTGGGAAAACACGCGGGGGACGCGAAGTGGTTCTGCGCCCAAGGAAAAGGCCTCGTCCTCTACCCCATCTCCAAAGGCAGGGAGGAGAACTTCGTCTTCTTCGTCAAAGACGACGAGCCGTGGACCCAAGGGGACTCTGCGATACCTTGCAGCAACAAGGAGATGGTGGCCGACTTGGCTGATTTCGACCAGCGGCTTCAGAAGCTTCTGGACTGGGCGATGCCGCTCCGGTGGCCGCTTTGGCATCATCCCGACACCCCCACTTACTACAAAGGGCGCATGTGCTTGCTTGGTGACGTTGCGCACGCCATGAGTCCGCATCAGGCTGCCGGCGCCGGCCAAGCGTTGGAGGATGCTGTCGTCCTCGCCCATTTGTTGGCTTTGGTGAAGACACCAGAGCAACTGGAGCCGGCTTTCCGGGTGTACGACGCGATTCGGCGGCCACGAGCGCAGAAGGTCGTGACGACAAGCCTTACATCCGGCATGGTCAAGCTCTGGCTTGACCCTGACTTGGGCAGCGACATGGAGAAGATTGTGGAAAACGGCAATCAGAGTTTGCATTGGATATGGCAACACGATATCTCGGCAGACCTCGAGCAAGCAGAACGCGACTTCTACAGGCTGGAATCCTTGGAGGAAACGGGTCAAGGCTGCACAAACAATCTAGGCGAAGGAGCCTGAGTCTCCACGAGGAAAGTTCATATCTTCACCAATATAGTAAGGCCATTGCCGAGCCAACATAAACGCTTATCTCTCATTTGGCCGCGCGGATATGTCTGAGCTGCAGGTCAGCCTGTCTGATCGGTTGTTTTTCCACCAAACAGTGACACGAAGAATATCATGCCGGCAGAAGGGCCTGTTGGCATCCCCCGTAGATCCTTGCTTGGGGGTCAGATGTTGTTTCTAGGTAAGCAGACACATCAGTTCGAACGTTAATGCCCATACAGAGCTCATGGTGTCAACATGGGCTTTGGGAATGTGCCAGGGGCTGGCAAGAAGCCACAGCAGGCTCTTAGTCATCCGTTTCCTGATGGGCGTCTCCGAGGCGTCTCCGCCGGCCGGCGCGACCTACTTGATTTCGGTATAGGTACTACAAGCTCTCCGGTTCGCGTGGTTCTTCAACTTCGCCATGGCCGGTCCAACTTTCTCCGGTCTCCTCGCCTACGTACGCCATACAGTCGAGCATCCTCCTCTGCCCCACCCTCCCCCACAACACCCGCGAACGCACCCGCTTCCTCACCGAAGCTCGGATGGATGGACCGCACACGCCGGCGCACATCTCTTCACCCCACCCCACCGACTGGGCCGCCGCCGGGGCATCCTAGCCACGCAGTAAGTACAGTACCTTCGCCTCGACCCACCCACCCACCTCTCAGTCTCGGCACGCGGCCGCCTCGGCGCGCGCTCCCTCCTCCCCCTCCCCCTCCCCCCGTCCTCCTCGTCCTCCTCGTCCTCATCGCCATCTGCCTGCCTGCAGCTAGTGCGGTCGGCCGGCTGGACTGGATCGTCGAGCGCGCGGCGGCGGCGGACCGCTACCTCGCCCTCTTCTTCCCGGCCGTCGGCACCAGCTTCCCCGGTAACCCCGACGGGCTTGCTTTGGCGAACGGGGCTGGCGTTTACATATGGTCGCCCGGGTCCGTGTTGCTGGCGAGCGGGTTTGATGCGGGGGGGGTGTTGGTGTGGGGGGATGGGTTGCAGTGCAAGGTGGGGCGCGGGGGGATGGCGGAGGAGGAGGAGGAGGAGGAGGGGGAGCAGGAGGAGGAGGAGGAGGAGAGGGCGAGGTTGGATGAGGTGCGGTTTAGGTCGGTTCGTGACGTTGTGGTGTCAAGGGTAAGGATATTATTATTACTCATTGCTCCCCACAGCAGAAGCCTTTACTCGACGAATTGGCCAATCGTAAGGCGGCAAACAGTCCGCCCGTTGGACGTCAGATTATTCCCTATCGTTGCGGCGGGGGAGGAAATGAGCAGTGAGGTGGAAAGAAAGTATATTAGACAAGAGTCATGTTAGCGAAACAGGAAGATAATGCCACCGCCACAAAGCCCTCTTCGGCGTCCCTGGCCGGGAAACGTCAAACGCTGAGTGACGCGTCGGCAAGCTTCCCGGCCCGTGCGGGCGTCCGTCCACGACTGCGCCTTTTTTTTTCTTTCCTCTGCCCTTTGGCGTCGGCGGGGGGCGTTGGATGGCGCTGCGAGGCGTTGGGACTAAGTATGGCTCTAATATCAGCCGTAGTAGCGCCGCTGTGGCTGCCGAGAACCTTCTGGGGGTGATACGCCACAAAGTCATGGCAGGGGAAAGAGAGAAGAGGACGAGGGAGTGGAGCTTGGCTGTGATTGGAAGGTGAGTGTCGACCCGGCATTGACGACCGGCGTCCACTCCGATCCCGGTCCAACACCACGGCGACGCTTCTCCAGGCCAACCGGCAATGCCTGCGCTGGAAATGCAACGGCAGCGTTCCTGTTGCATCTCTGAGACACACACACACTGACATCATCATGTCCAAAATTGTGTGTAAATGAAGATCCATTCCTCCAGGAGCACATATCCAACACTGCACTCCTACTCCTCCCCCTTCGCTGCTTCGAAAGAGACTAACCCCCATCCTGCCGACCTTTTCGTATTTAGCCGCCAAGGAGAAAAAAAAAGTCGCTGGCGCGGCGAGAAGGGCGGGCCAAGCCGCGCGACGTCCCTATTCGGACCAAGCCGGTTTGACCACACGCAACGACGGTCGGCATATTTCGAAATCGGGAGGAGAGCGGAGAATTGGAGGGGGTGGGTGCGGGCGGGAGCCTCTAAGCGCTAGCTAGGTAGTCCCTCCAACGAACAAACCGGGCGGCATCACGCGACCAGTGCCGGCCGGGGACGAGAGATGGAGAAAACCTCCGGGGAGGAGAGCAACAATCCCCAGAGATACTACGTCAATAACCAACGTCGTCGAGTCTGACCCAAGATCGGCGGCGCCGGTTGCATATCACCCCACGGGTTGATCCGTATCCGAGCTCAATCAAATGCCGTGCCGCCACCTGCCGGGTCTGGAGGGGAAGAGGGCGATGATCACCGCTCGCCTCGCTCGCTAGGCGGTAGTATCGTAGTAGTCGCACTCCAGGACGCCAGGGACGACGATCCCACGTCGGTAGTGCTCGTGGTGCAGCTAAGAAGCTCCGCCCACCACTCACTGGCCTTTCGTCATCGCCGGGAGAAAAACGACCCTCGTGCCCGTGACGATTGTATATTACTCATCACGCGCAGCCCTGCATAACGCGCCGCGGGCCAGGTACGCGGTGTGATTGAAGAGACAGCCGCCCGGGCCCCAGAAGCACCAGCGATCGAGACCCCCCCCCTAAAACGGGCGGGAGTCTGTGATGGTGTGTTGGACTTTCTAGCGCTGACGCGTCTTTGCCCTTTCGTGTCGACCATGAACTCTCCTCCCGTCCCCATCATTGGCTGCTAACCCGTCGAGGTCACCAGGCCATCCCTTTTAGTGCGCAGGAAAAAAGTCAATCAGGATGCAAGACACTCTTGATGTTTGTCATTGGGTCCAGTAACCCAACTTTCAATACTTCTTTCCATTCGCCTCTGCCCACGGCCTGGCCATGGGCGAGAGGATAAGAAACAGACAGCATGGAAACCTCAGATGGCACAAAACTAAAACCCAATCTATAGGAAATCCATGGCCTTGCATGCGATGAGAGTACAGCGGTATCGAGCTACAAGTCGCCCAAGGGGGCAAGGAAAGAATAGAAGAGGAAGAAGAAGAAGAAGAGATAAATCAGCCGCCAGGTCTACTGCAGACACAAAGGGGGTAGTCAAAAAAAAGAAGACAATAAATCTGCCAGACAAATCCGCGACAGGGAATCCGTAAAACAGTATACAAAAGTACGAATCGACTTGGCAATGCTAAAAGAAAGGGCTCGGCCTAGGCCCGTTGGAACTTTGCTGACCTGAACTTTTGCGCCGTATGCCAAAGGCAGTGAAACATTGTGGGAGTTACCCAACCAGACATTCCTCCTCTCTACAACCCTCGACATTACGAAATGACGAACCTCTCATTGCGTTACGTTTGGTCCACCCTGCTGACCAATGTCGAAGAGCATCAGCGGCCACAGCTGCGCCTGCGAATGCGCCGCCTGTGCGACTGCTGCCGCGCTCACCGCAGGATGTGGCGAGTGCAGCCCGTTGACTGCTATGGCATGCATGTCTGCAGCAATCCCTTGATTGTCCTCCGGTCCGGTTGACACGGCACTGTCACGCCCGTTCGTGTGACCCAATGCCATTAGCGTCGACGCATGGTGGTAGTCTTGCGGTCCAACGTTGCTCATCATCCATTGCCGCCATGCGTCGCTTTGGTTCTGCGATTGGCCAAATGACCCGTGGCTTCCCGGTGGGTACGTGAAGGCTGCGTTGGAGTCCTGAGTCGCCGCCGACGCTGCTGCTGCATGAACTGCATTCATGTCCGATCCGGGAACGCTGTACTGCGTTTGATCATAGCCAGACGTGCCGTTCTGGTACGACGCCATTCCTGTCTGACTCCTGTCCGGATACGAATACTGCGTCTGCACCGTCGGATAGTGGTTCGACGCCTGAGGCACCGAGTGATCATCCGGAGGCAGGTATCCGCCAGTCGAAGGCTTGTGAACGTTGGCGTGCCCGTTGACTGTATGGCTGTATGCAGTCGCGTACGTGTTGGCATTGGGATACGGCGTCGTGGCAGTAGGCTCCTGGCGTGGAGAGACATCCGGTTCCGTCTTCAGCACGTTTGCTGCCACCGCCGAAGCGGCAGATGCCGTCTTCTTGGCGAGATGGTGGTTGATGTTCGAGAGCGTATGATCGATAATCGATCGACACGCTTTCTCGAGCCGCTTTCCGGATCCTGCCTACGTGTTAGCTTGACGACGACACTACCATCAGAAAGTTGCGTCCTACCAAGAATCGTGCCACACTCGTCCATGATCATGCACCACATGTCCATTTCGCTCTTGAGCTTGGCCATCTCCGACGAAGTGATCTCGTCCTTGCGATGCGAGTACACAAAGAGCGTAGTCAGCATGGCCGCCAAGTAAGCGGTACAGTTGACCCAGGGAGCGTCCAGACACTTGTATTTCCTCAGCTCATCAAGACAGCGCACCATTTTCGACGTAGCCTGGAGGCAGATGGTCATGTTCGAGTTCATGAGGTCCGAGTCTCTCGAGCGACACATGGCCGGGTGATGGAGCATCAGGTTCAGCTCGTGATCCCAGAACTGGACGTAGAGCGAGAAGATGTAATCCTCCGAGTCGGCCCGTGACCCTTCCCTCAGCTCCATGGGTATTTGCTCTCTCCATTTGCGGTGCTCGTCCTCCAGCCTGCGAAGGTGCGTGTTGTAGAACTCGGGGTTTTGTCTTACTGCGTGGATAGTGCTGTACATCTCGGAATGGATCGTCGTGATTCGGATGACCTGAAGGCCGACGTGGAAGGAGCACTTGCGGAACTCGCTCAGGTTGGTCTCCGACGGGAGGTAGTCGTGGATGGGCTCCGGGAACTCGACATCGATGTCTTCCATACGCAGAGGCATGGGCCTGCCCAACCTTCCACAGAGCGCAACGTACAATCCGTGGAGGACCCAGAAGACGCGCTTCCGCGTCTCAATCTCAACCGGATCCCTCTTCGGCCCCAGGTCGGACCAGGCTTTTGCGGACCTGTGCAAGCCCAACTCAACGGAAATCATGAAAGTCATAGACGACATAAGCCAAGTGGCGCTAGGCTTAGGGAAATTACGAAGATGAGCACAAATCATCACCAGAGCCTGAACGTCGGCAATGGTGTGGCTGTTAACCAGGGTATAGAAAAAGCTTAGCGCGTAGCGGTAGTGAGCGTGTGCCTGCTTCAACGACTCTGCGTTGCCGTTGCGAGCAGAAAACTGGTATTTGATGAAAGCCAGGACCATCTGGACCTGGACTTCCTCGGCGGGCGTCATTTGATAGCCGGGATCGCTGTAAACGCGGGACAACTGATGACGGCGTCAGCACGAAGCAAGAGCACAAGCAGATGTACCATCCTTACCAGATCCATGAAATGCGGCTTGTACAGGACAGGGGCGTAGGGATGCAAGCCGCGGAAGTACCACGTGGCGTACGTGGCGCACTCGCTGTAGCTCGCGGGGAGCTCCTCCTTCTTCGGCCTCGGGCAGCCGGGGGCGTTCAGGGCGACGGCGAGGAAGTGTTGGTAGGACACGGGGTTGCTCAGATCCTCGACGTCGTCGGGGACGAAGTCGTTCAGGTCGATTTCCATGCCGAAGAAAGATAACGAGGTGCCCTTGATGGGGCTGAGGACCGAGTTCGCCGACGACACGCCCAGGTAGTTGTCGCCGTGGAGGCCAGCGCGGAAGGTGGGCAGATTGGGCCCGCGGAAGTGAGCGGCCTCGCCGTCGCGGATGGAGCCGTTCGAGTCGGCCATGTGCGGGTAGCCGGCGCCGGGGAAGGAGGCGGCCGAGGGGGCCGGGGGCGTGGAGCCCCATGTCTGGCTGTCGTTTGCGAGGCCGTTCGGCCACGACGAGCTCTGGGTAGGGAGCGGGCTGGGGGTGAAGGAGGCGGGGGGCTGCGAGTCGGCGGGCACGCGCGGCTCGACGCCAATCTCCTTGAGCTGCTGCTGCAGGGCGTAGACGGCGCCCTTGAGCTGGTTGTTCTCGTACTCAAGCTGCTCGGTGTGGCCGCGGGTGGTGGCGCGGCCGGTGATGCGGTCGGTGGTCTTGCACTCGGTGTTGTTCTGCACGCAGGGCGAGCAGCCGCCGGGGCGGCCGTCGCAGCGGATCTTGCGGACCTGGGGACGTTGTGAGCTCACGCTGTGCGACGCGATCGGGAGTAGCACCCACCTTGCAGCGGTCGCATGCCTGGCCGGTGCGGGTCGAGGCGGACAGTTTCTTCTTGACGCTGCTGCTGAAGTCGTCGGCGCTCTGGTGCTCGGTCTTGGGGTGCTTGGGGGTGCTGCCGGGCGTGGCCCCCGAGGGCGGCGGGCGCTTCGCAGGCATCATATGCGCGCGCGGGCGTCAGGCAGTTCCAGCGCAGTGGTGGAGGATGGAAGATGCCGGATCCGAGTGGAAGATGCCGCCCGGCCGGGCTGGGGGAGTTTGCGCTCTTAAACAGCGGCAGGCGGGCTCCTGGATCTGGGCTGGCGCAGCAGGAGGAATTGCGCCCGCGTGCGGTCCGCCTGGCGCGTTTGGGGGAGGGAAGAGGGCGACGAAAATAGAGCCTTGTCCGTTAAGGAGTAGTAGCCACCGAGCGAGGAGCCAGGCCCGATCACGTGCGGATCAGCGGCATGCAGCGCCTTGGAAGAGGACGGAGAATCGAGTGCCTGGCGAGCCTGCGAGAGGGCTGCGTCTTCTCGTCGCGACATGCGCCATCCCGCCCTAGCCCTGGGCCGCGGGCGCCATGGCCGCCGTCGCCGCCATCGCCTGTTTGCTGCTAACCACGGCCGTCACGCCGCCGCCATCCACCACTTGACAGCCGCCATTCCTGCTAAAATTTTAGCCTGCGAAACGCCCGCCGCCCTTATCTCCTCGCAGCGCGCTGTGCAGCGATCCGCCCCGCACGCCCTCACGCCTGCTCTCCCTTGCCCTTAGCCGCCCGCCAGCTGCCCGCCAGCTGCCCGCCCCCGACCCGACGACTGCAGAATGGCCGCCGTCCAGACCCTCGCGCTGCCGCACCTGTCGCACGCCCCCGTGCACGTCGCCCTGTTCACCCACGTCAGGAATGCCGCCTTCCTGCGCCAACAGCTGCTCGACGGCAACCAAGCCTTCGAGTACGCCTTCCTCGACGCCACTGCGGTATGCCGTCACCCCGCCCAAGCCCAGAATGCTGAATTCCCCGTCGTGCCTGTGACCGTCACGTGCCGCTGACGCCCCCCGGGCGCTGCCCTCTGCCCTCCCCCCCAGCTGCTCTCCACCACCCACGTCCTCGCCGCCGTCTTCCGCGCCCTCAACGACCAGCTCAACGGCCGCCTGAGGAGCCGCAACGTGCACTCCGAAATCGTCTTCTCGCTGAGCCCAAACAACAACGTACGTGTGAGCAGCAGCAGCAGCGCGTGCCGATCCCAGCATGGCACGCACAGCCCCCCATGTGCCATCGATCCCTGTCCGCGTAACCGGTCCCGAATTAACGAGTCGTACCTTATTACCCTCAGATCGCCGACTCTTTCCGCCGCTTCGGCGTCCAGGATACGACGACCGCCCTGCTAGCTATCAAGGTCCCCACGGACGGCCGCCCTCTTTCGGCCAACCAGGTCGAGGCGCACCTTTCCGCTTCCGTCGAGGGCACTGCCGTCCCCTTCACCGACGACACCCTGTCTGAGTTCAGCGACCTGCCCCGGATACGTAAGATTTACAAGCTCGACGCCGCGCTGCCCAGCCAGAAGGGCAGAAACCCCCCCAAGAAGAGAAAGCAGCCCAACGGCCTCGCTCACCTGAACGGCTCCGCCGCTGACGAAGCTCCCGCGCCGAGCGATGACAGGAAGGAGATGGAGGCTTGCATTCTGGGCATCATGGCGCTAAAGGGGTCTTGAGTTAGAAAGCACGGATTATAGGTTTCATGTCGCGAGTCACCGTGAGAGGACTGACCAATCAGGGGGCGTCGGGTTTTTCCACGAGGGTGCTCACGCCTGGCAACGAGGTAACGAATCAAACGAGGCATCTGAGATGTCGAAAAGCGGACCGCATTGCCTTGCTGTCGGCTTTGCTTTACTACTACAGTCTACACCCTTGATCCCTGTCCCTGCCAGAATAGAGCTGCTCTCGACAACTCCATCCACGAAATGTACAATTGAGGAGATGGTGATTAGCATTTGTTCGCTATTTACCGGTACTCGGGGCGAACGAAGTCGGCCAGGGTCTTGGGCTCGCCCTCGTAGTTGTGGGCACCGTCGTCGTCTGCGCGTCTGTATTAGTCTCGGGCCGGCACTTCTGAAGCTCTCTGAATGCGTACGGTGGTGATCGTGGTGGTGACCGTCGTCGGTAGGGCCGACGTATTCCATCTTCAGGACGTTGCCGCACTCGGGGCAGCGCTCGATGGGGCGGTCGCGGGACATCTAATGGCCAATTAGTTGATGATTTGGTCTTCATGTCCATCTCGGCCGGGCGTACGGTAAGCCACTTGACGACGTGGGAGTCGGCAGGGACACCGGTGCAACCAGCGTACTGCTCGTCGCCGAAGGACCTGACCATGATGGGGTCATCGAGCGTGCCTTGATCCGGGGTGTCAGCCGCAACATTGTCCTGATGTCGGATGCGCGGGGGGCGTTCGCGACATGTTGGCGGGGGCCATACCCTTGCGGGACGAGTCCAGAGGCTTCATGTCGAAGATGTCGACGCCCTGGATCTTGCCGAGAATCTCCAGACGCTCGAGACCGGTGGCCTGCTCGACGTCGGTGGGGACGGTACCGGGGGCGGCACCGGGGGGAAGAAGGTCGGCCTCCGTCGAGATCTCTGTGTGCATTTGTGAGCGCCAATCAGCTTGGGCGCATTGACGCGTCTCATCGCGCGCGGAGCGACCAACCCTCGAACTTCTTCATCTGCTTGGCATTCTGAGGCGCGTTGGCATCGCCTGCGGGGGGTCGGCATCAGCAGCTGCGGCATCTTTCGGCGGGGGAGCCAGGCTTGTAGCAGGGAGCTTACGGCGCACGATGGACGAGGTGAAGGTGCGGGCGACGGCGGGGCGGATGATGGCGCGCCTGGCGACGGCGAAGGCGGAGCGCTGGAGGAACATGGTGACGCAGCAATTGGCGCGGAGTGGAGAGGATGGGGTAGGCGGGTGGGTGTGCGGAAGCTTGATGTCGTCGCGAGAGAATGTCGAACGACCCGTCGGCAAATTTACGGTCCAACACGCCGCTTCCTCAGCGCCGAGAGCCCATACACAGCACGACTATTTCCAAGCACCATCATCCTCGCGGCATCTTCACAATTGCCATCTGATCACCACGATGACTGCACCTAGGTTTTACAAATGACGTAATTAATGTCAATTGACCAACAAAAGGCGCGATACTCAACATCCCTGCAACCGGCCCGCTCTTTTGTATGTATGTACAACGTTAACTATATATACAATCCATTGGCTGCTCTCGCCATGGTATCGATTCTACCATGTTCATTCAATCAGCACCGATGTTTATGAGCAGCGAGATCTGCACCCCAAATCGATATGCATCAAACTCTTGGCTCATACCAGTCTGGATACGTGCCTGCAACGTAGCGAGAACTACTCCATGAATGTGCAAACCAGTGTACGTCTCAACCGTCCTTCGTCCAGGTCGTGTCTGGGGATGACTATGTCCGTCTATCGTGTGTATCAGACCAGCCTCTATAGCTGCAGTCACGCCATTCCCGTTCGTCTTTCATGTAAACCTAAAGGGGTATAGACTGCCATTATACTCGGACTTAACCAGGTACAGATGCATGTATAGTAGCCTAATTGATATCAGAAATAATATCGTAACAGATGCCCAGATCATCGCCTTTTCCGAGAATGAAATCCTTAATGCTAAACTTTACTTTTGGCCACTGTCTGAATTCTTTCGAGTACTTCCTGACAAGATGTCCGAGCTCTCCACGTCCCGCATGATAGGTCGCTTGTCTCGATTGACATAATTGGAATAGATTAACGTCGGACCTTAACCTTCCACTTTCCTGTCTAGCCGCTGACTCATGGTTTGGTATCATCCTGTAGTAAGAAAGTATCTGGAACCCGTACCGGCATGTTCTAAAGTACGAAACTGGCTCTTCATCATCTCTATTCAACTTTTGAGGTATCTACGCTATATTCCGTTAACATCTATGTGCATGTTTTGGGTTGCACCGAACGAAAATGTTTGTTGAAGCCTCCGAATCATTGGTTTTCCAGAATGGCGATTTTGTGGCAACAAACTGCTGGAGAATGATATGACAAGGACCAATGGGATGGAGAGAATGATAGAACTGATCAACCTCGGTGGGTTCAAGTAAGTTGACGTGTAGTTTCTATTTGGCCAACCGGAGACAATTGCGGGGTCCCCGCGTTATGTTTGGAGCCATGAACGCGACACTGCGAAGTTTCTCTAAGGTTGCTGACCACTTTCACACCTTCAATCCCGACCATTTTACAAGAAATGATGTACCCATAAGCTACTTTCGGTACGCTTAGGAGACAACTCCACCCGGCTAACGCGTCCTTACATGAATTGCCAAACTCATTGTTTAAGTATTAGTCTTGAGTAAGCTGTTTGTGCATCGTCTATGATAGCTTACGACATGGAAGCTATAATATCTTTCACGATTGACGGAGAAGGCCCCAAATATCCACAAGATATCCATAAAACCCGTCCCAAAACCGTTCATGTGAATGCTGGTGTGGCAGGGAATCCCCTCCCGGTGGTCTGTATCATGACTACAATGCTCCAGGCTGGTCCGGTGTGATTTAGTCAGATCTGGTAACTCTGGGAGATATTCCGCTCCTCTTGCATTCAAGCGTCTCTTGATCCGCATAGTTCCTGTCATCAAGTACATGGCAGAGGAGCAAGAGCGACGAGCTTCGCCGACGCAGATAAAAAGAAATACATGGCTTCACTTCTTTGTATTCACGGTTGTCACGGGGAGAATTCACGCAGCTCGGTCGAATGGTAATGATGGCCAACTCTGTAATTTTTATGGCACAACAGATATCTAAAGTGAGTGTGCCTCGGGCTCGTTGCTCGTCGTGCATTTTAACACATTGAACGCCGCACGGTCAAGATTCCCATCCAAGATCCCCCATGAACTCCGAAAAAGACTTTTCAACTTTTCAGGACTGCTCGGTGCGCCTAAGAGTAGAGCTTCTTGTCGAAGCTGTGCAGGCCGTGGACGTTACCCTCGGCCTGAGCGCTGGCAGTGCGGAGCTCGAAGCGGACCTTGCCCTCCTGGACATGGTTGTGAAGCTCATTCAAGCTCGTGATACCCATGTCCTGGAGCGAGTGCTGCACACCGGCATGGAGGTAAGGCAGGAACTTGGTGATGGAACCACGGTCGAGGACGGAGCCAGAGACACCCTGAGCAACCAGGACCCTGTCGCCCTCAGAGAAGTAACGGGCAGTACCGGCGTTGCTGGCCTTGGCATCGACGCCGCCAGCACCAGCCTTCTTGTCCTCCATAGCATCAATGGAGCCCATGCCGCGGTAGGCCTTGACAAGCTGTCCCTCGCGACTGACGAAGTACTGACCGGGAGACTCAGTGGTACCAGCAAGCAGACCGCCCATCATGACAGTGCTGGCACCCATGGCAAGACCCTTGACAATGTGACCGACGTTCTGAATACCACCGTCGGCAATGCAAGGCACGCCGAAACGAGCGGCAAAGCGGGTAACGTTGTAGACAGAGGTGGCCTGGGGGCGACCAACAGCCATGACCTCCTGAGTAATGCAAGCACTTCCGCTACCCATACCAATGCGAATACCGTCGACACCCGCGGCAATGAGAGCAGCAGCCTGATCACGGGTAACAACGTTACCACCAATGACGTCCAGACCGGGGTACTTCTCCTTGATGAACTTGACCATCTCGATCTGGTACATCGAGTTACCCTGGGAGCTGTCAAGGATGACAATGTCCAGGCCGGCCTCAACGAGCTTCTCGAGACGGATCTTGTCCTCGGGGCGGGTGCCAATGGCGGCGGCAGAGATGAGCTGCTTCGAGTCGGGGAGCTTCGAAGCCAGGGGGAAGTTCAGGTTCTTCATCAAGTCGGAGCGCGAGAGAAGGGCGACCAGGCTGCCCTCCTCGTCGATGATGGGAAGCTTGCCCTTCCTGGAAGTACGGAGGAGCTCGTTGGCCCCCTCGAGGGAGATGCCAGTCTTGGCAGTGACAAGGTCGGTGGACATGACCTCGGTGACGGGGAGATCGAGGTCCTTCTCGAACTGGATGTCGCGAGGGGTGATGATGCCGATGAGCTTGGAGCGGAGAGTACCAGCCTCTGTACATCAGGTCAGCATGAGCAAGTATAATAATGCTTGCAGACAAGACAAAACATGAAGCGGGTCAGAAAACATGTGTCTCCCCACACGACGGAATCGTGCTGCGGTTGAACGAAAGTTATATAATATGGTTGGAACATCACGGAATTTTGTGCTCTCGGTGCGAATAGCAGGGGAACGTACCGGTGACAGGGAAACCGCCGTAACCGTGCTTCTCCCTGAGAGCCTTGGCCTCGCCGACGGTGGTCTTGGGGGAGATGACGACAGGGTCAAGGATAAAGCCGTTCTCGTAGCGCTTGACCTTGCGGACCATCTCGGCCTGGTCCTCCATTGAGCAGTTGTGGTGGATGACACCGAGACCGCCGAGCAGAGCCATGTGGATGGCCATGTTGTGCTCGGTGACAGTGTCCATGGGAGACGAAAGGAAGGGCGTCTTCAGAGTGATACGCTTCGTAATGGGCGAGTCAAGGGCGACTTGGGAGGCGGGGAAACCTGGGAAACAAACGGTCAGGCGCACACCCATGCGATTCTGGGCGGGAAGTAATCGTACCGATGTAGCCGGGCAGGACCAGGAAGTCGTTGTAGGTGAGGCCACCGTTCCTCTTCGAGTCAACGAGGGTGTGGACATCGATGCCGTCGTACTCGGCATAGTCGTTCTTCAGGACGTCGAGGGCGGTCTTGTGGTCGAGCACCTGAGCAGGCGCAGCTCCGTTGACGGCGGGCATGTTGAAAAATGGGGATGCAGATGTTGCGGAGCGAGAATGCGGGTATCAAGAGAAGAAGAACGGACGACAGGCTAAACAATATTCGTGGTCAGGCTGCCGCCGGGGAGTTTTCCCAAGAAGAAAACTTTTGGAGGAGAGGGCAGCGCGAGAAATTTGAGGGCGGCCAGAGCCCGGAGGCTCGGCGCTGCTTTCTGCCGGTCCCGCGCGCTAATCGATAAGGAAGCTTCCAGCCCGCACAGATGGCCGGCCACGGCGTGACGGCGCTTCCCACGGGGCGCCGCAGCTCTAGATTCCCTCTTGAAATGATTCCTCGGTCCTCCGCCAACGGGCGCCCTGGCGGCACGGCGGCCTGCGAGCTTGTGCGCTGTCGACCGGTGCGGCAATTTGTGTTTGCGGCGTCCAGGCGCGCTAGCGAGGTGCAACGCGCGCACGCGTCTTGAGGTTGCCGTCATAGTCACCACGTCCTTTTGGCTCACCGCTCATCGCGAGAAGTTCGTCGATCCCCCGGCGCGAGCAGCAGGCGGCGTCCCGTGCGTGCGATGCCAGATGCTTCAACACCTGCAGCCATGCAGCGGGCTCCATGATTGCTGCAGGCCGCGAGACGGCATCCCAGCCGGCCAGGGCAGCGGGGATGCGCGTGCATGTCGCACGAGAGCCGCTAGCTGGGGCGGTGGCCGTCGCTCGCCGTCGCTCGCCGTCGCTCGCCCAGCCAGGCGGTTGCCCACTTGATCCGCCGCACGGGCCACGGTAAACACGCTGCCTTGCAGCCGCCAAACACCCGCTCGCTCTGTCTGTCGCTACTTCTCGTTTTGCGCACGCTGCTCCCGAGTCCACCCCCTTCACCATACCCCCGCCCCCGAAGGTGGCTGCTACCAGCTCGAAGCCCACCTGGCTCTCGCGATTCCCTGCCGCGAGCTTCGGATCCCGGCCTTCCGCGCCTCAGCCCACCGCACATCGGGCCGCCATCTCGAGCCGATCCTCCAACCTCGAGCCGCTCTCGAGGCCAGCAGCTGTGCGACGAGCACTTGTGATGTCCACGCCTTACGATTAATACGATCATCATGTCCAACTCTCCGACCCGCCCGCGCTCCCAGCACCAGGCTTCCTTTCCCAGTCCACTGCGCCAGACGTCAACCGCCTCAAACGGATCCTCGGCACATTCGACCAACGATGCGCCCAGCCGGACGAGCACCGTTTCGTCCGCTTCTAATGGCCAGACCGATTTCCGCAGTGTGCTCAAGAGCCATAGGCGGGGGCTTAGCGAGAATACAAACGTTGTGACCAACCAAGATGCCCTTGGCCACAACCCCGCGGGCACCTACCTTTCCATGCGTTCGAAGCTCCGCCCGCTGGGGCAGGCTCCCGCCAGCCCTCCTTCCTCGCCAGAAAAGGCCCATACTCCAACCCACTCCCGCTCTAAGAGCTATGCGCCGACCAGCTCATCTCCTCCAATCATAGACACGGCCGCTTCGCGCGCGCATCCTCGCTCCCCGAACCTCCCCACCCCACTCTCCCCTCCTGTCCAACTGTCTCCTCCTGTCCAAGATACCCCCCCGCCTCGTGTGCACAACAGATCGCAAAGCTTGGATCCTTCAAATGCGCCTCACCTCCATCGTGCTGCATCTCCCACCTCTGGAATGGACGGTTCAACGTCACCAACCAAGCGCTTTTCGATGGCGCTGTCCCGGGCAGACTCAGTCAGAGCGCCTGCGCGAGAGCGTCCGAAATCTGTGCATTTCACCCCTCAGCTGGAACATCCCGACCTCAAGGGGTTGGAGAGGTCGTCTACGGCACAGCTGAGGACTCTATCCAAGTTCGGCGCCAGTGGCGATGAAGAGTTTACCATCAAGTCACCCGAGGAGGAAGTTGTTGGTATGCATGGACGGCGCAGACTGCAGCGAGGCATCTCTACGCGTGGCAAGAAAGTTCAATCTGGCTGGGCCACCAGGACATGGATGGATCAGCAACGGCAGTTCCTGCAAGCATACGAATACTTGTGTCATATTGGTGAGGCCAAGGAGTGGATTGAGGACATCATTGATAAGCCCATCCCAGCTATCGTACAGCTCGAGGAGGCGTTGCGCGATGGCGTCACCCTGGCAGAAATCGTTCAAGCTCTAAATCATGACAAGCCCGTCAGGATCTTCCGACACCCGAAACTACAATTCCGTCACTCGGACAATATTGCGCTTTTCTTCCGGCTCTTGCACGATGTTGAGTTGCCCGAACTCTTCCGCTTCGAGCTTGTGGACTTGTACGAAAAAAAGAATATTCCGAAGGTCATCTATTGCATCCATGCGCTGTCCTGGCTCCTCTACCGCAAAGGCATAGTCGATTTCCGGATCGGAAACCTGGTGGGTCAACTTCAGTTCGAGGACCATGAACTGGAGGAGATGCAGAAGGGACTGGATAAATCTGGTGTCAGCATGCCCAACTTCTCTGGAATGAGCGCTAATTTTGGCGAACCGGAGCCCGAGCCTGAACCGGTCGAGACCGAGGAGGAACGTATTCAGCGTGAACTTGCGGAATACGAAGACGTCGTTGTTGATCTCCAGGCTCAGATCCGAGGAGCCATGGAGCGCATGCGTCTTGGGGAATTCATGCAGGCCCTGTGGGATAACGAAGACTGGATCGTTGATCTCCAATCCAGAATTCGAGGAGATTTCTCAAGGCAAATTGCCGAGTACAAAATGGACATGCGGAGATTCGCGGTAAATCTACAGAGTGCTAGCAGGGGCTTCATTGTACGTTCGCAGAAGCAAAACAACGAGCAATACTGGCACAACAAGGAGAAGGAGGTTGTGACTATCCAAAGCCTTGTCCGCGCACGCAAGGCTAGAGCCGAGGTCCAGCATACCAAGACATGCGTCAAGCACCATGAACCCGGAATCAGGTCATTCCAAGCCGCCATCCGGGGAGCGCTGAAGCGGAGAGACGTTGCCGACCAGTACGAGGCGACTCAAGAAGCAGCAGCAGGTGTAACGGAGCTGCAAGCCGCGATTCGAGGTGCCCTCCTGCGCAAATTCATCGAAGATCAACTTGCCGACTTGCAGGACGCCGAGACCGCAATCCAAGCCTTCCAATCTGCTGTTCGCGGCGCACTCCTACGCAACAAGGTGGCAGATCAGCTTGCTGGCATTCAGGATGCCGAGGTCAGCATCCAGGCCTTGCAGTCTGCCATTCGTGGCGCCCTTTTGCGCAAGCAGATGGACGATCAGTGGGCGGCTACGCAAGAGGCCGGAAACCAAATCGAGCTCCTCCAAGCTCTCACCCGCGGCATGTTGATCCGAAAGTCTCAGCGTGCCGAGCAGGACAACCTGCGCCAGCAGGAGGCTGTCTTCACAATGCTGCAGGGAGCTATTCGCGGAGCTGCTGCGAGGGCCCAAACTTCGCAACTGGTTGACGATCTGTCGAGTGAAGAAGCTCACTGGGAGCAGCTGCAGGCTGCCGCTCGTGGCAATGCGCTCCGCAGCTCAATGGATCAGCTCCGCGAAAGCCTTGCCTCATGCACGGACGAGACCGTTGAACTTCAATCTGCCGCTCGTGGTGCAAAGACAAGAGCTGACGTTGCGGAGACACTGAATGCGTTGGCGGAGCAAGAGGAGGTGATCCTGGATTTGCAGTCGGCAATCAGGGGTCAGCTCCTCCGACAGAAGTACCAGGCGGACCTCGATGCTCTTGAAGCTGCAACCTCAAGTATTACCGAGTTCCAGTCCGCGGCACGTGGTCTTGCCGCCCGGAACGAGACGTACGACACCCTCTGTGCCCTTGCAGAGAATGAAGAACAGGTTACCGAACTTCAGGCCCTGACCCGGGCGATGCTTTCTCGAGCGAAAATTGGTACCCTGCTTATGGAACTGGAGCCTGAGGAAGAAGCGATTTGCGAGCTCCAGTCTCTGGCGCGTGGCAAGCTGATCAGGACTCGCTTTCAGGAAAAGCAAAAGTTCTACAGAGAGAACATGGAAAAGGTTATCAAAGTTCAAAGCTTCGTTCGGGGTCGTCAGCAGGGCGAGGCCTACAAGAGTCTCACCAGTGGAAAAAACCCGCCCGTCAGCACCGTCAAGAACTTTGTCCACTTGCTCAACGACAGCGATATCGACTTTGACGAGGAGATTGGTAAGTACAGGGTTCGCCCCGTTGGGACTATAACAACATACTGACTTGACCACAGAGTTCGAACGTCTGCGAAAGACGGTTGTTCAACACATTCGCCAGAACGAGATGGCCGAGCAATACATTGATCAGCTGGACATCAAGATCGCTCTCCTTGTGCGCAACAAAATCACCCTTGATGAGGTCGTAAAGCACCAGAGGCATTTCGGTGGCCATGTCGGAAACCTCCTGACCAACAAAGAGCTGGCCTCCAAGGACCCTTTCGATCTCAGAGCACTGAACAAGAATTCCAGAAGGAAGCTGGAGCACTACCAGGAATTTTTCTTCATCCTGCAGACCCAGCCCCAGTATCTCGCACGCCTATTCAAGAAGCTTCGTGACCAGGGACTGGCCGAGAAGGAGAGCAAACGGGTTGAGCTCCTCATCATGGGTCTTTTCGGATTCGCCCAGAAGAGGAGAGAGGAGTACTATCTTCTCAAGCTGATTGCTCGGTCAATCAAGGAGGAGGTCGACATGTGTGGTTCCGTCCAAGACTACCTGCGTGGGAATTTCTTTTGGAGCAAGGTCTTGGCCAATTATATCCGAACTCCACGAGACAGAAAGTATCTGCGGGAGCTGCTCGGACCGTTGATCAAGGAGAACATCATGGAGAACGAGGCGCTCGATCTGGAGAGTGATCCGCTCCAAATCTACCGGTCGGCCATCAACAACGAAGAGCTCAGGACGGGCCGACGCAGTCGCAGGATGCCAGATGTACCCCGTGAAGAAGCGATCCGAGACCCAGAAACTCGTGAAACTTTCATCCGCCATCTGCAGGATCTGCGCGACATCGCTGATCAGTTCTTTGCCAGTATGGAGGAGCTTCTCCACAAGATGCCGTACGGTATGCGCTATGTTGCTCAACAGCAACACGAGGCCCTGTGTAAGAAGTTCCCCCACGACGAGCCACAGTACGTTCTCCAAATCATTGGACATTGGCTCTGGAAAACCTACCTGCAGCCGGCTCTGGTGCAGCCTGAAACCTGGGGTGTCATTGACCGCGGCCTCTCGCCGCTTCAAAAGAGGAATCTCGGTGAGGTGGCCAAGGTGGTTGGCCAGGTTGCAGCTGGAAGACATTTTGGTGGCGACAACATCTATCTTCAACCGTTGAACAGTTACATCACAGAAGCAATCAGCCGGCTTGAAGAAATATGGACAACCCGTAAGTTTGCTCGTTCTGTGCCGGGCTTGATGTTCTGACCAAACTGATTTTCTCCAGTCATCACCATTCGCCCGGCTGAACGCCAGTTCGATATCGACGAGTTCAATGATCTCTACAGCACTCAGAAGCCTACTCTGTACATCAAGCTTTCGGACATATTTGGTATTCATCAGCTCGTCGCCTCGGACCTCCCCTCGATTTGCATTGCGCAAGACGACATTCCACTGCGGGAGTTACTCCGCGAGCTGGGCAGTGCAAAGGGCAACGAGCACGAGTTGTCTAGCGTCAACGCAAATGAGATCAGTCTCACTCTGAACCCCAAGTTCCACGAAGTTGAAGGCGAGTGCTCCCGTTCGTTCAAAGGGTTCTTGAGAAATTCTAACTCTTCGCAGATGCCGATGCACCAATCAGGGCCTTGTATATGGAGACGAAGCGTTGTGTCCTGTACATCATCCGTATTCAGACCGGACCGGATCTTTTGAGCATCATGGTCAAGCCGGTGACGGATGAGGATGAGGATCGCTGGGCGGAACTTATCCAGGAGGAAATCATCCCTGACAACAACAGGCAGCGCTCGGCCTATACGGACACGGCGTCCCCTCTGATCGACATTGCCTCGCTCAGCTACACGGAACTCAAGCGTACTGCGCTCGAGAACATCATGACTCTTGAGCACACTGGTCGCATCGATCGCCACAACCGGTACCAGGACCTGCTTAACGAGATTGCCATTGATATCCGCACCAAGCATCGTCGCCGCGTCCAGCGCAGCCGGGAAATGGAGAACATCAGGGCGACACTGAACGCTCTGGACTCCAAGTCGGAGTGGCTGGACAGCCAGCTCAAATCGTACAACAACTACATTGAGCAAGCCATGGTGACGCTGCAGAGCAAAAAGGGCAAGAAGCGGTTCCTTCTTCCTTTCACGAAGCAGTACAACCACGAGCGTGAGCTGCAGAGGCGAGGTCAAGTGCCGAAGTTCGGGTCGTTCAAGTATTCGGCTCGGGCTCTCGGCGAGAAGGGAGTGTTGGTCGAGTGGCGAGGGTACACGGACAAGGACCGTGGTTGGGAGAAGACCAACATCACCATCTCCAGCGACCAGGTCGGTATCTTCCTCGTCGAGGGGTCGGTGGGAAGCATGATGATACCTGGGGCCAGCGCCGTGATCCCGCTCGACGATCTCCTGCAGGCGCAGTTCGAGAACAAACAGTTCATCCACCTGTTTGGGGGCGAGGAAGCGGGAGCTCAGGGGTCGCTCAAGCTTAATGTTAATCTCCTCTTGCACCTGGTGTTCAAGAAGTTCTACAGAGATGGCGGATCTTGAGGGGATGATCTTGTCACGCCTTTCCTTTCTTACGACGGGCGTCGTTTTTTCTTTGCTCGTTCCTGAAGTCCATTACAGTGGACGAATACCCCAACAGGCACTGTTAGCCCGCACACATACCCATTTCTTTCGTCTACTTCTTCTCCGCACCGGTTCTGGAGGCTCGTTATCTGCTTGACGTTTGGGCATTCTGCATGACATGAGCTCTGAGGAGCGCAATGGTGTTTGAAGTCTTGTTTCTGTTTGCTTTTTTGGGCGGGCTGGTGGAGTCAGGGTATAGAATGTATGTACGCGCACATGTGCATGACCTATCGCCGATATACTTTTATCGCTCCAACCCGGGGCGCAGCAAAAGCCTGATGTACTTGTCTAATGGGTCAATTATGAACAAGACACTAGCCAATGGTCCGACTCCAGATCTGCATGACGTAGACGTCGATAAGCGAGCCGTAGACGCCAGGGCAACCTCGGCTCAATCCTAAGCCCCCCCCGCAACCACCTGCCAATGGATCTCACTACGCCGACGCGTACTGGCCGAGAACTTCGGTAGCCATGCGCTTCTCCGCCTCCCGTGGACTGAGGCAGCACCGCTTCTTAAACCCTTTACGACCTTCAGCCATCAACCGAGCCTGTGCTGCGCTCTCGACCTTCGCCTCAACCCGTCCACACTGCACCCTACTACTACCACGACGACAACCATCCACGCCGTATCACAACGCACCCAGGCAGTCCTCCTCCTCCTCCTCCCCCTCGCCATCGTCATTCATGGCACCATCAACCCCCTCAACAACATCCCAATCCCGAAACGTTTCTTCTTCATCCTCTCCTCCCTCCCCCTCCTCCTCCTCCCCACCACCACCACCACCACCACCCAATAAAAACCCCAACAAGCCCTCCCCCGCCCCTCCCCGCCCCTCCTCCTCCATCCTCCTGCTCTCCCCGACCAACGAAGTCCTCCTCCTGCACCGCGTGCAGACGTCGTCGTCCTTCCCTTCGGCCCACGTCTTCCCCGGCGGCAACTGCGAGGCCTTTCACGACGGGGAGCTGCCGGACGTCGGGAGCGAGGGGAGGCACGCCGACGGGCCGGCGTATCGGTGGGCGGGGGTGAGGGAGTGTTTTGAGGAGAGCGGGATTTTGTTGGTGAAGGATAGTGGGAATGGCGGGGGGGAAGGGGGAGGGATGGTGGAAGAGGGGGTGAGGGAGAGGGCGAGGAAGGAGGTGCATGGGGGGACGAGGAGGTTTGGGGATGTGTTGGCCGAGTGGGGGGTAGTGGGGGATGTTGGTGAGTTTTTTTTTCTTTCCTTTTTTTTTTGAAATGTTGTTTTGGAGAGAAGAGAAGGTGGGATGTAGGGTATTTCTTTTCCAAGGGAGGGGAGATGGGACTTGCAGACACCGCATCGCTCACCATTGCAATCATCTCACAGACAACCTCATCCCCTTCACGCGCTGGATCACGCCCACCAACGCCCCCAAGCGCTTCACCACCCAGATGTACCTCTACCTCATGCCGCTAGCTCCGGAAACCCCTCCCTCCAGCCCAACCACAACAACAACAACAACAACGACACCGACGGGCGCCGCCCCCCTCCCCCTCCCCCTCCCCCTCACCCACGAAGCCGTCATCCCCCTCCCCACGCCCGACGGCGGCGTCGAGCACACCGCCGCGCGCTTCCTCCCCGCCCACGCCTGGCTCGACCTCGCCCGCGCCGGCGACATCATCCTCTTCCCCCCGCAATTCTTCCTACTCCACCTCGTCGCCCAGCACGTCTGCAGCACACCCCCATCATCTCCATCTCCATCTCCATCTTCATCGTCTCCATCTCCATCTCCATCTCCATCATCACCACCTCAACCCCGCTCCCTCCTCCAACGCCAACGCGACTCCCTCCTCTCCTTCGTCCGCGAGGGGGGCTGGGGCGAGAAATGCATCTCCCCGGCCGTGGTCGGCGGGGGCAGGCGCAAGAGCGACGGGCGGGTCGTGCTGGCGCTGGATAAGCCTGGGTGGGAGCTGGAAGGGAGCGGGCGGGAGGGGGTGAGGGAATACGTCGTGTTGGTGGATTTTAGAAGGGAGGGGCCGAGGAGGGTGGAGGTGGGGTTGAGGAGCGAGGTTTTGGCTGAGGATAGGGAGAGGGAGAGGGAGAGGGTGGGGGAGGGGAAATTGTGAAGGGGTTCGGTTGTAAGGAGGGAGGGAGGTCGGTTGTAGGGAGGGAGAAAGGGGGGGAGGGGGGAGGTTTTGAGTTGATGGTATGTGGAGATTGTTAACAGTTGGAGAATTGGGGGTGGGGAGGGGGAGAGGCCTTGGACGTTTTGGTGTATTTCCCGATGTATAGGGCTTTTACCAGGCTAGAGCGGAGAAAGATTGGAGAGCATGAGCATCGTGGGATGGTTTCGCCGTCTTATTGCCTAACGGCCAGAAGTTGGATAGTCAGATCTCCCTACCTACATGCACACACAAGCCCAGCCCAGCCAAGACTTGCAGCCAAGACCGGCGCAGAAGATATGCAGCAGGGTACGTGCGGGCCAACTGCGCGCCCAAACTTTGACTCGCCTTCATCTTCAAACGTCGTGCCAAGGGGTTGGCGCAGACACGTGGCGATGCAGGGTCCTTTCTTTTTCGGGTTGCCCTGTGTGGCGCGCGGTCCGAATAGCCCATCGTACTGGAAGCGAATGAATGGAGACGTCCAGAGTTGGTCGTCAACGTGGAGATTCACCGTTTGAACCAAATGTGATTCCAGAGATGTATGTCAACTAAAACTAGGGGAGGGGCGATATATCAATGTCGCGGACGCGACAGCTTTCAAGAGATGAGTCGATGCATAAGAAAGATAGGCATGTGGCCCCTTTCAAATGCTTTAAATATCAGCATTTAAGAACAGCTATATGGAATTTTGGCGTTGCTTTTTCTTTTCTTTTCTAAGAGCTGTAAATTATTCCAGGATAAATTTACGGGAATATATCTTTATATTGTAGGTTGAAGCACTTCTCCGGAAGTAGCCTTGGACGGTTTATTTTGGTATTACTATACAGAAGAGGGCTTTCGTTCTCATAAACATGGCATATTTAAGATAAGAGACCAACGCTAGCTATAAGTATTGTTGACCTTAATATAAAATTCGGTACGTACAGTACGTTACTAAAAGTAAAATCTATCGTGACCTACTATAGGGAAGCATCGAGAGTAGCTGGATGGCTTACTAGGGTTACGTAGCGCATATTCCTTTACCTCCAATCTCTGAACCGAGCCTGGGCTATCGCTAGTCGCAATGAAGCGGGAACCTTAAGGGCCGTACGAGGATGTAGTCGAAAATAGCAGTATCTTGTGCAAGCTTTGGCGGTGAGATCGCCTGCCGGTTAGATTTCCGATTATGAGATGGTGATAGCAAAGCAACACGAGAGGTGCGACCTATCTCAATCGCCTCATTAGTCCAGGAAAAGGTTTCTAGCTTTTCAGTCCTAACCTGAAGATGGTTGATCCATCGTGTCCCACAAACGGAAGCTGTCCATTGGTGTGAACAAAATCACGTAAATGGTTGGACACGTTGGTAAAGGACGTCAAGGCCGACCACACCCACAAACCAACGTCCGTCGACGAAAAAAAGACCGATTCATCACCAGAGAAACAGGTGACTTGTCGCGTCTGCGCTATCGCCAAGTTGGACCCGGCATTGGCCTAGTTGAGAGAGATAGCTCGAGGTCTTGGGCCACGGTCGTCGAGGCTATGTAGGTCTTTCTATCTGTCTCTAAATTCCTGCTATCTGATGCACGACACTAATAATCTGAGATAAATGACAATCGCAACATTCGATCTCAGAACAGACATACAGCACACCCCATAAGGACACACTACACGTTCTACGCATCTACGCCTTTGCCTTCTCCTCAGCCAACGCCTTGAATCCGGCCTCGAGATCGTCTCTCAAGTCCTCCCAGCTCTCGATACCAATAGAAAAGCGGAGCAGGGTGGGATCCACGCTCTTGTCGCTCATGCGGCGCCACTCGACCAAGCTCTCGACGCCGCCCAAGCTGGTGGCATGATGGAAGAGCTTGAGCTTGCTGGGCAGCTTCCTCGCCTCCTCCTCGCCACGCATCCACACGGCGAAGACGGGCCCAAACCCATTGGGCATCTGCCTCTTCAGCCAGCCGTCCGCGAGGTCCTCCGCCTGCAAGCTCGCGTGCACGACCTTGCTCGCCACCGCGGCCACGGGGCTCCGGGCGTCGTCGCTCACGAGGTTCTCATGCAACCACCTGACGAGGCGCTCGGCGTTGCGGCTCTGGGCCTGCACGCGCAGCTGCAGCGTGCGCAGGCTGCGCACGCCGAGCCAGCCCTCGAGGCTCCCCATGACGCTGCCGAGGAAGACGCGCTCGTTCCACAGGCCCCAGAACCAATCCTCGCGCCGCTCGGGCACGACGAGCACGCCGCACAGCATGTCGCTGTGGCCGCCGACGTACTTGGTGCCGCTGTGCATGACGACGTCGGCGCCCAGCGCGAGCGGGTCCTGCAGTCCCGGCGGGCCAAACGTCGAGTCTATCGACAAGAAGGCGCCGCGGGCGTGCGCCTTCGCCGCAAAGGCCGCGATGTCGTACGCCGCGCCCGTCGGGTTCAGCGGCGTCTCGACGTGCACGACGTCGCCCTCGCCCAGGCCCGCGGCGTCCCACGTCGCCTCGTCGTGCAGGTCCGCCGTCCGGAGCCCGTGCATCTTGGTGTGCAGCGCCAGCACGCCGTGGCAGCCGTGGTAGCCGCCCAGCCCGTCGTGCCCGATGGCCACCACGTTCGGCCGCAGGTACACCATCAGCGCGTGGAAGGCCGACAGGCCCGACGTGTACGTCAGCGCCCGCCCGCCCGTCAGCTCCGACAGCAGCGCCTCCAGGCGCGTCGTGTTGGGCGCCGACAGCCGGCTGTAGACGGGCGGTATGTCGGTCGAGGGCGGCGGCCCGTCCGTCTCCAGCTCGGTGGCCGGCCGCAGCTCGGCCGGGTCGTGCTTGTAGCGGAACGTCGTCGATACGTGCATCGCGGGCGCCACGTCGGTCCCCTTGTTGAGCCAGTCGTCGCCGTGGATGGCCAGCGTGGCCGGGTCGTAGGTTGTGGGAGGCGTCATTGTTGCTTCGGTGTCGAGTCGGGCGGGAAGGAAGGAAGTCCGAAAGAAAGCGAATTGGCCGGCCACGCAAGGCTTGGACGGCGGCTGTTGAAGCGTGGCCGTTGGCGATTTAAGCAGCGAGAAGGGTGGTGGTTGAGAGATGGAAATTCGTATGAGTCGAACCCGTCGAACCCGTCGAAGGCGGGAATTGGAAGCGCGCGCGCGCGCCTGCCCCACCGCCCGATGACGGAATCGCATGATTCATCTGCCCATGACCCTGAGGATCGGCCACACGGCAATTGGAGGAAAAAGTCACGTCGGTCTGCCGATGCGGACGGTAGGTGGAGTCGGACATGACTTGTGGCCGTCGAGAGGGGGATGTGGTGTCGAGGCCACTGATCAGGGGAGGTCAGCCCGCCGCAGCCCGCAGAAGAGGGCGCATCGGTCGCGACAATGCATGCAAATGCGTGCGTACACACGCGAACGCATTCGAAGAGCGCACCGTGGAGTGGAAAAAGATGGCAAATGACAGCAGAGATCGTGTTGTTATTGGTCACCAGGATCGCTACTAATCTAACCGCCACTTTTTGCTGCTACCCCGCAGCCCCGCCAGCTGCCCCTCACTACATGGTGATTCTTCAACGGGCTAAGCAACGGCTCGTCATCTCATAGCATCGTCACAGTGAAAGCAAGCCGTTTACTGCTGGCCCGACTTGACGATGGCGGGGGCCTTCCTGTACTTGATGGCGCCAGAGCCGCTGCCGCAGGCCTCGATGGCCTTGACGACCCTGTACGACTCGACGTCACCGTCGGGAACGGAGCCGAAGACGACGTGCTTGCCGTCCAACCACGAGGTGACGACGGTGGTGACGAAGAACTGCGAGCCGTTGCTGTGGCAAAAGGGTTAGCCTCTTTCTCAATTGGGTGGGGCGGGGCTGTGTCTCCTTACGTGTTGGGGCCAGCGTTAGCCATGGAGAGGAGGAAAGGCTTGGAGTGCTGGAGCTTGAAGTTCTCGTCGGCGAACTTCTCGCCGTAGATGGACTTGCCACCAGTGCCCTGCGCAGCCGTCAGTATCGCGCCTTGACCAGCGACGCAGCGATGACGCCATCGTCGTCGCGGTTGTGAGGGAGCAACGGGAGGCACGTACGTTGCCGCGGGTGAAGTCGCCACCCTGGAGCATGAACTGGGGGATCACGCGGTGGAACTTGGAGCCCTGGTAGCCGAAGCCCTTCTCGCCGGTGCACAGGGCGCGGAAGTTCTCGGCGGTCTTGGGGACGACATCGTCGAAGAGCTCGAAGTTGATGCGGCCGGCCTGCTCCTTGACGGCGCCGGTCGACGTGACGTTGCCCTTGGAGTCAACCTGGACCTCAGGGCCCCTGGAGAGATGCGGTCAGCAGCACGTCGCGGTCAATGCGGCGCGGCGACAACTTACTCCCACTCGCAGTCGAACTGCAAGCAACGGTTAGCGACAGCAGCAGCAGAGGGCGCGAGGGCGGGGAGGACGTACGAAGACGTTGATACCCATGTTTGCTGATGAAGCGTGGAAGTTTCTAATGGAAGAGGGTGTGGATTGGGTGAAGCGGTGGAGTGGTGTGTTGAAGAAGAAGCGGGAGGAGGGGCCTTTGGAGGGGTAGAAAATACGTGGAACGGAGCAGCCCCGCCTCGGGAGGAACGCGGCCATGGTCTGCGGCGCTTCGGGTTTAGCGGTTAGGGCACGTGAGGAGAAAAGTGAGACGCCTTGGGCTGCTGCGCAACGCCTGCGGAGGGCTGTGCCTGCCTCTGCAAGCTCTGCCCTAATGCACATCCGTCGTCATGGTGGGGAAACCGAGGCTGACCAAGCCGGCGAGCCTGCGCAGGACGACGGTGGCCGCGGGCGATCGGAGAGCTCAGAGCTGGCTGGAGCTCCCCAGGCGCAGCAGCCGGCGGCTGTGGGAGGGCTGGACACGTACCGATGCAGCTGGGAGCGGGCTTGATGGATGCGAGTGCGTTGGACGGAGCTCGATGGAGCTTGCGGCGGGCGATTGAGAGCAATTGAGGACGCTGCGCGACAGGCGATGGGTGGGAATCGTCGAGCTGCGCTTCTCTCAGAAGACTCGCAGAGCACTGACGCAGCCGATGGCATCGCCGGCGCCGAGCAACATTCCACCGCCAGTCACGTGACAGTCGCCATCCGCCTCTCGCACCACCCACCAGCCGCGGCTGCGGGCCGCGCGCACGCTGTGCTGACCGGCCATTTCTCACCGCTCTGCTCGGGCAGTCGAACGAGACATCACGTGCAGAGTCGAGACTCCCGTGCCGTCCGGGCGCGGCCAGGGTGCGGTACCGGGAACGGCGGTCGGGCATCCAAGCCCCGGTTGAGCGTCACTGGGCGCATGAAGAGGCCACTTGGAGAGCGCGCCTCACAGAACCCCCCAAAGACCGAAGGGCAAGTTGTCTGGCCTCTTGGTCTGCGCAGCTGCTGAGAGCATCTGGACGTTCCACCGCCGTCTGACGCTACGTGGGCGTGCTCGAGACCGTTCGACTTCTCCGGCGAGCTTCGGGCGACTCCAACCCTGGAACTACCTGCCAAGGCCATCTCCCGCCCCGGGGAAAGCACCACCGAACGCTATAAACTACCCTTCCTCAACACCACCGCCTCCGCAGAGCTCGCCAGTCGCCACTGAGCCCGCGCCCAAGATGGATTTCGACAACCTCAAGGACAAAGTGAGCAACCTCACGCTCTACGACATCAAGGCCGGCGTGCGCAAGGTCCAAAATGGTATGCGACATCTGTCCGGACGCCAGCGCGCAAGGGTAGCGGACATGGCTGACCACCAGCACAGCCGTCATGAACTATACCGAGATGGAGTCGAAGGTGCGCGAGGCCACTAACAATGAGCCCTGGTGAGCAGCCTTCTCGCACCCTCGCGTCGACACCGTTGCTGATCTCACTCTCCAGGGGAGCATCTTCGTCTCTGATGCAGGAGATCGCGAATGGCACGTACAACTAGTCAGTCCCTCCGCAACGCCCTACCTTTCTCCGCGCATGCTAAACCATGCATCAGCCAGCTGCTCAACGAGATCATGCCCATGATTTACAAGCGTTTCACCGAGAAGTCCGCGGAGGAGTGGCGGCAAATCTACAAGGTGCGCCCCTCCGACCCAATCACCCCACATGCTAGGCGCAACGTGCTGACGGGAAGACAGGCCCTCCAACTCCTTGAGTTCTTGGTCAAGAATGGCTCCGAGCGTGTCATCGACGACGCACGATCCCACCTCTCGCTCCTCAAGATGCTGCGCCAGTTCCATTACATCGACATGAACGGCAAGGACCAGGGTATCAACGTGCGCAACCGAGCAAAGGAACTGGGCGAGCTGCTCAGTGATGTGGAGCGCATCCGTTCAGAGCGCAAGAAGGCCCGGGCTACTCGCAACAAGTATACTGGTGTCGAGGGTGGTGCCGGTCTTGGTTTCTCCTCCAACAACCGCTATAGCGGCTTTGGCAGTGAGAGCGGTGGTGGCTTTAATGGCGGCGGCGGCTATGGCGGCTTTAGCGGAGGTGTCTACGGCGACGGTGGTGGCTTCGGCGGCGAGGCAGACAGCAGCTACCATGGCTCGGGCAACAGCAGGCGAGACAGGTTTGACGAGTATGACGAGTACGACGAAGGCGCAGTTGCAGCTCCTGGCAGGCGGCAGGCCGACCAAAGAGCTGGTGTCAGACGGGAGACCAGCGGTGGTGCCGCCAGCAAGAAGAAGGAGGAGCCTCCCAAACCCAAACAACCCGAAGTCGACCTCTTCTCCTTCGACGACCCCGAACCCACTCCGTCAACTTCCAATGGCAAGGCTCCTGCCACAAGCTCCGCCGCTGACGACTTCGGCGCCATGCAATCCGGCGGTACAGCAGACGATGACGATTTCGACGACTTCCAGTCTGCCACTCCGGCTCCAGTCGCCGCTCCAGTCGCATCAGCTCCCGCTCCCACAGCCGGCGGCTTCGGCGTCCTCGCCCCCGCGCCAGCAGCACCTGCTGCCCAGCCAACGCAGTTCGCCGCACCGCAGCCGCGTTCGGGTGCCCAAGCGTCCAACATCAACGACCTGTTCTCGTCCATCCACTCGCCCACGGGCAGCATTTCTTCTGCGCGCCAGACGCCGGCTGCCACTTCCTCCGCCTTCTCCCCGCCGCCTCCGCAGCAGCAGCAGCCCATGGGCTACACCCCCAACCAGCCCAACTACTTCACCTCCGTGCCGGCCGGCGGGATGACGCTCTCGGCCCAACAGACCGGCGGAAGCCTCAACAAGGGTCCCGCACCAGGCGTCCTGTCGCCCACCGGCACCGGCGGCGGCTTCGGCGCCAAGAAGCCCGCCGGCGGCGACGCCTTTTCCGACCTGCTCTCCGGCATGGGCTCGAAGAAGCCCGCCCAGACGGGGCCCAAGGTCACGATGGCGGATCTGGCAAAGCAAAAAACGAGCAGTGGCCTGTGGGGTGCGCCGGCCGGCGCGTCCCCGGCCGCGCCTGCAGCCGGCACTCCGGCGCAGGGTCAGAAGACGGGGAGCAGTGGGTTGGACGACTTGTTGGGTTGAGGAGCTTAATGGAGGGTGTGCTGGTCTAGCCAGTGCACAGGCATGCTGATTGTGAATCCAGCTTTGATGGCCGACACATGAGGAAAAAAAACTTAAGTCAGAATGAATGAGCTTCTTTTTTTTCACTATTGGTTATGAATGCTGTTTCCTTTTTTTTCTTTCCCTCCGTTTCTCCCTTTTTCTTTCCTGGGGACCAGGTGGCGTGGGACAGCATAAAAGATATGAGGTCAAGGGGGAACAATTGCATTCAGTTAGCTTCGTTGACTATGGTCTTTTGGGTGTATATAATGTCTGTGATTGACGGCTTTTTTTATCTTCAGTTTTCGGTATGCTCTGTTTATGATAAAGTGATCTTTCGAGCACGATGGCAGCCTCTTGATGGAGATGGGACGGCAAGAGAGAACAGGAGCGAGGGAATAGAAGCAAGGCGACGCGTTTGATGCACTTTAGACCGTGTCCCCCGCCGCGAATGTTCGCGATGAACTTTCTGTCTCGTTCTTGCTGTTTGGCAATCTCTTGTCACATTGGTGTAGGGGCAAATGCTAGTTGTTGGAGTATTTGATATGCAATCTAAAGAAGATTGTGCTATTGTCCGCTCGGGAGATCGGACCTTCCCGCCTTGGAGGTGTGGTTCATGTTGGTTTCAAGAAATGTGTTTCAATCCTTTATCATTATGCATAGTAAAAAGAAGCGACATAAACGCAATGAGGGATGAAGGATGCGAGGATGAAGTGGTTTCCTCGAGTGGGAGACATTTACTGCCTGCTCTAGTTGGCGAGACAAACTATATACAAACCCTCCTTCAATGTCGTGAGATTACTCGACAATATGTGGGTAGATAATACGTATACAGGGCGTCATAAGCAGCTTGGTGGGAGATTCCTGGGTAGTTGGTAGGTGCTTCCTTCCGAGAACCGAAATTCAAGGTGATTGTATCGTATCGTGCCCGCAAGGCGACATGCAGGCCCTATCACAGTGCCAATCAAACTATTCGCTAAGCATATGTGTTGCAGAGTTGACTGGAGACTGAGCGCGCCGGGGGTTAGGACAATAGATTGTCTGTCATTTCGGTTCAGGTCGAGCCCTATTTCGCTTCCTCAGTCGTCTCCGCACCCGACATCCCCACAACACGCTTATCCCGACAGCCCTTTGGGCTGAAACAGAGTCGCTCCGTCTGCAACTTGTTGGTCCCGAGTAGCTATCTAAGTAGCCTCGGGAGATGCAGGCTTTCCAATTTGGGAATTCGCTATTGCTCTAGCTGTCCCGGCAATAATGCAACTGATGGCGAATTTATGGCACGCACTAAACCTGGTCAAAAGTTGTGGTGTTCATGTTTCGTTTTTTGCATTTCACTACTATCAAGTAGTCTTATGGTATGAACCCGGGCGACCAAATGCACGCCACCCTTTTTCCCCACGTGAAAACCGATAAATAAGACCCCAAGCAGGAAACGCTTTACATGACGACACCAGAGTTGCTGGCAATACGCTGTGCACGATGTCAGTCGGATCCGCATCGCTGACGCTTTCTCGCCGAGGGTGCGAAGGGAAAACTTACGGGCCAGAGCTCAGCAGCCTCCTTACCGACGGGGCCGGTGATGGCGGAGCCCTTCATCTCACCCTTGGGGTTGACGATCTGTACCAAATCGCGTCAGCAATTGTCCATTCTTCCCGAGTTCCACATGCTCCCAAAATCTTTCGCCTCTCCTTCCCAGTTCAGGATCCGGGACGTGCACGTACCACACCGGCGTTGTCCTCGAAGTAGAGGAAAATGCCGTCACCCCTCTTCCAGGGCTTCGACTGGCGGACGATGACGGCGGGCATGACCTTCTTCCTCAGCTCGGGCTTTCCCTTCTTGACGGTCGCCATGACCATGTCACCGACACCACCAGCGGGCAGACGGTTCAGGCGCGCACCAGTGCCCTTGACCGAGATGATGTACAGGTTCCTGGCGCCGGAGTTGTCGCAGCAGTTCATGACGGCACCGCTGTAACGCAAGTCAGTTTTTCGCTCGGTTTGTTTCCATTTGTTGCGGGCGTGATGCGCGTGCGTATGCGGTTTGTTTTCGGGCGGGTCTGGGGGAATCTCATGGCTTGGGGTATCGTTGCAAGACTTGAACGTACACAGGAAGACCGAGGGTCATCTTGAGCTTGTTGCCCGTGGCAGCGCGTCTACAGATTTAACGTCAGCAACTCATGTCCTCCGTAGCTGATCGCGCGATTCTCCGGGCATCCTCTTCCTCCAAAGTCGTTACGCTGGCCGTCGCGACGGCGTTTCTCGGTGAAGGAGGATGACGTACCCTCTCTTGCCCATTTTTGCGGATTGTTCGGAGGTGGTCGAGGGGTAGGGTGAAAGGGTATATTGTCGTCGTCGGCGTCGTCTCACAGCGATATCGAAAGTTTCGCTTCGCCTGTGCCTTGCTCGGGTGGGCCGGCGCTCGCGGAATCTGTTATTCCGCGCGCTAGTCCCGAAATGTCAGGAACACCAAATCTTGAGCCTCAACTCATCTTGCCGACTATCACAACAAAATGCTGAGACATAGTCTCCTAAAGGAAGAGATTCAACCTCGAGCCCAAGACATGCATGGGGTATAGTAATAAATTTTCTACCTCCTACCTCCTTCCCACAGTGGCGTATCAGCCTTGTCATGGTTGCGCCAATGCTCGGCTTGACCGCAACAGCTTAGAATAGCCATCGAGCAGTGGTCCTCTCGCACGGTATCAACTTGCGGCTTCTACGGCAAAGGGAGCCATTGGAATAGGAGGTAGCAGAAGAAAGGTGTGCAGTTGTGGTTAGAAGGGCCGCGCCACATTCCGAACTCGTATCCCGGCTGCCGAGGGCCGACACTTGTTTCTTGCAGCCACAGCGCCAGTGCGCCTCACATGCAGCCCTATACCGAGGCTGGTGCATCCTTTCGGCTTCGAAAGAAGCTTGTCGTGTGGCTCAAGCCCCTTAATGCTCCCGTGGGAGCGTGAGCACCGCCTCATGTTACACAATGCGGTAGGTATCATCACGTATTCTGTTACTGCCAAGCCAAGGACAATAGCGCCGGGCGGGCATAGGGCGTGTTTAAAAATAGCACCCGCGTTTCTCCCTACAGAGACGTGAGTTTTGGCTGCGTAAAAATGCCGAACGGCGAATCCCTTCGGCGTCGCCTATGAGGCCCAGCCATGAATCTTCGCGGACCGCAAACGGGACCCGGTGACGAGCGGGGCGTGCCGCAGGACTTGAAGCATTAGCCGAAGGCATTCGCTGCGGACCAGTCCGGCATGGCCGAAGTGGGACGCTGGGGTGCTGCACAATTGTCCAGATGGTGCTTGGGCATGCCAGGTTGGACGTCAACTCAAAGGAAAGCCAAGCTCACGCCAGGTGGAGAAAATTATGGAACGCGGTTGATTCGCTTTCCGCTGCGGCGGTCAATTGCTGTTCACCAGCAATCTCTTTAGGCGTTCAGATCACCCCGGCAATCGAGCAACGCGGTCGTGTGGAAAATGATCAGAACGATCGTACGGATTGTTTGGCGGGCAGGGCAGCGACACCGTCGGACCGCGTGACGCTCGGCTCCCGACTCAGGCTCGCGTAGAAACAATGCATGCAGTGGGCCGCGACGATCTCGTCTTCAACGAGAGCGATCTCCCCCGAAAGCAGCCATGATGCGCACAGTGGTTGGGCGCGCTTGCGAAAAGGACATGTCAACAGGACGTCATTGCAACGGCCGTCGGGCACATCGTCATGAGGGCTGCGGGAATTGCACGGGCGGGCGTGCGGTGTCTAGCGCAAAGGCAAGCAACGAGGCGGGGGTCGACGCTGGGGAAAGGCGCAGAAAGGCGGTCTGAATCATTCGAGAAGCACTCAGGAGAGAGGGCTGCAAGAGGTAGACGACTGCAGGACCAGGGCCCCAGCAGCCGTGGCTTCGGATTGAGACGTCAGATGCAGGCTGCGGGAGGAAGCGTGGTGCTAGGCCAGCCGTGCGGACCACTTGTGCTGCTGTGAGCGGTGCTGCAGGCTGCGGCACCCCCGGCGAGGGCCTCCTGATTCCCACGTCAACGAAGGCATGGAAGATCCTCCAGAGACGGCCACGGCGCTCGAATCGCCGCTGCGTCCCGGCGGACAGGCCGAGAGTCAATTCGGGATCTGGAGCGACTCGAACTCGTGTAGGGCGCGGCTCGAGCTTGGCGGCGCCGGGCGGGACGAGAGCGACTCGTATAGCGGAGAGCCGTAGGGCTCAGGACGACGTACGCATGCTTAATGACGATTTACAGGCGTGTAACAGCGGCAGGCAGGGAGACCGGCGCGCCGCAGAGCCGCGACGTCGGCGCTGAAACAAGCCACTGATGTTCACCCGCGGGAGCAGGGGTGCCGAGGCCAGGCTAGCGGGCGCGCCTCCACGCGCGGAGAAGCATCAGGCGACCGGGGGGGTTGGTTCTTCGAAATTCGCGGCACGGCGCAGCGGGCCCGGCGCCAGATACGACGGGCAGCGGGCGGGCGTGGGCGCAGGTGCGGCGCGCGGTCAAGGGAGGCGGGCAGCGTGGCAGGGCGGCGCTGGCTTCAGGCAAGTGGAGACGGTCCGACGGGGGACCCCCAGAGGCCCTACGATCGCAGCCAGCCAGAGCCTATCTGAGCCACAGCGGTGCGCGCGCGTTGCTCCTCAGCGTGAAACCTCTCCGCCGCCAGGAGATGAGGCAAGGTGACACGTGCGCGCATTCCACAGCCCGCCAAGGAGGCCAGAGTTGCGCGCTGCTCGGCTCTGCCCAAATTGCAATCTGCGAGCAGCGCGGCTGCTCCCCAAGCCATCTCTGCCGCCGCTGCGTCTTCGTATTTGGCGTAGCTTTTTGTGAGCGCGGACTGAGAGCGCGCCCCGCCCAGTCACATTGGCTCGCTAGCAGGGACCCTGGCCCGGAGCCCGCAGCCTGTCCGCCCTGACGCCCAAGCGCGCCAGCCCCAGCGCCAGCCCACGATAACGGGCGCCCTGGACGAGCAACTACACCGCGCACCACCACGCCAGGAGCGATACGGCGCCGCCAGACCATCTCGTCCGGGCCCGCTCCCTCTGCCTCGACCCAGCGCCCGCCTGCTTTTCTCCCTGCGTCCGCCCCGTTCTGCGCCGCCCGCTGTCGCATGCTACACCGCGCCGCCCCGCCGACCCGTCGACACCGCGTATCCTCCGCACCTCCCACGCCCCCACCGCGCCAGCATGGCCGACGAAGTCCAGGACACGGGCCGTGTGCCCAAGCAGAGCAAGTGGAAGATGTTCAAGCGCGAGGATTCGGTTGCCAAACACGAGAAGAAGAAGATGAACGAGGCCGAGGTCATGGACTTCCTCAAGCCCTCGACTGAGAAGGGCGCCCCTCGCATAGACGTGGCTACCGCCCAGCGCTGGCCCGGCGCCTCAGATCTGCTGTCCAAAGCCAAGAACAACTACAAGCCCGACCCCAATTTGTCGAGCTCCCTGCCCTCGTCGCTGCGGGGCTCGGGTGCCCGCCCGTCGCGGCCGCGCTCCAAGACCCTCACCGTGGGCTTCCTCAACGACCCGCCCCACGTCATTGGCGAAGGTGGTGACGAGTCGGAAATCCCTCCAATTGAGATATCGCGGCGCCGTGTTGCCGCCGCGAGGGCTGCAAAGGCGGAGGGCAGGAAGTTCAACGAATCAGACATCGGTCGGTCCATGACTGTCACACACAGGACCCTAGAGCGCCCTGATCACGTCAAGAGAGCTCATACGTCTTGGGGGGAAGTCTCGCCCGGCCTGCAGTCGCGCTTCAACCGGCCCAAATCGCCTCCCCCTCAGGCGCAGCCCACCGACCCCGAGGCCGACGAGGACGAGAGCCGCGGGTTCCAGCGTCCGCGTGCCGCTACCGGTGCCACGATTGCGGATCCCAACCCGGATGATGAGCCAGACTTTAGGCCCGGGCCGTTGAAGCGGTCGCAGACCGGTCTCTCAGAGATGATGCCCGAATCTCCGGAAGATGATGACCCACCCCGACTGCCCGAGCTATCAAAGGTCACTTCCACATCCTCAGACGGGTCCTCCCTTCATTTCAGCCCAGAGTTGAACAACTATCTGTCGTCTGAGCCCGTAAACCCCAATTCGCTCGCTGCCCGCGTGCAACTCCAGATGCGGAACGACGAGGGCCAAGCGTTGCATCAAGCTACGGCTAACGCAGAGCCGTCGCCTGAGGATGATCGGTTACCATCCATGTCTAGCTCGAGCACGTTCGAAGTGGGATCGCCGCGGTCAATGTCCTCTACCTCATACAGAAGGCCGTCATATGATCAAGGCGCTAAGGCACCACCCCGGCCGAACCCCTTTGATGATCCGACGTCTGGGCGGAGACCCTCATCTGCTTCGTCGGGCGACCACGCCTCTCTCACGCACTCTAATACCAGCCCTACCGACACTACGAGCTCGCAGCGCGACTTCGTCACCAGCCCTCCGCATTCTCGCCCACCCTCTTCCGGTTACTTTCAGCCAGGCCTGGTGCCTCCTCCCGTGCCTCCCCACGCATCTTCTCCCAATTCCATCGACGCTCTCACCCCGACCCAACGCGACTTTGATAGCCGCGACAAGTCACCAATGAGGTCCCCTGCCCTTAATGTCGAGATCCCTAAGCAGGCTCCGCGCTCGCCCAATGTTCTCGCCGACCGCACCACCGCCTGGAGTGCAACCTCCTCTGGCCACCGCGCCGATCTTGTCGCCGCCGGCGATGCTGCTCTTGACGACTTTGCTGAGCGCGTAGAGCATATGCGTGGTGTGTTTAGGCTCACCGCAGAAGCCAAGAAGTCGATTGACTCCTTTGGGCCAATGACGTGGCTACGAGCTGCTATCTGGTGGTTTCTGAAGGGCCGCTCCGGTCTAGAGGTCATGATCAGGAACCGACCCCGCGGTCAGCCGCAAGGAGAGCAGCTGCTTACTCAGGCCCACGTCGATTTGGCCAAGACTTGGTGGATACTGACAGAGGTGCTGGAAACTCATCCGAGCATCAGGAAATGTGGCAAGCTTGGCGCTCAAGCCGACGCAGCACGTGCTGCTGGAGATGAAGAGATGGTGGAGATTTTTGAAGTCCAAGAGTCTACTCTGAGCAGCCTGAAGGGTCTTCTCATCTCCGTTTCCAGGAACAACATGATGCCGCCCGAGAACGCCCTCATCCAAGGCCAAAATCAGGACATTTGGGTCAATTACCCCACCTTTACGCCGGACGTGGAGGCAGTTCTCGGAGGAAAGAGCAGATCAATCGTCGTTGATAATGCCAGCAAGGCGATCAACCCTCGATCCGTTATGCCCCTCAACGACACCAAGGACGACTTCTGTTACGGCCGCATCTTCGTCAACGTGGGTATCAGCTCCGAAGACGACGACGATCTGTCCGGAATCTCCCTCCCAGCCGTGCTTACCATCATGCGCCCGCACAATGATTGGAATGTCAAGGTTGGCATCTGCAGCCAAACGGATCTTCTCACCTGTGCAGTACAAGGAGACCCGAAGAAGGGTATCACTTGGGCAAATGTCAAGTGGAAGACTAGCACTCGCGGCCTTTACATCCGTCTGCCCCGTGGTTTTACTCTGAGTGTTGACCTGGAAGAGAAAGATTACCGGATGCTCTGGGGTATCTGTGATTACACACGCCAGGTCGAGACCAGCATGAACACTCGTCCTGACGAGCAATGCATCCATGAAGTCACAGTGCGTGACCTCCAGTACAAGGACCCGCAGAACCCTTCCGCCTTCCCGCCTGACAGGATCAAACGCTGCAAGGTCCGCATCTTCGAGAAGTTTGTCATGGTCAACGAGGGTACTGGACAACGGAAGCTCCATCGTGGTTATCGCCTTCTCCTCGTTACAAGCCCCAGGAGCAAGACTCTCAGTAGTGTTGTCCATGAATACACTGGGAAACGCCCTATCATCTTCGAATTTAGGAGTGACCCTGCTGACGCCAACGTTCCCTTGATGATGCTGAGGATCAAAGAGGACGGAAAGAAGACGTGCACTGCTATCATGAGCTTCAATGATACTAGAGAACGTGTGCAGCTGTTCCAAGTCATCAACGGTCTTTCGATTGGTCCGGATGAGTTCTGTCCCGCTCAAGTGCCTCTGAAGGGATACTTGGTGGAAAAGATTGGAATGAAGGAGGTTTTCGCCGCTGGTCACGACATCGTGAAGAAGATGCAGTGGGCAGACGTCAAGGTTCTCAACAGGGAGCCCGACGACCCGGAAGTCGAAGTCCCGCAGACGATTCTCTCCGAGGATTTGCGTGTCATCACGAGGCATTCTTGCGGATCGATAACTGACCGCTTGAACCTTGGTATGTTTGTTTACCCGGATAGCTGAGATCAAATACTGATAAGCCTTAACAGGACCTGGCGAGATGCTCGTCAGGCTCGACAACAGCGGCAACCCCGACATTCACTTCCTCCGCTACCCGCAAGAGGATGCTACAGCCGCTGTTGACGCCAAGCGTGCCGATGCACAGGTCCCGGATGCGCTTGCCGATTTCTTGCGGACCATTAAGACGTCACCTACCATCAGAAGCTATTGTTTCAAGGATCATGAAGGTAAATGAAGAAGTACTCACAATCTCTAAAGAACATGTCACTTACTAAATCCTCATAGCCATGCATAAGTTCCAGGCAGCCGTCACCGGGTTCGAAGTCAGATATGACGGCATTGCTGCGACTCTTGCCATTTCACGCAGGCGAATGGTTGTTCCCATTTACAAGCGGTGGGAGGCGCAGACGGTCCGGCTCCAGATCCTTCAACAAGCCAACACTTTCCAATTCTGCGCGTACATGGAGGACTTTTCGCACTCGGATGCCATGAACTTCCAAATCAAGACCATGGATCTCTTTGAAAAGATCGAGCTCAAGGGCAGCAAGGGTGGCAAGGGTGAAAGGGGCCGTTTCGGGTTGAGGATGGTTGATGCGAAGTTCTGGCTGCCTCCGGAGAAGAAGAGGGAGCATGGTCCTGTGGATGAAGTTGAGCAGGCCAAGAGAAGATTTGCATGCCTTGACATGCCGGAGTATCCGGGTGAACACGATGACATTACGCTGGGTTTCGAGACCGAGGCTGGTGAGTCCACACACGCTCAACGTGCCTTCTTCCTGCACTGACGATGAAATTCTTGCAACAGAGCGAGACCGTTTCTCGGACGCCTTGCCAGCCGCCACCCAAGCTTCGAAGTTTACGTTGAGACGGAAGATTTGAGGAAAATCTTCAGCGTCAGATCATGTGCATGCATTACTAGCAATGACGACAAGCATCGGATCATCCAAAGAAGGCTTCATGCGCTTTCGGAAAGCAGAGAGCAGGAGGTAATTCACGTGGCGGCCTCTTCATGTCAAAAGCTTCTCCAGTTGCTTCATTCTCCTCGGCCAGCTGCACATAGCCCGTTATTATTTGGGTTAGCAGCGGCTTCCCCTTCAACAGAGATGCTCGATTCTTTTCTAGGTTGTCTGAGTCGACGGAAATTGGCGAAATGGGCGATGCTCTGGGCGTTTTGAGATTTCTTGTGTTTTTTTTTTTGCATTCTTCTCTTTTGATGTACTAGGGGTTGTTATCCGCAGGGATACCTCATGGGGTGTTTTTTCTTCCGGTTTCCACATGGTCACTTCGACCTACCTTTTGCATCTTGCCTTCCCCAAATTTCTCGACTCGGAAGTTTGCGGTTAAGGTGTCTCATGCGAGCTTGAAGGGCATGGGCATATTCAGAAAGGGCGCTCTGCGAAATGCGAAAGACGAGACAAGTCAGGATCAATCATGTTCTATACCATAGCTGTCAAAGATGAAAGAGAAAACAAGCTATTGCTTTCCAATGATTGCTCCTTTTTCTCGTATACGTCCATACCTTGTGCTGCATGCAGAGACGATGTGGTTAGCAGCATTCGCGGCAATACTAGTCTAGCAGATAGCCCGAATTCGGTTTCAGGTCATGCTCAGCGGGTCTCCACGAAGCTCTTTTGCCCAGTCGGATCCAGCCGTTCGTCCTATTACGAACCAGTAGTGGCCCAATGTAAGACATGGGTGTCTGGATCATATGAAGCCGATCATTGCACCTTAACGCCGCAGAGGCGGGGCCACGTCGCGTGGTGTCTCATGATCCCCTTCTATTTGCTTTTTTTTTTTCGTGTGCGCTCCAGTCTTGTAACGCCCTATGTATTCTAGCCGCCGAAGGATTGCTGGATCTCTCCGTTGGCGCCTCTCCACACGCAAAAACTAGGCATGCCGCGTCGGCAACGATGACGCGGCAGGGGGGTTACGTATGCGGGGGTGCGCAACTCTTTTTTCTTTCCTCCCCCCCCCCCGCCCCTTCTCTCCTTTGTAAGAGAGAGAGAGCACAGCACAGCCCTCAATTTGCTTTGCTCATTTTGACATCTAGGCTAAGACGGAGAATACCGAAACAGTTCGGGCATCGAGTGATCCCACAAGACTCCGCCTTTTCTTTTTCCCCTGCTTCATGTGGCAGGTGCTGAAACGAAGTAAGGGGTGACGACGGCTGACGTGTGGCGGTGCGTGGCTGAGCAATGCTGGACGGGCAGAGGCGGATTTTTTTCGGGGAACGGCCCGCACTTTATCCTGACCTCATCTCACTTCACGTTTTCTTGTGCGGAGGCACGAGGGGGGAGTTGTCTTTTTTTTCCTGGTCGACGTGGGGAGCACGTAACTCGACAATGCCTTGGAAAATGTCTCTGCCCTGCCACTCATCGCCCGTTGCTGTAGTAAGGTGTCGAACGCGGGAACGTGGTATCGGATTTCGAACTGTATTGATTTCGCACGCGGTGGTTTGTACTACGGGACTTGGGAAATGGAAAAAATAAAAGTGTAGTCGGTCGGCGGTTGGTAGCAGCACTCCTATTTGAGAAGACTCGCAAGAGGGAACGAAGACAAACGTCATCTGGGAAGCAACCTCATAGCTATGACTGCTGTATGAACATCAAGAGTGTATATCCACATTGAATTGCAGTTGATGGTTACTGCTATATGTCGCGCAAGATGATGAAGATACAGATTTGTAGGTCTAACATTGTTTGTATCAAGGGACACTGCAGTGCTTGGAGAGAGACCGCGGAGATAGCAATAATTCCTCATCCAATATTCGCGTACAATTGGCTTCTCACTTCTTCACCCATATCTCAAGGCGGTAGTCGCATGATGAAAGTTACAGGCCCTTTGATCATTGTACGAAAAAAAATCCTGATGCCCATAGGATACCACACTACAAGATGATGGATACTTCGCATTCGCCTTCCAAAGACATATCGCGGATCAAGAGATGAAATGAAGAACCTAAAAGTATTCGTTGGTAAATTTCTACGCTTGCAGCTCGGACGAAGTGCTCCCAGCAGGTCATATGGATGCCATATGGTTGTCGCTCAATCTTGAAATCGTGACTTACACCTTCCTACACATGCAGATTCGGAACTGCTGGATCACCAGTCATCACCTTCTGGGGACATGACGCTGGTCTTGTCCGTATCTCTCAATCAAGACGCATTGCCGTAACGTAGTGGCATATCAGGAAGGAGAAGATCTCATATGCTTTTGACCGTTTGACGAAGCATCATTTGCAGAGTATTGACCATGAGCAAGGTGCAATCGATTTTCAGCCCATGTCATCCCCCAGCGAAGCCGAGGCAGTGCACGACACCACTCGAGGTGCTAAGCGGACCTTCTCCCGAGTTTGACGCCGCCGTCAAAGCAGCGGCTCGACAGCTTCCCCTGCCAGACATAGATTGGCGTGACGTCGCCCCAGTTCCTCTCCTTCCCACCCCGATCGACATTGCTTCGGTCGAGCAGATAAACCTAACGGGCAAAGTCTCCCCCGCACCCTCCCCGGTCCGTGTGACTGATAGCCAGCACGACCGTGTCGTCATCAACAGGTGTACCGAAGAATTGCAACGCAGGCGATTTGGCCCTCACGCTCTCGCCGAGTCCAAAGCGATCGCGCGATCCGTCGTCCGGATCCTGAGAACTTCGGGATCCACGCCCTTGCATCCAGGGCCGGATCTGTTCACCGCACAAGACTTCTTGAAGGTCATCACCGTCTGCGAGGGCGATCGCCCAGGCTGGGCTTATCTGGATGCACACTGGGCGGGATCGCAGTTAGCCAAATTCTACAACCAAACTTACAGGGCGGGCAACGCTCGCTCACTTATGTCATCTTTCACAGGTGCGCGCCAGCATTTGCCGATATCGTTTGCCAAATCGTTGGCCATCTGGAGTTTTTGCATGCTCGCCGCATCACCTTCGAGAAGCTCTTGCAGGATCGCAGCCAGGGTGCCAGCATCCACTGTTGTCTGCACGAAGGTATTGATCTGTGACGGACTCACCGTCGTTTTGAATGACCCGTGGCCCCTGTTCTGTTGGCCTGTCACTTGGATTGCGAACCTGGGTATGGGGGCCGAGCCTGTCTCCAGAGGCATGGATGGGAGCTGCGATGCTGGGCATGAAAGGCGGGATTCCTGGAGCGCGGACATTAGCGGAGGCGCAGCGCTAAGGGCGCAATACCGGACGGCGAAAGCAGTCCCAACACAGCGATCAAGAGTATGAACGAATATGAACGCACGCCACTCAAGGGAAGGATGAAGGACGAAGGTCGAGAACCGCCTTCTGGACTTACCAAGCGCAACGGACCCCGACCACGAGGACTTAGCACCCGCCCCGGGAGATGGCGACGCTGGTCTGCCTCGTCGCAGACCATCCAGTTCTTGGCTCTCTCAACGCCATCGCCGTTCTGGTTGTTTCTCGTTGTAGCCTCCCAGTTTTCGCTCCTCTCCATCGTGTCCTCCTGGGACAAGATATACACAGTCACAGAGTGTGTGAGGCATCGACCGCCTGACATCGAAGCAGACTCACTCGGGACTTGAGCGCCGGCGAGAGCGGAGCATGAGCGTCCTCCGACCGCTATCGGTGTAGCTAAGCGGCGTGCGATTCTCAGCGAAAAGGACGCATACGGTGTGCGACGTGGGCAGTAGGGGCTTGCGCGTGTTGTCGCAGATGCGCGCGAGCGGAGGGAAGGTGTCGGCCTGCAATCGAGACAGGATGGGGCTAGTCTGCAAAGCGCTGGCATGTCAGTCAAGAGCGCGTGGTTGCCGGCTGGTCTGGCAAAAGGCGGGAGCCTGGAAGAGGGAGCGTCAGCAGCTTCGTGAGGTCATGGGGCGAGACTGGGCAGTGTTGAAGGGCTGGTCTCGGTCACGAATGTCGTGGTGCAGCAGACGCAGACTGGGACGCGCAGGCGGATGTAGCATGGAGTGTCGCAACGCGTGAGGAGCCAGCAAGCGCAGTAAACACCAAAGGAGATGAAGCTCTTCCTCAAAGCCCGGCGCAAGGCCAGTCAAATGACGAAAAGAAAGTTGTTCGCATCAGCCCGAGACAGTGCAATACAGGCGACACTGTGATCAGTGGCATAAGCGGAGCTCAGCGGCCACCGATCAGGTTCCAAAAACTAATCTAAAGAAGTGAGTGTACCCCGTAGGGCGTACTAGAGATTAAACTAGCAAGAACAGTTACTACACTTGATCTAAGCCAAAAGGCAAAGAGAGCTGAAGAAGAAAAGAAGAAATGGAGCCAGGCCGAAGAGCGAGGGGGTTTTTATGTGTTTCCCGGCGACCGATTGATCCGAGGGGCACGGGGCCAACCCGGCCCACTGCCTTGGCAACGGACCGCGCTAAGCAGGGGGGGGTGTGATCTTGGGCACATCGCGGCTGCTTCATTCATCACCACGACTGCTTTTCTGGTCTTTGTGACTCACGTAGAAGGCCGTGGAATAGCAAAATAGGATTCCATGTCACTGCTAGGTGATTGAGCAGCCAATGGCGTCATTTGGTGGCGCTGCGCTCATCGCTCGCCGGTCCTTGCAGTCACAGCTCCCACATGGACGGGAAACCCATAGTTCGACATGCCTGAAAGCAATTGGAAGATAGCCGTCTGGTGCTGGTGCCCTCCACGGATCCATGTGGAGGTAGAGCAAGAAGTGTGATGCCTCCCCGCCCTTGCGATGTGTCTATTGCAGCAACCATGCTCGTCTTTCCATGCTCTTGGCATCGCGAGGAAAGTAGCGGCGCATCGCGCTGTCTACATCACTCATGAAGACCCGGCAACATGCGAACGCCTTAGAAGTGGAGAGCATCTGGCCTTCTGAAAGCTCTTTAGGTGACTGAAAGCAACGGGCGCGCCTCTCCTATATGCGTGCGCAGTGGGTGAGTGCCGTTTTAGATCTTCCCGTCAGGCAGCTGGACCCTTTCGAAAGCGCAGCTGGACCACACATATAAACCTTTTTCCTCCCTCTTCCTCCTCTCTTCTACACCTCAACCACAACCTCATCAACGCCGACGCCGCCGCCGCAGTAGCCGCCGCCCGTCCGCCTTGCGCCCTCGCGCCCGACTCTCCACAAACCACAGTAAGTATACGCTCTCATCCTCTACCCGTATAGCTCGCACTAAAGCTCACTCGCGCGCGCGCAGACACTTCACTTCAAAACCTCAAACCCTCACGCGCCCGCGCCGCCCGCACCACCACCACCTCCTCCTCCTCCGCGCCGTCGCCGCTCCTCGCAACAATGCGCGGCAACACGGCCGTCTTCGTGGCCATGCTGGCCAGCGTCTCGGTGGCCATACTGGCCTACTTCTTCTTCAGCCGCTGCGTCTTCTCGCCGCGCCGCCTCCGCACCGCCCAGCCGGGCGTCTTCGTCCGCGCGCCCGCCCGCCGCCGCCGCCAGCCCCTGCGCTTCTTCGTCGGCCGCGTCAGGGACGTCGAGGAGGGCATTGAGATGGAGCCGAGGCTTTAGGGGTCCTTCTTGTTTCGTTCGGCGGGGCTTGCGCTTAGATACTTCACATGGAAGGCAGGCTTGATGAATCTAATCCTTTTTGGCTGCCCGCCGCTTTGGGCACGCCTTGCGGACAATGTGTGGCAGATGTGTCGGGACAGCGCAGGAACGTGCGCCGTCTAGCCGTGATTGAACAGTAAAGTGACTGCGCAAACATTTATACCTCAGCGACATGGAAAAAGCAGAAACCTTACAAGATGAAGAAGAGCGAGCGCCTAATGTCGCAAATCATGGGCAGCTAAAGGATTCATCTACATGCATATGTCCAAACCAATTCGCAACATTTATATCCAGATGGAACCTTCACATCCATACGTTTTCGAAGTGACAGCGCTGAGCGATATGGCCAGCAGTATAGACATGTCGCTGTTGCAATTTTCGAACATGGGCACTCATGCACTTGGAAGCTATGTTGATTCTGTAGACATTTTATACAGGCCTTCAGAAAAGATCACTGCTCCAAGTATAGCAACAATACTCCATGCCCACGACGCTTCTAAGCTCTTTCCTCGCGGGACCACTCCATCTTGGTAAATCCATGCTCTGTCTCGCCCGAGACCTGAGGATATGTCCGAAGCGTCCTCCATCTATGTGTCTGTACAGAGTGTAACGGGGGAATCCGGAGCTGGGTCGTAACAGTAGTGGTGCCCAAGAAAGATACTGTAGCACTTGGAAAGGAAAGCGGCTATGTTTGGTTTGGGACTGTGTCTTTCAGGAAGCGAATGCGTATGCTAGATCTAGCTGGTACAGGAGGTTCCTACAATATGATTTAGCTTCTACGACGGCCGACAATTTTGTTTGGATGAGAAAACTCAACGACTCCAACTTTGAGCTCCAGAATCCTCTCCCATGTGCGACTATTTCCAAAGGAGGGGCCAACTCGAGCGCCGACGTCCTTTGAAAGCAGTTGCAGCACACCAGTCACGAAAATTCCATTGCAGGAATGGCTCCGGGCTTACCTAGATGTTCTTCGTGTCCAGGTCCATGTGCTTTCGGAAGACACGATCTCCGCGGCTCGCATCATCGACGTGTACTCGGATCCTCGACCAGCTTGAACGGTCGACTATGCTTCTTGCACGATTCGGATTGGGTAGGTGATCGAGCAAGACGCCCTGAAGGGCTTCGTGATCGTTATGGCGGGCACCCTGGAGGTTTTGCAGAGCCATAAGATCCTGACCAAGTGGCTCGAGAGCTATGGCGCGAAAGTGGAAACCTTGGTCTCCGAAAGGACCACGAATTTCATGAAAGCCAAGGTCGAGATCTCGAACCGCATCGCCAAGGATGTGCGTTTCTTTACGGGCAAGGGCCAGGTCATCGCAGCACAGTCTGAGGAGGCCTTCCTCAGATCCATGGCGTATCGCGCCAAATCCGGAGAGGACGACGAAGAAGGCGCCGGATCCGAGAGTGAGCATGAGCAGGCCATGGCGGGACCAAGTTCCCCTCGAACGCCCACTCCGAGAACGCCAAGGGTAGCAATGGGATCGCTGGCTTCCTCACTCCCAGCCCGACCCAAGACGGCGAGCAGGGCCACGAACTCCCCGCTGGCCCCGCGTGCCACCATTTCCACCGTCAAAGCCGGCAACCGAGTACCTAGATCAGGAAATATTGTTGGCCTGTATACGCTAGGTTATCCCGTTTCTGACGTCTATACCAACGGAGTATTGCAATGTCCCACTTTGAGCAGTCAGCAGAAGGACGCTCAGGGAGGAAAGAGTCAAGAGGCAAATGTCGATGAAACCGTATGCGGCGCATCATGAATCCAACACCCGCTTTCACTGTGTAGTATGATTCCGTAAGCTATATCAAGCGGTATAGAAGTGCGAAGACCGAAGAGAGTGTGTCTGATAATGGAAGATTGGGTGCTCACCGACGAAGCGTTGCTGAGAGTTTGGGGTAAGTGATGAGACAGCTTGGGACAACTTAATCGATTGACTCCTCAAGATAAGTGCGTCGTACCCGGCACGATGGAAAAGTCTGTCACTTGGCTAGTTATAAAACACCGCAGAGTGCAAACGCGAAGTGCAAACGCGTACCGTGTTCGTCTGCTGGACAACGTGGGGTATGTGAGCCATCCAGGGCTCATCGTTTTCGGTACATGAGGCCGAAAAGCAGCAAAGAGCCTTCTCCACCATTATAGTATAGTTTTCAACCCACCACATGGCTGTAAGGTGGCTCAAAGCCAAGTTGCAGAACCGGCGAGGAGAGAGCGATCTTGGGATGGAGAAGATTCCTCGATCGTGACAAGGAAAAGGCGAGGAGAAGTCGTCTGATGAAGGGGATAAGCGCTACAAATGTGAATTAGAGGCTCTGGAGTCCTCTTGCTTCCTTCGTGCTCTGATGAGTACTTTATGCCGTTGAGCAGAACGCTATGTGATCTTCGGCTGGCGCAATCCCACTGCACCGCCTCGGTCGCGTCACTTCAACGCAACACACAATGCATGGTAGCAACTTACATTATCTTTTGTTTCGTCTCTCAGAAATTGGCAGATAACTCATTTGAATGCTGAAGCACCGTCTTAGTATGCTTCTGATCCCGAGAAACTGGAAGTGATGCTGGCTAGGCTTCGGCGCACCGCTTGCTCGTCGTGATCCACTGCCCACCATACACACACCTTTGTGAATCTATTGTGCTTCACCAGAACAGCATCTGAAAGATACATAGAGTCGATCGACTGAGTTTTGTCAGCCAATGCTTTCCGTAGGCGGCGCTATGTGCTTTCGTTGTTGCCGTGATTGCCGACCTGAGGTGCAGCGAAGCGTTTCCACGACCATCTGGCGCGATGCGTGTCAGATCCATTCACAGAATCCTAGCAGTAGCATTTTACAGCCCTCTACCAAGCTTGATGGTGTATGTGTCTGTATGTTTGTTTCGCGAAAGCCGTCCACTTTGGTGCTTGGGGCGCGGTTCAATCGGGCGTGACTTCGACATTGTAAAGGAACGAGGCCAAGTCTCAGAGAGGTTCGAGAAGGAGCTGCAGCCTATACTTGTTCCAAAAGTTAGAGCGGCTTCTTCGAAACAAGGGTGTTGCTCACGGGTGGTCGACGCATCGTTTGTCCCAGCGAGAAATGTTTGTGAGGGCATCTGGCCCTTAAGTGTGATGTGATCAGCCAGCTGCGACGCGCTTGGACAGGAAAGCAAACAGAAGCCACTATAAGGCACTCAAGCCGGTTATCTAAGGTAGTCAGCGCTTGCTTTCGTGTACCGTTTGGTGTTGAGGGGCAAGTTGCGCACCTCATAATGGGCCCAGGTTTGGAGGACAAAGCCGTCTCGTGTAGCTTTGCGTCCCTCGCGACTGCGCCACGGGCACAGCTGGAAACTAAATGCAGTTGGCCAACTCAGTGGTGGATGGAGAGCGTTGGGAGGGCGAAACCCGGGGGTGAGACAAGACTCTGCAGGAGTTCATGAGAATGCGAAGAGTCGCTCGCGCGAGTAAGCCATTGAACGGGAACCTGTTCCAAATTCATCTCACTCACGCAAGCCTCGGGTAGGTGTTTCTACCTGTGTGCTTGTGGTAGGGTTCGATAGCGCGCTATGCGCCATGTCTTTCATGGTAAGGGAGTTGAGGCCGGAGGAAGCAGAAGAGGGGTTTCTGGATGAGCTGGACAAGCAAGAAGAGAGTTTGCTAGAGCTTAGGCGGAAGCTTCAGACTCGGTCGCAGATTCAGACCGGCTGTCAGATCTGATTTCACTGCTGTCAAGTCATTCATGTTCTTCGAGATTGCTTCGTGGCGGCCTCACCCGGGGTCGATGGCAAGCGGGAGCGCGTCTGCTGGCAAGGAATCCTCACTGGTATTCTTGGGCGCGGTCACTTCCTGGGCCAGGCGAAGAGTTGGTAGGGTTGCCATGGTGTCTGCCCGGCTCACTTGGACCACGTAGGCAGCATGGTGTGGGCAAACCTCAACCCCACGAATCTCTATGAGATCATCACCCACGGAAGCCTAGGTCTGCCAGCAAGTGACGACGTGCGCAGAGCCAATGGCATCAGCCGCCGACTCAGTACCGTTAGTGAAGGCCGCCAGCATACAGCGCGAGGCTGGACAAGTGCACCGCGTGTCCCAATGCTCCTTCCACCCAAAGCGAGTGTGAGCCACTGGGTGATCTCGTGCGCGCAATCGCCACCAGCATGCAGATTTTTGCGCGCGGGGGAGGCAGGTTGATGGACTCATGACCCACAGTTCCTTCCCATGCGGGTAGGATCGGGTGGGGGTAGCTTCCTGGTGCAGTTCGCCACCCGAGGGGGCTGCACGAGGACCCTAAGCGATCACTAGCGCTGGAAAAACCTTTATAAAGGCCTCTTCTTCTGCTCCAACGACCGCTTCTTCTTCCTTCATCATCGCCCATGGGGCTCAGTGGAGGGCAGGTGAAACTGGATTCAATTCGAGAAGTATCTTCCTTCCCTTACCGCAAAACAGCACTTACGGCTCGCTAGTACTTTCAACTCTCTTTCTCTTTCTCTTTCAGCTGGGTTCGCTCAGCGGGTTTCTCAACAGCGGGGATTCCCACACAATTTTTTTCGTTGAACGCTTTGCCTTGTGCAGAGCTTCGAGGAAGAAGAGACTTCAGAAAAGAGAGAGGCAGCTTTGAGCTACTGATCCCGGTAAGGGAGCTTCTTAATCTAAGCTTGAGTCTCAAGCCACTCATCTATGCAAGTCATGGTGAGCGGGTCACTTGCGGTCGCTCAGCGGACGCGCAGCGCAGCGACACTTTGCCTGACTCTGTTTCCATTGCGCTCACTTCCAATTGCAATACTTCTAAGCGATGAAACTGCTTGGGTGCCTCGTACTGCCGGCGTGAGAGTTGGTGTTGCGCTTGGACGCGACCTGACCGACCGGGTTATGGCGCCGGAAAACTCGCAACACAGCTGGCTTGGCCATGCGCGTCACTGATGGAGCCGTAGCTCATGTAAAGAAGCTAATCTCACTCATGTATCCCATGTTGTTCTCGAGGATCGCGTTTCTGCGGTCCCACCTGTTACGGGTTGAGATTTGGGTGCATCTCGCCCGTCCGCTCCTCCGGCGGTCGGGAGTTAGAAACCTTCGCAGTCAGAGTGAGCTCCAAGGGCCATTCTCAAGGCTGAAAGATGGATAGAGACATGAAGATAGACGGCGCATATTTTCATGGGCCTGAAGAGGTGTTGTGACCGCCGTTGCGACACTGCTGACCGTGCCATGGCGAGAGCAGATCAACAAGCTTAAGCGCAACTCCCCACCCATCGCATGAAGTGCGCGATGGAGGCTCTCTCGTAGGCATGCCATGCTGGGTGAGCCTGTCCAAAAACCTTCGGGTTCACTGTCACTGAGCGCGTTCGGCATTGGGCTGTCGGACACAATGCAAGACAGCTAGCCAGAAGAGCACCAACATCGCCGCTTTTACGACCAGCATCCCGCCCATCTCCTCCGCTGGTAGGCTCATGTACGGGTCGGAGCCTCTTGCAGCGCGGCATCGCCCTGCGCCACTTGGTGAAGACAGGGAAGCACGGTCGCACGCAACGTCAGTTCGCAGGGTGAAGTGCGACAACAGCACGCAGACATGCTATAGCCGGAAAGCCTCAGTGTATCTACGAGCATCGATCCAACCTTCTGTCTGCTTTGCTTGTCCCGCCGGTCTTCCGGAATCGCGGTATGAGTGGCAGTCGAAGCGGATGCGAGACCCGGCTCGACAACACTAGCCATGGACTCCACCGCGCGTGTTTTCCCTCCTGCTGGACATACAGTGACGCGGCGGGTCTAGAGATTGCCTCGTCACGGACCGCGTGGTTGCCAGCCTCGATGATCCCAAGGCGTGCGTTCAGGTCGAACTGACCACCAAGACCGAAGCCATCGAGAGGCAGCAGGCGAGTGTGACAGGACCGTCACCGCGGCGGTGCTGATCGAGAGGGGCATTGCAGCCATCCTAGAGCAGGCATGTGAGCGGCGCCCGCCGACTGTAGCTATCTCAAGTGTGAGGGTTTCGAGGGCATGTCAGCTGCGACCGCGAGCGGGCGCGGTCAGAAACGCTCCCAGGGCCGCAACAGGTGCCCAGGTAGATGCCAAACGGCAGATGGTGGCCGCAGCTTCGAACGATATCCGCCTCCCACAGCCTTCTTTTTTCCCCCGGAGCGCAACACGGTGTGGAATCATGGAAGCGCTGGAACACCGAGTGAGAGCGGCCCTCCGACCGAGCGCAGCACCCAGTTCTGTCTGTCGCGTCAACGCGGTTATCTTCCTGGTCGCTCTAGCTCGCATGGCCACCAAGCGACCGTGGCAGATGGCCAGCGGACATGCAAGGAATGCAAACGCTGCAGATAGCGGCACTCGTGAGGAGGATAGGTGGCTTGGGAAATCGTAAGCCATGGCAGACAACCTCAAGACACGAGCACGAGAGCTTGAGCGGCGTGTGGAGCAGGAATTAAGCGCTGCAGCTCTAAGCAGAAGACCAGCTCTCTTCCTCGAAGACGCGCGCAGAGGCGAGTCGATCAACGAAAAGACAAATAAGCTTGTGGTGCCAAAAATTAGGGAAGGCAGGAGCACCCCTCCCCACAGGGGGACGTCGAACAGGTTGCTACAAGTACTGAACGACGTCCAGTGGAGAACAATTACTACAAATACTCCTGGTATGAAGAAGAAAGGAAAAGAAGAGCAAAGGGAGCATGAAGAGGTCCTTTTATGGGACGGCGGACGGAGGGTTCGGGCCGGCGGCACGGGGCCTGCTTCGGTCACATGGCTTGGTGGCAGGGCAACAGGCTGCCGCTCCGGGCCCTGCCTCCTTCTTTTGGCAATACGACGCACTTCTACGCAGTTCCATGGCAACGGGAGGGTGCGTGGGTGTTGCCTCTGCGCCCCTCTCCTCTAGGAATGTATGGTCACGGGTCATTTCTCATGCAAAGGTGAAGGCCTCAACACGCGCGAATTATTCTAGCAGCTCGGTCCAAGGTTATAGCTAAGCCTTCCCTGGTTCCTTGCGTTGGCCGAAAGCACAGGCAAAGATCCTTCACTGTCTGCTTCGACTCTTCCGGATGACTGCAGGGGTCCCCCATGTTCAACCACAATGGCGATCCAGCTACTCATAGAGAAGTATCGAACGGTAAATCACGAAGAATTCAAACAAGCTGTAAGCGTGGTTCCATGCTGGTTGGAAGCAAGACGCGCAAGGCAGTGGCATTTAGGTGGGCTTGGGCGCGCGGCGCATGCAGTTTTCCCCTTGCATCAGATGGCATACTCACAAAGCTTGTCTGGCCACAAGACGCCAAGCAGCTTCCAAGACGAGCTCGTTTCATGCGACAGAATTTTTGTAGCAACCTCAATCGCGCCATGCGAGCCGTTTGTACTGCCCAAGTTTCGGAAACTGCTGCCGCCTCACCCTCAGCTCGCTCTCTGGGCCTTCGCATACCAGCCTTCCCGAAGATGCCCGGAGAAAATGTTTGACAGCAGACAGCCACTAAACCTATTCCATACATCTTGTCCTAATAGAGCGGGAACTCTCCAAAGAAGCTAAGGTGGAGTAGGTAGCAAACGCAGACAAAAGACGCGCGAACCTACCGGGCGCGATTCTATACAAGACGTATGGCGGCCGCTGCACTCACCATACGCTCTAGTAAGCCTAAATTAGGGTGAGCACCTTGCCGCCTCCCTCAGCTTCTACGGCGTGGGTTTTACTAGGATACGGAATTGCGCAGCCTGGAACGCCTCCATGTGCGCAAACAACAGTGCCACGGCAGCGCGCAAAGCACAGCCGGGGCCCACCACCCGCGATGACTGACGCAGGCCTGAAATCTTGCCTAGGTGCCATTGGTTGAGCGGTTGGCCGCTTCTCGTAGCTTCTGCGGGTCAGAGGGCGCGCATGCCTCCACTGCACAGCCAAACCGGAACACCAATGCTGCTCACCACCGCAAGTCCTGACGAGAATTATTGGAATGGCCACAAAGAACCTACAAGGTATACTTGCCGCGCCGCGTGGCAATCAAGAGCCCATTATGGTGCCGGCCTTCGTCAGACCATGAACCCGATTGCATTCAGCGGCCGAGATGACTTCCTTACCCTTGCTTCACGATCGCGTTACTGATTCACAGACGTAGAGAAACCGCGCTATCCGAACCATATTCTTCTTGCACAATTATGTTTCCTGTCAAAGTTCTTCGACATCTCTCCACCAGCCTCGCCCACGAAGCCGAAAGCTTGCGCATCGCCTTTTCGCGTCGCCTTTTCGCGTCGCCTTTTCGCACCAACCTCCGCTCCCAGCCATTACCGACCCACACACTCGTTTCGCTGCCTAAGAGACTCATACCGGGGGTGAACAACAAGGAGGGAGAGGCGAGATTGGGTGGCCGTGAGCGGCAGCAATGTGCGTGCTCTTCTCGTCCGCAAACGGGCACAGTGCAGCTAGACCAGTGAGCAGATAAGGTGGTATCCGTTGACTATCCACCTAGAGACCAAGCGACCCTCTCGCTATTAGCGACGGAGACCTGGCATGGCCGTCATGACGCGCGGGGGTCGGGTCGGATTCGCGCTCAGACTCACGACAGCTGGAGCGTTTGCGACCGTTACTACATCGCCGCTTGACCCTGGCGGTCGCACCAACGGTATGTCAGATTCTCGACTTTCTTGAACAACAGAGACAGTTTTCTGAGGTGTTTCAAGTGTGTATGTCGCTGTTGTTCTCGGGAAGCACTGCACGGCATGCAGTGATAGCTTGAAAGACATCCAGTTCCGCGACTCCACATTGGTCATAAAACGATTCCGAAGCTCACGTCATGTCTAGGAAAGAAAGATAGATCTAACATAGAATACATTGGGTTGCTTTATTAGGCCGCGACCAATGTGCGACTCATCCGGCGAAGGGCTTGCGCGTTGGCGCATAAACATGCCTAAGCTCAAGAGGTACCTCTCTTCTCGACCTTTCGACCTCACTGAACGCCTCTAAGAGACACGGTATTCACAAAGTCCGATAAGTAGCGGTGTATATAGGTAAGTGTGTCCGTTTTTAGATGTCCTTTGCGGCGTCTGTCCGTTCAGCTGCTGAGAGAAAGCTATTTCCATAAGACGCTGTTGACCGCGGATTGGACTCACCCAGTGAGCTGTTTCTTGCCTTAGAACAAGCTTCTTTCGCTCGCTCCAAAACAATCATAGGTTCCAAATCGTCACCCTCTCATCTAGTCCCCCCTTTCGACCGACCGTTGCCGATCCTTTCTTCAAGACAACACCAGGTGATAATCAACCAAAAGTTGGGAAAGGAACTACAAGACCGATAAGAATACTTCAGGGCTGAATCGGCGAGACTGGTTCGAAACTGTTACTTGGAAAGTCTGCCGAAGCTTGCGTGTATGACGAAAACCTGGGGCTTGACCATGCCGTTTACGCCCCCCTTCTCGTAAGGCCAGGGTAAGGGCTTCTTTCAGACGTTGATATACTCAAACCACTCAGGATGCTCAGAAATAGCGTTCAGGTACGAGGTGAGTGCGAACAGATCCGCTGCGATAGCACCCTTAACAGCCTCTGCGGTTTAAATGACCTTGTTGATGTTCTCGGACATGATCTCGAAGTGAACGATACCACCACATCCCTCGGCGGCAGCGACGTGGGCGGTGGAGGCAAAGAGATCCTGATCAGCGCAAGTTGGAAGGCCTGGACAGGAGGACTGGAGATTGGCAGTATGTTCCGGTCTTCATCCATTCGTTCCGGATTTCCATGGTATGAGGCATGGCCGAAGTACGCGAAAGTTGACGCTGAAACAATACAGTGTCTCCAGTACAGCTAACCCCATAGAACAGGCAGCTGAACGTATTTATCACGAGAAAGCTGAGATATCACATCGCTACCTTTACGCATGCTCGGAATGGCTTGCTTACGGAAAACACACGACCGGCAAACTGTCCTCGACCTCAGCTCTCTCGACGTGGTTGGAACAGTAACAACAGAAGTAGTTGGTCAAAGATGCTTAGAAACACTTCGTAACATGTCACGCCTCATAATGGAGCAAACGAGAGGCACACTTGGAGGCTTTTCAAGAGTGGAACAGCAAACAATCGGTGAAATAGTACGAACAAACGCCTGGTGCTGATGATTGTATGTACAAAGGAAAATCTCCAAGAGACCCGAAGATACCACGGGGGACTTGGATAGGACATGGAGAGATGAGACAGCTCGAACACAACTACCGACATCAGTGAAAGGATGCCATGGCCGATGGTCTCTGCGACTGTTGCACTAGCGACCCCAATCGACTAAGACGCCAACCGCAGCGCGACTCGCACTCTCCGTTTGATCTCGCCAGCCATAGCCTTGCGCGTCGTTGCCGTCCGCGCCACAGCATCCTTGTTCTCCGCCGCCCTTCGCAGAAGGAACTGCAGACATTCGCCCGCCGTGCCCCAGCAGAGGCATTTATATGCCTTTGGAATATCGACCTTCCTCCACAACGGGCCAAAGACGCCGCGAGCCTCCTGTTCGGCCGCAGCGACCTTCCCCGCCTGCACCAGCCCGCATCCGATCTCGTCCGCCATGCCCATGAGCTGCGCGTAGGCCAAAGCGATGCGTGGCTCGGCGGCGGCCACCTGTCGGTTTCGGATTTCCTGCGCCAGCCGCACGGATTCCGCGTTGTGCGTGGCCAGGACGAGGGCGATCTGCGGGAACGAGGCGCCGTCAGAGCCGGGGGCGGGGCGCAGCACATGGCCGTATTGCCGTCGGAGCAGCGACTCGGCCAGCGAGTTGTAGACGCTGTCCGTTTCGGCCTTGCTCGAGCAGACCTGGCTCTTTGGCTCGGAGGACAGGTAGGCGCCGCGGACCAGCTTGACGCCGAGGATGTAGCCGTGCTTCTGGGCGTCTGCGACGTGCTGCGCCAGCTTGGCGGGGGTCGATTTCAGGTAGGCTTGGTAGGTGTTGTACATGATGGTCTGGCCGGTCTCGTGGCGGTTGTAGTGCCGCTCCAGCGCGAGCGTCCAGGCGTCGATGCCTGCGTTGGTGATCTCCTCCTCGGCGCCGGGCAGGAGCGCAAGGTTCTTCGCGGCCGCGGCGTCGCAGACCTCCCGGATGGCGGCATCCATGAGAGGAGTCGGCGGCTGGTTTTGCTTGAGGAGGTGCAGCGCGTGGCGGCCGAGACCGGACCATCTGCAATTTCGTCAGATCAACAGCGATGGCAGTGGCTGCGGAGGAGGCTTACTTGAGCGCGGCGAATTCTCCCGGCCCGGCCATTTGGACGGTTTGCAGCATGCCTCGTCTCCATTCTTCTATCTCGCGTTTCGTTTCGGGGCTGTCTGCGCCGGGAACTGGACCGTGTTCGATGCCATCGAGCAACACTTCGAGCGCGTACTCGAGAATGATGCCGTGATAGCCGACACCTTTCACAGACTTGGTTGTTCTCGTGACTTCGGCAGCATTTTCTCCTGCGCAGAACTGAGAGTAAAAGGTCTTCTTAAGCACCCAATTCAAGGCTCGATTCTTGTCAGGGTCGAGCAGTGCTGTCTTTGGAGTGGCAAGCAACTGGAGACCCCAGTAAAACAAGGCCCACAAGGCAGGGGATGATGATACGCGGGTGATCAGGTACGTTCGTACGACATTCTTGAGCGGGAGGCATGCGAGCGGAGGTTCGTGTGCTGCTGGAATCGAAGTCGCGGGCGCATGCTGTGGAGTCTCTGGTAAGGACGGTACTGCTAAGGTAGCAGAGTTCGGCTTGCTTGGTTGGACATATCGCCTCCTGGGGCCATGAATGGACAGGGCGTGGACTCGAGACTTCAGAAGTGGGTGGGTAGGGTAAATGCGGGGTTTCATCAACATAGCGGGGATGGGCAAAGCCAAGTCAAACATGTGGGAGTCTTACGAACACTGGCGATACAAGGCGGCCGGGATGGAATACAAGATATATCCACCATGTATCTTGTGGTACAGGTGGAATGTAGTTCCCGCCGTATCAGTTGTTTCGACCCCTCACTGCAGCGGCTATTCGCGGAGCCCCCATCTTTATCAACACGACGTCGACACTCCGATAAGCGGGGATCGGACAGCCCTTTCCGACCAAAGCGTAACAGCTCATTGGCCGCATGCAGCGTGGACGACGTTGAAACAAGAGTGCGTTTCCCCACAGTGATCTGCCTTGGGCGGGAGGCGGGCGGGCTTGTCGAAAGGCGTCGTCCGAAGTCGCTGCATATCCCACTTTTGGGTGTGTTGGATGGTTCGCGGTGCGGAGGATTTGCGGCGGGGTTAGTGCTCGTGCTTCTGCTTCGCCAGGGACCCTTATATAAGCCCGTTCGCTGCGCACACAAACATCTCTATTTACACTTCATCCGTTCTCTAGCAACAGCACGTTGAACCGCGCCCGGAGCACAATGCATCTCTTCTGGCCTTGACACTTCTCTCGCCTTCAACCGCACAAGTCACGCTACACAGCATCGAGTGCGGGCAGCGAGCAGTCCACGCAGACGTGTCGTCGGGATTGAGACGACTCACTGCGAAGCACCAACACGAGGTGATGAGCGTGGGCGTCTCTCTGGAGCATAGAGTGTCCGTTAGGCCGTTCGGCAGCGCCGGAAGTATCCACAAAACTAGAGGGCCGAGTTGGCCATGTTTACCCACGTCACGGGCGATCTTCTAACTTGACAATTTCGCGAAGACAGCAGTGCGGTCCGAGGGTGATTGGCGGTGCCGGTTTTGGACAATCACGGCCGTACCTAATTCTTCGCAAGACGCCACGGTTCCATGGCCATGTTGCAGTTGGCAGGCCCTCTCAGCTCGCTATCTCTGACATGCAGACATTGGCACTCCACTTCACATGCCTGTCGCCAGTGGGCACTGGGCAATGGCATGTTCCGGGCGCGGCCATGGGACTCAGGATCAAGGCCCAGATGTGCTTAGCGCAGTGCCCAGGTGACACACAAGAAATGTCGATCGCTCGCCAGCGACGAGGCAGGCTCATGCGTCACTGCTTTGGTATCGAGATGTGGTCCAACAGGCGCAGAGTCAGGGACGCAAAGAGCCGGCGAAGGAGCGAGATCCGAAGATGAAGAGAGCAGAATATGGGCCTAGCAGCGCATATCAGATCGGGTCTGACTCTCGTTCCTCGGCTTGCGTGTCGACGTGCAGGGAAATAGCCCCGCGACTGGCCCGCCTGCGCCTGGCTGCGAGCCCTGCGAGGCCGTAAATAGTATGGCCGGCTCGCACGCAACGACGCGGCGCCCTGAAAAGACCTCACGGCGCTGTGGTTGCCGCATCGGCATTATCTAATCTGATCTTTTTAACTTGATCGGTACGTCCATCTCTCCTGCCACACAGTCACACCCGCCGTGGCCAGTTGCAGCCGTCCAGCACCGCTCCCTCCGCCCGCCCCAACAAGGCAGCACACGCGCCTGCGGCCGATTATTGCGACAGCGCCGAGCGCAGCAGAACAGCCGCAGCGCCAGCCCGGCCGCACCACGCCCCCCCGGCCGCACAGCCGCGCACCCGCACAGCACCTCACCGCGGGCCAAATTTTTCGGTGGACCAGGCTCGGGCGCGTCGCTCGAGCTATGGCCGGTTGACAATCGATAAGCGCCGAGTCATAGCACCTTGAGGGCTGAATTTCTTCTGCCGCCCCCGCCGCCTCCGACTCCGACCACCATCTCCCCGCCACGGCTTCCGCCCTGCGACATCGGCCCAGTGCGAGACACAGGCTGCGAGAGAGGCCCGCCCCCATGGCCGCGCAGACGTCGCCGTCCACCAACGGTGGCCCGTACTCGGCCTATGCCGCCAGCCCGCCCACGCCGCGCCACCAGCTCAAGCGCTCCCAGAGCAGCGCCGGCTTCGAGAGCTCGCCCGCCAGCCAGCACGACGACGACGACCAGGGCCCCTCCAAGAAGGCCGCCCAGAAGCGCGCCTGCAACGAGTGTCGCCAGCAGAAGGTACGTGACGCCCTGCCCCCAGCCCGAACGCCCTTGCGCCCTCGCGCCCGCCCGCCCAGCGCGCAACCACTCCCGCAACCCACCTCCGCCTGAGCCCCGCGCGCTAACGCTGTCTCAAACGCGCAGTTGAAGTGCGACGTCGTCCAGGACCCCTTCACGCCGTGTTCGCGATGCCGCAAGCAGAACCTCACCTGCCAGGTCTCGGCAAACTTCAAGCGCGTCGGCAAGCGCAGCCGCCATGCCGAGATGGAGCGCGAGGCCATTGACCTCAAGACACGCGTCAAGGAGCTGGAGCAGCGCGAGTTCGAGCTCAAGCAGCAGCTTTCCTCGCTCGGCGTCGCGCCCTCGGCCAACCTCGCCGTCGCCGGCCCCCACGCCCACGACAACGGCCAGTCGGCCATGTTCCAGAACTTCCTCGCCAACGGCCAACAACAGTCCCAATACTCGGCTGGCACCCACGACGAGGCCGTGTCGTCGTTGGTGAGCTTGAAGCAGGGGCTCGGCGGCGCCGGTGCCTTTGACCGCAACCACGCCTACAACCTGGGCGCCGTCTATCTGAGCACCGAGCAGGCCGAGGAGCTGTTCCGCGAATACTTTGCCCACTACCACCGCTTCCTGCCGCTGCTGGACCCCAACATGAGCGTTGAGTCATACATGAACCAGGCCAAGCTGCTCTTCTGGACAGTCATCGTCATAGCAGCCCGGCATTGGCCCAAGGACCCGACCCTCCTGCAGAAGCTGACCCCTTCGTACCGTGCTCTGCTGTGGACCACTATTTCCGATGTACCCCAGACCTACCACGTCGTCAAAGGCATGTGCTTGCTGTGCACTTGGCCCCTGCCCGCCAGCAGCACCACCATCGACGAGACCTTCATGCTTGCCGGCGTCATGATGCAGATTGCCATGCATCACGGCCTGCACCAGCCATCGCACGCCCAGGATTTCTCGCGCACCCATGTCCAGCTTAGGGATGACGAGATCAAGGACCGCCTGTCGACATGGGCGGTGTGCAACACGGTCGCCCACTGGTAAGCAACCTGACTTGGCCCTGGTAGCTCGTCGTGCTGACAACATCGCAGCGTTTCGGTTGCGTGTGGACAGCCATCGACCACTCTGTTCGACTCGGCCTTGTCTTTCGAGCACGACCACATGGACAGGCTTCCCGAACCCTTGGTCAATCACGTCATGCTCGAGCGCTCGGCAGCCAGGATCACCAAGGCTCTGTACAGCGATTCCGGTAGTAGGACCTTCTACGACGACAAGTCCATCCTGATCAACTACGAGACAACAAATCTGAATGATCTGGAGGCTCGTTTGCGGCAGTTGAACTTCACCGGTGAGCACCATCGCCCAACCTCCCCCCAATTCGGTTCAAGTCATGCATCTTCAAGCCAGATGACGCCTCTAACTGTGCTAGACCTTGACCTCCTGTACCTTCGTGCGGTGCGTCTGAACCTCCAGCTCTATGCCTTCTTCAACAAGCAAGAGCATGGCTGGCACCAGGATCTGTTGCATCTTCTCCTTGCTGCTAACCAATTCCTCGAATCCATTTTTCTGGTCGAGGAACAAGGCCAGCTGGTCTATGCCACCAACTACATCTCGCAGATGATGGTTGCCGCCGGCTTCACGCTCCACCGCCTCCTCAACTCCAATTTTGCCAACACTATACCGGCCCAACAGCTCACCCTCTCGCGCTCCAACTTCACCCGTCTCATCACGTGCATTCGAAAGACGTCCGTTCGCAACAACGATCTGCCTCAACGTCTGGCAGAGGTGCTCGCTCAGCTCTGGAAACAAGGTGGCTCGGGGAGTCCGAAACTTTCCGATGTCGAAAACTATCGCCTCCAGCGTGCTCCGACCGTTGATGTCTCCATCCACCTGAAGGTTAGGTGTAGGATGAGTATGAGCGTCGTTTTCGATTCGATATGGCACTGGAGAGAACATTACCGTGGCAAGGGTCAGATGGGCAACCTCGATACCGCGGTGAACAACCCCACAGATCCAGAGACGAGCAATTCGACAACGCCGGCCCCATCACAGCGACTTGGGCAATCCGGCCAAGCGCATGACGGAGCAAGCACCAGCACTTCGGTGTCACTGGACCCGAACCTTCCCACGCTAAGTCTGCCGACTATGAACAACAGCCTGAGCATGGGGAACGCTCCCGAGTTCGGTGCTGTTGGCAGCAGCACCTTTGCGGATTACACAACAGACTTCTTCGACCCGATGAGCAGCATACTCAACGACCCCGTCTTCTTCAGCAACCCGGCTTTTACCTTCTAGATAACCTGCGCATGACTCAATGCTTGGGGAAGATTGTGATACCACTGACATTTCTTTCATGAGCCATCTGCTTCTTAATGTATTTCTCTTTCCCTCTCTTGAAATCCATGAGATGGGCTTCTTGTTCAATTTTCCAATGTTTTATAGCTTTGATTTTCTGGCTTGTCGTTCCCATTTATTTTTTTCTTTCTTTCTTTTGCGGCAGGTAACATCCACAGAGACGACATCATGAGGCATGGACGAGGTGTTGAGAGCTAGCGAGTTGCGCCGGCAGCAGCAGTTTCCAGCAATGAGCATATCCGGTTAGGGTTGCAGGTTCATTGCATTTACACAGTTTCTCCAAGGAGATGTTTGACAGCGGCACATAAAGCGGGAGCGCAAGGCGTTTGTTGTTGCTTACTTGCTTCCAGCTGGCCGTCTGGCATTTGGGCGAGCGAGGGATATTCTCCACTCACGCACACTGATTACTAGGGGGGCGGGACGGAGCGTCCATGCGGGATATTTTTTTTTTCCAACGGTAGGGTTTCTGTGGAAGTTCAGACATCTTTTTTCCGGGCTCGTGAACACGGTGGGAGGTCTTTGTGCTGCTACTACATATTCCCGCGCGGCTTAGCGATTGCGACTTCCTTGAAGTGGAATGGAACTAGCTGACTTGAGATTGATTTGCTGGAACGATAAAGGCCGGTCTATGTCCACAGGTAGGTTGGTTTGGTAAGGTAGCTATCTCGACGGGAAATGCAATAAAAATTCATGTCATTGGGTTTGTGTTTGAGAGTAGTGATTGTCGTCATGCTTGAGCGTCCGAAACGGCAAATTTCTCTTCATTGCAGGGAGCATGATCGGATGGAATGTGTTTATACAGAGGAAGTATGCATATATGCACTACTAATCCTTTTGCCACACCCCTCTTGAACACCGGCCAGCAAATAGTATGTATACATCGGTTGTTTTGTTTTGTTCACGCTCATCACCAAAAAAAAAAAGCCGTTCAGCCGTTCAGCTGTTCAGCCGTTCTTCAATCCGGTCCGGTCACCGCGCTCTGTCCTCCTTCCAGCCCATGGGCACAAGTGCCGCCGCCACCTGTTGCACGCCCCGCTCCGTCGCCAGCAGGTTGAACTGAGCCGCCGCGTTGCGCGTGTCCGAGACCTCCAGCCGTATCCCCAGGTCGTTGATGTGCTTGCGAGTGGTGGGCGAAACGGGGACGACGGTCGCGCCGGTGCCGATGATGAGGAGGTCTGCGTATATCATACACACCAAATCAATTAATCACCTGCCTTCCACAAACCAAAGACGAGGGAAAAAAAAAAAGAGAGAAAAAGGGACTTGGGAGGTTTCTCACCAGGCTTCGGCCACACCAGCTCCAACGCGCCCCAAGCCGCGCGATCGCACTCCCACATGTTCCTCTCGTTCCTCAGCGTCGTCTTTTTCTTCTCCCCCTCCTTCCCCCCCTCCTTTTCATCCCCTCTCACCCACGGCCTCCACACAAACGCGTCCCCCGCCACCAGCAGCACGCCGCACATGCCGCCGACGTGCAGCCCGCTGTTGAGCGAGAAGCCGTCGTCGAAGGTCGCGTCGACGGCGGTGGTGGGCGCCGGCATGTTGCCCAGCACGTCGAGCTTGTCGAAGTCCGTCTGCGTCTCTTCCGACGAGGGGGGCCCGCGGTCGTGCGAGACGGGCGGGTTGGAGCGGTGGAGGCGGGCGGAGGTGTGGAGGGGTTGGTGTCTTTTTGTGGTGGTGATGCTGCTGGAGGAGGCGGTGAGGCGCGCGGCGGTTGGTGGTGGGGTTGGGGTTGGGCGGTGGGTGAGGCGTGAGGACGTAGTGAGGCGGCGGGAGGAGGAGGAGGATAGTAGGGCGCGGAGGGCGGCGCGGGAGAGTGCTGATGGGGGTGGCATTGTGGGGAGCGGGTCTTTTTGTTGGGTGTCTTTTTCTTTTTCTTTTTCGCGATTCCTTTTTGCGCGCGGACGGGATGCGATTGAGGGCGATTGGGGGGTGGGCGGGCGGCGCGCTGCGTTGCTTGCGGTAGAGCTCGGAGGCGGCGTTGGAGCTTTTGGTGTTGTTTTACATCATGAAGGAGCTGACTCGCGTCATGCAGACGGCCCAAAAAGCTGCGCGCTTGGCAGCGAGCCGCCCGCAACTTCGGACGTCTAGCGAATTTGGCAACGTTCATGCACTTGTGGTGGCCGCCGTCCGCCGTAGCAGGGCGGTACGGTTGGCGCTCTAAACCTCCGCTGCATCCTCCGCCGGCGGGCCGCAGCTCACCATCCATCCATCCCCCGGCACCTCCATAATTTTGCCGACGCGCGTTTCGAGCCTGCAGCTGCACGTCGTCGAAGCACACTTGCGCAGATCTCAAGCCTGCATCTTCAGTCTGTAAGTCCCTTCCCCGCGTTGCGCCCACACCCGCAGAGACACTCGCGCGTCAAAGAATCCCGCCACTTTCTTTGGCGGCAGGTGCTAACCACAACACAAAAGGCTCCGGGAACTGCCTTGACCAAAAAGACGCGCCTGGCGACCGACGGCGACGACGACCTAGGTCACAATTCTTGCCTTCACCACACACAAACACACGCACACCCCTCACTCCTTCGCGCCTCCCACCCCCCAAAAAAAGCAACCCACCACCACCACTACGACCTCACGCGCAACAACAACAAACACAAGCAACAAAGACACCCACGCCCACACCCAAACACACACCCAAACACACAAAAAATGCCCGCCATCACCCCCTCCGCCACGACCTGGACGCTCCGGCTCAAGCACGCCAAAACCACCGTCGTCCTGCACGTCGACCCGCAACAGACGCTCGGCTCCGTCCGCGCCGAGCTGCTGCACTGCCTGCGCGAGACGTGTCCGGACGGCGTGCCCTGCACGGTGTCGGCGCCGCCGGGGGGCAACGAGAAGAAGAAGGCGCTGCCGGCCGACGCGGCCGCGCTGCAGCTGGCCAAGATGCGCGACCCGAGCGATCCGGAGCGGGGGTGGGTCGCGCTGCTGGTCGACGATGCGGTGGCTGCGGCGGGCGGCGGCGATGAGGAGGAGGAAGAAGAAGGGGAGAAGAAGGGGAAGGGGAAGGGGAGGGCGAGGGAGAGGGCGAGGGCGAGGGGGGCGGCGGGGTTGAGGTTGAAGGAGGTGGGGGTGAAGGATGGGGCGGTTTTGGCGTTTAGGTGGGGTGGGGGGGAGGAGAAGGCCCGCGTTGGCGCGGAGATGGAGGTGGATTTGGATGGGGAGGAGGGCGGTGATGATGGCGCGTGGGATGTGGTGTTGCCCAAGTATGAGGATTCGTATATGGACGGGCTTGAGGACGAGGGGATTGTGGAGTGATGATGATGATGGCGATGGCATTCACGAGATTCGAGAAGATGAGGCATGGCAGAGTGGCTGGCTGGGCATGGCTTCTGGTAATGGCGAGCTGTTGGCTTGCTGTGAGGATGGTTTGCATCACACACGGCGTTTTCTGGTTACGGGAGATATCTGGTTTGCGTGGGCGACGATAATAGAGGTGGATGAAAGGAATCAGCCGCTCGCTTGCATTTCCCACAGCTGAAAAAGTTGTGTTCGTATTCAGAATGAAGAATATCGGTGGCTGGTGGTTCGGCGCTTGTCGGCTGGACCCATACGCGGCACACCAACATGTTGGATGACTCACCCAGGACACTCATCCGGACGCATCTGGTGAAGACGGAGGAGATGCATGAGGAAATTCTTTTTTTGAGCGTGGAACTTCTGCGAAGCTCCCCTGCATATGCGGCTGAATGGTGACAGGAATGTCCCATGTAAGCAGCGGCGCGAGGCTGTGATGGAGGGCGGGTGTTGTGCAACGAGCTGACGGTGCCTGCGCCTCTCGAACAGGGGCCTACCAGGGATGCGACGAGCGGATAGGCTCGCGGGAGCCAGGAACCCGTCTTGCGCGAGCTTGCTCGGGGCTTTTTGCTCGTCTCCAAAATGGCGAAACACGCCACGCCTCAGGTGCGGCCAGGTCGGCTGCGCGGTGGAGGCAGGTGAGGGGCGGGCTGGCGGCGAGCGTGGCACGCGCAGCAGCAGTCGCACGGCGCCGGTGGCAGCGGGCAGGCGACGGCGATGGCTCGGGCGGTGTTGAGGGCGGCATCGCAGCGCTTTGGTCGAGGATCCCCCAGAGTCCAGAGTGGGTGCGTGCCGATCGCGGGCGGGCCTCTGGCTGGCTGGTCGGTCGCTGGGCTCCCACTGGCCTCCCACCTCGTCATCAGCTGCGGGCGAGGCTGCGAAACGGGAAGCTGCTGGGCGAGGCTACATGCGCGGCCCAGCCCAGCCCAGCCGCCCCATTGGCCTCGAGCAGGCTGCAGGCTGCATGAGAAAAAGAGGAGCCTACTGGCCCGCAGCGCGCGCCCCCCCCAACTGCTGCACCTCATCCTCCGCGCCGGTGCTCGAGTGCCGTGTCGCTGCCCTCGCCCGTCTCGCGTCCGCTGCCGCCCACGATTGCATCCTCGCTGCGGCCTGACCATCGAGTCGCCAGTCGCCAGCCGCCAGCCGCCCGCCGCCAGCCTCGCTCGCCTCCCGACGCGGTCCGGTGCTCGCTGTGCAGCCCTCGCCCTCGGCCAGCGCGCGAATCACCGCACACGACCCGATTTGCTGTGTACCTCCGGTCTATATCCACCACGCCGCCGCCGCCGCCTCGCCGCAGACCCTCACCACTGCCAGGCGCCTCCCTTTGCGCTCCACTCTCGCTGAATTGGCCGGCTCCGCGCTCTCGACCACGTCGACGGTCTCGACTCTCGCACGCCCGGCCAAGCCGCGCGACAGGCGTCCAGCCACCGGGGTTGTGTGCACCGCGCCATCTGCCCGTCCCCACCAACGCCCAACCAACGTCTGCACGGATGGGCAGAGAGCCCGGGCCAACGATACAGCTCAGCAGCCTGGCTCGCCATCGCCTCTCGACGCCGGCTGCAAGAGGCCCACCGAGACTCTTCTAGGGCCGCGTTTCACTTCAGACCGTAGCGTGCCGCGTTTCGAATCTGGCCCGCTCCACTGCCTTTTTTTCCTTGACCGGCTTGCGCGATGCCGTCAGCTCGACCCCAGGACGCCTATTCGCTGCTGGAGCAATCCTTTAACCATTCTCCCCAGCTTCGTTCCCACAGGCAGCTCCCGCGTCGCCGCGACGACCGCCAAGTCGTCTTCCCTGCCGCCGCGCCTGTCCGTCCGGCTTCGTACCATGACGATGACACCTCGACCCAGTTCAGCTCCGCCAATTCCACTCCGCTAGCTTCTCCACTTCCTCTTCCACCACTGGTAACCGGACACGACAACGGCTTGCCGCCCACCCCGCCCTCCGCCGTGAGCGACGGCCTGAGGCGGGACGCCTCGAGCACTCCCCGCTTTGCCGACGGCGTCATGGCCACCCTACTTTCCAAGCAGCCCTCGACCCGGACCCCCATAAACCAGCGAAGCCCCCCGACGCCTGATCCAAGTCCCCCCCGATCTGTGCGCTCCGGTCAGAAGACACACCCCCCTCCAACCATCCGCTACCCGTCATCTCGCGCCGACTCCTTCACCACGGCCCGAAGCCATCTGGAGTCAGAGGACAGCGAATCGCAGGCCTCGTTCCACGACGCCCTGACCCCGACACAAAACGGCGCCGAGCACGCGAGGGAGTTGAGACAGAGGTATGACGGGCTGGGATTGGCCTTTGAGAGCGAAGCAGGGGACGTGACACCCACGGAACGCAACCCGTCCGGGCTGCCGGGCTATAAGGATCCCCCCTCGTTAGCCGGCACGTGGGAGCCGAGAAACGGAGGCCATGACCAAACATCAGATCTGGAGTGGGACACTAATTTCATGAGGAATGTGGCAGTGCGGCATAAACGGCGGGAACGGCCCCCCAAGACCCCGCCTGAGCAGACTTCTCCCCGGGACTCTGGTCTCGACCTTTCACCCATCTCCATCATGAAGAGAGGCCAAGTTCCTGATGACCGAGCTGGCGATATCAAAAGACACGCCCGAATCCCAACATTGGACAAGTTTGCCCAAGACATCGGTTGGCCACATGACGCAAATGCTTCGCCCAAGACCGACTCCAAGCGTTTTTCGACCGCCTCCAGTACGTCGACCGTCGTGGAAGCCGTTGTGGTAGCCACGTCGCCCGAGTGCCACCGCCGGCTTCGTCATGCTGGCAAGAACCTGGCTCTGCGTCAGAGCAGCGACACGACGTTTGAGCGCCGCTCACCGGGCCGCTCACCGGGCCGCTCGCACCGGGCATCCCTTCTCTCAAATGGCGGCAGCACGCCCCATCGCTTGGTTCACCATAAGGAGAAAATCCCGGAGCGTAGAAATCGCGACAGTATTGATTCTGCCTTTTCATGTGTCAGCACTGACGCACCCGCACCTGAGCCGCGGCAGCGGCATGATAGCATTCCGGTACTATTGTTCCCCATGTCCCCCGAGGATTCCCCCAAGGCCGTAGAGACGCCTCGCAGGCTGCAAGTCAAATTTCGCTCGCTTACAGATACTCGACAGTCACAGGCTCGCGTCTCACCGGTGCCCGATAGTGCCCAGTTCCATGTAGAATCACCGCGCCGTGTCCACAGGAAGTCGTCTGTTGGCAGCTCGTCAATCGTCTCGAAAGCTTCCAGCAAAGTGCCCGAGGACTGGCCACTTCCCCGTGAAGGCATCCGGAATTTCACAGCGCCCGCGGTCATGACATCGAAGGGCACTACTGTCACCTTGTCGCGCGCAGGCAATTCGCCTCAGAGGGAAGCCAGCTTCAGGAGAAAAGTCGACGTTACGCCGCCTCCGGTTCCTCCCAAAGAGCCGTTGTCGTTGGCGACTCCTCCGCTGTCGCCAACGGACCGCATATCTTCACCGCCTGCTACGACAGAAGTCCAAAAGATGCTCCAGGGAAAGCGTCCGATCGACATGATGACAACACGTCAAAGCTCCGACCATACTTCTACCTGGACTGAAGAGATTCCCCGCGGATCAAGCCTTGATAGGAGCATGTCTGGCGATCGCGCACACTTGAATGCAGAGTCGCCCATGCTAATCTATAGCGGCCGGACAAGCCTGGATCGCACCCGCCATCACAATACCACAACTCCCTTCTCCCAGATGTCTGACACCAGCGGGCTCGAGATCAGTGAGGCCACGGCTGTCAGCATATACCCTCACAACAACCACTCGCTGCTGGTGGTTCAACAGGTGGCGCAAACTGACTCGACTTCCAACTCGAACTCGTCCACCACCTATCATACCACGCCATCGCACCGACGTTCTGTGTCGTCACCACCACTCGGACGCGAGCTCTCTCCCCCCGTGCTTACGTTCAACCCCGCCACTCCGCCTCAACAGATGATCGAAGACTTTGGTGCCGCCTGCAACGGAGCCGTGGATTCGCCTCTGAAGAACCCACGCAAGCCTCCAGAGCCGCCAGCTTTCAAGATCATTCCACCCACCCCAGCCTCGGAGCTCGAGCGCGATCCCATGAGTGAGAGCGCAATGGTGGGCAGTTCTTCGCGTCCAAAGCGTCGCCAGACTCTTGCCAAGCGTGCGCGACGTTACTCGGACACCATCCTGAACCCGATCCTTGCAAGGACAACCTCCGTTGCCAAGCGCAACCCTAAAGGACAGGTGAATACAGCGGCAGGCTCCAAGCAGGCGAAGGACACCAACCTGCACCCTCTTTGGAGACCGCGGGGATTCTGGGATGATTTCGATTCGGACAGTGAGGATGAGTGGGACGAGCAATACGGTCACGAGTCTAACCGCCTACCGCGTGGCGGAGACACCAGTAATGTTGGTGAAGAGGAGCTGGAGCGACAAAAGCGCAAGATCGGAGCCTTAGGTCGCAGGCTGACCAACGGGTTCAAAGGCTCGGGCGGCTTCCTCATTGGCAACAGCCTTGGAATGGAGCGTCATGGCAGCAACGCCCGCAGACATTACGTCAACGTGGGCGGAATTCCAAGCAAGACGAGTGGGCTCTTGTCGAAGCCACTCGCGCTGGGGAAGAGGTTCGGTGGCAGTAGCGGCCGTGTGGAGAAGCAGATCTCGAGTTACTCCCTGCGTAGGGTCGCGGCCAACGATGTCAGTCTTCACCATGCTGCGACTAGCCCAGCTGGCAGTGGAGTCAGTCGGGTATCGTCGCGTTTCTCCACCAGCACCGTCGGTGGTGATAGCGATGAGGAGCGTGGCTGGGGTAGAGGCAGCAGCAGCCGTTCTCGTTCAGGCAGTTCGCAGCGGCCGAGAACGAAACGCGATTTCAACGTACCCGGCACACGATGGAATGTTGAGTACGTTGGCATTAGCGGTGTGAGGGAGAAGCTCGCGGAAAGAAGGAGGGAGAAGAAGAGAAACGAACTGAGGAGCAAGATTGGTCCCAAGTTCTACGTCAAGAGCACGAGCATTGTCTGATTTTGACGAGGCATACGAAGGGACGATACCGGATGATGAATGACGGCTGGCTTCAATCATTTTTGTTTTTGCTATGTTGGCTAGTTGCCTGTTTTATTTTGTCTCCCCTTTGCTCATTCTCCCCCCAGAAATTTCCATTTACTGGATTTGAGTTTCTTTTGATGCGTCACGAAGAGATGAATGCCAAGGATGATGATGGTTAGAGTTGCTGCGGCAGGGTCTGGATACCATGGGATGTTTGAAGAGCCGGGCAACATGGAATGTAAGTGTATGGACCTGCTCGGTACGCAGAACAGGGATGAAGAGATGATCTCATGACCTTCTACTTTTCTTTTTGTTTCATTACTTTCATTTGCGTCAGTAGCTCTTGGCTTGTCTCTACGGTGCACTCCGGGTCTGTTGAGGTGCTGTCATTTGCTCAAACCTCAGCTGTTTTCAGAGCTGGCAAAAAAAAAGAAACAAGACCGTTTTCCATAATCTTCTTCCCCCGTTTGCTGGCTGTTTACAGCCGTTCTGTGGCTGCTTTGCGATTGAACTTTACATCTATCATGTCTATTTTCTAATGTCATGGACGGTCGTAATGCCTTTTTTTCTTGCCGTTACCCGTTTTCGTGATCTTCTCCTGTTTGCTTCTTTGTCTGTACAACACGCAAGATTCATGAATGATGCCATAATGACGACTCGCGGTGGTTCTTTGCTTGTCAAAATCGGTAGACCCCTTTTCTTCGTTGTTCTCTTACGCTTATCGTTCCACGTTTGATGAAATCGTTGATGGGACCCAGGGGTGGTACGAAATTGCCAAGGGTTGACCTGAATTAATGATAACAAATCTCATCTCCCATTCGACAACTATGAATAGCATGGGGAGATAATTCGCTACTGCTGTGCTTCACGTCTTGGTTGGACGAGCCGTCACCGGCGCGTCTCATCCATTCCAACACACTTGATTCTTAGCGGCGCGGCAAACTGAGCAGCCAGCCACCACGGCGGGATCTTCTGACTTGCATGCACGGAGCGTCGAGAGAAAATGGCCTGGCTGGTCTTGTGTAGTGGCCGATGGCGGTCAAAGGGAGACACGGAGACGCGAGCTGAGGTAAGATTTGGTGGACACGAAACAGTTGGGATGCACGAAGTGGCTTTGTACGATATGGCGACCAATGGATGAGCCCGCGCACAGAAGGCCGATCTGTAGACACTTCCGATTGGCCGCGGTGAAAGCCAATTGCTTTTTCCTGTAAGCGAACTGTCTCTCTTGCATGTGGCCAGTCATTGGCGAGCTTTTCCATATCATGCTTGCATTCTGAGACTTGCTACTTAACGGACTGCAGCATGATTACGTGCAGAACCCTTTACGTCCGGCAGTGTCGGTTCGGCCAAGGCAACGAATCATTGGCTCCTTCATGACACCCACAGAGGGTTTGAGGTGTGTTGATGCCTGAAGATGAAGGGGTCGACGACGCTTTCCCTTTTGCGGCCATCACGTGCCGACGCATCGTCGACTTTACGCGCCTCGCGTCTCCCATCCCTCACACCCGACAACACCAACAATCTAAACACCATACCATGACATGACCACCAGTGCCGGCGCCACGCCTCTCCAATTCTACCCTGAGCGCTACTATTCGGCCTCGCCGACTTACAACACATGGGTCAAGCTCACCGCCGCCGCCGTCCACCGGCTGCGACCCGCCTCCAGCCTGCAAGCTGGTACGTGTACCACGTCGCCCGCCGCCCAGACCCCTCAACGCTTGACGACTGATACTTGAACAATCCACCCGCAAAAGAGCCCGCCATCTCCCGCACCGACAACTTCTTCGACTCCACCATCCACCACCCCACCTTCTACCACCTCAACCACCCCATCCGCTTCGTCCGCCTCGTCGGCACCGTCGTCGCCATCGAAGACCTCGGCCCCCGCTTCGTCATCCTCACCCTCGACGACGGCAGCGGCGCCACGCTCGAGCTGAAAATCACGCGCCTCTCGCCAGCCGAAGAGAAGGCGGCAGCGGCGGCGGCGGCGACGACGACGACGACGACATCCAGCACCACCAACCCCGGCACCCTCACCACCAGCAGCACCAACCCCGCCAGCAGCACCACCACCACCCTCACCACCGCCGCCGACGTCACCGTCCGCAGCGCCATCGGCCTCTTCGAAGTCGCCGCCCACGGCGCCCGCGTCGGCGTCGGCTCCACGCTCAAGGCCAAGTGCACGCTCGGCACCTTCCGCGGCGCGACGCAGGGCGTGCTGCGGCGCTGCTGGGTGCTGCCGCCGGGCACGCGCGGCGAGGCGGCAGAGTGGCGCGGCACCGCGGCCTTCATGCGGGGGGTGCTGGCGGCGCCGTGGGTGTTGGGTGCTGCGGAGAGGGAGGGGTTGGAGGGGAGGTGGGTGAGGGAGAGGGAGAGGGAGAGGGAGCGGGAAGAGGTGGGGAGGAGGGAGAGGGAGGGGAGGGAGAGGAGGAGGGGGGAGAGGGGGGAGAGGGCGAGGAGGAGGGAGGAGAGAAGGGAGGGGAGGAGGAGGAAGGAGGAGGTGTTGATGAATGGGGGGGCGTTGGTGTAGGGGGGTGTGGTGATGGATAAAAACTGCCGATGGGCTCTGTGACTGAGTGGGCTTTTGTCGGAATAGAAATTTTGGGCTTGAAAGGGCTGATACCACCGTCTCTGTGTTTTCGTAGGGCCTCCTCTCGCATGGGGGTATGTATGACTGCTTTTCGACAAATCGTCTCGGGAGGCTCTCTACTAACTAAGTTCGGGCACTTGTGGAGAACCGGTTCATGGTGCTGTTACCATACATGGTAGTCCTCAAATAGGCGTCTATTTGTGTATGTACAGATTTCCGATTAGATTAAATATTAACATCAACAGTCTATACTCGTAAGTTAGATATGGTTTTCAAAATTTCTGTTCAACCCCCCATGGCATCACCGGTCCTTCTCTTCCGCCCCCAACAGCTCCAGTCATCCTTTCCATTACCCCCGTTTCATTAGCATTCCGCCATTCCATCAATTCCGTCCATTCATCCGTTGTTTTTGTTGTTATCGTCGTAGTTGTTCTCGGTCGTCATGGCCCCCGAGCGCTCCACTCACCAGAGCAGGTTACCATTATCGTAGTTCTTGCAAGCGTAGTTGTGCGACAGCGACACCTCGAAGCTGTCGGCGCCGCTCCTGCCGCCGGCGTAGCTGCACGTGCCGCTCGTGACGTCGACGTTGAACAGCGAGCAGTAGGTGCCGACGGCCTTGCCGTTCTTGACCAGGGCGACGCTGTTGAACGAGTTGCACGGCTGGTAGCGGTACAGCGTCCACCAGCCCGCGGCGGCCTTGTTCTTGGCCGTCTGCGCCTCGGCGTAGGCCGCGCACAGCGCCGGGTTGTACGGCCCCGCGAAGAAGCGCTGCCCGACGAGCGCGCCCGCCTTGACCATCATGCCCGACCCGCGGCAGGTCGAGCCCGTCTTCCATCCGCCGCCCGATTGCGAAGAGCCCGAGTTGCAGTCGGGCGCGGCGACGGCGGCGGCCTTCTTGTTGTAGCCGTTGGAGCCGGCGATGACGACCTGGAAGGCGTTGCGGAGCTGGCCCGTGTTGGTGGCCGAGGCGGATGACAGGCTGCCGCCGAAGAGGGCGCACTTGATGTTGGTGGTCGACGCCAGCGCCGCGTCGAGGCAGAGCCCGCTGTTGCCGTCCATGCTGGGGTCGCGCTCGAAGTAGATGTTGAAGCCCGTGCACAGCGTCGTGGCGTCGCAGAAGGACGCGCAGTCCTTGGCCGAGTAGCTGCTCAGCGTCTTGTACGTCAGGTACGTGCTCAGCTGCGACGCGCCGCTGAGGTCGGTGAAGGAGAGGTCGTAGTTGGTCGGCAGCGCCGCCGCCGCCGCCTGCGCCGTGGCCGACGAGTGGAACGGCGCGTACGCGAGGAAGGACGAGGCCGTGTCGGGGGTCGGGATGGGGCCCGAGCCGGTGGCGAGGGAGGTGCAGAAGAGGGCCGTCGTGGTCGGGAGGACGACGATGGCCGCGTCGGTGCTGGTCGAGGAGGAGGTGGTCACGGAGATGACGGAGGAGGTCGAAGTGCTGGAGCTGGTCGAAGTCGAGGTCGAGGTCGAGGTCGAGGTCGTGCACGAAGTCGAGGTCGAAGTGGAGAAGTGACGCTTCACCTTGACGGCGGCGCTGACGGCGACGGTGGCCGCGGCGCTGGCAGCATTGATGGCAGAGGCGGGGGCGTAGCTGCTCGTCGCCGAGACGACGACAGGAGCGCCCGTGTTGACGGCGGTGGCGACGACGTCGTTGATCTGGGCGAAATCCAAGCCCGTGACCAGGGGGTTGGACAGAGCGGTGCCGGCAAGGGCGGAGAGAGCAAGGATAGTGTTCCTCATGGTGACGAGAGTGGCCGTTGGTGCTTCAGGGAGCAGAGAAGGAAAGACTGACTGGAGAGAGTGCGCTGTTGCTGCTGCTGCCGATGAGATGGGATTGGCAGCGCGGTTCTGCAGGCTTCATATAGAGAGAGCTCCAAGATCCAGGCACAGTTCGACCGCATCGTGGGCGAGCGCCACGCCCATGCACGACGTGTTTGGCCCCGAGCTAGACTGCTGGCTGCATTCGACGTGGTTACCGACAGGTCCGCACGGGGACTCATCTAGCGCTCGCACCTTCCGGGCCTTTTCTTTTCTTTCTATTTTTCCGAGTGGTCAAGTTGCCTTCCCGTGGCCGTAGCATTTGGTGGCCGATTCTGTGGTGGAGGTCAGCAGCAGAATCTGATGACCCGAAAGGCGACGCTGACGATCACTTGGACTCAATAGGCCGGTTCCTGACGTTTCAGGCTCGGTTCGATGCAAGCAAGTGGACAGAAGCTTCGGGGATAAGGGTCATTGCGCATAGGTGCGGCCCGGAGGCGCTTTGACGGACGATAGTACGATAGTTCTAGAAAAGGGGCCGTTGTGCTAAGATGCCGAATCTGGACCGGCATCGCCCTTCTTAGACTGCCGCGCAAACAATATTCTCTAGACCCGTGTGATGGCGTTTGGTCGCCGGTTTCTCCAAGCAAGAGGCGGCTCTACATGCGGTGGCTACACACGAGCTCAACATGCTGTTCGAGATCAGCGGGATCAACGCTGAAGACGTGAGTGCTGACGTCGAGACGGCCCGCTCGCCTCCGCTGTCGATCTGCCGACGTGACATGCAGGGATGCGCATCCCCCGGTGATGGTGGACGTCAGGCACACATTTTGGCTTCCAACGAGCGTGTGTTGCACGCGAGCGGCTCGTGTTTCCGGCCGGCAGTACAGGCTGTGGCGGCCGCCTAGGCTGCGCTAGCTAAGTAAGCGGGCCCAGCCAAAGGGGGCGCTCACTTCTCCTCCACGATTCTGCCTCGGTGCTATTTAGCGCAAACGATTGACTACTGCCTGCATTCACCGCCGCTTGATTGCTGCGACCCAACACCGATCTGATGGTTTGACATGGTGAAGTCGTTTCCAGCTAGTCTGCTCGGTCTTTGCCGCGTCTCCCCCGGAGCTCATTTCATTTCGAAGGAGCAAGGGCCGCAGTCAGGGCGTTGGGTTGCTGTGGCTTTCCCCCAATGGCACCGCTCTAGCCACATGACTGAGCATTCGAGCAGTCTTCAGCTGAACTTTTCTCCCTGTGCTCAGGAACGCGCCACAAGCGCGCGGTTGTGGCTGTCGCACTGTCTGCCAAGCAGCCCATGTATCCAGATCTCGGTAGTTCATCGTGCCTGAGCCTCTCACCATCTACGCTGACCTCAACGGCAAGTTCCATCTTCAGCTCGCAACTCCCTCCGTCACTCGCAAGGCTGAGCCTCGGTTCCGGCACGCTTGGGAGCTTTGCTGCCCCTCCGTCTTCTACCTCTTTCCCCGCTATCAACCCAACCACCGACGCCGGCGGCTGAGTTCTGTACACTACTGCGATCTACTGCATGCTAATCCGTACTTCCGCCGCGGGTGCTTCACCATACCCGCCACATGGCTAACAATACCAGACTTTACTCTCTAGCCCATCCAAAAAACTAACAACTTTGCATCATCCCTTTCCGCACACCCGAGAATTAATTTCCTATCTATCGCCGACGTCTCACGAGGTCTCGACCCCTTCGCGGCCAACAACCATGTGGAGTCCTCACCGGAACGTGCAGCCAAAAGTCGCCGAGCGACGCTTTACTTCATCCGACATTGTTCCCCCGCACTATCCGTGCGGAATTCTCGTCGCCCTTCGTTCCCCCGTGCGGTTAAGCCGGCCGCGACGGTGCCACGGTGCCAAGTGCCCTCCTTGCATATGTACCCCACTACCCAAGGGGCTGGGAAAACTCAGCCTCCTCCCAGGCGTCCGATGCCCCACTATGTGGAGTAGGAGAATAAAATCCTACGGGTCGGACGAAAATCTGGTCGAGACTGAATGCTCCCCGCTGGGCTGCGAAGATCGGGCCATTAATAATGCGACTTGCTTTATCTAGTGTTAGGTCCATGTGGGAGAAGTAGATGTACCCTCTGTTTATGTGGCTAGTGGCGAAAAGAGAACTCGGGCAGGAATCTCAATATTCGGGAGTCAACAGTTTTACCACGGTAAAGTGAAGCTTAGTCTATGGATGGCATCATCAGCCGTTCAACCGGGCGATCTCGACTTACGTGTCTACGTGGACTGCACTACTTTTCCGGCGAAAATTAGGGCAGCGAAACGAAAAAAAGATGAACCAGAACCCCTTCAATGCGCCAGAACGCAGCGCCACTGACATTCAGCACTCAAGGGACGATTCTACAACCACAACACCGACCCCACCACTTCTCAAAAAGAAAAGAAAAAAAAAAACCATCAAGAAGGAACAGACAATACCACTTCCCCCCCTTCGCCCCCACCCTTTTTGTTTTCTTCCCGGCGCTCCACTCCTCACACCTCCTCCTTCTTCCCAACCGGACCCAACCCGGAGTTGATGGCGGTGAGGTCGGATCCCTGGCCCGCCGACGGCTCCTTGGCGAGGGAGTTTGTGCGCGAGAAGGAGAAGAAGCCCTGGCGCAGCGACAGCGCGCCGCCGCCGCCGTGCTTCCGGTGATGGCGGCCCTCGACGACCTTGTCCTCGTCGGGCGCGGCGAACCAGCCAAAGGTGCGCTTGGTCAGCTTCCACAGCTCCATGCCGAGCACGAAGATGAAGACGGCGACGACGGGGAGGGCCCATTCCCATGTTATTTCTGCGTGGTTTGCGTCAGTGGGTGGGTCTCATGGACAGAGAGGGAGAGAGGGAGAGAGGGGGGGGGGATGGTTGGGAACTTACCCTTGTGCTTGAAGACGGTGGTGTTGAAGCCCGGGATGTAGATGCAGGGGAAGACGACGAGGAAGCCGAGGGTGACGGCCCAGTAGAGGAACTGGTTCTCCCACACGTCGCGGAAGAAGGGGAAGCGGCTCTCGGAGCGCGGGTCGAGCCGGAACATGCTGCGGCGGATGCCCTTGATCTCCCACGCCGAGATGAGGATCAGCCAGGTCAGCTCGGCGAAGACGGCGGCGCGCGCGCGGAACACGACGTCGCAGTCGGCGCTGTACGCCTTGTTGCAGTCCTGCCCGATCAGCCCGTCGCCGGGGCCGTAGACGATGATGACGAAGGTGAAGAGCGTGAGCATGCCCATCAGCAGGCCGTACACGACCATGTCGCAGATGATTTGCCAGGTGAAGACGCCCTTTTTGTTGTCGTGCGGCGGCCGGCTCATGATGTTGTAGGATGCTTTCTCGCGGCCGAGCCCGAAGGCGGGGAAGCCGGACGTGAGCATGTTGATCCAGAGGATGGAGAGTGGAGAGAGAGGGAAGACTGAATAATCCTTCGCATCCTGGAAGCCTAGACCGCAGACCAGAAGCACGACTTCACCCACGTTGGACGTGAGCAGATGGAGAACGAAGCGCTGGATGTTGTCGAACATGCGACGACCTTCCTCAATGGCGTTGACGATGCTTGCGAAGTTGTCGTCCGTTAGCACGATGTCGGATGCGCCTTTGGCTACGTCGGAGCCAGCGAGACCCATGGCGATGCCGACGTCGGCGGCTTGGAGAGATGGACCATCGTTCACACCGTCACCCGTCATCGCAGCGTACCTTTGACGTCGGTGAAGGGCAGCAATCATACGAGTCTTGGTGTTGGGAGCACAGCGAGCAATGACAAGCGGCAGCTCGGGCATGCGATCGATGTCGTCGTCAGTCAGGCCGTCGAATTCCGCAGCCGTCTTGACCAGGCTGTCGGCGACGTCCTTGGGCAGAGCGCTCATATCCTTGGGGATGATGCCGACCTCCTTGGCGATGGCGGCGGCAGTGCCAGGGTGATCTCCAGTCAGCATGTGAACACGGATACCAGCGTTGGTGCACTCGCGAACAGCATCCTTTGTCTCCAGACGAGGGGGGTCGTAGAGTCCGGCAAGACCAAGGAGCGTCAAGTTCTGTTCGATGTCCTCACGCGGGATCTCAGATTTATCATTGATGGGCTCACCAGTCCAAGAGCGACGTGCGATAGCAAGAACACGAAGACCCTGGTCGGCAAGAAGGGACATTTGCTCAAGGATCTGCTCCTTGACCTCATCAGTGATGGCAGTCTCGTGTGCACCAATACCAACATTGACACAGAGATCGAGAATGCGCTCAACGGCACCTTTGCTGAAGATGATGGTGCTGCCATCGTCGGGGACCCGGTAGACGACCGACATCCTCTTCACAGTGCTGTCAAAAGGATACTCGGTGAGCTGCTTCCAGCCGCCTTCTCCTTCCAGTTGCTTCTTGCCAAGCTCGAAGCGACGGGCGAATACCTGTAGCGCAACTTCAGTCGGGTCACCGGTGGTCTGCCACTTCTGCTCCGACTCGTTGTAGCGGACGGTGGCAAGGTTGCAGAGCGCAGTGGAGTGGAGGAAAGCGTCAAGCTCGGGGACCACTTCGACGTCTTTGGGGTCCATGTCGTCCGAACCAGACTTCTCGTCGAATTCGTGGTCGTGCACGCCGCGGCGCTCGTCGCGTTCGGTCTTCTCCTTGGGCTCCTTGAACTTGATGCCACCGCCGCTACGTTCAGCCTCAAGCCTCTCTTGGCGAGACCTCTTCTCCGCCTCCATCTCGGCTCTCGACGTCTCTGTGCCGAGTGTGATTGTACCATGTGTAGGGTTCGCGGCATCCTCGGAGTTGTTGACCGTGTAGATGCCAACTCCCGGAATCCAGGCTTTCCGAGTGACCATCTGGCCCTGAGTAAGGGTGCCTGTCTTGTCGGAGCAAATGTTTGTGATGCCGCCGAGAGCCTCCAAAGCGCTGAGCTTGCGAGTAAGCACGCGCCGCTTGCGCATCGAGGTCATGCCGCTGACAAAGGTGATTGTAAGGACGGCGATGAGCGACTCCGGGATCATGGCGATGCCTGGACAGGAGCTGTTAGCTTAGGACGCACGGCGGCAGGAGGGCTACGTACCGGTCGAGATGGCGTAGATGGCGACTTCGTTGGTGACATCGAATCTGTTGACGCCAAACACAATGATGGCTAGGAGAATGGCCAGTCCGAATAGGACATAGGCAAGCTTGGACAGCTTTCGCTGAAGGGGCGTGCCGACTGTGAGACCAAGGAAGGCGCCAATGGCGTCGTAAATCCTGAGGATAAGTCCCTTGGCTGGCTGCAAGTTGCCGCCCTTCTTCCTGGACATAGACCGATTGTCCTTGCGCTTCTTGCCCTGCATGGACTGAGCGATCTTACCAATCTCTGTGTACATGCCAGTGAAAACGACAATACCCTGACCACGCCCTTTTGTGACCGTGGACGACGAGTAAGCCATGTTCACGCGATCGCCGATACCGGTTTCAAGTTCACCAGCATTGGCGAAGTCGTGCTCGGGGTCTTTCGCAACCGGGATGGCTTCTCCGGTGAGAATCTTCTCGTCGCACTCGAGGTTCATGGCTTCGAAGATGCGAATGTCGGCGGGGATGGTGTCGCCGGTCTTGATTTGGATGACATCGCCAGGGACGACTTCGGCCGATGGAATTGCATCGACAACGCCGTTGCGAAGGACGGTGGCCGTGGGGGAAGACAGTGCTCGGAGAGAGTCCATCTTCTTCTCGGCCTGGAACTCCTGATAAAACCCGATCAGGACGTTGAGGACGATGACGGCTGTGATGACGCCACCCTCGACGTAGTCGGATACACCATAAGACAGCGCCATTGCCAACAAGAGAACCTATGGTCGTCAGTGACTGCACGAAAGAGCAGTGGACCTCCGAAGAGGGTGACATACCAGGATCATCGCATTGCTGACTTGCTTCAGCAGGACCGAGTACCACTTTACCCCGCCCTCTCCCATGAGCTTGTTCTCGCCATATTTGGAGCGCCTCGAGGTCGCTTCAGCGGCGCTCAAGCCTTGCTCGATGTTGACGCCGAGGTGTTCCCTAGCCTGGTCGACGGAGAGTTGGAAGGGGTGCTTCGGGTACTCCTGCCGTACCTCGGAGCCCTTTCCGGAGCCCATGGCTGGCAGTTCTGTGTGCAGTTGAAGTGGGGGGTTGTTCGGGGTGTTGGGAGATGTTCTCACTTTGGCCGGCGGGGAGGGATGATGGAATGGCTGAAGAAGTCCAGTAGGACCATATGGGTGGGAGTGGATGATGAAAGTCTTGGATTGAGTAATTACGGAATGTCGTCACGGTGCCTCTTTATATAGTCCCATCGTTGAGTGGTTCAGCCCCGCCGTGTTATCCTATCAAAGACACATTCCCTGCAGCATGAAGAAAGCCAAGGTAGCGTCCGCGTATTGAGCTTGGCGGAGGGGGGCGGAGGAGCTCGCGTTTCCGGGTATAAGGACGCAAGCAGACAGACGGCCAAGGCGTTCACACTGCGTTCACGGCTTGGGATCGGGTAGTTTGGATCCTGGGGGGCTTGGCTTGGAGTGGTGGGGGAAAGTCTGGTTCTCCCAGGACCAGTCTACGCGTCTTGGCACACAGCGGAACCAATGAAGTTGCCGAGGCGTGTGGTGGAAGGCGAGGGCGCCGGGAAACTCGGCACATGGCCAGCTCCCGCCCCTGTCTCCACCCCACTCCGCTCTGGGGGACAAGGCTTGGCTTTCGTCGTCATCTGCCCAGACTTTCTTCGTGCAGCGGGGCAAGGGAACCAAAACGCGGCACCAACAGAAGCAAAGGGAGGCGAAGCGAAAATGACTCATTTAGCAGAGGTAAACAGGCCTATAGGTTGTCGATGAGGCTATCAGCGGCGACGGCGGCGGTGCGGAAGCGGCACACGCATCATCAGCATCAGTGCGCCAAGAAGCCGTAACTGGAAGCGTGCAGGCTGCGCTCACAAGCCAAGCACCCCAAGTACCGTCACGCCATGCCCATGATGATGCTGCCGTCGCTCGGTTCATGTTCCTGAGGGTTGTGGAGGCTCGGCTGAAGCCGGCATGTGGTCTCAGCCTGCGGCTTCTTTGACCTTGCCGGCGGGCTCCGGGGGCTCGTCGATGAACTGCGGCGGCTTTGCCTCGTCGACCATGAAGCTCGGGACGCCGTCGGCCTCGTTCATGGCGTCCAGCTCGACCTCTTCTCCGAGAGCCTCAAGCTCGGCATCGAGCTCGGCCTCGTCGACGTCCTCGGGGACGTCATAGCTGCGGCTGATGCTCTCCTGGATGTCGTTGCCGATGTCCATGAGATCGGCCATTTCATCCTGCATGCGCTCGATCTTGTCGATGTCGACCTTGCCGTACTGCTTGCGCAGCTCCTTGGTCGTGGTCTTCATGGCGTCGACGGTGGTCATGGTGTTCTTGAGGTTGTCCTGCATCATGGTGGCCTGCTCCATGTTCCAGGACTGCTGCTGCAGCTGGTCGCGCTGGCCCTCGTACAGCTTGCGCTGCTGCAGGACCTTGAGGGCCTTCTGCTTGATGGCCGTCTTGCCGGGGCCGTCGCGCATCTTGGCCAGGCGCTGCTGGTAGGTGGTCAGCTCGGCGTTGAGCTTCGCGAGCTTGACGTCAATCGTCTCGATGCGGCTGTCGACCTGGGCGGCGGGTCAGCGAGCGGCGAGCAGAAAGCCGGGCAGAGACATGACGTGCATTCTGGATGGCGCCGCCGAGGGTGGGCTTGGGGCCAGTGCTCTTTGCGCCGAACAGGCGATTCATCGTGCGGATGGGGACGGCGATGCTGCCACGTGGGGGACGGACTGCTGGAGGGCGCGGGAACCAGAGGGGCGTCTGGCGTTGATGCTCGCTCGCTCGCGACCACTTTGGGCGCCTGCTGGCTCTTTGGATCCGCGTGGCCAGCCGGGGTGTTTGGGCTGGGCTGGGGCGCGCCCGCCGCCGAATCCAGGGCCGGCGCCGAACTCGACCAGCGACACCACTCTCGTCCATCAGAGCCCGCGCGACACCACCGCCGCCAGCCACTGCTCCCCGCCGCCTGTCTCGCCTTGCCCGTCGCCGGCCGCGCTGCCCGTCACGCTGCTGCGCCAGCTGCATGCCGCGCTCTTCCCACGCCCACTCGTTTCTGGACATTGGGGAGCGCTCTCTGCCTTGTGACCGGCTGCCGACCTGAGTCTGTCACACTCCAGACCGCGCTGCTCTCACCAGCCTCGCCCGCTGCCCACACGACCCCCAGCCGCCGCACCTGCCCCCGCTCACCCGGTAACCTCCACCCTGCCCATCTCATCCCAAGCTTCCCCAGACCGCGCCCGCCCGCCTGCGCGCCCGTCGCCCTGGTACCGCGCATTCCGCCCCGCCGCAGCCATTCACCATTGGTATTGACATCGCTGCCCCAGACACACGCTTACCGCTTGCCGGCGTTGGCGCGCATCCCGCTGCCTGCTGTGCTGTCGCATGCAACCGCCTGTTGATACCGCCGCTGCGACCACCCCAACACCACCCATCCCGCCCCGATAACCCCGTCACCTCGCCATCATGTTCTGGCGCTTTGGCGGCTACGCCAACATCTCCACCCTCGACTCCATCTTGGACAAGCCCGATGTCACCATCGAAGAGCTGCTCGACGAGTCGGACTTGATCCAAGAGCTGAAGCAGCAAAACTCCAAGCTGATACAGTATCTGCGGGACGACAAGATCTTGGAGCGCCTGCTGCAGTTCGTCATTGCTCCTCCCGCCCCGCCCCCGCTGCAATCGCCTGCATCCGAGAATGGAGCCGAAGGGGAAGGCGATGAGAAGGGCGGTGCGGACATCGGCGCTTTCTTCAAGAGAAGATCACGGTCAAGGTCCATCAAGTCCGACTCGGGCGACAACGAAGAGGGCAAGGAGGAGAAGCAGCGCTTGAAGTACGCCTACGTCGCTTGCGAGATCCTGTCGTCCGAGGTCTGGTCCATCTCCGAGGCCGTCCTCGAGAACCAGGCCGCACTGCGCAAGTTTTGGGAATACCTCAAGCACCCTGCACCGCTGGACCCCGTGCAAGCCGGCTACTTCACCAAGGTCAACGAGTCTCTGCTGGACCGCAAGACGCATGACATGCTTGAGTTCTTCAAGTCGATTGACAACATTGTGCCCGACATGCTTCAGCACGTCGACTGCCCCATGGTCATGGACCTGTTGCTGAAGATTATAAGCTTGGAGAAGGCTGATGGAGGTCAGGGCATCATCGACGTGCGTATCATCTGCTCCGTCATCGCTGGGGATGCTGACAATCCGACAGTGGCTCCAACAACACGAATTGATTCCCACCCTGCTATCATTCCTCTCCCCAGACCACAATGCTTCAGCTCAGACATCCGCCGGTGACTTCCTGAAGGCCATCATCACCATTTCCGCCAACGCTACCACCCAGGATCAGACTGTGATTGGACCGAATGAATTGACGAGACAGCTGGTTTCTGACCCCTGCATCAAGCGCCTCATCACTGAGATGCTACGAGGTGGCAATCCTTTGACCGTTGGCGTGGGCATCGTCATCGAAGTCATCCGGAAAAACAATTCGGATTACGACATGGAAAACCAGACGGGCCCTGTCCCGCGAAGCTCTGACCCCATCTATCTCGGAACCCTCCTCCGCCAATTCGCGAACCATGTGCCCGACTTCATGGCTTTGGTCAACAATGCTACCGAGACGGTCACGAACGAAGATGGAACCACGACTACGAAACAACGTGAATTGAAGGCTGCATTCGGTGGCAAGATTGAGCCTCTTGGTTTTGACAGGTTCAAGACCTGCGAGCTGATGGCAGAGCTTTTGCATTGCAGCAACATGGCTCTTCTGAATGAACGCGGAAGCGAAGCTGCCGTAAGAGCCAGAGATGCCGACAGAGAGCGCTTAAAGGCCGAAGGCAAGCTCACATCGGCCAAAGAGGGCGAAGAGCACTCGGTGCTTGACAATGAATTCGGCACCAGTGTCGACAGCCATGGCTTCCATCATGCACGCGCTCCATCAAGCGAGGCTCCCGAGGAAGTCAAGAAGCTCGAAGTCCAGAACAACGTCAAGGATGAGGACTTTGAAGAAGTTGCCGCCTCGGAAGCCGAGCCTGAGGAGGGTAAGGAGGGTGAGAAGGCCGAAATTGGCGAGCCTCTGGAGAGATCACCCAAGCTACCTCCCCGTGCTCTTCATACTGAGAAAGAGCCAGAGCTCGTCGACGAACCGTTGTCGGATAAGCCAGCCGCTCCTGCAGCGAGCGAGGAAGCGGATTCCCCAACAGCTGCTAGTCTGACGGACAAGGTCGGTGGCCTCGATCTAGAGAAGAAAGAGGACGCTACCATGACGGACTCCTCATCTACTGAGAAGGCAGAGGGAGAGGCAGACGCCAGCAAGCAGTCTGTGTCTCTCTTAACACAGCAACTCAACCAAACGAGCGAGGCAAATGAGACTTCCGAAGCCATTTCACCTCGTCCTGAGGACAAGCCCGCTCCGCTTTTCTCCAAGAAGTCTGAGAACGGTGACGCAACCAAGAGTACGGATGAAGCTGCGGGCACCAACCCCGCCGAAGACGAGCTGCTTTCGGAACAGCCTGTTGATTTCTCGAGCTCACAACGGTCGCAATATGAAGTTGACGTCGATGGGACACCCGTCGTCGGCGACTTGCTCAAGATCATGTTTGTTGAGCACCGGGTTGTTCCAACGATCCTTGTATGTATTGGCTCGTTTCCCGCTGCCCTCCCCCCCACTGACCTTGGGTCTAGGATTTCTTCTTCCGCTTCCCGTGGAACAACTTCCTCCACAACGTTGTGTATGACGTTGTTCAGCAGGTTTTCAATGGCCAGATGGAGCGTGGCTACAACCGTGCTCTGGCCATCGATTTGTTTGAGACTGGCAGGATCACGGAGAGGATCATTGAAGGCCAGCAGGCCAGTGACAAGTCTCAGGCCGAGACCAACATGCGTCTGGGCTACATGGGTCATCTGACTTTGATTGCAGAAGAGGTCGTCAAGTTCACCGAGAGACACCCTCCGGAGCTTCTTTCGCTGTCCGTCCTTGAGAAGGTGATCAACCAACAGTGGACCGACTACGTCGAACACACGCTGGCAGAAACCCGTGAGCGGGACAACGCCATTCTTGGAGGTGTCCGTCCAGACATGGCTGTGGGGCCGCGCCAGGCCGTACTCAACGCCGTCAACGCAGCTTCAGGGTTCGGCAACTCTTCTCTAGCCAGCGCCGGCCTGGGTGGAAACGGCTCTGTCGGCCTAGACAGCATGGAGCTCACTGGCTCAGGAGGCGGATACGGCCTCAGCGGCGGTAGCCTGCTTAGCGGCTTCAACAACTCAAGCGACGAGGAAGACGAGGACATGGAGGAGGGCGAGGGCGAGCGGCAGACAACGCCGCATGTGAGCGACTCGGACCAAGTGGGTGAACTCTCATTTGAAGACGTTGAGATGGAGTATCGATGATACAGTGCGCTTACCGCGTTGGTGCGTTGTTCATGTCTTCTTCACTACCTCTGTGCACACGAGTGGGACGCTGCTGCTGCTGCTGGACACCGTATTGGCTGCTCCGCACAGTCACGTCCCCCCCGCACGTCGCATGTATGCCACCGAACATCGATAGCCAGTGTATCCTTTCTCTCTGGGCGCGCAAACGACTGAGGTCACTGTTGAGATACCATCATCTCTTTCCTTCCCCCTTCCTCTCTGTATTATTGCCTTAGATTAATGTAGACGACCCACGGATGACAACGGTGGAACGAGCATGTTTGGAGAATACCCTACGATATATCCCTCACCTTTGCGCCTTCTGCTATCCTTGCCACACCCCGTGGTCATGCCTGACCACACATCTTTCTCTATACATCTCTCTCTATCGCACCACCTCTCCTTCCTGATACGTATAGACATTTCACCCTCATCACGCACACTGTTTCTGCCACAAAAAAGAAAAGCCAAGAGAAAGAACTTTTTGCCAATGTCTAGAGAGCCCAGGCTGACTGTTTTCTTCTCTCTCAACCCACAGCCAAACCCTGATGACGCCGCCAACAACATCGATGCCGCCGCCGGCAGCCCCGATGCCTCGGCCAGTGTCCCCGCCCCCGCGCCTCTCCAGATCCCCCCGTCCCGCGCCCGTCGCCAATTCGCGGCCCGCCTCGCCGAACGGAAGCGCCAGCAGAAGCAAGAGCAGAAACAAGAGCAACAACAACAGCAAGAGCAGCAGCAAGAGCAAGGGCAAGACCAGCAAGACCAAAACCAACAGCACCAAGACCAACAACAGCAGCACCAGAACCAACAACCCGCTCAACAACAACACCAATACCACCCCGGCAAGGACTGGACAACCGACCGCTACAACGACCCCAGCCGCTTCAGCAAGCTCTTCATCGGCACCACCGGACGAGACGGCGACGACGACGATGACGATAGCACCGATGACGACGACGACGATGATGACGACGATGACGATGATGGCGGCGAGTTGATCATGAAGGACAGCTTTTCCCGGCGGAGCGCGGGCAGCGTCGGTGGGGGGAGCGCGACGAGCAGCGGTGGGGGCAGCGTGAATGGTGGGAGCGTCAGTGGGGATGAGGATGCGGCGGGGAGGATGGCGGAGAGGGGGGAGAAGGAGAAGGTTTAGGTTTGGGTTTGGGTGGAGGTTGGGTTGTTGGTTGTTGCGGGGATGGTTGTGTTGGAGAATGGAGGGGAGGGGGGATTGGGGATTGATTGGGGATGAAGTGTGTGCTGCTTGTCGTTATCGTTTAGATTGGGGGGAGACGGAATGCGGGGGTAGAGAGAAGTTTGTTGTTGTTGTTGTTGTGGTTGTTGCCACTGTCGTTGTTGGAGCGTTTGATACAGAGTTGTATATGGTGGTGGTGGTGGAGGAGGCGGCGGTTTATTGGATTAGCTGCCGGGGTAGTAGGTCTTGGTTTCTCATGTTTTTGTCGTGAAATGGTTTTCTTTTTTCTTGGCCCAATGCCGATGAAGAGCAAATACCCCACGTTGGTATACGTTTTTCTTTTATCTATCTCATCTTCCTCTCCCTCTCTCTCTCTCTCTCCTCTATCTCTCCCTTCTCTCAATTGGCTCTTGGTATGAGATTGGGCGGTTGTTACTGCAACGCCTCATGCCATAGAGTCGCGTGCTTTGTAATTTTTTTTTTTTCGGTTGGCGTGCGGGGTGGCGAGTTGGGCAGTTTTTGTATTATACATGCATAGATACCTCTTGCTATTGGTAATTATTTTCAACCTCTTGAACTCAACTCGAGAGATGCCGGCCTTTATACGTCGTCGTATAAACCGCGTCCACGCATGCGTCAGTGATTCGGACGGGAGGTTATATCAAGATGCAGAATGTCTATCGCAGCGGTCAGGGCGAAAAAAGCTTCAATTATTTTCCCCCCGATATGGTTCAACACACACCGGGCGTCGTCGCGGGCGACTTCTGGATCGATTCCCCGTCGACCTGACTGAGAACAACAACACATCTGGCTGATTTTCACTGACGGATCCCCGACGTCATCTGCAAAGCGTCGTCCAGTCACGGTCATCAGTCACCGCGTTCCTGCACCCGCTGAAAGGATCGCCACCACACGGTGAGCCCCCGCCTTATTCCCGGATCCCATCCGTACGTAGTACAGGTTCCCCCTGACATATACACACGACGTAGTCTTGCGTACGGACTCCAACGGCACTTTGATCCAACCATATGGGCTTCCGTGGGTGGGTATAGAAGTACACAAACGGCTCCAGGTACCACAGGCCAACTCCCTCGTTGCGGGAGCGGGAGGAAATTCCCCATTCTGGTGGAAAGACTACCCAACGGATGCCCGTGACTGGCCAATGTGTACAGCTGAAGAGTAGGTACGTGGCTTCATCCAGTCGAGTCCAGGTACGTTTCTTCCAACGATACTTGCAGATATGCATGATGTCTTCGTACTGAACAACATGACTAAAAAGAGCAAGGCGTTGAAGGTCATGAAGAGCAAATGTGACAAATTCTAGTTACGCGACTGACAAACAGCTTCGGTATGTATGTACAATTGATAGTCATGACCCTCACCTCTCGAGATCGCGCGCCAACAAGAGCGCCAGTCACGTTTAGATATTCAAGGACCAGCATTGCACCAAGCGGGGATATATATGTCACTCACAATGTATATTGCAGCCCGCTTCAATTAGAAGTCCCTGCCGAAGCTCTGGCGCAGGAAAGCACGGGAGAAGCTATGGAAAGGAACCAACCGTGTTTTAAGACTTACATGTGGGGAAAAATCAAGGAGATGGGGATGAAGAAGCTCGCTCTGTCGCCGAAACGCCAAGAGCGCCGCCGTCCGCAGCTGGACCTCGGCCAATCATCAGCCTCTACCCAGAGAGACAGACGTGTGTGAAGACTAACCGACGGAGCTCTTTGATGCAATGGTTGTGGTTGATTGCCGTCTGCGGTCGCCGTATTCCATATCGCCGCGTAATCGTGCAAATTGACCCTCGGCCGTGGTTAGAACAGCATGTCCGAGGAAACTCAATGCCAGCAAACTTAGCTGTTCTCAGCTGATTCGGTCCACTTTCTGCAGCAGGTCGCCGAAATTGCGCGCAAAACATTACGTCGAAGGAAGTAGGCGGCTCAGCTGTGCCAGGAAAAAGCACCAAATGCCGTGAATCTTGCTGTTCGTCGTCTTGCATACGTGGGCCAACACTTGTTTGGTTGTGCCGGGCGGTCACGAGCATCTGAGAGGCAGCACCGAAGAAATACCTACCCCGACGGGTCGTGCACGTCATCTTGTCCAGTGACCACGCCAGTGACCGGGGGATCAAGCGAGCCAACCACCTTCTCATCTTGTTGTCTCTCGGCGGGATTGAATGCGTACCTGGCTAGCTTGGCCATCTTCTCCTCCGGGCTCATTTCGCTATCAGTGTAGACAAGCTTGACCTCCTTCTTGGCCTTGGGGGCCTCCTCTTCCTTCCTCACACGTTCAGAATCAGCCGTCTTTGTGGCTTCGCTCGGCTTGCCAGCGCTGGCAATGAGGTCATCGACAGACTGCTCCAGACCGGGAATCGAGCCTTGGGAAGCTTGCGCAGCATGCCCGTTGAGTTGAGCGGATGCTGGGTGACCGTGTTGGCCGGTGACTGAAGGTGGTACATGTCCCTGATGCATCTGCTGCAACTGGTATTGGTTGACTTGCGGGGCACCGAAAGCTGGGCGCTGCGGCAGACCAGGCGCAGCAGGCAAGCTTCCCTGCCTGGGCGGAGGGTGACCGTTGTTCGGCGGGGTGCGGCTTGGAGGCAGGTGTGCGCCGTAGGGCATGGCTGCCGGAGGCGAGCCCGAGCCCGGTTGACGAGGCGGGCCAGTCTGAAATGGAGGCTGGAACGGCTGAGCACCGGGCTGGGCAAAGGGCTGGCCTGGGAAGGGGGAAGACGCGTTAGGGCTGAACGGTTGAGCACCATAGCCGGGCTGCTGCGGGAAAGACTGAGGGGGATAAGCCTGCGGTGGGGAGTAACCAGGCTGACCGTAAGGCTGCGCGTATGCAACCTGAGCCGGATTTGCAGTAGGACTCGGGAAGGACATCTGCTGCTGAGGATACTGCTGAGCGCCCGGCTACGAGACATTCACAGGTCAGTGTCCGCGCTATTCTTCTGGTAGGTATCGGACTCGGGGATAGCTGTGGGGAACTCACAAAAGCTGTGGGGCTCTGAGCTACAGCCGGGCTTTGGCCACCCTGTCCCATGGGAGTGACGTCTCCACTGCTTCCTCCAGCCGCCTCCTGAGCTTTCTTCGCCTTATGGGCGGCCAAGCGGGCCTTCAGATCCTCCTTCGTCTCGACCTTTGGTTTCTTGGGCTGCTGGCCGCCAGGGGTGGGTGTGGAGCCAGGCGGGGGGTTGCCTGTGGCGGCGCGGCGCTCAGCCTGCTGCTCGTAGAACTGCTGAAGGACGCGTTGTTGGTGGGATTGCATGACATCTTCGGGTACACCTTCCATGCCGAAGATCTCATAATCGAGGCCCTGACGATTAGGCAGCGCGTTTTCAACCTGGGTGAGAGTCTCCTTGTGGACCTGCGTCATATGGACATTGAGACCTACACTGCGTCAGTTCAACTCACGAGCAGGCATGAGTGGACTCACCTCCAGCGGTGTTCAAGCGGCGACCGCAGCGTTCGCACTTGAAATGCTTGGCTTTCTGGTGGTTAATCAAGATCTTGAGGTCGTCGAAATCGCGCTCGCAGTAATAGCACCAAGGACGATTGAGGATCTCCTCGACGTCTGGGTGATTTCTCTTCTTCTTGCCCATGGCGTCGGCGCGTGCGGAAGTCGGGGGATCAGAAGCGGCGCACTGATGCGACGGAAGCAGGCGATGCGAAGGTGTCGAGGCGCAAGAGGAGCGGATGGGGGCGGTCGCAGCGCGTGGTGGAAGGTAAAGGTTGCTGGCCGCGGCTTGGCGAAGCTACAAAGAGAATGACGGAACTCGGCTGACTCAGCGACACGCTAGTCGACACTAGCGTGAAACCCGCCTCACTTTTCTTCGCATGCACCACACTTCACATCCTGCTGCCTCACCTTTCAGAGCACAACAGCGACGTCGCTCAGGCTCTTCGATCCTCCGCTTTGCAGGCAGCTCCAATGGTGCAAATGGTACACCAAATGCGCTTCTAGCTGGCGGCTCGTTACTTGCCTGCGTTGCATTGCTGACAATATCGCGGCAATCCTTCCTTATATACCCCCACGCAACTGTATCACCGGCTACTTGCTCCTTTTGGAGTCGTCACAAGTCCTCTCACGGGGAGCAGTCTGTTTTTGTCGCGTCTTGTGGCAAGGCAGATTGTGGGCTGGGATATACCGCTCTGCTTCGGCAGATCATCCAAAGTTGCAAAACAGACAGGACCTTCATAGTTCTCACTTCTTGCTCTACAGAGAAACTCCACAGCAAGTGGGACTCCTTGTGACCGACATTCGTAGTTTGTACCTTGTTCATAGCAATGAAACCACTTCCCTTGAACCTGCCACTGTTGAAACAATCGCATAGTGGTTGGATTGAAGTACCTGCAGGCCTTTTAGAGGCCTGAGTGCTTGTCGAACTGCAGTTTGCTGGACACTTCCATGCATGGCGTCTACCGCGCCATTCATTCCAAGGCTTGCATTGTCAATCTACCACACAAAGACTAAGAGAAAACATCTTCATGGATGAGTAAGGCGGATATACGTATGTTGGGCCATGAGGCTACGTGGAAGTCATTATATGCTGAGAATACCCCACCGTCTGTTTACTCCGCACACGGGGTCCCAATCTCGGGTGGTACCCAAACGCGCACCCAAGCCTCTGTATGGAAACGCCAGAAAAAAAAAAGGAAGAAAACGAAATGCCATGCTCGCTCTGTTCGCTGCGTCTGTTGACGGTTCGTGAAAAAATCAAAATGAATCTGTCCTCCTGCCAAAGATGTAATCAACTGCCGTTTGGTATCAGATGCCTTCGCAAAAACAATGTTGCCCCGAAAAAACAAAGGGCGACAATAGAAGAAACATATGAGAAGCAAAACGAAAAGATCGAACATGTAAGAAACGAGCTCAACGAGAAGGAAGGGGAGGGGCTCTTGCCGTCGCTGCAAAACAAACCGTAATAGCCATCCGTGATCTAGACACGCCCGTTACGTTCCATCGTTTCGTCATCATAGCCGCCTTGTTGGCTACATTAGAAGCGCTCGCCGTTATCGTGTCATGCGCCCTTTCAGCTCCCGCCATTCTGAGCCCTTGCCGTAACATTGCCCAGGCCCCAGTGACCTGCGTGAACAGCGGGAGACAATCGAGCATTAATTCGTCCCGCTGGTATTAATACCGTCCGTCAACGGGATACCTCCGTCCGCCCACTCCATCTAACGAGCCTCCGGCGACGCCCTGCACGTATCTGTGCCCGCTGGCTCTATCCCTTCGCGGCTCTCTGAAATCCCTTTCCACACTACTGTTTCTGCTGCCGGCCCAGCGTGGTGATGCACTACCAGGATATCGCACGCTCTGAGCCCTCACCGGAAGTGGCAACCGATCTGCACCTGTTGCTGAAGGACCACGCGGTGGATAGCTGGGGCGTCGGCCATGTAGCTGGGCACCAGCATGGTCGTTGTAGTATGCGGGGCGGGGATACTGCGCAGCTTGGATGGGGCTCCCTTGCATAGAGCTAGTGGGGACGCTGGGCCCATTTGGACCTAGTTGTGTGGGCGGAGGTTGGAGGTGTGCTACTTGAGTTGCAAATAGCGGCTCGGTGGTCGGCTTGAAACCACTAGGGCTAGGCCGCGAGGAGTTGCGGCCACCACTACCTAGAGCAGATAGATTGGTTCCAGAGTAGGTCTTGATCGGGGGCGGGGTCGGTGGCGCAGGAGACGCTGCGGGAATAAACTGCTCCCGAGAACTGCGGCGTTCACGCGGGTTTTGGCGCGCAGTTTCCCTCTCCGCACGTTCGTGGTCCCGGCCACGGTCACGGCTATGATGCTCACGTTCGCGCGGACTGCCTCTATCAGCCCGGTCCCTATGGTCCTTGGTAGCACGGAGCGGGGGATCGGAGTCTGTACGCCTGTGCTGATTTGACACACGCGTGTACGGGTAGGTGCCATGGTTGTTGTGGCTATATCTTCTGCCATGAATGTAATCGCCGTATGGTGGGAAGTATTCGCGCGGCGAAGAGGGCGGGGAGTGACTGCGCCGATGGCGAAGCGGGACGTTATGGTTCTGGCGTGTTCGGTGGTCTCCGGGCAGACGTTCAGAAGTGCGGGGCAAATCTTCAGAATCGGAGGAACTCTCGCTCTGGTATGTGCGGAAGGTGGCCTTTCGTGGACCGTTTCTTTGTTTATGGGAGGAATGTGGCTTGGGGCTCGAAGACCCGTGGACGTGATGCGAATGCCTCGGGAGCGGCCCTGTGGGGGTAGGGTCCGCATCGTCATCGTAATCACCTGCTGCGTCCTCAGAATACGGAGAAGTGCTCTTCCGACGCTTTTCGTACTTGTCAGGTTTGCCCCAAGGCGTCCACATGTGGCGGCTTATGGTGTTGGCGACCAGTCGGCCGCGGTCTTGCACAAACTCGCGGGGCGACCGGGCCTTGTAGTCAGCGCGTGAGAAGCGGCGGATTATGGTAGGACGGGCGCCACGGTCACGGTATAGCGGGTCGCGGAAGTAGGCAGCTGCGCCAGTGCGCTCGTCGGCCGAGTTCTCTTCGTTGGACCCGTCGCTGTCAAAGCGATCCCCGGCATCGCCACGCCGCCCGGACCGCGGCGTGCGAGTACGCTGCTCATGTTCCTCCTCGGCTTCGCATTCCTCACGCAGGCGGGTCGACACGCTCTCGTACCAGCGCAGCATGTCCTCGTCGGGCCTTTCTGGAAAAGACTCCTTGGGCAGCAGTTTGGGGAAGACCTTGCCGGTGCCCGGATCCACGATGTCGAACTTCTCGACAGCACCTTGCAGGAACGGCACATGCTCGTCCGGGCCGAGCAGCAGCTGTATGGTCTGCCATGTTATGAAGCCCTTGCGTTTGAGGGCGGGTATGGTCGGGATGCTGTAACCGTCGGCTTCTCGGCCGGGCTGCAGCGAATGTAGGCATCCCAGCGACTTGTATATGAAGGCCACCGAGGGCGCGGGGGTGTCGACAAAGAGGACGTCATAGTCGCCGCCGACGGCCTTGTAGAAGCCGGCGAGCTGGGTGGGCGTGATGTCGGCGCAGTCTTCGGTGGGTCCGAAATGGGTGGCCTGGGATTTATTGGTCAGTTCGCGTTGCGCGGCAAACAAAGGGCAGAGGGCGCACCACGTAGACTGCGATGCCTGCGAGCAGGCGGTTGAGCAGGTCAGTGCCGCGCTTGTCGGGCCTGAAGAGGTAGCCCCAGAACTGCTGCGCTTCTTTGGTGGCGGCGTCCGGGGAGGTCGAGGGGTTGTCAGCCATGCCGACGCGATCGCATGCATCCGCGCGGCAGAGCGCATGTAGTGTATGTACACTGTAGACTGCGAGGCGGCGCGCAGTGGAGGTGGTTGACCCCGGGCTGCAAGGGCCGCTCGGCGCGCTGGAGTGAGGCGCGTGGGGCGATCAGCGGGTCGCGGTCAATCGCGCGGAGGGCGCGGAGGGCTGGCTCCGCGTGCGCTGCTGCTGGCGCGGGCTGGACGTGAGCGCTGAGCCTGGCTTTGGCTGGCTTCGGCTGGCTTTGGGCGCCGGCTGCCGTTTATAGGGCTTACCGGCTCGTCCGCTCGCTCGCACCCTCAGCGCCCCGATTGCGCGGACCCCCATCATCTGCATTCTCGACATTCCGGCGCCTGCCTATTAGCCTGGGTTCTGCCTGCGCGCGCCTGCGTCACCTCGGGCCACTGAGCCACGGCCACGATGGCTGAGCCGCTCAGCCGCAGCATCCCAGCATCCCAGCATCCCACCCTCCAAGGCATCCACCGCCCACACGCCCGCCCCAGCCCCACTGACATCACCGCGGCCCGCCCCGCCTTCTCCCCACGCTCCACCGCATGCAGTGCACTCAACCACGGCTCACACTCACGTTGCACGCTTAGTTGCCGTTCATCATGCTTCTATTAAACTCGCACTAAAGTGAAAAAAAGGCATTCGCCGTGATGTACTCCCGTCTGCATGCCATATGCAGCGTTTCTCATTCCACTTTACGTGGCCCAATCCCCCGTTAGTTTTTACACCGCTCAGCCTCTAGTGCTCCAGAAGACGCAAGCTACCCTGGACAACCACGTTCTCCAGGATCGATCCCGGAGGAACGTCGATCGTCTGGCCCTCCGTCGCCACGATGATGACGGTGCCCTTCAGCGTGACGCCGCGGCCGAGGTTGACGGCACCGGTGATCGTCAGGTGGTCAAGCTCGACAATCTTGGGGATCGAAGGAATGCGGGACTGGAAGCTCGACACCTTCTTGAAGTCCGAGCCGAGCTTGATGAGGGGAGCAGGGCCGAAGCGGTTGGGGTCCATGACCAGCTGGCCGTGCTGCAGCGTGTACAGGTCCGACTTGACCAGCATGAGGTCAGAGCACGTCTTGACCGGCAGGAAGCGCCTCCTGGGAACGTTCACACCGTGAGCGTTGTTGAAGTGGCGGATGGCGGCACCGACCGCAGTCTCGAGCTGGAGGACCGACAGGTCGGCCTCGCCCTTCTTGTCGGCGGGAATGCTCTTGCCGTTGGGGATGATCTCCATGGCGAGCTCGTTGTTCTCAACAACACGCTTGACCGCCTTGAGGTTGAGCCAGATGTTGTTGGTGTTGAAGTACTTGAACTTCTTGATCGACTTGAACTCGTTGACGTGCTCCTTGGGCACCTGAGCGATTTCGAGAAGACGGACCTCGCCCTCGTAGTCGATGATGGTACCACCCTTGACATCGGCCTTGGTCTTGTCCGTCAGCTCCATAATGTACTCCGCGTCCGTCTCAACCATGTGCTGCAGGATGCGCAGGTCGACGACGGCGCCGAGGTTGTCGGCGTTGGACAAGAAGATGATCTCGATGCCGCGGTCGATCAGCTTGTCGAGGATGCCCGAGTTGTACATCGACTCGAAGACGTCACCGTGGCCCGGAGGGTACCAGTCGGAGATCTGAGAGTCGGCCGACTTGGGGGCGGGGAGGAGAGAGTCCTTGAGCACACGCGGGTACTTGGACTGGTTGAAGGTCATGATGTCGATGTTGTGGCCCTCGTACTTCTTGATGATGTTGGCCGTGTCGGAATCCGTGTTGAACGAGTTCATGAGGACGAAAGGAACGTTGACATCGTAAGTCCTGTTCAGGTACTCGATCTGGCGGACGGACAGGTCAAGGAAGGACATGCCGTCACGAACTTCGATGACGGACTTGGGGCCAACGCAACCCATAGAGGTACCAAGACCGCCGTTGAGCTTGACAACGGCGAGCTTCTTGAGGAACTCCACGGACTCGGTGTTGGGAAGGTCAGAGTAGGTGACAACCTGCTCGGGCTTCGGGGGAGCGATGCGAGACCACTCGATCGCGTTGCCCTTGGCCTTGTCGTTCAGGTAGCGACGGAAGAGGGCAAAGAAGTTGTCCATCTCCGTCTCGAACCGCTGTTGCCAACCAAGTCACTATCTTACTCGCTTGTGTGGCATAGTGTTGGACATACCTGCTTCTCGGCGGGGTCCTTGACGGTATCGGCGAGGTTGTTGAGGGCATTGCGCATCTGGGAGGCAGCGACAGAGGTCGAGGTGTTCTCGAAAGCCTTTTTGTGAGTAGTATTAGCATCTTCAGACAAATAAGCAGACGACATGGTGCCAGCAGCGTGCCCGATTCAGCGTGTACGGTCCGAGGTATCGATGCAGCTATGCTCGTCCGAAGCGGCACAGAATGACAGGGAAGTACGGCAGCATGATCCTGGACTAAACCATCGACAGCGAGCCCAAAACAGCAGGGATAGGGGCTGTTTCCAGGGGACTTCCACGTAAAAAGTGGGGCCCCGGTGCTCGATCCGTGCCCAGGGGGTGCTCGTGAACACGCAAAACAAGCTGAGTGCCCCGTCGGCTAAGTAGAGGCATGCATCGTGGAGTTTCCATCAGATGCTGCCTCGTTCTGCCGCGCCTGTTGTCCGGACGCACGCCGTCTCCAGTCGAGGCCACCGTGGCGGACGCTCGATGTCCGAAGAACTTCGTCGCGAGAGCCACCGCTCCTGGACGGTGCAGATCGATGACGTGGGGAGATGGTGTTGAGGGGCTTCGGTGGTGAGGCCACTCGGCGGCCTGCTCGAGAGCTCGTCGAACGAGGGCCATCTACCGCCGTTGCCGAACTCCATTGAGCGAGGCGGGCGCGAGGACAGTCCCAAAAACGCCGACACGCTGCTGGTCGGGGTGCTTGCGAGTGCAGATGACTTACCATGTGCGACTGGGTCTTGCCATGGTGGCGGCCGAAGCCATCCTCAGCGCTGCTGGGCTTGAGGTGGGAGGGAAGAGCGTCCTTGATGCGGGAGGCCATTGTGATCGTGGTGTGAAGAGAAGGGTAATGTCAAAGTCTGGGTTTGCGGGCGGAACAGGTCAGCTCGGCGTTTCAGGAGGAATGACGGCAGGTTGAAGTGAGGGGAGGAGGGGGCGGGGCGTACTTGAGCGAGCGATTGGAAGTGGATTGACGGGGCAGTCGCAGTGACGATCGGGCCTCCGCTGCAGGATGAGTCAAGGTGATGCAAGAAGAGAAGAGGAGATGCAGAGAAGAGCGGAGGGGAAGTTGGCAGCTGGCCAGATATTGTACTCGCGCGGCGGGCGGTAGGGGGAGAGCTTCGAGCAGTGGCCAAAGCTCCAGGCGCGCCCGTGCATGTAGAGGCGCACACCATGGGTAGCCGCGAACGGCGGCCGGGCAACGACCCGCCAGCAACGAGCCCACGCCGCGACGGCAGGCACGGCCGGCGGACGCTAATTTTGGGACGCGGGAGAGCCAGTCGCAGGGCGCGCGATGGCTGCGAGCTCCACCCGCAGCGAATTGCGCTGCCATGATCTTCGCTTGAGATGCTTCAAGCCCGCCCGCCGTGCTGCACGCCAGCTCACCGGCCATTCGGCCCTGCTGCACGCGTCGTCGCGCCAGCGCTGCCCCCGCCCAGAGCACACGCGCGGTCTGGCGGTATGCACGTTGCGGCGCGGGCACAGCGACGGCGACGGCGACGGCACCAAGGCGAGACAGGGACCAACAGAAAAATGTTCATGATAGTGGCGCCGGCTTACGGGCTTGCGCCTAGCGGCGTCTGGCTGGACGAGGCGCTAGCAACGCGGCTGCCGTCCCTCGCAGGCTGCCTGAGGCGTTTCGCCACACTAACGCTGCAGCTCGTACTCCCTGGCTGCAAGCAGCGCGTCTGGAAGCTTTGGGGGGGAACACGTAGTAACTTCGTCTGCGCGCGGGCCCTGCTGCCTGATTCATCCCGCCGCGCCCGTGTCGCGGTGGGCGGAGGAAAACTTCTGTCAGAGATAAAGTTGTTCGAGAAGCTGCCGTGTCGGCACGTCAACCCTGTCGTGCGCGGAGCAGGTGCTCGGAAATGAGCAGCGCCACAACACCGCAGCCAGTGACTCGTGCCTGTGATGACAGCGGCCGCACGTGGGGCCTCTTGTGCGACTCCAGGGCTTCCGCGGGAGATCTGCGTCTAACGCTGCCGCATACGGGTGCTGCCATCAAAAAATCCGCTGGTAAACCTTGTTTCCGAGCGGCTCTCCAAGCGGTATGCTGTGCAAACGTGCCATTCCCCAGCCGGGCAGCCGCAGGGTGCGTCGCCCGCCGCCCGCCGCCCGCCGCCCGAGTCGGCGGCTGCTCCGCCTATAGCACGACCCCGATAGGTGGCGGGCGTGGGCGCATCCCTTGGAGCAGCAGGGCGTTGTCTCTCAGCCACCTCCTAATGTACCCGACATGCGTCCCCCTGAGGATAAGTGTCGAGCTTTTGGCACTTCGGGTTCCGAATTCTGCTTCCAGAACGGCCGTCGTCCGTGCAATAAGCGACGCTCGTGATTGCTATTGGATTTGGTCGGATTGGGCAGCCAGCCCCTCTCGGGCGGAAGAGGCCATTATCGTTAGCACAGAGCAAAGATCAATAATACCTAATTCTCGGAGGCGGCCGGGCGCTGTGTGGTGTTGAGCGAGCTGATGAGTGACAGCAGCATGCGTGGTGCGGCGACATCGGGTGTCCTGTGGCGCTAGTCCCAGAGCGGCTAGGTGGGGTCGCGGGGCGCGACTTTCTTTCGCTGAGCGCGTGCTGGCGCGTGGACTGCCTGTTTGACGACGACCACCACCACCCCGTGGCCGGACTTCGCCGCCAGATAGATTTCAATACCAACCGCTGAGCCTGCATTGCGCTGACGTCCGCTGACCGCCAAATCGCCCGCAATGGACGTCCACGGCGCCCTCGAGCTCCCCGCCGAAGCAAATCCGCTCACCGAGGGGCTTCTTTTTCACGTGCTCCGCTCTGCCGCATCGAGCGATCCGCACCAGATCCAGACTGGCACAAAACAATTGCAGAAATGGGAGACGGAGAAAGGCTTCTACCCGCTGCTCCAAGTATGTGCATGCCCTGTCGCCACGCTGGCCCCGCCATCATTCCCGACGCCCGCTTCCGGATGCTCCCTCTTGGCGCTAGCTTCCCGATATACCCATGGACCCGACAGGGGCCTGGCTGCTTCGCACGTGGCGTGGCTGATACCCGAGTAGGCTGCCTTCATCGACAAATCCCTGCCAGTAGAGATCCGCTATCTCGCCATCATTCAGCTGAAGAACGGCATCGAAAAGTACTGGAGGAAGACCGCCACGAAGTAAGTCTCGCCCTCTGCCCAGGCGCCTGGAATACTGACATGTTGCAGTGCGGTCAGTAAGGAGGACAAGACCGTCATCCGATCAAGGTTGCTGGAAAGTGGAGTGAACGAGGCCGACCAGAGGCTTGCATTGCAAAATGCCCTGGTCATCGCCAAGATCGTCAGATTCGAGTTTCCACATGACTGGCCAGATGTCATCAACCAAGTCATCAATCTCCTCCGCCAGTCGACGTCTCCGGGCGCCAATAGTCTGTATTTGCCGCGTACCCTTCTGATCCTGCTTCACATCATCAAGGAGTTGGCCACCGGTCGCATCACAAGACTCCGCTCCAACCTGCTGTCCATCTCCCCCGAAGTCTTCCGCGTTCTTGGCCACATTTATATGGACAAGGCCCAGAGATGGCTGGCTTTCCTGCAGCATGGTGGTGACGATGAAGGTGGTGCGCTGGAGAGCATCGAGCAAAGTCTGCTTGCCATCAAAGTCCTGCGCCGAGTCGTGGTTTCCGGATTCGAGTTTCCCAACCGCGATTCTGACGTTCAGCAATTCTGGGGCATTGTCCGGAATCAGCTGGGAGACTTCCTCGCAATCACATCTCAAGAACCGTCCACACTGTCGTCTCCCGTGAAAGACTTGGTTGAAAAGCACCTCCTGCAACTTGCTAAGTTGCATCTGGAAATGTCCAAAACCCACCCTGCCGCCTACGTTCTGCTGCCCGACTCCATAAACATTACAAAGGCGTATTGGGGACTCATCGTCAAATTTGGCCAGAACTTCGGCACCAAGCAAGCCTCCGTGCACGGGAACATCGGTACTGATGGCGACGCAGATGACGATGAGAAATCCATCATGGAGCGTCTTTGCCTGAAAGGCTTATTGCTGATACGGGCATGTCTGAGGATGGTGTTCAATCCAGCACAAACCTTCAAGTACCGCCATGAGCAAGAGAAACAGGAGGTGAGTCAAAACTTCGTGCCGATAAGCATATTCAAACTTACCTCTATGCGCAGAAAGCCGAAGCAACCCAGCTAGTGAAGCAGGAATTTCTGGGTGAAGATTTCGTGCGCGAAATGATGGAGACTGTGGTGACGCGCTACTTCGTCCTTCGGCCAAGTGATCTCCGTCAGTGGGAAGAGGAACCGGATGAGTGGGAGAGACGAGAAGACATGGAAGGCGATGATATCGAGTATTCGATACGGTCTTGCGCCGAAAGACTCTTCCTTGATTTGGCCATAAACTTCAAGACTCTCGTCACACCGCTTCTCCAGGTCTTCTATTCTGTGGCTTCCCCAGACAACGAGAACATACTTTTCAAGGACTCGGTTTACACTGCTGTCGGCTTGGCGGCTCCTGTTCTTCATCACGAGCTCGACTTCGACGGTTTCATCAGATCGACGTTGGTACAGGAGGTTCAGAAGCAAAAGCCTGGTTACAATCTGCTGCGCCGTCGGATAGCGATCTTGCTTGGCCAGTGGATCACAATCAAAGTGTCTGATGAGACTCGACCCCTCGTTTACCAGATTTTCGATCATCTCTTGAACAAAGAGGATCCATTGAATGATCATGTTGTCCGTGTTACGGCCGGACGGCAATTCAAGAACATTGCCGACGACTGGGACTTCAAGGTTGAGGGCTTCATGCCACATGCCTCGAATGTGTTGGACCGTTTGATGGCTCTCATTGGCGAGGTCGAGCTGAGCGAGACGAAAATGGCGCTTCTGAATACCATCAGCGTTGTGGTCGAGCGCCTTGAGCATCATGTAAGTTTCCCAAATTACAGTTTCAGGCCCCAGGCTTACTGTCTAGATCACGCCATACGCAAATAGCATCGTCTCTTTGCTGCCGCCTCTTTGGGAGCAGTCTGGCGAGGAGCATCTTATGAAGCAGGCAATTCTCACGATTCTGGCCCGCCTCATCCACGCTATGAAGGCAGAGTCGGTCCCTCTGCACTCCATGGTCATTCCCATCATCAAAAACACCCTCGAGCCCGGCTCGGACACACAGGTCTACCTTCTGGAAGACGCCCTCGATCTGTGGCATGCAGTGCTCATCCAAACACCTGCACCAGCTTCCCCAGAGGTCCTCTCGCTTGCACCTTACCTCATCCCCACGCTTGAGCTCGGTAGTGAAAGCCTCCGGAAAACACTTGAGATTGCCGAAGTGTACTTACTTCTAGCGCCAAATGAGATGTGCTCTGATCACCTTCGCACATCGCTTTTGAAGTCTCTTGGTGAGTATCTGTTCTGTGGCACCATATCAACTGTCTTCGAACCGCTGACCTGTATTCCAGCATCACTTCTGGGAGAGCTACGGCCAGAAGCTAACGGACTTGTCACCCACCTCGTGGAGGTCTACGTACGTGCCGCAGACCTTCTCGGCGGGGAGGCTGCCGTAGAGATTCTGACGGCCGACATGATCCGGACTGAGTTCTTCACTGGTCTCTTGGATGGGCTCAAGGGAGCCTGGGAGGCTCATACGAAGACCGGTCCTAACGCTCGGTAAGTAGACGGTCGAAGTAATGTCGTCACTCCCAAAAAGCTGACTCCTCATCAGTGCTGCTGCTGTTGATGGAATTGTCGAGACCGACTATTGGACAGTGATTGCCCGCATCGGCCTCGCCTCTAATCGCGTGCTCCTCGGCGCCATCGAAGCCGCACAAACCCGTACCTCGGCCGATGGTATGCAGGATGCCGCCGAAGCGCTCGACGTGCGCATGAAGTGGCTACTAGAGGAATGGTTCGACCACCTGGACAATATCGCGGCACCAGTCAGCAAGAAACTGATGTGCTTGGCACTCACGAAACTGCTTGAGACGGGCAGGGAATGGATACTCATCAAGTTGCAAGACTTGATGACGATGTGGACCGACATCGTCATTGAACTGACAGATGGCAATGCAGATCCAAATGTCGAGTAAGTGCAGTTCTCGATTACAGTCGAAAAGATAATGCAAAGCTAACAACGTCTTCAGCTGTCTGGTCTGGCAACGCGAGGAGCCGCCACCAGGGACCCCGGAAGCACCCGATGATGTTCGCCGCCGCGACCTCATCTATACCGATCCTGTCCACATCGTCAACATCATGCCATTCATCCGCGACCACCTTCACCAAGCCATTACCGCATGCGGCGGCCAGGATAAGTTCAGAGACGAGTGGTTAGTTAATGTGGACAAGGACGTGATCGAGGCATTTGGGAAGCTTGGCATCATGTAGACATGCTGGCGCTTAGTTAGATGGAGTTTGCAAGTATAGATAAAGAAGATACGAAAAGAGCTCGAAAATATCACACGCAGGCCTTCTCCACCCAATCTCTTCATGCTCCCATGGACAGCGCCTCCAGACGCTAGCCTCGTATACCATCACACTCCTCCCGCGCCGCCGAAAATCCGAATCCGCCCCATCCGCTCAGCAAACCGCCGATGGTGCGCCCACCGGTCATCCATCTCGCTACCAAAACTACCCTCCCGACCCGGCAAGCTCCCAGACGACACGTGCCTCCCACCCATCTCCGGTCGCCGCTGCCGCTGCCGCTCCCCGTGCCCGCCACCACCATCCACCACCTCCAGCCAGCGCCTCACATAGCTCCTCTCCTCATCCTCCTCCATCTCCTCCTCACGCAGTCTTTTCAGCTCCCTCAGCCGCCGGCTCTTCCCACTACCGCACCTCCACCACCTCCACCACCTTTCCTCCTCCTCCGCCTGCTTCCGACACCGCCGCAGTCGTCGCCGCTGCCTCAGATCTGCTCCTGCCGCTTCCAGCGCGTTTTGTTCGTGTGTCAGACGTGCGGCGGCGGCGGCGGCGGCGGAATCGCGCTGCGGTGTGGTGGCGTTGTTTCTCGTTTGCTGAGAGCGTGAGATGTTGTTGTTGTCGTTGTTGGTGGTGGTGTCGGCGGTGTTGCTGCGGCTGAGCGCGTCGCGGCCTTTGGTGGGTTGGGCCGCGCGTTGCGAGCGGGTGCTGTGGTGGGATGGGTTGGGTTGCGCGTGGGAGGGGGAGGGGGAGGGGGGGTCGGTTTTGGTGCAGGCAGGCCAGCGGGGGCGGTCGGATGGGGTGGTGGTGGTGCGGTTGCGGGTGATGTTGTGGCTAGAGGCGGTGGGGAGGGTGGGATTCGTGGAGGCGAGGCTGTTGGTTGACGGGGCGGTGATGATGATGAGGGGAACTGGTGGTCGTGGTGGTGGTGTCGTGGCGTCGACGGGAAGGGAGGTTGAGGTCTTGGTCGCTGTGGGATGGACTCTGCGTTCTCGCTTTGAGCGACACTTGCGGGAGAGTTTCGAATATGCGGTCGCAAGGGCTTGGAGTGTGAGGGTGGTCATTTTGAGATGTTGGGTTTTCGGAAAGGTGGTACTTTGCGTTGTGGATGCTCGAGAGAGCATCGTGCGGAAGAAGGCTCTTTTTGTATTTCTGATGGGAACTGCAATCGTCTGGTAGCGGATTCGGGGTCTCTTCTCCTCGAGCAATACCGTGGTAGGAGTGTGGACCCTGGTTTTTTTTTTTTCCACAGGACCCAAAGAATGAGCCAGCGGATGGTCGATGACGAACGGATGATCTGTGACGGGGTCCAGCTTCTTGACGTGAACCAACTGAGCATTCGTCATTATTCAGAACGGACAAGGAAGATGTAGTGTGAGAAACAGCTAAGCAAGTGTCTAGCGTAGAGATGCTCGGAATATCTCCGCTCAGTGGCAGCATATTCACGGGGATCTCTGATTATTTTTGGGGGGTTTATAAGTTGAATCCGCCACTTTTTCTCCCATCCAGCCGATAAAGGTTACGTGGCTAACTGGTTTACCCGCCCATGACTCCTAGGCAACGCTCGGGGATTAGAGCGTCATGGATACCCAAAAAAGGTGGTGGTCCCCCGTGTCACCTTTCTGCAGCGGTCCGGTTTACCGGTGCCGTACGGCCAGCTTAGGGAGTCCTTCGGGGCCTTGCCCATGTAGCTTGCGCCAACACGTCCAAGTGGCGTAGTTGGCCCGGCCGTGCGGTGTTGCGCCAGTCCCAGGGTTCAATCCCGGGGTGGTGCATCAGCTTCAGTTTTGCTTTTTTCACCACCCCCATGGTGTTTTATTTTTTTTCTTCCTACGGCGAACTTGCTTGCACTTCCTTGCGGAGTTACTGGCTCACCAATGTCACATTAACGATTTATCTGGCATGGTGTTGAGGTCGCGAGGCGTCCGCCACCGGCCGTCCGTCCACCCAGCAACCTCACTTATCTACCACTTCCGCCACGCCACCAACTCACTATTCGCACAGAAACGTGGTCATTCTACACTCACCACATTTCGACTCTCAGTCATTCTGCGGCTGCATATGCCCTTGCCCACACCAGCATAGACTAATCTTTCAGACTTGCTTACACTCGGACAATATGATGGTGCACCACAGCTGTCTCTGGAAATTCCATAGCTACCTCTCGCATCATAAAATCTTGCTTGTCTAGATAATCTATGTAAAAAGTCACTCAGAGAAAGAAGTGAGCCTCACAAAGCACAAAACGCGACCGACTATGGCGCATGCGGCATGTCTCAGAGAGGAGCAGCTAGAGCTCAGCAAATCGCCCAACCGTCTCGTGCGCCTGTTTTGATCTGAACAGCCTACTCAGCCGCCGTCATGACAGACCGAATCGAATTGTTTTCGCGTCATTCAGCTGCCCTTTTTTTGCCAGATAGTGTGCAGCAAGATCTGGTAGCCTCAGAGACAAGCTTCGCAGCTCCAACGGGTTATCATGGGTGCGACTGGACCGAGAGGTCAGGTAACAGCCGTCATGTGCAGCCTTGGAATTGCGGTGGGTTAGGTCCTGTTCTGTAGGTGAGGTGCTGCCTGGAGCTTGTCCGGCCAGGTGAGCGACGTCGTTGCGCAAGGCTGAGGTGCAGGCAGGTATCGGCGGTAAAGTCGTGGCCGATGAGTCTGGCAGTTTGGGCGAGACGAGGGGCGAGACTTGATGGGGCGAGACCAATGAGTCGCGTGGGGCGGGGCGGGGCGGAGGGTTCTAGCAAATTCCAGGTTGATCGCCGCGCCTTAAACTCCAGAGCTTCATTGCGCTGCGCGTCACCTTCGTCCTCCACTCCTCCATCACCACCGCCACCGCCGAGATACCCAAACACCCTTCGAGACGCATCGCACGCTCTGCGCCCACCATGGCCGACGCACTGAAGGCCGAAGGCAACAAGCTCTTCTCCGCCAAGCAGTTTCCCGAAGCTATGTGAGTGCGCCTCGTTCCCGCCGCCAAAACGCACCGCAGCTGACTTCCCGAAGCGAAAAGTTCTCCCAGGCTATTGAAGTCGACCCCTCCAACCATGTGCTCTACTCCAACCGCTCCGCATGCTACGCCTCGCTGAGGGACTTCGACAATGCCCTCAAGGACGCCGAGAAGACGACCGAGATCAAGCCTGACTGGAGCAAGGGCTGGGCCCGCAAAGGCGCAGCCTTGCACGGCAAGGGCGACCTCGGTATGTGCTCATCCCACCCCGCTTGCTCTCTCTGCCGAAGCCGTTACTGATTCGCCCATGCAGTCACTGCCGTCGACTCGTACGAAGAGGCTGTCAAGCTCGACCCCGCCAATGCTCAGGCCAAGTCCGGCCTCGACGCTGTCCAGCGCGCCATCCAGGCCGAGGCAAGCCGCGACGGCGCCGACCCCAGCGGCGGCCTGGCCGACATGTTCAACGACCCCCAGCTCATCCAGAAGCTTGCCTCGAACCCCAAGACGGCAAACCTGCTGGCCGATGCCGAGTTCATGCAGAAGCTCCAGCGCATAAAGCAGAACCCCCAGAGCGTCGGCATGGAGATGCGCGACCCGCGCTTCCTCCAGGTCATGAGCGTGCTGCTCGGCATCGACATGTCGTTCGGCCAGCCGCCCGAGGGCGCCCAAGAGGCCCCCAAGCCCGCCGAGGCCGAGGAGGACGTGCCCATGCCTGATGCCAGGCCCGCCGAGGAGCCCAAGAAGGCTCCCGAGCCCGAGCCTGAACCCGAACCCGAAGACGAGGAGGCCCAGAAGAAGAAGGAGCTCAAGGCGAAGGCCGACGAGGAGAAGGCTCTTGGTACTCAGTTCTACAAGAAGAGGCAGTTCGATGAGGCCATCGAGCACTACACGAAGGCGTGGGACACGTACCAGGACATTACCTACCTCACCAACCTGGGTGCCGCCAAATTCGAGAAGGGTGATTACGACGGCGCCATCGAGGCGTGCCAGAAGGCCGTCGACCATGGCCGTGAGGTCCTCGCTGACTTCAAGCTGATCGCCAAGGCGTTCGGCCGCATTGGTACCTCGTACGAGAAGAAGGGCGATTATGCCAAGGCCATTGACAACTACCAGAGGTCCCTCACCGAGCACCGCACCCCCGACATTCTCACCAAGCTTCGTGCGGTCGAGAAGACCAAGATCAAGGCCGAGAAGGAGGCCTACATCGACCCCCAGAAGGCCGAGGAGGCTCGCGAGCTCGGCAACGAGAAGTTCAAGAACGCAGACTGGGCCGCTGCGGTCGAGGCTTACACGGAGATGATCAAGCGGGCGCCCGAGGATGCTCGCGGTTACAGCAACCGCGCCGCCTGCTACATCAAGCTCCTGGCCTTCCCCTCGGCGGTTCAGGATTGCGACGAGGCCATCAAGCGCGACGAGAAGTTCATCCGTGCGTACCTCCGCAAGGCCCAGGCTCTCCAGGCCATGCGCGAGTACAACAAGGCGCTGGATGTGCTCACCGAGGCGGCCGGGCACGATGACGGCAAGAATGCTCGTGAAATCGAGCAGGCGCAGCAGAAGTCGATCCAGGCGCAGTTCTCGGCACGGGAAGGCGAGACCGAGGAGCAGACGATGGAGCGTATCCAGAGGGACCCTGATGTGAGTGAAGGCTGACCCTTGGTGTCACGTGTTGCTTCAATTCTAACAGTGGACAGATCGTGGCGATTCTGCAAGACCCCATCATGCAGAGCATCCTCCAGCAGGCCAAGGGCGATCCGGCGGCTCTGCAGGAGCACATGAAGAACCCGCAAGTGCGCGCGAACGTCCAGAAGCTGATCGCGGCCGGCGTCATCCGCATGGGCCGGTAGAGGATGGAGCCGATGACTCGGACAGCTCTTCGTCGGCCTCAGGTGAAGACTCGACGGCGATTGATATCCCTGTCATCACCGTATCCGGCCCGGGCGGGGAAGAATTTGAGCCAGAGATGGACGAGACTGATGAGGACGAGAATGATGAGACGGACGAGCTGGACGAGCTGGACGAGCTGGACGAGCTGGACGAGCGAGCCATGAGGGAGTTTGCGGACATGGTGATGGGCACGGGACTGCAGCCGGTCTAGACGGAATCTGCTTTCTTGTGAGGAGGTTAGTTTGGGAGACTTTCCTTTAGGGTTCCGAGTGAAGCGTCGGGTCGAATGGTGGGGATGGGGCGTTTTTATGGGAATGATGTCCATGGGGCAGTGAATTCAAGCATTATACTGCATGACAAAAGCGACTGTCGATAGGTAATGGCATAACGGTTCGGATGACTCCAACATCTGTGTAGTCGTCGATGCTAAGCATGGGCAGTGACATGATATCCCTGTTGGTCAACGGCAGGGGTGGGCGCAAATCCCTCGGGCTGAGGGCGAGAGCAACGGCCAAGCCGCAGAGCCGCCTCCACACGCACGTCACTCGTCAATCTCCCCATGCGTCTTTACTGTGTAGCATTACGCGCCGCTCGCCACGTAGCTCCACCACATGGCGCTGCCGGCAGGCAGACGGCGCTGATTGGATGCTCGCGAGCAGCCATGGTGCAGCAGTTAGCCGAATGGCGACCCGCCACGTCTGGAACGGCGCGTGAACATTGTCCCTTGTCGGTTTTGGCGCCAACGGGATCGATGGCTCGCCAGCCCGCAAAGCTTGACCTCGTCTGCGCTGGCAGTCGTGCCGCCGCTGCAGCGAGAGCCGCACCTGTCGAACGTGGCCCGTCGGAAGCGCCAGCGGACACGCTGGCAGCCGCAGCAGAAGCAGTGTCGGGAGCCGGGTGACGTGATTGATGCCTTCTCTAATTAACAGCTCATCACACTCGGGACAACGAGCCCATTGACTCTCAATCCGCTGTCAACACCACAGTGCCTCCGGAGCCGACGTCGGCCATTGACGGAGCACAACGTCAAGACAGCCGAGCATGGCGTCCTGATACGCCGCCGCGGAAGCCCGAAAGCGTCAGCTCTCGGCTTGATTCGGCACCCCCTCAGTTCTAGAAGAAGCGGCGAAGGGTGGGTAAGCTGAGATGGGGGTCTATCGACGATGTCAGAGTCCGTCTGCACGATTTAACGAATCACCTGCATGCAGCAAGCCAGAGCAGCCCGTCCTTCGGAGCTACGTACATATGCAACCCTCCCTTGGCGCCCTGTACGCAGGGAAGATAGAAGAAACCCCTCCCGCCCGGCTGCATTCGCAACGCCTTTTTCCCAGTCTCTCATTTCCAACCACCTCTCTCGCTTCTGTACAAATTACGAACATGAGATGATGCGCCGTCGCCCGGCACTTCCCCAGCACCCTCCTCTCATCCTCCCATGTCCGCCCCACCCCCGGCGGCCCTCCCGACGAGGGTCGATCCCAGCGCCGCCGCCGTGAACGGCACCGCCAACAACCGGAACAGCATCAGCAGCAACAGCAGCGCCAACAGAAACAGCAACAACCCCGCCGACAAGAACATCGACGTCGTCAACACAACCACCACCAGCACCAGCAACACCAACCCCAACCCCAACCCCACCACCACCAACAATGCCGCCGCCGCCCCCCAGCCCCACCCCCACCCCTCCCTCACCTCCCTCTCCGACTCGGCCCTCACCGCCCAAGCCTTCTTCGACGCCGTCCGCGCCTTCACCTCCTCCAGCACCTTCCACGGCACCGCCGAGCTGATCGACGAGGTCCCGCGGCTGCGCAAGGTCGTCGCGGACCGCGAGCGGGAGCTGCGGGTTCTCTCCTCGGCGCTCGACGACCAGCGGCGCGAGCACGAGCGGCACGCGGACGCGGAGCGGCGCGAGCGCGACCGCATCGCCGCCGCCTTCCTCGACACGTACAACAAGGAGTACGAGAGGCACCGGGCCGAGGGCGAAAGGCTGGCGGCGGCGGTGGGCGCGCTCGAGGCCGAGACGCGCCGCCAGCGCGAGGACATCGCGCGCCTGCACAAGAGCGACGAGGAGCTCGTGCGGCAGGGGAGCCGGGCGCGCGCCGCGCTCGAGCAGGAGAGGGAGAAGTGCGAGAAGGCGGCCAAGGTCATCGCGGATGTGAAGAGGGAGATGGAGAGGCGCGGGGAGCAGGCGAGGAAGGAGGCGGAGAGGAAGGCGGCGGAGATGGCGGAGTTGGCGGCGAGGGTGAAGAGGGCGGAGGAGGAGGCCAAGAAGGCGAGGGGGTCGCTGATGCAGTGCCATCGCGAGAATGAGGAGTTGCAGGCGGATCTGGCGGATGCGACGGAGAGGTTGGTGGAGCTGGAGTCGTTTGCGGAGGAGTTGAGCGATGAGAAGTGGGAGACTTCGTATGTTTTTTGTTTTGTCTTTGGTTTCGGAGTGCTGACGAGCCATGCGCAGGATATCGCTGCTCGATGAGCTGTGGCGCTCGTGCCATGATCTCATCTCTTCGTACTTCCGGAAGGATCTTCCCAAGGAGATCTTGGTGGTCAGTATAGAGCTTTGTTCAGGTGTCGGGGCGGCGTACGCTGACGGGGCCGCAGAACAGCTATGCGTGGAGCGAGATCAAGAAGCCGCAGGACTTCTCGCACAGCATCCCGCTGCCGCAGTCCAACTCGCCGGCGGCCAAGTCGATGCGCATCGCCGTGATCCTGGCCATCCTCGCGCGGCTGATCGACAAGTACCTCTTCCAGCCGTCGTACATCCTGCACGAGGAGAGCGGGCTGCGCGAGATCCTGATCCGCCAGGCCATCGAGAACAGCAAGCGCGAGGCCTTCACCCGCGGCATCTTCCTGGCCACCTTCGAGGACGAGCAGGCCGAGATCGCCGACGAGCTGGTGACGCGCATCGTCAAGGAGCTGATGCACCACATCCACGACCTGCTGCCCGCCTCGCAGGTCGAGAGCTTCCGCGGCCGCCTCGAGCAGATCGTCCAGGACGCGCGCGACATCTGGTGGAAGGCCCAGCGCCTGCGCCTGCGCCTCGAGCCCGACTTCCAGGTCGAGGACTACGGCTGGGAGCGCCCCATCCAGTTCCAGTTCGACCACCACCCGCACGCCCATCCCAACGCCGGCCTGCCCCCCGCCCCCAACAACAAGCCGCCGCCGCCGCAACAACAACAACCCCCGCCAAAAGTCGACACCCCCCAGCAGAGCCCCCCGTCCTCGGCAAAGGCCTCCCCGCAGACCCCCAACACCGGCTCCTCCGCCGCCATCACCCCGGCCATGCCCGCCCCCACCACCATGGGCCCCACCAACATGCCCCTCCCACCAATCGTCCACAACAACACCGCCACCATCACCACCAACGGCAACACCAGCAACACCACCACCCACACCCCCCATCAAACCCTCCCCCAGCACCACCCCCACCACAACCTCGCCCTCCCCCTCACCGTCCCCCCCGACGAATCCCTCCTCCTCATCTTCCCCCGCATCTACATCGTCGAAGACGACGACCCCGAACCCGTCACCCCCGGCACCGTCCTCCTCCGCTCCCAGGCCGAAGACGCCGAGCGCGAACTCGTCCTCCAGCAGCAGAAGAACGCCTTCGGTCCGGGCTCCTTCGGCGGCATGGGGCGGCGGGGGAGCGGGAATAGCGGGGGTGGTATTGGTGGGGTAGGAGGGGGTATGGGAGGTATGGGAGGTATGGGAGGTGGTGGAGGAGGAGGTTTTGGTGGGGGTGGTGGTAATGGCGGGTGGTATGCGGGGAATGGCGTCATGAGGGTGGGCGGGCCAAGGCCGCGGCGGCTGAGCGTGCCGCAGATGGAGGAGATTCCGGAGGTGCCGACGCCGGGAGAGGAGAGGGAGAAGGTGCCATCGACGACGGCGGCGGCGGCACCGGCGACTTCTGATGGTGGTGGTGGTGGTGGTGGTGGTGGCGGCGGTGGGAGTGTTGCTGCTGCGACGACGACATCCGATCCGAGCGAGAAGAAGGATTTTTTAGGTCAAAGAGCCGGAGGGTGAGTAGGGCGGTGGTGAGGTGGGTGGGCAAGGGGAAGAGGGCGTTGTTTTTGCCATCACCTGTCCGGCTGCGGAGGATCAGTAAGGCGAGGGAGGCGGAGGATGAGGGGGGAGACGACGTGTCGAGGGAGAGCGTGGGGCTGATGTTGAGGAAGACGTTGAGTAGTCCGGTGTGAGGTGGAGATTTGTGCGTGGTTTTTTTCGTCGTGGCTTTTTTTTTATATCATTCTTCTTCATTTGGGAAGTTTGTTGCTTGTAGTAGACATTATTTGAGTGTCTTTCCTCCTTCTTTGTTTTTGTGGAGAGACTACCGGCATGAGATACGTCCATCATCGCCTTTTTGGTTTTTCTGTGGGTTTTATGGGATCACGATACGTTTTTCTTTTCCGTTGATATCCTCCCTTTTGGAAGACCGAATATTGCGCTCGACTACCAGTTTCGCTACTTTGGCAATTTTCACAATCGGTTGGTTACCGGCTATGCAGGATGGGCTTTTCACTATCACAGGTAAATGATGCCGTTTATGTTTAGTCGATAATGATGATCAGCTCCTTTAAAGGATTGAAATTATATTTAGGTATTGCGCCTCTTATACCCTTATTGCACGTCTCGACCGTAAGAGACAAACCCAGTGCATGAAACTGATTGAGGCACCAGATATCAAGCTGAGTTTCGATATCGACAGGACTGTTCTATTGATATCACCCTTTATAAAATGTACCACTCTTCCTAGCATAAGAGCCATGAGCACCTGCCCACGCGTCCACAGTCCAGTGATCCACAGAATCTTATCCGCGTGATCGAGGCTGCTGCCACTACTGCCACTGCTGCCGCCGAAGTCAAAGGAGGTGAGAGTGGGTCGTTATGGGCACGTCCGCCGCGGCGCGTATATTTTTTTTATTATTTTTTTTACCACTGCCACCACCACCACCAGTAGAAAGCCTGTGACGACGACGACGAGAAGCGCAACGGTGGACGGTTGAGAGCGTTCTCCTTTTTCATGAGTGTAACTTTCCACACACGGACACGAGCACGACGCGACCACGACGATGATCATGCGGGCTGGCCCTGAGCGCCACAATCCCTCGGCTGGTCCTATTCCGCGAAGTTGTTGACGCTGACCTCAGACAACCAGCTGCCCGTCCACCAACCAGTGTAGGGGTTGACAATCGCGGATGTCTTCTCTGTAGGGATGTTCGAACACCGCAAAAAAAAAAAAAAAACGTTGTATTCCCCGGGCTAATGCCTCATGACCTGCCTCAATCCAATCTCCACGAGCTTACAACCCACGTGGGAAGATAAGTAAGGATATCTACGCTATGAAAAAAGACGAGACAAAAAACGTACATGAGCCAGAAAAGAATCCAAGCCGTCCAACATGATATACCCGCGTGGAACTGACACAAGCAAGCTCAAGAGCAAGAAGATGTGCGTCCAACGACGACGACGAAAGGAAAAGGCAACACCTATCAATGCTTACCACTTCCTCTCAAACCGCGCGTTGTCATCATCGTCAACGTCGTCGTCATCCCCCGCATGCACAAAACAGACACAACAATCCCCCAACCCAACCCCTCATTCCATGCAACAAACATATCTCTCCCCCATGACCCACCCACTCACTCCCTATACATATTAACAAATTCCCACAACGCCCTAACGACCGCCACGCCGCCACCCTGCGTCTCAACCGTCCGTCCTCTACCTCTATCGTTCTTATCCCTCACCTCCGCACCGCTCTTCCTCACCTTCATCGACGACGTCAGCCTCGACGACGACGACGACGACGACACACTCCCGCCAGTAGCCTTACCTCCAGCCACAACAGCATCATCATCACCAAACTCCATGAACGAAGGCAACCCGTCTCCCACTTTCGGCGGGCCGCCGCCGTTGTTGCTGCTCCAATCATAATCCCTGATCGGCAACCACAACCCACCACCCAGCAACACTTCCTCATCGTTCCTGTAATCCACCGCACCGACCGGCAGCGGCGGAACCTCAACAACAATATCATCATCATCATCACCATCACTATTCGCAGCAGCAGCAGCACCCCACCACATGCCGAACCTGCCCTCGGCGTCCCTCGAGCGCAGCGCCATGCGCGCGTTGTGCGCGACCCACGTGGCGTATTCCTTGCAGCTCTGGCGGTGCAAGGAGGCGGTGGCGGGGTCGGCGCCGTGGGTGATGCCGCCGGGGACGCGGGCGCGGAGCGGGAGCGGCTCGCAGAAGAGGGTGAGGTGGTGGAAGAAGATGCCCTTGAACGTCTGGCCGTTCTGGCTGCAGCTGGCGGCGGCGTCGCACTGCTCCTCGAGCACGCCGGCGCGGCCCATGCCGTGCCATTTGCTCGGGTCTTCTCGCGTCTCCCTTTCATCGTCGAGTTCCACTACTACCTCCTCGTCGTCATCTTCATCCTCGCTGTGATGAGGACGATGATGGCGGCCCCCGTCACCACCACCGCCACCCCGTCCTCGTCCACGATGCCGCCGCTGCCGCCGCCGCCGCCGCTCCTCGTGCTCGGCCCAGCCCGTGGCCTTGATGACGTTGCGGACGAGCTCGTGGCCGTCTTCCAGGTACCAGCGCTCGCCGGTGGCCTCCCACAGGCCGCGCAGGCCCGACAGCAGCACCCCCTGGTTGTACGTGTACGTCATCTCGTTGCGCTCGTCGCACTTGCCCGTGCCGATGGTGCCGTTCTTGCCCCAGTCGGTGATGTGGAAGCCGTCGACGTACAGCCCCTGGTCGTTGGTCATGTTGCTGCCGCGCAGCCACTCGTAGCCCCTCACCGCGGCCGCGAGGTAGCGGGCGTCGTGTGGGCGGGCGGTGGGCAGCCCGCCATCACCATCGTCGCCGCCGCCGCCGCTGCCGCCAGCGCTCTGACTCTGACCCATGAACGGGGACGAGTTGTCGTCGCCGGGGAAGTACAGGTACATGCCGATCGAGGCCGAGATGAAGAGCTGGTTCGTGATGGCGTTCTTGTACGGCGTCAGGCGCGGGTTCCACGTCATGCCGCCGCCGCACAGCTCCGTGTCCCAGCCGGCGGACGCGATGTTGTAGAAGATGTGGGCGCGGTGGGCGAAGCCGGGCGCGAACTGCGCGCCGTACCACGAGCCGTGCCGGGCGTCGCGGTGGTGGCCGTAGTGGCGGCGGGCGTGCACGTCGATGAACTTGATGCTCTCGAGCCAGCCGAGCACGACCCACAGCATGTCGTCGTAGGCCTGCATGCGCAGGCTGAAGGCGTCCTCGCCGAAGTAGTACGCCACCGACTGCGAGAAATACCGCCCGATCTCGTTCTCGATGCGCTGGCCGTCGACGGCCGGCCGCTCCGCGCCCGGCAGCACGTACTCGAGCGAGCGCGTGAGCGAGTGCAGCGTCGCCGACACGAAGGTGGACATGACGGCCGCGGTCCAGTCGATGGCCGACGGCCACTGGCCGAGCCACAGCTCGAAGTAGCGCGATTGCATCGTTTCCAGCGCGTTGTGCAGCTCCTCCAGCGGGTTCAGAGGCCAGTGCACCTCCCCGCCGCTCTCGGGAGGGATTGCGGCTGCCGGTGCGGCATCGTCGTCCGGGGTGAGGCTGGCCGGGCGGGGGTGCGTGAACGGCTTCTGAGCGGCGTTGGCAGCGGCTTCGGCGATGTCGCGTGACAGGGACGGCGTGTCGTAATCAACAGTCGCGTTGACGGGAGCGCAAAGCAGGGCGATCGAGAGGAGGGCAAGGAAAGTGAGGGCATGGCATGGTTGGAGGAGGGCGCTCTGGGGCAATCGCGAATGCATGACGTCGCGAGACTGGAGCTGGAGCTGGGCGGCGATAAGACGACAGCTGGCCGCGGACGAGCGGCGGGGAAAGAGCGAGCGAAGAGTCAGAGAGAACAGTGCATGAGTGAGACAGGTGCGGCGGCGGCCAGCAAGGTGGGAAACAAGGAGGAGACGAAGTGAGAGGCCTCTCGGCGTTCCTGCGTCGAGGAGGCTCAGGCGGTGGTGTGGTGGCCCTAAGCTGAAGAGGCAAGGATGCCCTTAGCAGCAGTCACTCGCTTGCACCCGCGACTCGCGACACTTCCCCGCAGCAACACCAACTCCTGCGGCTGAAACCCACAAGCCGCGCGGCGCTGTGATTGGCGCCTACGTCATGGACGAGCCCTGGACAACCCCTCGCCTCACCAGTTTCGAAGCTTCATCATCAACTCGATGGCGCGTTGCTGTAGCCCAACAGTCTGATAACCCTTCCCCGCAATCGTAGCCGCAAGCCATGCGAGAAGCGTTGCTGGGCATGCGGGGAGCTGCCGCGGCCAATGCTCATCAGCTGACTGCAACCGTTGAGATTTTTTCAGCCTTTTATCGATTTCACGGGAAGCCACTGCACTTCTACAGCACATCAGTGCCTCGATGGTCGAGAGCTACCACCAGCGTTTGATGCCAACGTTCCATTGTTGCTTCCTGTCCCGTGCATCTCAACAGACGCGGGGTGGTCGCATCCTGGGAGCTTACGCCGCGCTGGTGCGTTATCGATCCGCTACGAGAGGGTGTACAGCCAAGACACTGCGCGGCCAATGACCCCTGTTTTCGGAGGCGCCCTGAGCCTTGAAGTGGTGTTGTCGTGAAACCCGCCGGTCCAGTTAGAGCTTCCAGCAACTCCGACCCTCTTGTCACCTGTGATGTCTGGGCCTTGACAAATATTTCGCAATATCCTTGTATACATTGCTGCCGTGAAACATGTCGCTTCGCTTCAAGTGCCGAAGGCTGTGAACTGTTCTTGGCTGTGCAACCATGATGGGTGTGCAGGAGCTCCTGGCTCATCACGCTCATTTTATCCGGACCTGGGAGCTGGCTCACGCAGTCCACAGCGAATTGGTCTAGCCACTGAAGGTTCCGCAAACAGCCAATCGGCTAGGAATACTCAAGAACTGTAACTGCTTAAGGACTGCAACCACGGTAGCTACAAAATCGGTCATCCGGTAGTGGGATTGCCCGTTAGTTATTGCATTATTGTTTTATATTCCAGAGCCAGGATTCCACATCCGACTTGGCGTTCAGCTAACGCCAGCGTGTAAATCGTCTCAAATAAATGCTCATCGTCTGGGTGTCTGACCTCAGGTCAGCTGCTGCGTCCATTGCGGAAACAAGAACAAGGAGCTGGGCGAGACTTACTGTTGAACGTTTGAAAGACCAGCTCGTCCGGAGACAAGCCGGTAGCATGCTTTTAGATTCGATACTACCCACTCGGGATCATGACCCGCGGTATAGTGTGCATTCCAGGGATCCCTCATACCTCTCACACCTCCTGCTTCCTTGCTCCAATGTGTCCCCAATCTCGCGCACGAATTGCTCAAGCCAAAAAAAAAGCCCGGGTGTGTGCCTTTCGCTCGTATCCCCCTTTCCCCCCCGCCTTCACTCGGCGTCGTCCCTCATGACATCCTCCGGGCTCCTACTGCGGCCGCCGCGCTCGCGATCCTCGGGACTCCTGCTCCTCGGCCTGCCGCGTCCACGGCCGCCGCCGCGCGGGCCGCCCGCCTGCTTGGGCGGCGGGCGCACGAAGGCGTAGTCGACCGAGATGTTTTGGTCGAGCAGCGTCTTGCCGTCGGCGCCTTCGATGGCCGCCTTCGCCTCCGCCATGGTCGGGTACTCGACCAACACGTAGCCCTGCACAAAAAGTAAAAAGAGTCACAGTCAGCCTCCTCCGTTCCCTCAATTCCTTCTGTTTGTTTCCTCAGAGACGGCAGGTTTGCTGCAGACATTCATTTTGGGGGCATCCGGTGGTGAGGACGACGCACCTTGACATAACCGGTACGGCGATCCAGGTTGACGTGCAGGTTCTTGATTTCGCCGAACTCGCCAAACATGTCCGTCAGGTCCTCCTCGCTGGCCTCCTCGTGGACGTTGGTGATGATGATGATCCAGCCTTCGATCGAGCGCACCGCCACGGCGTCGTCCTTGGTGCGCGCTTCGCTACTGCCCTTGGTGTCGGCGGGCTGAATGTCGACGTCCATTTCGGCGTCGGCCATGGCTGATACGAGTGTGTGGGGTTACGGAGAAGATACGGCGGCGAGTGGTGGGAGGAGAGCGGGGGAAAGGTTCGCGGTGGGTGAGGCGGTATTGGAAGGTTGATTGCGGGTAAACGATGTGGTGGCCCTCGGAGGTGATGCGCGCGCGGTGTTGATGCGCTTCGCTTGGCGCTGACGTCCCGCCCCATGCGCCAGCACCGCACCCGGCGATCTGCTGCCAATTCACTTTCTATTTGGTGCACGCATAGAGGAGCAGTATAACAGCTTGGAGGGTCCATAGAGCCCAGCATTTACGCAATACGAGGTGTATCACGATGTTCAGATTTGGCTCGTCAATGGCTCAATTGCTTCTTGTATTCATTTTTGTTGCAGACCTCAGACGTGCTGTCAGGGATCCGAGCTATACCGTGGTGTCTCCAGCAAGTTGCTTAAGCCTTGCCAGCGATGGCAATGCACTCAATCTCCACCGGAACGCCCTTGGGGAGTTGCTTGACGGCGACGCAGCTCCTGGCCGGCTTGTGGGCGAAGAACTTCTCGTAGACGCCGTTCATTTCACCGAAGTTGGCCATGTCGTCCAGGAAGACGTTGACCTAAACGTGGGTCCCGTCCGTCAGCACCCATGTTTCACACGCATGTGCCACAGCAGGCCGATGCCGCTAACGATCAACGCACCTTGAACACGCGAGAGATGTCAGAGCCGGCCTCCTGGAGGATGGCAATGATGTTGTTGCAGCAAGCCTCAGTCTTCTGGCCAATGCTGCCCTCGATCAGGTTGCCCTGGGTATCGGCCGGGATCTGGCCCGAAACGAAGATTTGCTGACCGACCTGGACGGCTTGGGACTAGAGAACAGACTGCGTCAGCGGCGTGGCCGATACGCGCGAATGCATGTGTGTAAGCGGGCTGCAGCCGGAGGGCTGAGCTTCGACGCGAGGCCGTGAGGATCGGAAGCTTCGGGGAGGATGGCGAACGTACGTAAGGGCCGGCGGCTGTTCAAGGTGCGTTAGCTGGGGCAAAGGCGGGTTGTTTTGGTGTCTCGGCAGAGGAGCTTACGAGGGCAGGCCTTGGCGGTAAAGATCTTCTGCATGTCAGACATGTTGCGAGTTGGCTGGCGAGGGTGCAGTCGAGATGGAAGGGGCAATTGGCGGAGTGGACGGGCGAGGCAGAGGACGGAAGGGCGTGAGAGCAGGCGTAGTGTTGTGCGTTGGGGCATCATCGAAGACATTCCGAAGAGTCACAGCACAGGTTTTTGGCGGGGCATGGCGGGGTGCTCACGAGAGATTGCCGACGCATGGCCGATAAGGCAGGCCAGCTTCAATGGAACTTACTTTTTATCTTCAACAAACAATCAGGTCTTGCTACACGCGCATGTGCCCCAGCCGTTCAATGGCCGAGGGCCGATCAGAGGAAATCCGGACGCATGGCTGAAACAAAGCAGAAATGGCGGCGCTCACGCTGCAGATAACGGATGGCCCTCCGGCGCCAGAAGAGGCCCTATCTCACAACCCCGACAAAGTTTCCCATCCGTCAGCCTTGAGAAATGGTAGGAAGCAGCGCCTGCAGTCTTCCGCGGCCCGACGGCCCCCAGGAATTTTTTTCTTTTTAAAATTGTGACGTGTCAAGGATATGCAGCTAAACGCAGGCCGGGCCTGGAGGTGGTCGGGCGCTTCGGGCGCATTCGGGATCGGACAAAAAAAGTCTAAGCCGCCAATATGTCTACGCCGACTTTTCCTCCTGGCCCGACAGCAACGTGTAGACGGGCGCGGCGAGCTTGTCGCGGCCCTTGAGGAATTCGAGTTCGAGAATGAAAAGGTAGCCCAGCAGATCGCCTCCTAGTCTCTTGACCAGGTCGCCAGCCGCCGCCGCAGAGCCGCCTGTGGTGGCACGTCATCAGCACGGCGCAACGCGTTATCATGTGGGCGCGTGGCGCCACTTACCCGTCGCAATGATGTCGTCGACAATGATGACCTTCTGGCCGGGCTTGATGGCGTCGGCCTGCATCTGGAAAAAGTCCTCGCCGTACTCCTTCTGGTAGCCGGCCGTCTCGGTCGGGCCGGGCAGCTTGCCCTGCTTGCGGACGGGCACGAAGGCGGCGCCCAGGGCCAGGGCCAGGCTGGGGCCGAACAGGAAGCCGCGGGCCTCGAGGCCGACGATGACGTCGGGCTTGGTGGCGTAGTTCTTGGAGACGTGCAGCTCGAGGGCGCGCACGAGCTTCTGGTGCAGGTCGGCGTCGGCGAAGATGGGCAGGATGTCCTCGAACAGGATGCCGGGGGTGGGGAAGTCGGGGAACTGGCGCAGGGCGTTCCTGAGGTTTACTTTAAGATGGGCGAGTTCGGCGGTGCCGGCGGCAGCGGAGGCGGAGAGCCCTCTTTGGGAGGCATCGGCGTTGATGGTCGGGTCGGGCGCGCTGGGAGGAGGGTGGGCGCTGGTCGCGGTGGAATTGGTCATCGTGAAGGAGAAGAAGGAGAAGAGGGAGCCGGGAGAGCGGTGGCGGGCTGGCTAATAATATCTGCTGGCAGAGGGAGTCGACTGCCTGGCTCAGGGTTCTGGCACGAAATTCACAGCACCCGGCGCCTCGCTAAGCCGCGGCGGGCAAGTCGCGGCGGGCCGGGCGACGCGAGCGCAGCGCGGCCGGAGTCAGACTGCATTTTTGTGGGACATGGGCAGGCACTCTCTGAGCGCCATCGTGCTCCCTGCACACCACCAGCCTGCCGTGGCGCCCGCGGCCTGCAGCAGCCCAGCGCAGCCCAGCGCAGCCAGAGCCCTGCCCTGCCCTAGCGGCTGTGATACGCCCGCCGCTGCCATCATCCGCACGCTCTAGCCCGCGCTCGTGCAACACCTCTATCGGCCCTTGGCCGTCTGTGACTGTGATGGCGGGTTTCTTCCCGGCTTGATGCTGACCGGCCGTCGACCTGTATCCAGCAGCGCGCTCCCGGTCGCTCCCTGTCGCTTCTAGAAGCCCGCGCCCGCCGTCTCGCAATTCCGGGCCTTCTTCATGCGCGGGAAAAGTGCTCAGCGAGACACCCGCGGACCTTGCAGCATGGCGTGCGCGTCGCTGCACTTTGACTGGGCCGGACCGCGCCCGCAAAGGCCGCGCCGCCTCGTGTCCCCGCGGGTCCGGGAAGCAAATGGCTCAAGCACGCTCGCGGTATACATAAGATGCTGCTGGCACCCCGGATGTCTCCACTGCGCCATGGCACAATCGCGGCAAGGGACCGCCGACGGGGCTCTGGAGAAAGTCGCGCCTCCTCGCGCGTCTCGTACGACGTCCAACGTGGACAGCCGGCACTGGCACGCTGGAGCCGCGGGAGCCCTCAACAGCACATGCCGTCTGACCGCTGCCGACGGCGAGGACAAACGCCCCGGGACGTTGAGCGGTTCCATGACTCGCGGTGAGACAGCGTCTTCCGACAGGCTGCCCCTCGTCCATCACAGTGCTGAGCACCCCGATCCCGGCGCCGCGGCTTCCAAAACATTTGAGCCTTCTGTGCCCCGCGAATGGTGCTACACTCCTCCTACACGGGCAGCGGAAGCACGCATCCGGACGCAGGCCTGTAGTCCCAAGTGCATGAATACATGCGTCCAGACGGGGGGATCCACCGTATCGTGGTGAGATATCCAGATGTAGGGGGCTTCCATCCTTCTGCAGCTAGCTGGGCCGGCGTCCGCAGGCCGCAGGCAGTCACCCCGCCCCCTCACTGTGTGGCGCCAGCTGTGGCTTGACCCTCGCACGGCCACACGGACCGCCGTCACTGTCCACCGCCTGCAAGGCAACAGCCAACGGTGACTCGCCGTGTACCACGGCGCACCTCACCGCTGATGCCTCTGGCCTCCACCGAGTGCGCGTCGGTTGCAACCGGTGCCATTGGCGCTGCTCCGTGGCGCCTGTCGTCGCCGATGTATTCGAGCTCACCTGCAGCCGTCCTACCGGGGACGACCCGGGAGGTTCGAGCTGTCGCTTGTCACTTGTTCCCTACTCGATATACATGCCGCATGTAGCCTGTCTTAGCTGCAGCCCGCGCCAGTTGGCAGCGTGAGACGGGCGATGTTCAACGCGTGTGCGGCCTGCTGCGGCCTCTCAGAAGGCTCCATCTCAGCCTCATCTAGGCCGCGGGTGGATAGTGCCAGGCAACAAGCCGTGGGGCCGATACCTCATTGGATAGCGCTGCTGCTTGCGCTGCCCGGATTCGCGTCTTCTCCAATATTGATGTTCAGGTCCTAGGGCAGGCAGCAGCAGCGGTGTCCTTAAAAGAGTAGCATCGGCGACAACCAGTCTTGCTGCACCATCTATGACTCTTTCACCCGCCACCGCCTAGCAAACACAAAACGGCGCCCGCAGCATCAAGTGTTGTTGCTTCACTTCCATCTTCCATCTTCCAATCGATACCCTGCACCACCGCCATCAGCACATCACTTGACCTGCCCTGCCCCGCGCTGCTCCTCTTATTTCCCAACAATCCCCAAGCCTTGTCAAAGGCAAAGCGCTTCACCATGGCGCCGCACATGTACGACAGCTCGTCGTCCGAGCATGCTGATGCTCCGAAGCCAGTGACGCAGGCACAGAAAGACAGCACCAAGAACACCACACACTGCTGCTGCTGTTGCAGGAAATCTTCCGAGCCGGTGGCAAACGGCGAAAAGGCGACAGAGACTAACGAGGAGAAGAGCGAAGATGGCAAGGCAAAGGACGAGAAAGAGGAGGACAAGAAGGACAAGCCGGCAGAGACTTTGGATCCTTCCAAGGTCGGCATGTCGTGCGGTCTGAAGAACCTCTACTCCGGCAAGGAAGACAAGAGGGGCAGGTTCACCTGGGAAAATTCTCCGCCCGAGGACATCGGCAAGCCCGTTGAGAATGCGGAGACGGCAAAGTGGGCACTCCTCGTGCGGAACATCAAGGTGTACAACGACCCTCGAAAGGTCCTGGAGATGCATTCCATCGTCATCCAGAGTCCACTCTTGAAGAAGCTCCTGGAGCGCGTTCTCAAAGGCTACCCCGGCGTCACTGCTGGTTTGAAGCGGCTGGAATTCGATGGTCGTTTCCAGCCGCTCATCCACAGGTGGCCCCAGCTGAAGCTCGCAGTCGATGAGCTGGATCCCAATTCGAAATCGGAAGATGAGCGGACGACCAAGGAGCACGCTGGGGTGCTCCTTGACGTGCTGAACTCCGAGTTCAAGGACACCATCGAATCGTCCCAGGACTTGATCTCCAAGTCCGTCATGACCTATGAGCATCTGTGGACCCTGTTCCAGCCTGGCGCCATCATCTACTGCCGTAACGACGGCCAGGAGACTGCCATGAAGCTCGAAAATACCCGATATGGCTGCGACGAGAACCAGAGACCTACCTTTATGGTACGTTGCAAGTACGTCGATTGGAACGGCGCGCAGTTCGGAACAAGCCGCCTGAACATCAAGATCTACGGCTACGCAGGGACCAAGCCCATCCACCAGCTTGCCGCATATCCGATCGAGTATCACCAAGACCCGGAAGGTCTGCGTAAGAGGCTGGTGGAGAGAGGCGCCAAGTTCGAGGCTCTCGCTGGCTCACACTACAAGGGGTACCACGGCCTTGCATGGAAGGAGGACGGCTGGGGCAAGAAGCAGAAGTACAGCATCAAGGGACGCGTGGTCATTGATACGTACGGCTGGAACCGTTTCGAGCCCAACTTCGCCATCTACACCAACCCTCTGACGGACAAGCAAACGACGTCCGAAGGTCTCGCCGACACTTCCGGCGACGACGAGGCGGACGGCTACGACAGCGACAACAACTCTTACTGCGGCTCCGAAGTCCAGTACGATGGCATGCCCTGTGATGGCGATTTTGAGGACGAGAACGAGGAGACGAAGCGCCCCCGTCTCACTGAAGAGCAGAAGCTCATCGCTACTCCGCTTGTCCGAGGCTACTCTCTCAAGTCGAAGCAATGGCTGAACCTGTTTGTAAACAGCGTGCGTGAGATCGAATGGCAGACGAACGCCTTTGAGTCTCTCGTGCTGCCCTCCAACCAAAAGGAGTTGATCCTCGGCTTCACCGAGACCCAGCGGAAGGTGAAGGCCTCATTCGACGACGTCATCGAGGGCAAGGGCAAGGGCATCATCCTCCTGCTTTGCGGCCCCCCCGGTGTAGGAAAGACGCTCACGGCCGAGTCGGTTGCCGAGGAGATGCGCGTTCCGCTGTACATGATGTCCGCGGGCGACCTCGGCCTGGACCCCGGCTCGGTGGAGCAGAAGCTGTCGGACATCCTGGAGATGTGCACCAAGTGGAACGCCATCCTGCTGCTCGACGAGGCGGACGTGTTCCTGGAGGAGCGCTCGCTGCACGAGCTGGAGCGGAACAAGCTGGTCACCATCTTCCTGCGGATCCTGGAGTACTACGAAGGCATCATGTTCCTGACGACGAACCGGGTGCAGACGTTCGACGCGGCCTTCCAGTCCCGCATCCACATCTCGCTCGAATACCCCGAGCTCAGCGTCAGCTCCCGGCTTACCGTGTGGAACAACTTCCTGGCCGCGTCGCCCGAGAAGCATGCCATCACCGAGCGGCAGTTGGATTCGCTGTCTCTCATGAGCATGAACGGGCGGCAGATCAAGAACGTGCTCAAGACGGCGCAGCTGCTGGCGTCGAGGAAGGAGACGGCGCTGACGTACGACCACGTGTTGACCGTGTTGGATGTCACGCAGCATCTGCACAACGCCAACAGGGAAACCGAGAGGACCAAGTCGTCGATCTTTTGCTGAGGGCGAGGCGTTCTAGAAGGAAAAAAGTGAGATGATGAGATGATCAGGGGATTTGCTTTCAGTCTCGATCCGGGAGATTTGCAGCGCGCCGGCGGGGTTTAGTATTTTTAGAGATCTCCTTTGACGTCGTCATTTGCAGCATCGGAATGGGGTGGCATTGCGATTTTCTCATAATGGTGCTAAGGAGTAAGGGGAAGGGAATTTCGCAGACGGGGATTTCGCTAAGGACAGACGGGGTTACAAAGAGAAGCCGTCGATCATTTTGGTGGATAGGGAAGGGGTAAAGGGGTGACTCAGAGGCAAGGAGTCTCGGCTAGATATTTAAACAAAAAGGACCATTAACCGCACGTGCTTTTGATAAGTGATCACAGCGGTGATGAGAGGCGTTTAAGGATTCCGGCTGGCGGATAGGTGGCCTGTATGCCGGGGCCGGCAGGGCCGGAAGCATGTGGGGAACTCAGCGCTCAACAACAGGCGCACAGCACGTCAGATTAATGGCCGTCGCATGAGATAGCGCGCAGAGTGGATGCAGCCGACGGCGTCATCGGCCTCGGGCCGGACGGGTTTTCAGCTGTGCATGGAGGGGCTGGAGCTGGAGGGGCCAGGGCACGGCAAACGGCAGCTAAGCGAGATGCCTTATTGGAGCAGCGGCGAGGCGACATGACTTGCGCCGCTGCGCTGGACGATACGCACGGCCGCCGGCCATGACAGGGTCTCGCGAGAGCCATGATGCCACTGCTGGAATGCGAGTGATTAGGTTTGCGCGTAGCCGACGGACGCCTTGCGGTGCGTCAGGCCTCAACCTTTTTTTTTTCTCTGCTTTCTGGTGCGGGAATGCGCGCGCTGCAGCAGACGGATGTGATTTGCGCAGATGGCCGGCACGGGGCCGGGAGCACCCTTCCAGAAGTCAGCGTCACGCGTCGATCCACCGCCATCCCAATGATGAACACAGTAGCCCCGGCGCATCACCGTGGCTGTGCACGAGTGGTTCAGCTTGCCCTGGATCCTGCGCACAGAGGGTGAGAGGGTGAGCGAGCTTGGGTTGGGCGGTCGCGCGCCAGCCACCTGGGCGGCGGCGCCTAGCTCGCGCTTCGTGAGCGGGCGGGCGGGTGTGCGTGGCGTGGTGTCGTGCGTGTGTGCTAAGCTGGGCTGGTGAGGCTGGGGAGCACGGCAGCAGCAGGTTTTACGGGGGTGCGTGGGTGCTTGGTGCGGCGCGCAGGGGCCTGAGCTCAGCGCGCTCGATCGGCACGGGCTGCACGTAATGGCTCGGCGTCATTGATGCCACAGTGTACCTCTGGCGGGCTGCCAGCGTGTGCAGACTGGAGCCGCCGTCCAGCGCCGGTTGAACACGCGCGCGCGACCTTGCCCGCCCCAACCGACGACGCGCGTGTGTGTGTGATCGGCCTCAGCGGCCGCCCAGCTTGGCAGTGAGCTCCCAGCGCGGGGTGGTGGCCTAGCCGGACGCAGCAATACAGCAGGGTCCAAGCTCTTCGCTCAGCCAAGGCCAGCACGCCAACTTCCCATCGCCGTCCTACCAGCCCGATCGCAGCCATAGGAGCCCGCCTCCATATCACCTCACCCAATTCTCTCGCCCTACCCAGGTACGCTCGTGTCCTCATCGCCGGCCCGGCCTGCCTCAGCAGAGCGATTGACCTCTCCGCCGCCTCAGCAGCTTGCCCACCACCACGCCGCTGCCCCCGGACACACCTCCGCCCATTCGTTGCGCAACCCCCACCGAGGGCATAGCCAGCCATGGCCTCCCGGCAGGACGCCGAGCTCAAGCAGCAGGGCGCCATCGAGGCCGCACAGGACCCCAACACCAGCGTGTCGCCCGAAGCGGCCGAGCAGAAGGTGCTCGACGAAGGCCGCAAGGCCGGCGGTGCTGGGGCCGCCCTGGCCTTTAACCCCGACGACTCGCCCCAAGAGAAGGCTGCCCAAGCCCGCTCTGTAAGTGCTCCGCCGACCCAGCGCCTCGCAAATTACCAATTGTGTGCCCCTTTGGCCGACCCACCCGCGCGCCTGCACGGCAAGCGTGGCCCGGCACCGTAGATCCGCGCAGCACTGACGGTTTTACTCGGCAGCATCTTCCGCCAGGGTTTCACCACGACCATAAACCCAAGGCCACAGCTCTCGTGTCTGATGTCGTAAGACCCCGCCCTCGCCGCCATGGGGTTTCTGTCCCGCCACAGCACGACAATCCCGCTAATCCGCGTCCAGGACGACGGTTCTACGCCCCAGTATGCCCTGCCCTCGCCTTCCAAGGCCGGTGCCATTGAGCCGCCCCCGGTCTCTCCCACGGCTAAGTCGGATGCCTCGGCGGTGACCGCCCCAGAAGACGAGGAGAAGCGTTGGGACCGCGTTGGCTGGGCCCCTCGCTTCGGCATGCCTGGCGATTTCGAGGACGACGATGCAGATGGCACATTGGCAGACCACCAGACGCTCCTTGAGGGTGCGCTGGATGACAAGTTCTTTGGAGGTAAGCATCGCTCTGCGCTCAGCAACCTGTCCGTATCCGCTCTGACAAAACGTGTCCTCTAGACTGGTACCAGAACGCTGGTGTAATTGTCTTCTCTTGCTTTGCCTCATGGATCATAGCCGTCCTGGGCGGTGGCCTGGGCTGGCTTTTCATCGTCATGGCTTTCTGCGCGACCTACTACCGTACCTCGATCCGCCGTGTGCGGAGAAACTTCCGAGACGACCTCAACCGCGAGATGGCCAAGGCCCGCCTGGAAACGGACACTGAGAGCCTTGAGTGGATCAACAGCTTTCTGGTCAAGTTCTGGCCCATCTACGCCCCGGTTCTCTGTGCTACAATTGTCAGCTCAGTCGATCAGGTTCTCTCGACTTCTTGCCCCACTTTCCTGGAGAGTCTGAGGATGAAGCTTTTCGTTCTCGGTACCAAGCCGCCGCGCATGGAGCACGTCAAGACTTACCCCAAGGCCCAGGACGACATCGTCTTGATGGACTGGAAGTTCAGCTTCACTCCAAATGACGTCTCGGATCTCACGGCTCGACAGATCAAGAACAAGCAGAACCCCAAGGTCGTGCTCGAGATCCGCGTCGGAAAGGGCGTGGTCAGCAAAGGTCTCGACGTCATCGTCGAGGACATGGCCTTTTCCGGTATCATGAGGCTGAAGGTGAAACTTCAGCTTGCTTTCCCGCACATCGAGAAGGTCGAGTTCTGCTTCCTTGAGAAGCCCCACATCGACTATGTCTGTAAGCCTCTTGGTGGTGACACCTTCGGTTTCGATATCAACTTCATCCCTGGTCTGGAGTCGTTCATCCAGGATCAGATTCACGCCAATATTGGTCCCATGATGTACGCGCCAAATGTCTTCCCGATTGAGATCGCGAAGATGTTGGCTGGCAACCCTGTCGATCAAGCTATTGGTGTGCTGCAGATCACTTTCCACAGCGCCCACGGCCTGAAGAACCCCGACAAGTTCTCCGGCACTCCTGATCCCTACGCGACTGTCTCTATCAACAACCGGGAAGTTCTTGGGCGCACGAAGACTGTGTTTGAAAATGCTAACCCCACCTGGTCCGAAACTGTCAACGTTATTGTTACGACCCTGAAGGATACTCTTACCCTGACGGTCTACGACTACAATGAAATTCGCAAGGACAAGGAGCTTGGCGTTGCCTCGTTCGCTCTTGATCAGCTTGAGGAAAACGATTTCTTTGAGAATCAGAGTCTCGAGGTCCTGGCCAATGGCAGAGCGCGCGGTACCATTCAGGCTGACATCCGTTTCTTCCCCGTCCTCGAGGGCTTCAAGAACGAGGATGGCACGGAAATGCCTCCCCCGGAATCGTCTACTGGCATCGTTAAATTCACCGTTGAGCAAGCGAAGGAGCTTGACAATAGCAAGAGCATGATCGGTCAACTCAACCCCTACGCAGTGCTTCTCCTGAATGGCAAGGAAGTCCACATTTCGAAGAAGCTCAAGCGCACTAACAACCCGGTCTGGCCTGATGCCACCAAGGAACTGCTCATCACCGACAGAAAGAAGGCTAAGCTTGGTCTGGTCATCAAGGACGACCGTGACCTCGCAACCGATCCCATTATTGGCACGTACCAGATCAAACTTACTGATATGCTCGACTTGATGGAGAAGGGCAAGGATTGGTTTAACCTGGCTGGTGTCAAGACTGGCCGCGCCAAGATGACGCTCCAGTGGAAGCCTGTTGCCCTGAAGGGCGCTCTTGGCGGCGGTGGCGGCTACATCAAGCCTGTCGGTGTCATGCGTCTTCACTTCCGCGGTGCCCGTGAGCTGCGCAACCTCGAGGCCATGGGCAAGTCTGATCCCTATGTTCGTGTCTTGCTCTCCGGTATCGAAAAGGGTCGCACTGTTACATTCAAGAACAACCTCAACCCCGACTGGGACGAGGTCGTCTACGTCCCTGTTCACACAGCTCGCGAGAGGCTTATCCTTGAAGTCATGGATGAGGAAACCGTTGGCAAGGATCGCTCCCTGGGTCATATTGAGCTTCCTGTGGAGGATTTCCTCAAGCAAAACGAGAATGGCGAGTATGAGGTGTTTGAGGATAAGTCCATCTTGTCTCAGGGTCTGCGCACGAGCCCCACGTCCCCGCCCAAGGGTACCCTCAACTATTCGGCCTCGTTCTACCCCGTACTCAACGTCGTCGACCCCGAAGATGAGGACTCGGACGAGGCACGCAGCAGCATGGATACTGGGCGTCCTAGTCTGGACTCGAGACCCGCTCGCACTCCTGGCCACACTCCGAAGAGCAGCACCGGTTCCGCAAAGCTCGCTGAGCGCGATCTCAACCGCGTCAGCACTAATGGCTCTGCCGATCTTGCCAAGAAGCTCGCCGAGGGCGAGAAAGAGCAAGAGGAAGAGATCGAGAGAAAGCCAGAAGCGCCAAGGATCACCTTGAATGCCGAGGAGCTGAGCGAGTACGGTAAGCTCTGCATTCAATTCAACACTTCGGCTAGAACAAGACTAACATGGAACGAACAGAGTCTGGTCTGCTTGTCTTCAAGCTTGTCGAGGGCGAATTTGCACACACGGACTGCTACCTTGAGGTTCTTATGGACGACCAGATCTTCGCAAGCTACTCTAGTTCAAAGATTAGGTCGAAACACACGACTTTCAACGAGAGTAAGCCTTCCATTCCTCTCTGGTTGATACTGTTGCGAACGCTAATCACCTGTCAGTTGGCGATGCCATGATCCGTGAATTGGACTTCTCACGCATCACCCTGCGCCTTGTCGAGCACCTCGACAAGAAGGGCGAAGGCGAGGAGGACGAAATCATCGGAAAGCTCCAGGGATCTACTCTTGATACTCTCCGACGCTGTCTGGTAAGCGCTTCCCCATATGTTTTTGGTATTAGTCAATCTAACGATGTGAGTAGTACACTCCGACGGTTCTTTCCTTCCGCGACAAGAATGGCAAGGAGAACAAGGTCACTGTGTCGCTCAAGTATCTCCCTGTGAAGATGAAACTGGATCCCTCGGAATCGTTCAACAACAGCGGAAATCTCCGTGTCGATGTTCTTGATGCTGCAGATCTCCCCGCTGCGGATCGCAACGGCTACTCCGACCCGTACTGCAAGTTTGTGCTCAACGGAAAGGACGTCTACAAGACCGATAAGCAGAAGAAGACGTTGCATCCCGCGTGGAACGAGTTCTTCGAGGTTCCGGTCAGGAGCAGGACCGCTGCAGAGTTCAAGGTGGATGTGTACGATTGGGACTTTGGCGACAAGGCTGACTTCCTGGGCGGTGCTGCCATCGACCTCACCGTACTCGAGCCTTTCAAGCAACAGGAGGTCACTCTTGGTCTCAATGGCAAGAGCGGCGCCATCAGACTAAAGATGCTGTTCAAGCCAGAGTTCGTTATGCGCTCGAGGCAAGGCTCGTCGACATTCTCCGGAACATTCGCTGCTCCTGGAAAGGTCATCGGCGCTCCCGTCAAGGGCGTTGGCAAAGGCGCAGTATTCGTTGGAGGCAATGTCATCAAGGGCGCAACGTTCGTCGGTGGTGGCGTTGGAAAGGCTCTTGGCTTGAAGGGCCGCCGCAAGAGCCGTTCAGCCAACACGGGTGATAGCGATGACGAGTCACCCCCACCACCACCACCTGTACCTGCACCGAACGGCGAGGCTGCTGGGAGCTCATCCCCTCCGCAGATCAATATTGACTCGGCAGAGCCTCCTACCACTCCGCATCAGCGCCACAAGTCCATGGGCGCTGCGTCCATCGCCTCCGGTTTCGGTCCGTCGCCCGGTGGTGCGGAAACCGGTGTTGCATCGATTGCCATTCTGACCGCCATGGGCTACCCGCCCTCGGCCAACGTTCGCGTCCACCTGGCCATGTTGAACAACAGAAACCAGCTGAAGGAGATCCATAAGACCAAGGACATCAAGTCTTCCTCTGGCACAGTCGACTTCGATCCCCACCGCGAGACGGTCAGGACGCAGTGCACAGCTGATACGCAGTTCAAGATCACCGTCAAGGACCACAGCACATGGGGCTCTGACGACGAGCTCGGCGAGCACGTCTTCTTCCTGGATGACCAGGGTAGCGGCGGCACCGAGAAGGTGGTCAAGGCAGGAGCTGGCTCGGTCTTGCTCCGCACAAGTTTCATGTCCAGCGACCAGATGAGCAACGCGGCTAGCGGTAGCCCGAAGAGCATCAGGACGAGGGGTATGTTCGGTTCTAGGAGAGACAGAAGCGTGACCCCAAGTGGACATTGAATCACTAAATGAACGAACAACATCAGGTCGATTTTGAAACGGGGATTCCTAAAAAAACAAACGGGATAGGCTTCACGGACTGCAAAAACGGGACTAGGAGTAAACAGGCCTGCGGATATGACGAAGAGCGCACGGCTGCTCTCGAGAGCGGCGGCGCCAAGTGACGCACGCGAACGACGGACGGCAGGGCGAGTTGCTAGGGTCGTGGTGTATTGTAGTACGGATGGGTTAATAGGGACTGTTTTTTTTTATTCTGTTTTCTTTTTTCTTTTCTTCCTGCACCCTGTTCTTTCCCTCTCCTCCTCTCCGTTTCTCTGGGGAAAGGCATTCTCCATAGGGATATGGCTTGGGTGATTAGGTGGGCGACTGGTGATTATTATTAGTCTTGTATACAGCTCGACAGACCTGTTTCTCTACCTTTGTTGCTCGCTACCCTACCTTTTGGCTCCTTGCCTCAGCTGTACTTGTCGTTTGTGGTGTGTTTGCTTTTCTTGTTTTTTTTTTTGTGATTGCCGCAACATGCGATACCAGAGTGTATTTTTTCCCCCCTCGTGTGTGTACACGCGTGCAATTTTTTTAGTCCGTGTAGAGTCGAGTCAATAAAACTGTGTAAAAAGACTTATTCGAACTGCTAACCTGCGTATACCTGTGAGAGTTGGATATCGAGGTTGAGTCTCGACTACTGTCCGCCACCTAGGCATGGTGCATGTAGGATGGAGTCTTAGTACTGCATTTACTTCACTGATATGAGATGATTGTTGGAGCTTTGTCGTGAGAATCAAGGGGAAGGAAAGTGTCAGAAGTAGTCGTGATGTTTGGAGAGACGGGAGATGGGAAGCGACAGTCACTGGCTAGATATATATAAGGATATCTATCTTAGTAGCAGTTGGTGCAGAGAAATAAGTCGAAAGCTTTGAGGTAGCATGGCTACTCACTCACTCACGCACGCGCTCACTCAGGGAATGAAGAGGGAGGGGGCTTATTTGATCGACTTCATTGTGCCCAGGTCGGTTCATATGGCGTTTGAGATACAGTTGACCTTTTTCTTACCAATGATTGAGCCTCACTTATCATTTCTTGTCGAGAGCAAGCGACGCCGAGCCGGCACATTGGTTTGACCCGAACTTGCACGCGGAGCTGCAGAAATCAGCCGAGCCTCCCACTTTACGGGGCTTCCAAAGCTGGGCGAGTCCTCCTCGCTTCGGCATGATTCTGTTACGTTCTCTCGAGCCGGCACGCTTCTTGCGGAATAGCCAGGGGCATGTCTAGCCTCGCGATCACGCGTTGTGAATGGTCGCGGAGAAAGAGGCGTGAGAAGCTGGGCTGCTCCGGACAGAAGGGTAGCTACGCAGGATGCACAGACAAGGCTAACCGGCTATAGCAGCGCATCGGGCTGTCTGGTGACGATCAGATGGTGGTGAAACTGGCGTGCTAGGGAGACGCTTGTTCGGCGTCATCGACTGGGAGCATCCGAGCTTTTGATGGCCTTCCAGCAGTCGCAACTATAACGCGTCTTGCGCTAGCAGTGCGCATCGTAGATACGTAACGTGCGGGTTCTGGACATGTTTAGAGATGCTATGGACGGCGAAGGGAGATGGATAGGATGGCGCGGAGGTCAGGTTGTGGTTCCGTTGTGGCGGCTCGGCCAAGGCGCGCGGGCAGCCGATCGCATTTCTCCGCAAGGATGACGGAGCCGTGGAGCAAGAAGCTGGAGCTCGTCAGTTGCGGGTCCAAGCTCGACAGCTGGTGCTGGTACATCAACACCCCATCCCTCGCCCTCTCACTGCTCCTCCATCGCACATGGGGCAGCTGAGTTCTCCATCTCCCCGCTAGCCGCTCGCCTGCAATGGTCACGACCCACGACGAGAAGCAAGCCGCAATGGCCGACGAACGCACCCCGCTCATCGCCGTCGTGCGGGTTGGAGAGCGCCCGCCGCGATACCCTAACCACTCCCTCCGCCGCATCTGCACCTACGTGCTCGCCATCGTCCCCGCCATCGTCCTTGGCGCTGTTCTCGCCTCGCTTTTCATCCTCCCTCCATACTACCCCGGCGACAAGGCCATCGCCGACAACGAGTTCGCCGCCGCCATAAGTGGGGGCCACAGTCTGAGCCATGCCTGGCCTTTGAGCGACGGCTTGAGCTTCGAGGAGCTGGAGGAGATTCTCCTGACCACCCCCAGTGCCGAAAAGGCCCGCGAGTACAGCAAGTACTACACGGCCGGGCCCCATCTGGCCGGCAAGAACATCAGCCAGGCCATCTGGACCAAGGAGAAGTGGCAAGAGTTTGGCGTCCCCAAGGTCGACCTTGTGACGTACGACACCTACCTGAACTACCCGCTCGGCCACCGCCTGGCGCTGCTCCAAAAGAGCAACGAGTCCGAGAGCGATACCGAACATGTTGACGCCTGGAAGGTGGCGTACGAGGCGAGCCTGGAAGAGGACGTCCTGGAGGAAGACCCTACCAGCGGCCTCGAGGATCGAATCCCCACTTTCCACGGGTACAGCGCGTCCGGAAACGTGACCGCGCCCTACGTCTATGTCAACTACGGAACCTACCAGGACTACGAGGACCTGCTCAAGGCCAACGTTAGTCTGGAGGGCAAGATTGCGCTTGTCAAGTACGGAGGCATTTTCCGCGGCCTCAAGGTCAAGCGCGCCGAGGACCTGGGTATGGTTGGCACCATCATCTACTCCGACCCTGGTGATGATGGAGAAGTCACCGAGTTGAACGGCTACAAGGCCTACCCCGAGGGCCCCGCCAGGAACCCTAGCAGTGTCCAGCGCGGCAGCACTCAGTTCCTGAGTAAGTTTCCTATCTTCTTGTCTCGCTTCAGTGCATCGACTGACCGATTTCCAGGTTTTGCTCCTGGCGACCCTACAACCCCCGGCTACCCGTCCAAGCCCGGTGTTCCCCGCGACGAGGTCAAGGGCAAGATCCCCTCGATCCCCTCGATCCCCATTTCCTACACCGATGCTCTGCCGCTGCTCAAAGCTTTGAATGGCCACGGCCCCAAAGCCGACGACTTCAACAAGTACTGGAAGGGCGGCGGTCTTGGTCACAAGGGCGTCGAGTACAACATTGGTCCCTCTCCTGACGATCTGGTCATCAACCTTGTCAACGAGCAGGAATACGTCACTACTCCCCAATGGGATGTCATTGGCATCATCAACGGTACCATTCCTGACGAGGTCATCGTCCTCGGCAACCACAGGGATGCCTGGATCGCGGGTGGCGCTGGCGACCCCAACTCGGGCTCTGCTGCCTTCAACGAACTGATCCGCTCCTTTGGCATCGCTCTGTCCAAGGGGTGGAAGCCCCTCCGCACCGTCGTCTTCGCCAGCTGGGACGGCGAAGAGTACGGCCTCATCGGCTCGACAGAGTGGGTCGAGGAATACCTGCCCTGGCTGAACGCGGCCGCCGTCGCCTACATCAACGTCGACGTCGGCGCCACGGGCCCGCACTTTGGCGCCTCGGCCGCGCCCCTGCTCGACGGCGCCCTCATCGAGGCCACGCTCAAGGTCCAGAGCCCCAACCAGACGGTCGCCAACCAGACGGTGGGCGACGTGTGGGACCGGCACATCAGCACCATGGGCAGCGGCTCCGACTTCACGGCCTTCCAGGACTTCGCCGGCATCCCGTCGGTCGACCTCGGCTTCAAGCCCGACGCCAAGAGCCCCATCTACCACTACCACAGCAACTACGACTCGTTCGCGTGGATGGACCGCTTCGGCGACCCCGGCTTCGCCTACCACGAGACCATCGCCAAGGTCTTCGCCGTCCTCGCCGCCCAGCTCATCGAGTCGCCCGTCATCGCCTTCAACGCGACCAACTACGCCGTCGGCCTGCGGCGCTACCTCCAGTCAGTCCTGGACAAGGCGGACGCCGACTCCCCCAAGGGCGTCATCAGCAAGTGGCAAATCGCCCGGCTGGTGGCGCCCATCGCGAAAGCCATCGACAAGCTGCACCAGCAGGCGGCGCGCGTCGACGCCGACGCGGCCGAGCTCCGCGACGAGATCGCCCGCAACAAGATCCCGTGGTGGAAGTGGTGGAAGAAGATGGCGCTGTACCGCAAGGTGCGCGCCGTCAACGTCAAGTACAAGTTCCTCGAGCGCCAGTTCCTGTTCGCCGGCGGCCTCGACGGCAGGCCGTGGTTCAAGCACGTCGTTTTCGCGCCGGGGATCTGGACCGGGTATGCGGGCGCGACGTTCCCCGGTTTGGTGGAGGCGGTCGAGGCGGGCGATCTGGCGGCGGCGGAGAAGTGGGCGGGGATCATTAAGGGGTTGGTGTATAAGGCTGTGGGGAGCTTGAAGCATTAGTTAGGTTGGGTTGGGGTGGATAGGGGGTAGATTGCTGTGTGTGGGTGTGTGTCTGTGAGAGAGTGTGAGTGACGAAGGATTGGGAAAAGCGCGAGGGAGCGCGAGAGAGAAGGGTAGAGCGAGAGATATGAATGGATGATGTCAGGGTCTTTGTTGGATCAGCGTTTTCGTACACTCGTTGGATATCTATACAGCTTTGTATCAGAGCTTTTCGTACCTCCTATGACACTTGGGCGGCGCTTGGAAGATCGCCTTCTTTTTGTTTTCCTTTGTGGTGGGGAAAACCTTGATAGCTGCTACGCTCATGATGTCTCTCAATCGAGTTTCTGCCAGAGAAGAGAATGATCTGCTGACATGTGCTAGCACATCGCCGTTTTCTTTTTCAGGGAAATTAGAAGCGTCTTCTTGAACCTTGCCCGGCCGCTCCCTGCATGGACGACGACGGGGAACCAGTCAGCCACAGTCAGTCAGTCAGTCGGTCGGTTTGGTAGGTAGGTAAACCACCTAGAGCTCCCTGTCTTCTCGAGCGTTTGATCGTTTCAAGCGAAATTTATTTGGTGGCGGCGGCATCGTCGTCGTCCAACGACGGCTGCTTGCCTTCCCACCTACCCGCTTTTCTGCCCTTCTGCCTGCCCTTCTGCCTGCCCTTCTGCCGGCCTGCTGGCTTGTCTTGTCACCAAGCTGCTTCTGCTTCGAACGGCAGCCGTACGTATGTACCTCGTATGTATGTATGAACCCTGCCCAGCTGAACTCATGCGACATAGCAGCGGTAGCAGCAGCACAAGTCGGAAATGTCTACCACATTTCGTTAGTTCGTTTTCCGAGCAGAAGAAAGCCCAGAAGGAACAACGAAGCTCGTCCACAGCCATATTGACGTTTTGGCATTGGCGCTCAACGACGGTTTGGCCGTCTTCGATCGGCCCGTCACGTTGGCGAACTCGACCCGAGCAGCTAGCCTTCGGATGGCGCGCTGTTGTTCTTGTTGTACATACGTATGTGACAAGAATGTCCTCCTCCGTGTGCGAGGCCGAGTGGCGAAGTTCGCGGAAAGCTGTGTGTTTGTGTCGGGCAGGATTTCGCGCGCTTGTGGTGTACGAGACGTCACCTCAAGCCATGGCTGTCCCTTTGTGCAAAAGATCTTTGGGTAGTTCGAGCTGATGGGTATGACACGAGCGCCTGGATTGTTATGTCAGACTGTCCGTCGCAAAGTCTCAGTGTCTCCATCGTTCGCGTTGTCTCATGCTTACAAAACCTCGTTCGTTTGGCGGAGACGGATGGGTTTGGTGGGCGATGATGACCGCCGCCGCCGCCGCCGCCGCTGCTGCTGCTGCTGCCGCTGCTGAGAAAGAGGCGATGTCCCTTGAGCTTGCCGTTGGAGGTATTGGAGCTTTGCGTAGCGGGAGTGAGCGGTTTGCTGTATGTTCGCGTCATCGGCTTACTGCTCGGTGAGTTGTCACCTAGGTTCGTGAGTTTCAGTGGCGCGTTCTGTGTATCTGTTGTCGTATGGTACATACCATAGGACATGCAGCAGCGATGCTGACCGTGTCGGAACTGCATGCTGTCACACTGGGAAATGGAAGAGGATGACCGTGGCGTTGTTGTGCTAAACTACGCGCAGGTTCTCACTCAGCACGGTCGCTATAGTCGAGTGGGTAGAGCGCGCGGTCTCTGCGGATGGGGCGCGTCGCGGTTAGCTCCACGTCCTAGTAAGCGGAGGATGGGAGAGGGCTGTGTGTTGCAGGCTTGGAGGAGCACACCGAAAGGTAGCGAATGTAGATCACACTGTATTGCACCAGTCAGGACAGCCTTCGCCGATAAGTATGAGTGAGATGATGGTGATACAGGCGGGCGTGCAGGCGGACGGGCGAACTATCTGCCTGCTTGCGACCGTATGAGATGCCCAGCGGGTGTGTACGCAACATAGGACACTTGCGCTCGAAGTCTCGAAAGCATGCGCACGAGTAGCGACACGGCCTCATATATTTCACGAGGAGCACAAGACATAACACAACAGCATGCTTGGGTAATGGGACCTAGCAGAAGCTGTCAATGCGGGAGGCGTCGCGCTGGCGCATGGCCGGCATTACGCACTCAACACCATAAGGGCGCGCAATATAGACGCGGCCACGGGCAACACACCAGTCTACGAACTTAGAAGTGCGGTCGGGCGCGTCACAGATGCCTGCCACCCACGAGAGAGCGCCAGCGCTGCTCGAGTCCAGCCTGCTCCTCTTAATCCAAGCTAGCTCTCCTTCCTCAAGGACCTGCGCAAGGCAGATCGCTTAACGAAAAAGAAGTAAAGAAGTTCGCATCAGCCCGAGACAGTGCAATACAGGCGACACTGTGGTCAGTGACATGAGCGGAGCTCAGCGGCCACCAACCAATTTCCAAAAACAAGCAAACTAGGTCTACCCCCGTAGGGGCGTTCTAGAGATTAAACTAAAAAGAACAGTTACTACACTTGATCTAAGCCAAAAGGCAAAGAGAGCTGAAGAAGAAAAGAAGAGAGGCTGGCCGAAGAACGGCGAGGTTTATAAGGGACGCCCGGAGGATGTAGTTAATCCGGGTCAGCTGCACCGGGGCGTTGCCAGGGCACTAGCGCTGCCCGAATTAGCATGGGCGCCGTTCGGGAGGCCCGCCCGCGCGCTCGAAGAGGCAGTGACGACGGGCTTGTGGGTGGACGCGCGCCTGCACGCGTCGGTCCATAACTACGAGCTGGCTGTGCCCACGGAAACGGCAGCGACGAAGTGATAGACGCTTGCACAACGAGCCATCTCATGTCCCAGGAAGGCCTTGGACAGCAGTACGCGCGGTTGGAGCATGGGCACGAGCATGGCAGCCATTGGATGCGACAGAGCAGGGGTGCTCGCATTGTGCTGCGGCGCAGAACAGCCGGCACACGGCTGACAAAGGGGCTAGAAGCGCATCTGAGCATCTGAGCACCTTCGGTGGTCTGGTCCGACAGGCACTGGCAGCGGGAGCTAAGGCGCCACAACGAAGCTTAGATGGACGGGCTGTGGTCTGGCAGCTCAGCCCTGCAGCACATTGACGTCATAACAGTTCGTTCCCACCTCGCCCGAGGCAATGATGTAGCAGCGGGTCCCGCAACGTCTATTTAGCACCCGTCCGCCGCTCCCCGCGACTCTGCAGTAACGACGGAACTCGCAGGTACATCACGCCACAGCACAGTGAATCCTACCCACTTGACAGTTGCAGCCTGGAACGACGCAATATGGCCCCACAAGTCGACATCAAGAAGGTAGATTACCCCGCTTTCGCACGAGACGTGAGAAACGGCGAGCTGACCACGCTCCATTAGCTCGCCATGATCGGCTGTGGCAGCATGGGCGGCGGCATGGCCCTCCTGTTCGCTGAGCACGGCGTCCAGGTCTCGCTCCAAGACCCCTCGGAAGAGGCAATGGACAAGATTGTTGCCAAGGCAAAGGACAGTCCGCACATCCCAGCAGACGGCGTGCGCAAGTTCTCCGACTACGAGTCTCTCTGCGCCTCGCTGGACAGCCCCAAGGTCTTTGTCTTCTCACTGCCGCACGGCGCTGTTGGCGACACGGTGCTGGGCGGCTTGATGATGTACCTGGACAAGGGCGACATCATCATTGACGCCGGCAACGAGCACTGGCAAAACACCGAGAGGAGACAGGCCAAGTGCTACACGAGAGGGGTGCGGTACATCGGCATGGGCGTGTCCGGGGGCTATCAAGCCGCGCGACAGGGCCCGAGCATGTGTCCGGGTGGAGACGACGAATCGCTGGACCTGGTCCTGCCGTTGCTGAGGAAAGTTGCCGCAAAAGACAAAGCCGGCGCTCCTTGCGTGGGCAAAGCGGGAACGGGGGGCTCCGGCCATTATGTCAAGATGATGCACAATGGAATCGAGCACGGCATGATCAGCGCCGTTTCCGAGGCTTACGACCTCATGAAGAAAGGCTTAGACATGAGCAATGAAGAAATCGGTAGTGTGTTCGAGCAATGGAACAGCAAGGGAGAGCTGGTAAGTCTACGGCAAGCCACATGCTCATTGGAGGCGCTGACGTCGGGCAGGAAGGAACTTTCTTGATCTGGATCAGCGTAGACATCTGTCGTGCAAGAGACAAGGCTCGTAACGACGAATACGTGGTTGACACGGTGGAAGACAAAGTGGTGCAGGACATCACGGGCGAAGAAGGCACGGGCATCTGGAGCAACGAGCAAGCCGTGGCCCAACACATCCCCGCCCCTACGCTGACCACCGCTCACTACCTCCGCCTCGCATCGTCCGACCGCAACCAGCGTGTGCGAGCCCAGCAAACCATTGGCGGCGGCGGGTTTCCCCCTCAGCGGCTCGATCTTTCCGGGCAAAACAAGCAGGACTTCCTCGAAGCGCTGCGACGGGCCACATATGCCGCCTGCCTGGCCAGCTACATCCAAGGGGTCAACATCATCGAGCGCGCCAACGTGGCCAACCACTGGAACATCGACTACGGGGCCGTCCTCCAGATCTGGCGCAGCGGCTGCATCATCCAAGCCGACCACATCGCGAGCCTGCTGCACCCCATCTTCACCAACCACCGCGCGCTCGACACGATCAACCTGCTCTTCCAGCCGACGGTCATGACGGAGCTGGGGGCTTGCGTGCCGGCGTTGCGCGACGTGGTGGTGAAGGCGACGATGGCGGATCATGTCGTACCAGCGCTTAGCGCGAGCTTGGAGTACGCCAAGTACCAGACGAGCACGGAGCTGCCCATGAGTTTTGCTGAGGCGCAGCTGGATTATTTTGGGGCGCACATGTATGACAGGAAGGGTGAGGAGGGCACAGGTGCGCCGACCGAGGGCAAGTATCATTACGAGTGGAAGCCGGCGAAGAGCTCGATTGCGTGAGGGTCCTGATAGCACGTCTGCTTTCTTCTTGCACTGTATATAGACTTCTGTCTCGTAATTAGAGTGTAGTCACCATGGCCGTGGATGCATGTCTTGAAGCCAAGGAATAACATCGCCAGCCGGCTACCCGGAGGGACAGCGAGCGCTTGGCTCACATGTCAGAGAACCTCGGCCCTAGGATGCCGTACCCGCGGCCAAACCACCACCAACGCGTCGTATCATGCCATCGCTCCGTGCAAGCATGCGCCCCGCCACATAACACCCCGACCGCAGCCATCCCAATGCGATATCCGCATCCCCATCCGCCGTGACATGTCGTCCGCCGATTTCGCTGCCGCCCAGCAGCGCCTGCAACAACGCCGCCAGCAGCGCGAACGCGACTACCGCGCCCGCGTCCAAGCCCAGCGCAATGCCCACCACCAGCAACGCATCCAAAGCCTGCCATACCCGCTCAGCCGACTGGGCGGCGCCGGCCTGACCCTCTGGGACGCGATCAAGGGCCGCGACGGCACCCAGCCCGCCTTCCGCGTCGGCCAAGTCGACGCCGAATTGCTCGACGAAGAGCTTCTCGAGCTGCTCAAGGGCCAAGTCGGCGAGGCATTGAAGTACTTTGGCGTCAGTCGCACCACGCCCCAGCTCCCCTGCACCTCTCCTCGCACCCCGAAAGCATGAAAAACACCACCCACACGAACCCACCGCTGACACACAAGCCCACCAGTCCCACCTCACCGACGACCACAAGCCCGAAATCCTCCTCGCCCTCCGCCTCATCCTCTTCAAGCTCTCCATCTGGGACCACAACGCCTCCTACGGCGCCGCCCTCCAAGGCCTCCGCTACACCGACGCCCGCGCCGGCGGCGCCGCCTCCCTCCCGCCTCCCCAGCCCTGGCAAAAAGCCTCCCACGGCCTCCTCACCATCGGCGGCCGCTACGCCTGGACAAAATGGGAAGCCTGGCTCAGCACCCGCTCGCACTCCGACCCACCACCATCCCCATCCCCCCACACCAACACCACAACCCCATCCCCATCCCGCCAATCCCTCCTCCCCCTCGCCGCCCGCCTCACCTCCGCCCTCAGCACCGCCCACTCCTTCGCCGCCCTCGCCTCCTTCCTCGTCTTCCTCGCCAACGGCCGCTACCGCACCCTCGCCGACCGCCTGCTGCGCCTGCGCCTCGCGCCCGCGACGGCAGCCGGCGTGGCGCGCGAGGTCTCGTTTGAGTATCTCAACCGCCAGCTCGTGTGGCATGCGTTTACCGAGTTTTTGCTGTTCCTGCTGCCGCTGGTGGGGGTGGCGCGGTGGCGGCGGATGGGGGCGAGGGCGTGGAGGAGGGGGAGGGGGTGGGTCAGGGGGTTGGTTGGGTGGGGTGGGGGTGGATCTGGTGGGGATGAGGGGGATGGGGAGGATGGGGAGGGGGGGAAGGGTGGGGAGTTGGGGTTTTTGCCGGAGAGGACGTGCGCGGTTTGTTATGCGGAGCAGAATTTGGGAGGAGGGGGGGAGCAGCAGCAGCAGGCGTTGTTGGGGCAGCAGGCGGGGGGGAGCGGTGTCGTCGGGAGCGCGGCGACGGACGTGACGAATCCGTATCAGGCGGTGCCGTGTGGGTGTGTTTATTGCTTCGTGTGCTTGGCGCAGAAGATCGAGGCGGAGGAGGGCGAGGGGTGGACGTGTCTGCGGTGCGGCGAGGTTGTGACGGCGTGTCGGCCGTGGGACGGCGATGTCATCGTCGAGCACCAGGGGCAGCAGCAGCAGCAAGGAGGAGGTGGAGAGGCTGGCGGCCGTCCTGCGTCCTCGGGGTCTGGGAATGGCGGGAAGAGCGTCGGCTTTGCGGCTACTGCGGACGACGAGAAGAGGAGCCTCAGGCAGCTCAGTCCGGCGCCGACGCTCGATGAGAGGGAGCGCGAGGTCGGCGGGACGCTGTCGGCTGATGCCGAGACGGAGCAGAGTCTGCTTGGCAGCAGGGCGCTGACGGAGAGCGAGGAGTGGGCGAGGGCGAGCAGGATCGTCGAGGATGATGAAGATAGCGGAGAGAGTGTTAGCGGGACTAGCAACGGCAGCGAGGATGAGCAGAGTGAGGAGATTGACGAGGAGGAGGATGAGATTGAGTTCGACGAATGATGTCGGGCTCCCAGCGGGATGAAAGAGGAGTTTTGAGCGTTTATTCAACCTCTGTTCTTGTCTATCAAGAACCTTTGCTTCTTTGACGATGGTGAGGCAGGATTATGTTTCATGATGGGAAAGGCGTAGTCATTTCAGTCGATACCCTTCAACAACAAAGAAGAAGTCTTTGCCGTGGAAAGTCCACGCGTTTCCTTCAGCCAGCTTTTCTGCCATCCACCTACGCGTTCTCCCCTTCCTCCTCCTCGTTCTAGCTCATCGAATCGCTCGTCCCCGCTCTTCCCTCCTTGCGCGGAACTCTACCTCTCTCGCCAACGCCTCTGCTTCGCTCCAGCGTCGGTTTGCCGCTTCATCCCCATCTTTCTGTTGCCATCGTCTCGCCCGTTCGCACCCGTCCCTTCTGGGTAGATGATCCATCACTCTATGTTTAATCGCTCGTTCTAGGCTGTCTTTGCTCGATCGAGCCATGCGTTTCAGCTTTTCCGCCGTCGAGGGTCGCGAAGTGTAGCCGCTAGAGGCTGCGGTGGTGGTCATGGTTGCGGTTGTAGTTGTGGGTGCTGATGCGGTCGCTGCAACGGCTTCTTTGCTCCTGCGAGCGGTCCGGATCGGTCTTGATACGATGGTGATTGGGCCGCAGGTGGGGATGCGGAACGTGTAGTGCCGGTATCTGTGACTTGTTTCCATTGTTTGGATGTAAATTATGTAGTTCGGTCTGACTGTTGTTTATGTGTGTTCCCAGTGCGTGAGCTTTGTGGCTGTCGGAGCTTTTTCGTGAGAGAGTCGAGGTTTTTTATATATGGTCTGGAAGAGTTTTGACTAGCTTACACCCTTGGAAACTTAGCCCAGAGAGGGAAAGACGATGCCGAGGGCAAAAGCAATAGCGAGTCAAACCCCTGACGGTTTGCTGGATCAAGTGTCTAGCCTGTACCGAGTTTCGGTTTCAACACCGCCTATGCAACGATTAGTTTCGTCATTTGTTGCCAGATGTAAGGGGAAATTTGGTTCATTAGCGTCACTACTCACGCAGAATTTTCAGCTTTCGAGACCCCTTCCCTATATGCTTCATGCCAAGGAGAAGGGCATCCGGGTTCTACTTGAGATGGAGGTGGGGAAAAAAGCCGTTGCCAACTACTCGTACTTCTCACAGTACTCACAATAGCCGTATCACCTGCATCGACCTCTGGTGTCTTTTGTCAGGAAATTGTCAATATCACGTTTACTCTAGATGCGATTTACTTTGGATCGACTCCCCTTGCATTGTTTAAGAGGGCCGAAAAAGACGGGAAATTCGAGTCTGAGATGCATAAACGATGATTGCCGCAGCTTATTGTACTACAGGAGAATCTTCTGATCAAGGAAGCAGGCGACTGCCTGAAACGCGCGATATGGGGAATGTCGATTCGTATGCTACTACCGCGACGATTGCTAGCACTCCCTGAGGTCGCAGCGCACTGCGACAGCCGCAACATGTCCCGTACCGCTGTAGAATTACTGCAAGAGCTCGTCGATCTTACATCAGGCGCTATAGATGGTGGAGCTATATACGTCAAGACCCGCATGGGAAGTGGCTTGATACTACATTCCTGACAAAGCTACCAGCTATGCCAAGCGTTGCCCGCATTTTGTCATAAAGCACGGAGGATGAGCATCATGCTATCCTTTTGATGAAGCTCGCTCGCTATGGAGACCTAAGTTGGCGTGATAAGAGTGATGGGATCCGTGCTGAAATAAGAAGCTGAATTGAGAAGATATAGCCACGGGCCGAAGGAAACCCTTGCGCTCTCCTGGGGTCTTGGCTTCCCTTGTGCTGAAGTCCAAGGAATCACGAGACGTAAGATGAAGAAGGAAGATTGCTTGTTGAACTAAACTACAGGTGCGGTGCTAATATATACCCAGAAGTGAAGCTTGAACCCGTGATATGACATCATTGGTACATGATACTTCAACACCTTGGAGCAAGACGAGAGTGAATGAATCCGGATGTCGAAGAAGCTGGTCAACATAGGCTTCAACAATCATTGTAGGTGTGACCCTGAAAGCTCATGACGGATTGGGGGTGCTTCAAAAATAATATTCTGAGGCTGGCCCACCATTTCATTCTTCGATATATTCACTAAGCCAATTCCGAATACCCCAGTCTTCCTTGTGCCTCTCGGCGCCACGCTGGTCGACCTGCCTTCTTGGTGGTCTCGAAGCTCTTTGTCACAGGGTAGCTCCACCATCTAGTACCCCCCTTTTGAGCTTGTCGTCCCCCATTCTCTCCTGTCTTCGCCTTCCTAGTTTACCACCGGAACCGCGTGCAAATCTGGCGGGACACCAACGACCCACTTATTAACGGGCCAGTCGCTAACAGGCGCGCACAATTGGAGGGAACCAGGCACACTGCACGCAAGCCTTTTGCCCAGAAACCTGACCACCCTCCAGTCACTCCCATGGCTTGCACCATGGGCTGCTTGGGGAAAGCCAGGTGCGATCATTCCCAAAGAAAAGAACCCCAGCTATTGTTCTTGCGGAGCTCACCGGGGATTGTCTCAGCCCGGCAGATGGGGTGACAGCTCAGTGAGCGGAATGGACGAGCGGACGTAATCGCAGAGATGGAGGACCACATTTATTACCGTACCAGTGGTATGGTGTGGGAGCAGCTGGGAAGTGTTGAAATGAGTCTTTGTCCTGCTCTTGCTTCTGCTCGACGTATGTCTTCGCCGCGAGAAAGTACCAGTCTTCTTCCACAAATCGTCGACAGGGTCTGCAGGCTCATCGTCTTCACTGAGTCCGAGGTACTCCATGCGCTTGAATAGCTGCATGGACAGAGCTAGCAGGAGCAGGAAACGGCGGTCTTGGTGTTGGCCCGCATCATGTCCCCGAAATCCGCCGGTGAACTCAGGGGGCGGACAGAGGGCCCAGAGTCCGATGATGGTACCACCCGCCGACGGATGGGTTTCCATCGACGACGGATGGGTTCCCATCAACGACGGGGGTGTCAGCAAACGGACACAGGATGTTGGGATCTTGGTCCCAGTAGGGAGCGTATCCCAAGTCCTTCCTCTAGTGCTGCTCTTGGGTGGTGAGCGCCATGCAGTCTGTGACGGTGTTGCGGTAGGTCAGGCCCATGATGACCTTGCGCAGCACCGCCACTGACTGACTGCATGGCGATCACCACCCCGAAAGAGCGGCAGAGTGGAAGGATGGAAAGAAGACATGGTGGTTTTGCCAATCAAAATGCAAAAAGCCACGTCAACTTGAGCATGTAACAAACCCCCAAAGGTAGCCTAGCGACTCGACCGAAACTTGGATCGTGATGTTGTCTTGGCATGGCCATGCTGGTCGAATCATCTGGCGTAATGGAGGAGTGCGAATCGTATAGGTAAGAGTCGTGACGCACTCTTCTCTTTCCGTTTCAGCGTGAAGGATGCCGTTGTGGGGAGTTGGCATAGCCCTTCCCTGAAGAGTGTTCATTCCGCACCACCACAATAACCATGTTAGGCTGTACTTCTTATCGGCCGTATCCGAGGGCACTGTCGATGGCGCGTTCGAGGAGCGTGGTGTTGATCTCTCCAAAAAAAAAAAAGGATTGACGGTAGGTGCTGTCAACGCGCAGGGCGGTTGAGGACGTCGTAGTCGGGACGCTGTGATGTGTTAGCCTTATGCTCCAAGACAAGGGAGTCAAGAACCGTACCAGTTTCCGAAGGGAGTGACGTTTTGCCCTGGATGGAAAAACGGTCACAAGCGTTGAATTTAGCGTGATGTATGTAAAGGCAAGGGGGCTCCCCCAATGATGTTTCGTGTCGAGTGGAAGCTGTGCCATACGAAGGCGAGGCTGCTGGCTGAGCTAGAATATCTGGAAGATCTAGAAGTCGTAGCTGTTAGCAATGCTGTCAAGGTAGAAGGCGGAGAGCTGCAGGCGCACACCGCAAAGGCGAAGCGAGGAGCGTGTTTGTTCGGGTATGAGGATGTGCTTGCCACCCGTTGAGAGTAGTCTGGAGCCCGTCGGCTTGAGCACGTTGTTGGAAAGTTGGACGCTTACCTGAGGAGGGCATGGAAGACGGGTGGCGGATGAACAACGGCGCGGCCGCCATGCATCAACTTTGCTAGGGACAGCAAGGATCAAGCTGAGAGGAAGAGTAAGCCAAGCGCAAGGCCATGAGGGGCAATGTAGACGAGGGGGGCGGCGGCTTTGGCGCTGAGTCGGGGTAGAGGGTGGAATTGGTTAGGCAGAGAAGGAATATCTGAAGCGACGAGAACCCTGTAGCTCGCAAAGGAAGGCGGCACCTGCACAGAAACTTCACGTGCTTGTTTTCGCACCCGATTGAGTAAGCCACAGATCTGTACTCAACACAGCCCTTCTTTTGGCAGTCCCCCTAAGCGACAGTATAGCGCCTGACATGCGAACGCTTTGCGCAATGCCCTGGAAACTAGTAGTTTTGCGTGCCGCACTACGCCATGGATGCCCAGGATGTGGACACTGAGCCTCTAGGAGAGTAGACATGTTGTATGAGATCCTTTGCGCTTATTGCTCCTGGAGAATGACCCGTAACATCTACGACCTCTTCTCTAGCAATGGCGCAAGACCTTCACGATGATACTAGCAGCGGGACTGGTCAGGATGACTAGTACATGCTTTGTGCCCTCTGCTGAGAGGGATAGGAGAAGTTTTGCTTGTGAGCGTGTTGCGCTACTTCGCCGTGATAGCCCTTGGGTCCAATATGCTCTGCAACACTGTGATATTCAAGCAGCGGACGCTATTCTCACGGCGCAGACTGTGGGGCGGCCTGTTGGAAGAAGCAGCCTGTTTGCGCCGCCCGTTTCCGCTGTCCAGACCCGGCTCTTTCCGACAAAGCCAGGAAACAAGTAGTGGCGCCACATTCTCAGCTATCTGGGAAGTTGCTTCCAAGGCGCGCTTGCTTCGGGCGGAACGCGTCTGACCTTCGCGTGAGCGGCGCCCTCCACTACCTGACCACCAACCGAACCACCCACCACCTTGTCCACCCTGCCACGCTCGTGTGCTAGCAACACAGTCTCTCTCATGACTTTACTATGATCTACACCGGTCCAAACACTTCGAAGGCCGCTGGGCCGCTGGGTCGCTGGGCCGTGCCCCAGTCGCAGGCCGCCAACAAGTTCAGGAGCGACGACAGCTCGTCCGACGACAGCTCGTCCGACGACGGCGACGAGATCGAGATACTTCCAAGCGAGCTAGAAGATAGCAGTCTCTGCCTGGTAGCGGCCATTTACACGTGTAGGGCGGTCGATGCCATCGCCACCCACTCTCGGTTCGATGAAGTCGGTAAGCTCTCCAAAACCTCATGTATTTGAGACGCAGATTTACGATCCCGGTGGACCTCTTCGCTTCCGGCTACTTTGCTAACAGCCCACGACATAGCGGCTATTTAGGTCTGCAGGAGAGCCCAGTGCGAGATGCCTCCTAGATCGTTCCATGCAAGCGCAAACGCACACTTCCTTGTCCTTTGCGAATGGCCACATCGTTGTCCACCGTCCCGCCGCTCCTCGCGACGCCGGTGTCCGAATCAAGCCCGGCCGTTCCGGAAAATTTCGACTTCTGACACCGCTGCCGCCGTCGGTGCTACTTTTTGCTCCCGGCGCTGGCAAAAATGCTCCCTCCATCAAAACTGTCCTCTTTGTTCATGAGACTGTTGATTCGCTTCAAGCACTGCTGCCGCCACGTCCAGCTACCTGTCGAACAGCGAACCCAACTACTCTCGCAGTAGGGTCCAGGAGACTTCTTCGCGGTGCACACGCTACATTCTCAAGCACGCTGAGTGCTTTGGCGAAACGTCCTACGGGCATAATCAGAGCGATGGTCCCCAGATGTACCCGAGAGCCAGGCTCTCGGTTCTGCCTCCATGACCACAGACAAGTGTTGCTGCATGGTCCAGCCTCCACAAAGGATGATCCGCTGCCCTATTCCAAAATGGGCTATGCTCAATACCACCCACACACCGCGGATCGAAGAGACTCTCACTTCTGCAAAGCTTGCTACGAGAAAGGTTTGGTAAGTCGAATTTGTCCCAAACCTTTCAAGCCCCATACAACTCCAAGTAAACAATTAACATGTCTTTTTTCGCTAGAGCCATTCAGGTGGTCAGATCCAGGCTGTATTAGACCTGCGCAACAATCCTCCCCTCAGAATCTTCGACGCTTAGCAATCTCTCGGCTTGAACCTCGACACATATTCCCTTGGTGGTAATAATCGTGCTATCGCCCGCTGCCCTTCACTGGCTCCATTCTTTGCCATAGTACACCAGACCGCGGTGGCGGGCAACAGCCTGCACATAATCTTCCCAGTCGTTCGGCTGCCCAAACAAGAGTAGCCGCACGATCAACTTGGCCTACCCACATCGCCAGTTCTGCTACCATACTTACTACTTACACCGCCGCCGCCTCCTCCGCTACATATACTCTCTCCCGCCATCGGATGAATTGGCACCACGCTCGAGGAATGACCGTGCCCAGATATCCTGGGAGCGCAAAACCATCCAACCGGCCTTCAAGATCAACCCTGAACCCCCTGGCCGAGGGCCGCTGCCTCCTCCACCCTTACAACAGTGGCCGTGGGCTGCTGCAGCGACGCACGCGCGCCTCTCCCACACCCTCTTCTGGCACCGCGCGCCCCTTCCCGTTTCACTGGCCGCTGCCATCCTCCTCCCCCTCAACCTCCTTTCTCTCCTTCAGGCCCAAGCCCGAGACCATTCGCGCACGATGGAGCGCGTAAATAGTCCTGGTGGCGGTGAGGGTTGACAAGCTCTTCGGGGCAAGGGGGTTTTTGCCGCACTCCCGCGGCAAGCGTCTGCGGGTTGTGCGTCAGTTGATTGACGCAACGCCGTTAACTTCACACTATCGGGACACTAGTCCCTTGACTGCCATTCCCAGAGCAGAGGATGGTCTGGATACAGACGTCAGTATGGACGACCTTCAACGACGCCCTGAGAGAGCTTCGTGAAACATTGATGCGGATGATTCACATCCGCCAATGGATTGACAGCGTCGATGTCGCAATGTCTGGCCCGGCAAGAAGACGTTCCAGATTGACCACCACCATGACCTCAACAGCAGGTAAATGATGAACAAGGTCACTAAAGGGATTAAAACGTCGTCGTGGCCCCCAACGCTGTCGGACCCAACATCCTCCAGTTCATCGCCGAGCCCGTTGACAGTGGCATAAGAGCAGGAAGCTTGGCTTAAGCCGTCGGAGTTCCAGCGCATCATCCAAAGCACTGCCGGCCACAAGCTCTCAGACCACCTATTGGGTAATTTTCACACTCTCTGCAACATCTCCATGGGCAGCAAAACCTCCTACGCCAGTGTGCACGCTTTCCAGAACATGACTCGCGAAATGAATCTTGTCGAGCTCATCATCCGCAATACTCAACTATCAAGAGCAGCGACGGCAAGATCACCCGTTCAGACTTCAGTCATATCGGTTACCCATGCGCCACGCTGCTCAGGCAGAGAGTAAACGCTTTCGGGCTCGGATCAACGGAGGAGAGAACAAAGGTGCTCACGGAGATGCCTTTCCCCCGAACGCTCAAGGACCTCGAGCATTGGATCGGGGCGACGGATTTTCTCCAATCCAGGATCCCATACTACGCCTCCATCATAAAGCCAATTGGAACTGGAGCCGGAGGCTGCGGCTTTAATCGCGACTTGCAGTATTGAGGTCATTACAAGATCAGCTGGGGATTTCCACTTTTCTTCTTTTTGAAAACGGATGTGAAGGACACATTGTGTCAGACGGTGATCACAGGCGGATACATGAAGAAACTGGTCGACTGAATGTCTCACTATACGCTGCTACTACGTGTGGTCTATATAGGTGAACGAATGAAGAGGCATCCAACAAGGGTATTGAACAAGATGACACGTTGCTCAAGATTACCCTGCTGAATTGATGATGACGATGAGCCTTGATGCTATTGAATATACGTGATGTCAAACACATTGATTACATGTATAGTGGAATATGTCGTCCTTCATAAGACTTTATTCTTGTTGTTGTGCACAGCCTGTCCTTGAACAGATGGGTAAGCAATTCAGGAATGGTTTTAATGTGATGGCGGGACTCTAGATCGCGCTTTAGATGCCGTATTGTCGGTCTGGAATGACGAAGATCATGCTGGAATTGCAAACGAACAGCGGTACCGCAATCTGAGAGTCGAACGAGCCCAATACGGAGAACTCGCAGTGCCTGGCTCCGTGATTCCATCAATTTCTCGGGATAAGCACCGCGAGGTCGGCACTTTTGCCCAAATCCCACTTCGTGACCGATTCATACCCACCGCTGTACAAGCTTATCCTTCCCCTTTATGTGTTGGCACGCCTTTTCCTTTTATGTTCACAACGATTCCCCACTCAGACGAGACTGAAGAATACCGAGGGCAGGTTGAATGATTGTTCGGCCGGAGCAAGAATATTTTCCAGGGAGGAATGCCTGTGGGCTTGCCTGATGCAATTATGCAACACCTCCGCCGCCAAATTTCAGCGAGTATCTTGGCCGGTCAAATATGAGTAAAGACGTCGCGGTGTACTAGACTCGAAAGTTGGACCAAGATGAAGGGTCGGCAGAAAGGACACATGGAACGGGAAGGAAAAGAAGAGGAAATTTTACCCCTGGAGAAGATCCCGCGTCGCTTTGAGCCAGCTCATATCAGGAACTCCAGTCAGCGACCCCCCGTTCATATGAGTCCGTAGAAGGGGGATTCACCTTACGGGTAGAGCTCTTTCCATCGCGGTCTTCGCAGCAACGGGGAAGGAGAAGGAACGCATGAAACCGTCCATCTTTGCGGCGGACTTCAAACGCACCTTTTCCAGCCCAGTAGACTCGCTTTCATGTATTTTTGGATGCACCAACGATTTTCCTAGTTTCTGCCTTTGTGCACCATGATCCTTTGCGCGGAATGAAAGGACGTTGTGTTAAGCTCATCGCACATGCAGCCAAGGTATGCTGGGTAGCTGCCACGCGTGCTCACCGTCCCTTGCTTCGCGTCGTCTCCTTGCATGATGTGAAACGGCTGCCGCAAAAAGGTCGCGTCGTGTGTCCGTATGGTAGTCGATTGCGGTCGGGAGGGAGGCTTTGTGGCAGCTGTGGCTCGAAAGACGGCGCGGTTGCGCGTAAGTGTGAGAACGAGGATCGGCTTGCTCAGAAGAGGTGTGGATGGTGGAAAACGGCGGCAGGCTTCTATGCAAGCGTCATCACGTCGGTCAATGAATGTGATGGTTGCGCTTGTGGAGGTGACGCGAGAGGTGTAGGTGTCAGGGGCGGACGTGGGTGAGAACGTGTCCGCAGAACACAGCGCTAGAGCGGAGTCAGAATGAAGAGTGAGCGCGGTCGGATGGCAGAGGGCTTTCTCGTAGGAAGAGCTTTGCTTGAATCCATGGAACAATGTACATGGTCGGGTACCTTGGGTTCGGGGCATAATGACGAGACTGGAATGTCCTTTGGCGAGCCACGGCGTCCAGTGCCACGCGATATTACTTTGTCCAGCGTGGCCTTGGCGAGTTGCTACCGCAAATTGACGTTGGCGGTTTGAGGTCCTGGTTGCCGCGCTGCCGGATGATATGAGCTCCAAGAATGCTACCAGTCCGCATGGTATGCGCGTTGCAGCGCATACTGCGATGCTGAAGTTGCAGAGCTGGTCCAAGGTCGGACAGACATTGTGCGCGTTGTGCGGCTGGACCAGCCTTATCCGAGTTCGAACCGTGCAGAATTTGCTCACGCACTTTCTTGATCCTGTATCGCTATCTCGCAAGGTCGGCCACAGGAACACCTGTGCCAGACGAGATCCGTACCGGCTCACTGTCGACCAGTGACAACACTAACGTGAGCCGCCGTATTGGACGCCGCTCTGACCCAATGACCTGTGCGGTCGGCACCGTATGCAGTTTCTCGTGTTGACTTCGAGGGATGGGCAGCACCGAGAGCCTTGGATCGTAGCGATTGCTGGGCGCTTCACTCAAAGCGGCCACGTGCCATGGCCTGCAGCGCCGCTGCTGCTTCTGCCGCCGCGCTTGCCAAAGCAGTAAGTAGTTGGTCTTGAGGTTGGCCGTAATCCACTAACTTCCAAGCCGCGTGTATCACCCATGACGTAGTTCCTGCCGTATGGAAGCGAATGCGAGCCCCCGGCGACCACCCGCTTCCGATTCAAGTCTAGCGCGGCGCGTTGTCGTGCCAATGAGCCCTCCACTGCCCCCCGTGCCCCGGATCAATCGGCGCCGCTCGGCCGTCCCTTATAAACTCCTCTTTGCTCCGCCCCCAGCTCTTCTTTTCTTTTCTTCTTCAGCTCCTTTTGCCATTTGGC